TTTTGATTTGATGCAGGTTTCTTTGTTGTTGTTCCTGCTTTTGAGCCACTGGTTTTACGTTACAGGTCGTTAGGATGATAATAAAGATATCACATGAATAGTATATTGCTTGATAATTGCTTGATCACTTGAGTTTTATATTGACACAGTGTTAACTACTGCAAATTACTGGAATGCCGAGCAATTATTCAACAACACGCAACAATTAATCTTAATAGAATGTCAGCGGTTTCAACCAATTGCGAATTACAAGGCCAGCCACACAGTCAGCGTTACACGTGTATAAATTAAGCTGAGAAACATGAGAACTCACTTTTAAGTATCATTTACAAATTATTAACGTAAACCAAATGATAAATCACAGTCGTTATTTCATTTGAATCGCAGTTGAAATCGATGCATTAACAATCTTCACTATGTGGTTTGGCGGCAATTAAGGCGGGGCTTTCAAATTCTCTAGAAACAGTGAGGTAAAATTATGGTTTAAATTTGAAAGCAAATAAATCAAGTGTGAAATATTGCATTGTTGTAAGCAGCTAAGGTTAAGTTGTGCGCAGTGCACTTAACATTTAAAATACTAATTTTTTGAGTCAACTTTTTAGTTAATTTAAGTAACACTTATTATATTAATTCTTTATATTTCATATACAAAAGCAAAATTAATTCGGTCCTGAATGTGTTAACATAATATTTTCTATATTATATTGTTGGAAACAATACTTTTAACACATTGGAATAGAAGGAACACTCTTTGTTTGATTTCGTATAGTTGCTCATCGTTCTAGTGACAGATTTTTGAATTAACGATTCTGTTTACATTGTTGGGAACGTTATCTGGCTTAAGTGTTAGTCCAGCACACCATTAAATTGATTAAAGTGCGGATCACCTTTGTAAAAACGTTGACAAAAAATCAAAACAACAAATAGCTATTAAAAGCAAATCCAACATGGCCATAAAATGGCACGATCATAAACCAAATCCATGCTAATAAAATACTTGAAGAGAGAGATAAAGAAACCCAAATATTATGTTCATTGGCTGCCGTGGTTGTAAGAAGTTCTTTTAATGATCAAACTAAATCCAGTTGCGTGTTTTTAGGACCATATAGGACAAGTGTTTGTTACGCTCTAATAGACCAATAAATTCGTAATAAATATCGGAAACTAGCGCCCTTTAAAACACACACAAATACACATAGAAAGTTCGACATCTCTATGAGTGTACTTTAAAAAGAAAAACTTTGTTTTGTAACCGGATGGTTGTTAAAAAAAAGGGCAGCGAACAAAACAAACCATTTAAATTATGAACACGCATATATCACAGAATGGAGAGAAACACACCCAACATTTTATTAAAGGCAAAAAGCAGTACTAAAAACAACAAAGTCATAAATACTTACAGTTTCACATTTGCTTGCCGGAAATTTGGTCAAAAAATTACAAAACTGTTGCCATTATTTATATGGAGGAGCCGACGCCCAACTTATACATCAATAAACCAACCACAAGCAATAAATAAATAAATAAATAAACTATGCTCGAATTAAGTGAATAGATAAAAGCGAAAGGAAACTTAATTATACAGTTTAGAGATACATTTGCATTGTTGAAATTTGGGCTGTGAAGCTTTACTTCAACATTTGTATTATTGTACACCTCTCTTCCAGCTACAATTTATAATGAAAACAACTCAAAACAACACAACACAAAAATTAATAATAACAACAACAAAAGACGCATTAACACCAAAATAAATACAAATATTCAACGTGCCGAATTCTGTTTTTCTCTGTCATTTTTATTTGGCTCGCTTGACGTTTACTACGTAGATATTTGAATATATGGAAATATGGGAATAAAAGATCAGCCCAAGTTGTGACATCGAACTAATGAATATTCCGACTAAATGCGTTCAATTTTGTTTGTTGGTTTATTGTCTGATAAGTTTTTAACACATTTTTGCTGCCCTACAAAGAGTGAGCTTAAGTTGGGCACTTCGATTTCTATAGAAATGCTAACTAATTATGCATAACTCAAAAAGAAACTGTATTCAAGAATGAAACCAACAAACTGCATTCCATTTATAACTGGATGGCAGTTAAATATCATTAATTATTAAATTGAATATATTTCAATGAGAAATAAAACGAACTTAAAGAAAAAACTTCAAATTGCCATCAGCTGATGAACAACAACCCCCTCAAAGTATATTCCAATAATAATCATCGCAGAAGTCAACAAATAACTATCAACAGAAACTGCATGGGAAATTCTAATTTAATAAACGCTGACTGCCTAGATAAAAGCCTCAGCAACATTTGTCCATTGAAACTATTATAAAATACGCAAAGCTTTCTACTCCATCATGAACATCAATCCCATAATCCTTCTTGCACCAACCACCAACCACAGCCTTAATCTTATATTTGAAATGCTTTTTCGAAAATGTATAAATAATATAATAAACTTAAACAAAAGCAGACAAGCATCGAACTGATGGCCTTAACTTATACTGCTCGTTAATCTAAAGTGTTCACCAAAATAAACAAATATAAGAGTCAAAAAGTAAAGATGACTACTTTTAAACACTCAACACAATATGAATATAGCACTAAACCGCAATTAAAATAAAATTAAATATTTTTATACTTTGTGTTAATCATAGCTTATCCAATGGCAATCTCTAAATATAAATATTATCACAAAATGGACAATGCGACGCATCCAAATAGTCGAAAAGAGTAATTTGTGTCGCTATTGTTTGTTTTTTGTTGGACACGCAACGTGCCCACGCAATGCATGATTTTCATTTTCATTTCATTTATTTAGCTACACTTTTCATTTGTCGTAACGCGTCACTAATTAAGCTATTTTTGAAAGTATATATCTCTTTCCAAGTGCTGGGCGTGGCCAGTGTCTGCCATGTTGTCTCGCTGGTTACACAAACAGCACACAAACAACACACAAAAACAACAATGACAAAAAACTATAGCGGGAGTGTTCGTTCTCAAGATCGCATGTTTTACCCCAACTGGCAGCTGTGCCCAATTAATGTCACTTTGCTCACCATTTCAATTTTGCTATGAGTCCTACAAGAACTGCCTGCACTCGGAAAAAAAGTCGCCCTGCACTTTAGAAAACCACCCTGAAAACTAGAAATTTATTCTTGCTTTTAGGAAGAAAATTTCTAGATATACGAAGGAGTTTTCCTTTCTGAAATTTAGAATTTAGTTATTCTGATTTTGATAAAGAAACCAACTTTTGTTTAAGAAATATAATATATTCAAAATAAACGATATATTCAACATAATAAGCTGAGTTAAGCTTTGTGCCGAAAGTATGTCGATTTTCTAAAATTCAGAGTGATATTTTTGTTGAGTGTATGAGTATCCACATCCAATGTGGGCTTGTTGAGAACATGATTGCAAATTAGCTAAATGAAAATTGCTACACAACCTACAAATATATTTCGCAAAATAGAATACGAAAATAGAATTGCGTTGATAAGCATTGAGTGGTGGCCAAATGATATGGAATCAATTTTTGAAATAAATTTACCATATAATTTGGCATTGAACTCATTTTCCAAAAGGAAACACACACGTGCCCACCGATCTCAATTTTACACACATGGCACATATATTTAGATATACTAGACATATGAGTTCAGGAATTTTTTTTTATTTTTATTTGAGTATATTTGGTATTTTGGGGCATATACAGTTTGTTTGGGTGCGGTTTTGTTTTACAGTTCAGTTCAGTTTTTTCGAAAATGGGCATTTGATAATTATTTCAGAGCATTGAAATGTTATTCAAGTTTGTGTGTCTTTATATTTAACAACATATCCGCGCTTTTAAATATTTTCCATAGGATACGGGTGTATCTTAGTCGGGGCAGACTCTCAAGTAAGTACAGATACCATTCTACAGTTTAGAAAAGAAATAAAGACGTGCGTCAACTTAATGAAATTGCATCGCATTAAACAGGCGCGCATTTCAAAATTTATGAGCTCGTCTAATGAATTTATGGACTCTAATATTAGAGATGACCTGGCACGACGAATAATTGGTAATTTAGACGCGCCCCTGTCTGCCTCTAACTACATAGATACATTTATGTAGCCGTAAACTGATGGATAGCCAGATATGAGCTCAGAATGTATGCGTCCCGGGGGCTCTGTTAAATGCATTATTTTTTTGTTTTGGATGCTCGGGATATGATTTCGATGAAATATGAACAGTCAACTACGCGCCTCACTCATGAAAGCCGTCAAATTTTTGAATGACTTCGACATATTGGACGTTTATCAATTAGATCTCGGTGTTAACAGTTCATTACAAGATATTTTATTTTACGAGCATTTTAGGGATATTCAAATCAAAGCTATTCAATAAATATTAACAACAAATTTTAGCAGCAAATATTTTAGAAATATTAAAGCAGCTAAAAACTATGAATATACAGGGCGCAAAACATAATAAATATCGCTGGCGGTGAGTTCAAGTTTTTTAATATTTGGGTCAATTTTGGACTTATGGGTATATCCAATAGAATTGAAAGTTTACTGTGGCAATATATTCTAAAAGAAATACACCAAGGCAAATACAATGTAAACAACAAAATATTTTTTGTTTTTTTTTTGCTTAATACAAAAACAAATACGAAAAAGCGCTTCAAACTGAGAGAATGGTTTCCATGATTTGTGTAATCCGCTAGCGAAACCGAGAATAATAAATTGATGGTTTTTTGCCAGAACGTGTTTTTTTTTTATTTTGGCGACACAATAAAAAATGCCAAGATTCGATTTTGTGACAAAAAAAATTGTTAATTAAATGCAAAGAGCAAAATAAATTATGAAATTTAACCGTTGTTGTCTGATTTGCATTGGCGCCAGACGAAAAACAAAAAAAAACACAAACGAATCGAAGTAATTTATGGGATGTGTTTCGAAGGAATTTCGATAAGATGCTTATCGATAATCTATAGATAAAGCACTCACCTGATCTTGACAGAAGTAGCCGAATCCGATGATGCCCGCAATGGCTAAAAATAGGCAAAACACAATAATTGTTCGTATTTTGGAGCGTGGTTCCATTTTCTTGATCTCATAAACACCGCCGGGTAGTAATAAAGCAAAATCACTATCAACTTGTACGGAGACGTTCTTATGCATATCCACGGGCATGTTCCATAGAGCCACAATTGTTTTTTTTTTTTTTTTTTTTAATTTACATGTATTTCCTGCCCACTAAAAAACGACATCGAACGGCGTTTCGTCGCCAGCAAATGTCGCCCAGTCATTGTCCGATAATACGAAAAGGCGCCATCTATAGCTCATTTGCGGCAGCCCATTACAGCGTCAAATAATTTACCGCTTATCAAAAGTTTAGCTGCAAAGAAAAACGAGAATGAAAAAACTGAAAATGTGTAATAAGTTTTTTGAAATAATTTATTTAATAAGTGCTTTAATATTCTATATGCATATACTTTGATTGTCTGCTGTAAAATTTATGAGCGACTAGGAGATAAGAATAGAATATAATATAATGCCACATGCTTTAAGAGGCAGGCAACAATTAGTCAACTCTTATCTCCAACTGTCAAATTAGCAGCAACTAAAAGTTAATCAATTAAGCAACAAGTCTTCAGTTATGAGCGGGCATAAACTAACTTCATTGGGAATTGTGAGTTACATTTTGAACTGTTATCGATTAAGGCTTAAGCAAAGCTAGGTTTAAATAGATACTGTATAGCTATATCATCTGGTTATAATACGATTTAATTATCATAGCATTTCACTCTCATAAACAAACACAAAACTACATAGACAGTAGCTGATAAGATATCAATAAAATCAAATGACACCAATTAAGAAGAAGCATTTATTTTTCGTGTGACTGATAAGACTAATTGTATAAAAAAAGAAAACTAAAAGCAATGAAGAAAACTGAATAATGTAAATAAATAATATAAACACAAGTCTGTTAAGTAAGAGTAAACAAAGCAGCTAAATAATTTAGCAACTGGCAAGCAATAAACAAGTGTCAAAAGCAAAAAGTGAAAAAATTAAAAAAGAAATGCCGGCAAAAGTAAAATTTGTTAACATAACAAACTCAATATAGAAAATCGAATAATAAACATGTTGTTGGCCAGTTAAGCAAAGCAAGAAATCAAATACACACAAGCATAAATAAATACATGTATGTGTAGGCACAATCTGAGCAAAGATAATGTACATAAATCACAAAAATTGACACAATACAAATACGATAGAAAAACATTAAACAGTAGCCGCAAAAAAAGAGGCTGCTGCTGCTGCTCCGTTTGCAGTCGCAGTCTGTTTGACGCCCAGACGACGTCAGCGTCAGCTTGCTTCTTGTGGGCTGCTCTCAATTTCCGCACAAATGTAAAATGTGTGTGCGTTTGCATATGTTTACGAGCTGTGGTTGTTGTTGTTGCGGCTGTTGTGCCAATAAACAGCAAGTAAATAAAATGAGTTGGCAGTTTCGCCAACCCGCGCTGTAAAAACTGTAAAAATAAAACGCCGCAGCATGTTGCCAACATTTACATTTGAATTTGACAAACATTCTTATTCGAATTCAACAATTTTCTAATTGGGAGTATTAACTGTGTAAATCAAGTTGACAACATTTAATATTTGTAGTTAATATGTTAACGATAATACTACACTCAATATATCAAGCTATTTCTCAAATTCGATTCCCAAATTTATCTTAACATTATTGTTTACTTATTTAACTGATTATCTGGGCAACTTGTAAGCGACTTTCTCTGCCGGCGCCGCAGTCGCAGCGGCATCTGTCGGTTGACGTCAAAAGTGGCGCACGCTGTGCCCAAAAACACAAAACAAAACCTAATGTAAAAACATTCTACTGGGAAAAATAGGGTACTATTTAAGAAATTATAAACAAACACGCAGCGATAAACTTAAAACACAACACAACAAAAACAAACGAGTAGAAGAAGCAGAGCGAGAGAGAGAGTGAAAACGAGAGCGAGAGAGACAGGCAAAAACAGCTGTTCGCCTTTCATGTTGCAACATCGTTTTTTGGCCAATTTGCCACCTTGCTGGCCAATTGCCTTGGCTAATTCACTAAATACACTTATTTCTGGCCATTCTAAACGTACTTTAATATTATAAACAATTAGCGGGTAGCTTATATTTATTTATTTACATTTTTTGCATATTCTCAGCGTTTGCACGCTCATTCAGCGTGTCTTCTGCTTTGTGCCACACATTCGCACTAAGTGCAAAAAGGCGCGCGTAAGTTTTGCACACACAATTCATAACCTAATCACAATCACAATACGCATAACACTTAACGCATTCAATTGTTGTGCAATTTGTTTAAATTGTTAAGCAACTTGCGTGTAAATGTTTTAATATTTAATGACAGCAACATGCGTGATGCCATCTAGCACATCCGTTTTCAGCAGCAGCGGCGGATAAACTGACTAAAAGGAAAACAAATAAGCGCGTACTTGGACTGCCAACCTGCTGGCATTTAACACAGCTGTTAATGTTAGTTAACAGTGCCCGTAGCTCGACACCGATTATCGATGACACCTAACAGCTGGTACGTCGCTGTTGCTGTAACATTACAATAAGATTAACAGTCTGTACTTAATTCAGAAATATGGCAACGCTCTGCTGTGAGTTTTAAATCGAAAAAAAAATACGTTGAGCGCCAGACTTGAAATGCGCTGTTTTCTGCTGTTCAGCGTTCTCCTTGCAACATTCTGCAACGCCAGCTACGATTATTATCGCTTGCCAAGCGCCGTCAGACCGCAACACTATAACCTGCGCATCATGACACATCTGGAAGAAGCCAGCCGCCAGTTCTTCACGGGCGACGTCGAAATACAAATTCACGTTTTGCAATCCACCGGAAATATCACTTTACATGCCGGAGCCCATTTGAATATTGTCAAGAATGGGACACGCTTGAAGCGCATAAAGCCGGATTGCCACGAACTGATTGACATTCGAGACATCGAACGCAATTTTAGAAATGATTTCTATATACTTCATTTGGATGCAGATCTGCAGCGAGGACAGCGTTTTCTATTGCGCCTACAATTCTGGGGAAGATTGGGCCGCTCCATGACCGGTTACTATGCCAGTTCGTATGAAGATAACTGCTCCAAAAAGTGAACAACAATTACACATCTCTATTTATATATCTGTTTATATATATGCGTATTTCTCTTCAGATTCATGTCGGTTACTCAATTTGAGCCTGCGGATGCTCGTTCGGCTTTTCCCTGTTTCGATGAGCCCGCCTTGAAGGCGACCTTTAACATAACCCTGGGCCATCACTCCAAATACAATGCACTCAGCAATATGCCCATCAATCAGAAGATTCCAATGTAAGTACAGTAGAGATTGACTAAAAGTGGCATTCCTTATAAAATATCATGGGGGTATTAGACAATTGAGGCAAACATAATGGAAGATTCTGACCAAATTTGAGTTTTGGTATGAAAAACATTTTAGTTTTCATAGCATATTTTGAAGAGGCCCATTAATATATAATTCGACATTTCTATGACTATTTTGAATAAGTCCACTTAAAAAGAGTTTTGAATTTGCGAGTGTTTTCGAAATAAATTTGCTTAAGATTTACAGATGTGAACGCAAGAACTGGGTGTGGAGCATATTCAAGCAGACGGAGCTGATGTCCACCTATCTGGTGGCGTACAGCATCAACGACTTCAAGGGCTATGCCTCGCGGACCAAGAAGTACCAATTGAGTTTCACCACCTGGTCGCGTTCATCTGCCATTAAACAGTGCAGATATGCGGCCGAGATTGGGCCAAGGATACTGTCGTACTTTGAGGATATGTTTGACATTGAGTATCCGTTGCCCAAAATGGATCTGCTGGCTGTGCCCGATTTCAATGCGGGCGCCATGGAGAACTGGGGATTGATCACGTTTCGGGAAGCGTCTTTGTTTTATGACGAGACTGACTCATCCGACTTGGACAGACAGCACGTGGCGAATATAATTGCACACGAAGTGGCTCATCAGTGGTTTGGCAATCTGGTCACAATGGAATGGTGGAATGATCTCTGGCTGAATGAGGGATTCGCCACCTATATGGCAACGTTGGTCATGGAGAAGATATGCCGCAAGTGGCATGCCTACGAGGAGGAGTCATTGGACAATGTCCTCGCGGTGCTCAACACGGATGGCTATTGCAATACTCGCCCGATCCATCAGGCGGTGAACCGGGCCAGTCAAATAACGGAACTCTTCGATGCCATCACGTATCGGAAGGGTGCAGTCATCATACGAATGATGCACATGCTCATTGGCGATGTGGCATTTCGACGCGGTCTCAATTGTTATCTGGTCAAGCATGCCTTTGGCAATGCCAGGCAGGAGGATTTGTGGCATGCCCTGACGGAGGCAGCGCATCAGTGTGGCAGCATTGTCGAGGATGTCGATGTGCAGACCATGATGGACACGTGGACCCTGCAGAAGGGCATACCCCTAATTAATGTGCAGCGTCAGTATGATATGAGAACGGCAACGATAACCCAGCGACGATATCTCATTCAAATTGCCAATCTAGATCAACCAGCGACAGATGAGTCCTGTTGGCTGGTGCCCATCAGCTATGCCACCGATTGTCTATCCAATTTCGTTGCAACCGAGTCGCGTGCCTTTCTGCGTTGCACCGAGCAGCACGAGGCATTGCCACTGAAACTCCAGGATCTACCCGGCGAGAACGAGTGGCTGATCCTCAATGTGCAGGTGGCAACACCATATCGCGTCAACTACGACATCACCAATTGGGAGCTGATCATCAAGTCGCTGCTGAGCAAAGATTTCAAGCGCATTCACGTCATGAATCGAGCTCAACTGATAGATGACTCCATGGCGTTCGCCTGGAGTGGCCTGCTGCCCTATGAAATGGCCGTGGAGCTGCTCTCTTACCTGAGGCACGAGCCGGATTATATGCCATGGCGTGCCGCATTAGATCAACTAAATGCGATTTATCGCATTGTCCGACAAACAAAACAATTTCCGGAATTTCAGGTGAGAGGAGTCCTTAAAATTAAGCAGAGCTCTGAAAAGGTTATAATGAATTTATGTAAATGTATGTAACAGGCAGAAGGCAGCATCTCCGATCCCATAAAGTATATACATTATTCATGACCAGCATCAAACGCCCGTCTGTCCTCTGTTTGTCCATCTGTCTGTTTGAATAAACTTATCTCAGAGAGTATAGGATTATTTTGTTAAGGGATATTTTTCAGATAATGATTTGCATTTCAACTGTTAGAAATATTTTCTATTAGTAAAAAGTATATTTCTGAAAAATAGAAAAAAATACTTTCTAAGTTTAAGAATTTTTTGGAAACAAAAAACATTCTAGTTTTACGGCGAATTAACTGCGTAGTCAAATCTTTTTTATTTATTTTTACTTGTATCATTTTAAATCACATTTTAATTTTCTATCTTTTTAAAAAAAATCTAATTCAACCCAGCAATTTATGCAGTATCTACTGGAGCCCATATATGGCCAGCTGGGGGGCATGCATAAGGATACGGAAGGCCATCACCATGTGGCCCACAAGGCGTTGATCACCAAGTGGGCGTGTCGCTTAAAGCAGGAGGATTGCGTGGAGCATGCGTTAAGATACTATCATCGCTGGCTTATCTGCGACGAGCCGGATGAGACAAATCCAGTGCCGCAGAATCTGAGATCAGTTGTCTACTGCACAGCCATACGGCATGGCGATGACGAGGATTGGAACTTTCTGTGGCAACGATATCGCAACACTGGGGTGGCCAGTGAGCAGCGGCAGATACTCCTGGCACTCGGTTGCAGCCACAAGGTGTCCCTGCTCGAGCGCTATCTGAATATAATCTACCATGAGAAGTCCTTTATACGCAAACAGGATGCCTCCCAGATCTTTGGCGCCATTGTGCGCAACCATGTGGGCTTTCACATAACAAAGGATTTCTTTTTGCACAAATTCAAGTTACTCAACGCCTAGTAAGTAATTGTGCCTATTTTAATTGATGGCTCGAAAATTAGAAAGTTGTAAAAAAAGAATTTTAAAAACTCTTATTGTTGAAAAAATGGAACAAAGCAATTTTAGTGTATACAATTAAGCCTTAGTTCCAAGTGTGATAGTAGCTGAAGAAAAAAACATTTCCACAAAGAGAATTTTGACTTTTATTTAATGACTCCGGCTCTTAATTCGCATTGGAATAGTGACTGTAGAGTCAAGACTGTAAGTCTAAATTGCTGCTTTAAGATTATTATTTTAATACTGACACAAGAAAATAATAGCTGGAAAAAAGCCGATTTCTACTATGGAAATAGTAAACTGTGACTCTAATTGAGGACTCTAGCACAGAATCAAATTGTTAGTTTGAAATTTTTATTTTAAAAAAATACTTGAGCCTATCCATAACAATATATAAATATATGAAAATATAATTTATATGTCCTTTACTTTTTTATCAACTGTAGCAACTCCAAATGCTTTAATGACAATTCTAAAATGAACAATTCTAATTTTTAAGCTTACCAATTAACTTAACTTTAACCAATAATCACAACTTATCGTTTTGCTTGAAGCTACCATTCGAACACAAGGGAACTGGTCGGCATGTTCATCCAAATAGCTCAGCAGACAAGCTGCGCGATGGGCTATCGCCAGTTGATGGTGTTCATCAACACGCACCAGGAGCTGCAGCAGAGATCGGGCCGCAGCCTGCGACGTGCCTTGGAGCAGGTGAAACTGAATATGCGCTGGCGCCAAAAGCAGATGGAAGAATTCGTCTGCATTCTGGGAAAGCGCAATTGAAGTTTGTAATTAAAAATATTGTAAATGGTTTTATTTTTTTTTTATTTTCGTATATTTCAAATTAGTAATTATATAAAATAAAGCATTGAAAGCCCAGAGCTAAGCGCTAATATTAATCACAGAACACAAGACCACACCCAGTCCCAGCAGCAGCTTCATGAAATTCACCCGCGGCCTGCACCACCGCCACCGGCTCCACCGCCACCGCCGCCACCCGAGAAAGCTGTGCTCGCATTTCCCGCACTGGCCGCAAACAATCTGCGCAGATTCTGTAGCATGCCCCATAGAACGGTGCCCGCTGAGCCCAGAGTTTCGAGTAGATCGAAGCCGGTGCTATCGATGGCCTCTTCGCGATCCTCCTCCGTTTCAATGGCCGGCGACGTATTGTTGCTATGCGGTGCATGATGCACACCCATGTGGCCAATCAAACGATGCGAGTTTGTCCGGACATGCGTATCATTCACATCGCCACCTCCCACAGCATTTATGAGATGCTTGACTGGCTCCAGTACGGGTATGGCCAACTTGATGCGATGCCAGGCATCTGGGTATTCCGTGGAGCTCTCATGCTGCTCATCACTGACCATCGCATCCAGGCTGAGCTCATCGTCCAGCGTATTGCGCTCACTCACGGGCGCATCGTCCGTGTCAAGGGTTTTGTTGTTGTCGGCTGCAGCCTGCAACTGCAACAGACTGCCGAAGAGCTGTTGCACATGCACCGAGTTGATGGACTCCGCCTCGTTGCGCTCAAAGTCGAACTCATCGTGTGGACGCAATCCACGCTTTCCATTCACAAAGCTCACAATGTGCGTATTCGATGAGCCGGGCTGAATTGTGGACACCGCTGGCTTTGCTGTGCTTCCTGGCAATGTCGTCAGCCACACGAACTGCATAAGAATGAGTGAATGAAATGAAAATGGCAATTATTACTTCCAGATTAATGACTGACCATAAAGCATATCCACAAATCTCTATAATTAGCCAATCCATATGCCAGAGCAATCGCTCTCCAAAAAAATAAAACTAAAAAACAACACGCGACGAGCCTTAATGAGATTGCTTTCTGCCCCTAGAGACATTCAAATGATTCTATAATGCCCAGCAAACAACATTCAAGGTCTTTCAAAGTGATTGCTCAATGTTCGCCCAATAAGGCTAAGTATTGAAAATATTAAGTATACGCAAATGTTGACCAAAAAAACGGAAGTGTGAAAGCAAAAGTGAAAAAATTGCTGGAAATTACAAAGAAGTTTAAAATTCCAATATAACTTCTAGAAAGCATATGTAGTTGAATGCATATAGTTAAAACCGAAGATGTGAACATTTAAAAGCAATTATATTATTTATACCCATTAAGTCTGCTCGAAGTTCCATTATAATATACCCTGTAGAGAGTATTAATATTTAATATTTTCGTATATTTAGAAGACTTCTTCGACGCCATAAATTGCATATATTCTTAGTGAACATCAAAAGTCAAATTAATAGAGTCTACCTGTCCATTTGGATATATGCCAAGTTCCATCAAGATGATTATAACTTAGGAAGTCCAACTTATTTAAAAATCGGTATAGAAAATATGGTTAGACGAGCTCTAAAATGAAGATATCAGCAGATTAACTGCGAACTCTTTGACATGTCAAAGATTACCGTTCCCTTCTGTTTTTTATTTTTATAATAAAATGTGTAAAATCTTTAAGGATTAATTATATTTTCAATGTAACTATCACAGTCAAAATTTCATTGACAAAACAATCAATGTTCCCAATTTGCATTTGGTGCGCTGATTGTCAAGACAATCATTGAGCAAACTCGCTTATTAATTCATTCAGTTACTTGGATCACAACCCAATAATGATTTTCTCTATGAAGTTATGGTTGGCCTATTTATTTGTAATATTATACAAATTTTATTTCCATTTTAGTATGTCAATACTTTAACCAATGCCAAAACACGCTTACATGCAGTAACAGCAAAATACTTATTGATTTATGTGTGGAACGAGATAATCGCGACATTGTCAATGTTATACACTATATATATAAATAGATATATAAATAAATAACTCGGATTCAAATTGAAAACGCTGTCCGAAGCGTTTACAACGACAACTGAGCACTAACTGACTGACTGAGTGGCCAATGGGCAGCCCAAAAAAAATAATACAATGTGGAATTTGAAGGTAGCCAATAAAAAATTAATTAATATGCGGCAAGTGTGCAGACAATTGTTTCTCGAATTCATTTAATTTGCTGCAAAAATCAAATCCATTGAATTCGAGAATCGATATTATGCTGCCAATAATTTATATCTTTGGCTTATCAATTGCAATATGAAAATCAAAACGAAATTCTTTTTTGGGTTTGATGTTCAAAGCGGGTTATCGTAGTAGGCCTTGGGAGCTTTTGTAAAAGCAAAATCTTTGATGGCAATCCGAAAATACATCTCTCCGAAAACACATAGTGAAAAAAATAAAATAATATTCCAGATTTTTAGTGTAATGATTAAATAAAGTAAATAAACATTTCCAAATTTTTTACACACACAAGAACTAAAATTTGCAGTTTTGGAAAATCACAAATTGTTCATCATTTTAAAGCACAACGCGTTAAGCTGGCCTAAATATTATATATTGATGTAAATTATGACGGGATTTACTAAATTTTCACAGGTGAGTACTAAATAATTACTGCTACTCTTTTATGGGATACGCGTTTCTTGACTGACAGTGAAATTCCCATAAATTCATTTCGAAAGCATTTTCGCATAGTTTTTAATATTTTCAAATATCTGTACCTGAGTATATTAATATGAATCGGCTTTCTATTTGTGGTATTTGTTTTTCATGAGCTTAAATATATAAGAGTTCAAACACAATCAGTAGTACTTAAAATTGAAGTAAGTTATTTATCAGTTAGCCGGTGCTTTACTTTACCCTAAACTCATTGAAAATGTATAAAAGGATATAATAGTATTGTACAAATGCGTGTGACGGACAAATGGAAGAATCTCCGATTCCATAAGCTATATAGATTCTTGATCAGGATCAACTACCTAACCGATATAGTCACGTCCGATTGTCCGTCCGGATTACAGCCATCTTATATGTGATTTGCTGATAGCGCTCTCAACTTCCTCGGCGTTTCCAGATAGAATATGCATAGTTCCGTCCTAGCAATATTTTTAAATAGTACAAGCTCCTAAAAGAACTCATCTACTGTCAATTGTCAATTCATTGTATGCATGAATAATACGCGATGTATAAAAAACCATCAAAATGTTTGCGTCTACTGCATACACCAAAAATACACAATATAAATAAAAACAGTTTCATAAAAATCAGAAAATTCTATCAAAGAGTGCTTTGAAATACAGTTCAATGGTTTTTGGCCAAGGCTTTGTCAAATGGAGAATATTTCATTCAGATTCTACACGCCAACCGGCACACACCGTTTTTTTTTTTCATTTCTTAAGTTTGTGGCGTTTTTGTGTAAACAAAATTTTTCTAAATCAAAATTAAGCGGATCAAAATTTGTATATCTTTCTAAAAATTCTAAATTTGTCAGTGAAAAAATAATAGAATTGATCAACACGAATGGCGCCATATTTATCACAGATATCCCGATGTCTAAGATATCGTTCGCCAATCTGTCGACCTCATCGCCTGTTCCATGGGAGCTGCAGGCACTGGAAGAAGCTCTGCACGGGTAGCGTCTGTGGACGACCGACGCAAATGCTGGAACTGCTGCCAGCTATGCCAACGATGATCCACGTCCAGCTCTATGCGCAGCGAGCAACGAGCGTCTTCAATTCAAAGAACAATGTGGATATGCTGCGCAAGCGGATCAGTTTCAGTGGAACTCCGAATAAGGACACTGCTCTAGCTCCAAATGTTGTGCCCGTTGGCATTATAATGCCAGAGAGCAATGATGGCAAGCAACTGAAGATTGTCATTGTGCCGCTGGACTTGGCCAATCAGGATGTGGAGAGTCTGCAACATACGCTTGAGGCGCTCAATCAGCTCCGCATGCACGCCAACGAGATTGATGCCTTCACCAACGGCATGCTCGAGGATTTTAATCAGTCGGACCCCAAACTAAAAGCACCAGCTGTCAACAAGCAGGGAATGCAGAAAGTCAATTTCATGGAGGGCTATGTACAAGAAGTCGATGCTGTCGGCACTCCAGCATCCACAACCGATGTAGGATCTGGACAACCTCAGTTGCAGCAGCAGCAAAAACAGTCACAGCAGAGGCCGGCATTTGCACCACTTTCTAATGCTGCTGCTGCTGTTGCACCAATTCCTAAGCATGCGTCAAGCACACAACCCAAACCAATGCCCAAACCAAAAACAGAACCAATGCCAAAAACACTGCCCATGGGTGATCCCAAGGAAAATGAAATCAGAGCCACTACCGAGCCGAAAGAAGCAGATAATATTACGGCTGTGGACTCGGAGATCAGTCAAATTAGCATTGAGGTGCCAAATGGTCTGAGTCGGCGACTGAGCGATATGTCCATCGCCTCAATGCATCTGTCCTTCGAGATGGACATGTCAAATGTGCGCGAAGCGATGAAAGGCGATCAGCAAGCTGCGGCCACAGAAGAATTGTCCTTGGGCAGGAATCCGATGATCTCACTGGAGACACGCGTGGAGTCTGATCCGGATAATGCACCCAAGAACACAGTGCCACTGATGTTCAATGCTCTATTGAAGGGCACCGTGCAGATCGATGCCGACAAGATCAGTCTAGCGAATCTGAGCGAGGAGCAGCTACCAGCCTATAATGATAAGGTTACGTCCATTGCCGCCAGTATTTGCAGCTCGGCATTGGAGAGTGGATTTCCATCCGAGCAGCAACAGCCCGAAAGCAACTTGGCCAGCCCCAAATTACCGTCACACTTACGCATGGCACTGATGCGCCACAAGACTGCGAAGCATATGAATATTAGTCCCATGCTGAAGGACGGTTGCAAGTATCCAGTTATCAAGAAGAAGAAGAAGTGCCCTAAAAAGTGCCCCCTGCTCGATGATCCCTGCAAGAAAGATCCCTGCAAGCCGCCCAAGCGACCACAAAAGAAAGCTGTAAAAACCACTGAGATAATGGCTTCTGGCAAAAAGAGTGATTCTTGTGGCGAGAAAAAGAAGAAGGATCCTTGTGCTAAGAAAGGTGGCGAGAAAAAGAAGAAGGATCCTTGCGCCAAGTTCAAGAAGGGTGGCGACAAAAAGAAGAAGGATCCTTGCGCCAAGAAGAAGAAGGATCCTTGCGCCAAGAAGAAGAAGGATCCTTGCGCCAAGAAGAAGAAGGACCCTTGCGCCAAGAAGAAGAAGGACCCTTGCGCTAAGAAGGGCGGCGACAAAAAGAAGAAGGATCCTTGCGCCAAGTTCAAGAAGGGTGGCGACAAGAAGAAGAAGGATCCTTGCGCCAAGTTCAAGAAGGGCGGCGACAAAAAGAAAAAGGATCCTTGCGACAAAAAGAAGAAGGACCCTTGCGACAAGAAGAAGAAGGATCCTTGCGACAAGAAGAAGAAGGACCCTTGCGCCAAGTTCAAGAAGGCCGACAAGAAGGATCCCTGCAAGAAAAAGTATTCGACATCCGCCACTTCCATTTCAAACTCCCGTCATCTGTCGACATCGACTCAAGTGGAAGAGATGAGACCGCGCTTTACGATTTACTCGACACTTGTGCGGCGACATTACGGCGGCATGCCCTCGAGCACTCAGATGGACGCATGGGGCATCAAGTCGCTGGCTGCCCGCAGGCAAGTGCAACGAAGCTACGGCAAGAAGAAGAAAAGCAAGAAGGTAAATAGCAAATGCGCTGCGATCCAACCCAAAGGCAGCAAAAGAAAGCGTAGACACATAAAAGCGCGCAAAGGTCTTCGCACCGATTGCTATAGCAATTCTGAGGAGGAATGCCCAAAGGCCGTGAAACGTCGATGTGGCGTGGTGCCATTTCCGCGCAAGAAATGCGATAAAAGTAAGCGACCCAAGCTCAGGAAGTTCAAGAAACCCAAGAGGAAGCTGCCCGCCATCTGTATGCTGGGTCAAAAGAGTAGAAAGGCCAGAAAACCTAAAGGTATATAGGATTTAAAATCATTTTAATTATTTTTCCATTAACTGGGCTCTGCCCACTTGTATCCCAAGGTAGAAAGAATTGAGCTTCTAGCCACGGGCCCATTGATGCTCATCCAAACGCGCCAACTTTGTGACACGGCAACTAGCAGAAAGCGCTTTGATTCCATCTTTTCTGAGTTGCAGCCAGAGGAGCAGGAAAGCGAATGTTCCAAAACTGAAATCATACGCATACCGTCATCCTATCACATATTGAAAGAGGAACATACGCTGCCAGCGCTCGGACCATTCGGTGTGTACAAAATTTAAATTCAGAATTAATAATTCTAGTCGTGTAGATGATGCTATATAATAGCTCTGGATCAGATATGCATCCACAATATATATATGTGAGCAGTTGGACTCTGGTTTCTTCTCTTTATCTATTTTTATTTTTCTGTTTTTGTAGATGTGCTAATTAGAACAGCATCTGTTGCACTCACTGGCTCCGATTTACATGTGTTTGAGAATGCCAATAGTGATATTGCGGGCATGACTCTGGGCCATGATGCCACCGGGTATGTGGATCGCGTTGGGAGCAGTGTCCATCATTTGCATGTGGGTGATCGTGTTGTCATGGAGTCGGCGCTATCCTGTGGCATTTGTGATTATTGCAAACGGGGCCTCTATAATATCTGCGCCGATTTGATCTATAACGGTTTCTTGGCCAGCTATCAAACGCATCCGGCTGATCTGTGTCATCGCCTGCCCGACTCCATTGGCATGGATGAGGGCACACTCGCCCAAACGCTTGCGATGGGCTGTCAGGCCTGCTTCAAGGCGGACATCTCGCCCACGAGCAATGTGCTAATTATTGGCACCACTCCAACGGCCGTTTCGGCCGCGATGTGCGCGATGGCAATCGGTGCTAAAAAGGTGACCATCGCTGGCACCATGGACAGCGCGCTGGAGATGATCGACAGAGAATTGGGCTATCATACCATACATTATGATGCAAATGCACTGTTTGGTGAAGTCCTCGAGGCGGTCTACTGCAAGTTCCAAGAATGGCCTAATTGTGCCATCAACTGTGCAATCACACCGATGACCATGAATCTCGCCGTCATGGCACTGCAGCCATGTAGTGTCTGTGTCCTGGCCGAGTGCGAGTCGGAGTGTGCCAGCTTCAATGCACTCGATATACTCATGAAAAATATTCGTCTCGTGCCAAGTTTTCGTTCAGCCAATATGTAAGTGGCCTTGAAGTGTGTATTTCATAGTTAATAGTAATACACGCCCTTGTTGCAGGTATCCAACGGCATTACAACTTATGAAATCTGGTCGAGCGCCGATGCACAAATTTATTGGCCAAGTATTCGCATGGGGCAATGTGGAGGAAGCCTTCCAGTGTGCGCTGCACGAGTCCAATGTTGGCTTGCGCAAGGTTATCGTTAATGGCAAATCAAGTAACATTGGTCTTCAAGCCAGAAAAAGATCTCATCGATTTCAAGACTAACATTTACCGAATAATCAAAATATTTGTTGTTCACTTGAGTAGCTTTATGCCAAATATGAGAAAAAACACATTGGCAGTGTTCTTAATAAACCAAAAACTTTAAAAAAAAAATTATTAAATCCAATCGCTTTGCATTTCACTAGGTTTTGCAATTGCCCATAAACATTTTTAATTGAAAAGTTTGGTTTTTTTAAATTATGCAAGTTTAAAAAATACATAAAATGTAACATCTTTTTTACTCAGCATCTATGAATCTCTCTTAATATAGACTATTTAACGACCTGTTCATAAGTTATACATATATAAAAATTATTATTGTACTTCGCTGCTTACAACAAACTATTTTACAAAATTTACATACGCAAAAACTAAGCTGAGAGTCGTGCATTTAATTGTATGCTAAGGAAGGAATCGAATGTACACACGAAAAACATATATAAATTAATCATAAGAATCCAAACATAACATAACATAATCGTAAACAATTAGCATCATAATGCAGAAGTTAGTATAAATCTTACACAATTGGACTGCAAGCTTTGTTGGAACATTGCTCTCTCTTTTTGAATATTGTGTATAAATCAAAGATTTAGAGCTAACTAATCAATATCCGAAGATATGTATGTAGGTATGTACGAGTGCATGTGTGTGTGTGTGTGTATCTGTGACTAATTACTGGACTGCTTTCGGTTTATATGTGTGTGTTAAAATATGTAGTACTTGTTCCCTGGTTAGTTTTTGATTGCATTTCATGTTCAACTACTTTTTGCGTGTGCACCAAAAAGCAGTTGAATTTGGCTAGATCAAAGCTCTTACTATATAAAGTAAGTTATGATAACATTTATAGTGTATAATTATAGTAGAATCGTCAGTGTCAAAAAAATAATAAATAAAATAGGCTAGACGCTCAGTTCAAGCGCTCATTTAAAAAGGTAGTTTGTCTTTTGGTGTTTTCTTCACAATTCATTAATTTCACTTTTTTTTATAAAAAAAAAAATAAATAAACAAAACAAAACAGTTTCGTAATAATCGCTGCCCATTTCTAATTATCATGTATTTGCATTTCCAGTTCGACATCCGAAAGGTTTATTTCGCGCATCGAATTGATATACATATAGCGCGATGTGTAAATATACAGCCAACGGAACCATTTCATTTGTGATTGATGCTCCATCATGGCGCCTCTGACAACAGTCGCCTCCTTCCAGCTAAGTATGCACCTGGATTGAACAAACCATAACATTAACTACTATCGACAAATATCATATTCTAGTTACATACCAATGCGTGGACATGAGGCACGTGCACAGCAGATCGAAGATTGACAAATATTTGCGGGCCAAATTGATCGAGTCTAGCGTGAAAAACTTACAGCCTGCAATGGATCACATAAAAAACGTATGAAAAAACATATTAAAAATTATTGTGGCTATAATTAGAAAACGTAACGTTAGCAAGAACAATAATAACAACAGTGAGAGCAACAAAAGCAGATACATTTAACATGACAATTAGCATGTGCAATGCGCTTTATAAACGCGTCTGTGCTTCTTGTTGCTGTTGTTGTTTCAGCAGTTGTTGTTGGTTTTGCTGCCAAAGCATGTGACTCACCCTTAGGCAATAAATTGGCTAAACACAAAGAAGCGGCCGCATAATACACAGCACAATGATTGGGATGCGAGCTGACCCCATCGCGATCGAAGGTGAATATCGCCTGTATATCAAGACTCTCAACTGTATGCAATATAAAGCTGGCAACCGCATCCGGCCGCCACTCAACATTGGGATCATCTGGCAAATTGGTGGCATTCACCAATATAACATTCGATTCGTCAATGCCCAAACGTTTGCACGCCCGAAACAGCTCTTCCCGACGTAATTGCGATTGTTGCTCATAGTTGCCTACGATTATAGATGTTAATTAAAATGAATGTTTATTCATTTCATATGCAAAGATGGGGCATATAATCAGTGCTCACCATTTGACAGGCAGAGCACGTAAACCTGACAGCCGTCACGCTGCGTCAGCGAGTAGATCAGTGGCCCAAAGAACATGCACTCGTCATCCGGATGTGCGATAACCAAAAGCATGCGACCCATTAAAGCCGCTTTGGGCAGATGAACGCTACGCAAACGCAGACCGTTCTGGAGTGCATTCCGCAGGCCTCCGTTGTTGCTGACATTTGTGTCACCGCCATTCCCATTCTCCTTCTTCAGCTGGGCGCCAGGGGCTGACGGTGCCGATGTCGAAGAAGTGGATAGCCAAAAGGTGAGTTTGTATAGGCCCAGGCATACTAGCAAGTATACCGCACATGCAATCACTATATGCTCCAGCGCTTCAGCCGATGTTGACCTAATCCGGCAATAGATGGCTTGCGGGCTCAGATTTTCCAGGCGTAACTCGGCGAATGGACGTGTGACAGCGTCGTATATTGCAGTAACGTTGAGTGTTTCGGCCAAGTATTCGCTTAGCCAGTTAAATTTCATTTCATTGCGTTTGCTGCGTGTGTGCTGATTTTCGATATTGGCACAATTCGAAATTCACCAAAAATGGACATAAAAATTAACAAATTTGTTGTGTGTGTTGTTTTAGTTGCTGGGTGATTAAGACCAATAATTTATATACTAAACTAAATATGAACACTAAAACAAATCAACTTATTGTGTAATTTAATACTTTAAACGGCTTCGTAATCTACGCGGCGGCACTTAAAAAAATTGCATTTTATTTTTGCGCTGTGTTCTTTTAGATGGGGGCAACAACTAGGGATGAGTGCGTGAAGTGCCAGTGCGCCAATATCGTGTCCAATAGTAAATGCACGACAGCTACGACAGCCAATCGCTCTGTGCACTATCCCTGCACAAATGTATATATTTATTTATTTACCTGTATGTTGTTGGCGAGCTAAAATCAGTACTGTTTGGCCATGAAAGTGCAGACGTGTATATGCATGTCGTGAGTGGGAATGCCGTCACCAGCAGCAGGCATGTAACAGCTGACTGCGTCGAATACTATCGATTGTGCGATAGTAATCAAATGGCAATCGATGTATCGCAACTTTTGCTGCTTTAGTGCCCAATTCATAAAGGAGCCGTAAATTTATTTTTGATTTAAAAAATTGCTAGTTAACAATTGTGAAATAGTGCTCGTGTGTGTTTTGTATGCCTTCCACTTCCCCCAAATTCCCAAAAAGAGCAATACGCCTATTTCTCAATACAACACACAGCAAAACGTGACGGAATTAATTGAAGCGGCATTTAGGGGACACCAAAAAAGAAAAAAAAATACAAAAAGCGTGCGCGTTGCTTGTGGCTAGCTGTAATTAGGTTAAAAGAAACCACAGTCGGGCGGGCAACAGCAGGCATAACAGCAACAGAAGCAGCAGCAACTGAGGCGGCAGTGTGTGGCAAGTTTGATTGGTTAGAGTGAGCCTGCTTATCAATCAAAACCCATCTATGGCACATCAGCAGCAGGGCATGGATTCGGCGTTGTTCGAGCGACGACTGCGGCCGGTCTACGGTGAGTTAGAATTATTTACATATTATATTATTGGATAAATAATTGTTAACTTATTGCTTGGCCAGACAATCTGGAAGTGGGCAACAATCGCAAGGCGCTGCAGGAATCGGAAAAGCTGCTACGCAAGCATCCAAATTTGCTATGCGCACGTGCTCTAAAGGTAACATAATTATCATAAATGAGCTGGTTGTTAATATTTGTATATATTTTAGGGCCTATCGCTGCTGCGCCTGGGCCGCTACGAGGAGAGCCATGGCTGCCTGCAGACTGTCGCCGAAGAGAAGCCCGTCGATGATTCGACGCTGCAGGTGCTCTCCTTCTGCTATCGAGAAATGGAGCAACGTAAGATCTCTGCGTAGTTTTTCGAGCATTTTTCTCATATTTATACATAAGTATATTTCTTGGCACGCGCCCACAAACGCTGGGCAATTAAAACTGCCTCCTCACTCGCTTTCATTTGCGCATAAATTGACTAAGACACTGAGCACTACAGGCGGGGCGGGCAAAAAGTGCGGCACATAGCGTGTGCCAAGAAAATAAACTGATCGGTAAAAAAGTGTGCATGTGCGCGTTGCCTTGAGGCAACAGTAAATATATGTTAGCCAGTCGAATCACTTGTCTCTCAGCGCCTTGGTTTTCCTGTATTTATTAATTTGACAAATAATTTATTACATTATTCTCTATCATAGTGGACAAAATTGTTGAGCTTTATCAGCACGCAGTCAAACAGACACCTGGCAACGAGGAGCTTCTGGCGCACCTATTCGTTTCGCATGTGCGCGTCGAGGATTACAAGGCGCAGCAAGCGGTTGCACTACAGCTGTACAAGGCGCAGCCAAAGAATGCCTATTACTTTTGGGCCGTTATCAGTGTAGTTTTCCAGGGCATTCGCGGACCCGAGTCCGCAATACCCGAGAAGCGTAAACTTTATCTGGCGCTGGCACAGCGCATGGTCGACAAGCACATTAAGGAGGGCAAACTGGAGACGGAACAAGAGGCATTCCTCTATTTGCACATTTTAAAGCTGCAGAGCAAGTACCAAGAGGCCTGGGAATTCCTTACTGGCGAACTGTGCGCCAAATTATATCCGGGTGCGCCTGTTAGCATGAAATTCGAGCTTCTCAAGGTGCTGGGCAATTGGCAGGAGCTCAACGAGCTCTTGCAAAAGCTGCTAGAGGCCGAGTGAGTACAATGTAAAATACATTTGTAATATATCTACAAACACATTTTTCCGCATTTTCTCAGTCGCGATCGTTGGGACTATTACAAGGAGTATATTCAGAGCTGCTTTGAGCTGCTGGATGGACAGGCCGCGGAGGGCGCAGATAAGCCTGCTTACATGCTGAACACTTGCCACGATTTTCTACTGCACATCATTGATTCTTCAGAGAGAAAAACACGTGGTCCCTACTTGGCACGCTTGGAGCTGCATCAACGCATGCGCGCCAAACAGCTACCGGCCGAGGAACTCATTGGTGATTTTGACGAGCTAATCATTGAGTACTTCTGCCTGTTTGGAGACAAATCCTGCTGCACCCACGACATAGCACTGTTTCTGCCCTCCATCAGCATAGAGCAACGTCAGTCACTAGCCAGCAAGTTGCTCCAAGAAAGTGGAATTACTTCGACCTCTTTGCCGCAGAATGTTAGTATTATTATAAACAAATGCAAAAATATGGTTAAACTACTGAAGGAGACATATCCGAGCCCATTTTGTTTATATGTTGTGTTCCGCTTAGCCTAAAAGCAATCTATGAATTAGTCTCATATATTTTAAAATAGTTCATAGATAAGAGATCTGCAAGCCGAAGATAATTATTATTATACACTTTCTAACTTTGTTCACGTTTTATTGCAGAAGGAGCACATGCAGAAGCATATTTGTGCCCTGCAAATCTCGCGCATGTGTGGAGCTCACATTGAGCTGCCCGTTGATCATCTTCTGGCCTTTTATACGGCATTGAAGCTGCACTATGAGCATGGGCACAGTTCGTTTGGCAAACAGCTGCTGGCAACGGAAATGGGACCCTCGGATCCGTATGCACTGCTAGCGGCGAATGTTATGTATGATATATCCGTGCGAGAACAGAAGTCGGATCAACTATTCGAGGCGCTGTGCCTACTGCAATATGTGCTGCGGAATAGCACCAGCAATTTTCACGTTAAACTGCTCAGCCTGAAGATCTATCACATGTTTGGCTGCATGCTCGGCGCCCAGGAGATGTACGACTATTTGGACATTAAGCAAATCCAGCTGGACTCGATGGGCTATGTGCACTGCAATCTATTGCCGCTCTCCGGACGCTTCTCAGGTGTGCGCAACTGCTTCGACACCACATTGAAGTTCTTCACGAACAGCTACAAGGAGCGGTTGGAGTATATAGCGCTTACCTATCGCTTCTGCACATTCTCCAAAATGGGGGAGTTTATGAACTTCAAGGAGCGCTTGACGAATAGTTTACTCTATGTGGCCGTCTCGGTAGAGGCGCAGCTGTGCGATCTGGTCAGTTGCTATGGCAATATACAACAGAACCTGTCCGCCTATGTGGCCATGAGCATTGAGCCCGCTGACGATCGCATTGCCTGGCACGAGCTGAGCGACAATCGGGATTTGCAGGCGATCATTCGATGGGATCCACTGCATCTGGACAATACGGATGCGGAGCGCAAGGAGTCATACGATCAGGAGATTGAGGTGCTGCAGCTACGATCGCTGCTGCTTCGATTGTTTGCTACGTTCATTGATTTGTATCATGCGCCTCCCAGCGCCAAGCTGGCCATGTCGAATGCGAAGACGCCGCCGCCAGCGCCGGGCGAGGATACAGCGACACTGGAACTGTTGCGCGAATCGTGGACGGGTCTCCATCAGCGTCTGCGTCTTATGAACTATAAGCCGCTCTCTCAACGTTTTCTAGTCAATTTGCTGCCCACACGCCTTCACCTGCTGCTTGAACTGCCCTACGAAAGGTTCTTTGATGATCTGGCCCAGATGGTACTGGACATGCACAGTGGTGCGTCGCAGCTGACGCTGCAGTGCAAGCGAGTCAGCGAAAATGTCGCCTCCGTCATGGACGTGTGCGTCCAGACAATTACTGAAAACAATGAATGTAATGCCGTCGACGGTCTTTGGAAGCGGCGCGAGCACCAACAAAAGATTGCCGCCTGCTTGGAGGTCAGTTCGAATTGCCCAATGCATTCAGAAATTGAAATAATTATATTTAATTTTGATGATTTTTTATAGATACTCTCACTTTATGCCTTCCTCCTATCGGTGCTGAATGACAAGTTGCAGTTCAACGCGAAGACAAAAACAAAAAAAAAGCCATCGGGTGATAATAAAGCACAAGATACCCCGCTGCCCATTAGCGAGAAGGAGCGCAGCCAAATGCTGCGCGAGCTGATGCGTCAGTTGAAACATAAACTAGAGGCCTGCGATGCAGCAATACGTGAGTAGTGGCAAATTAACTGAACCTGTTATTAAATCTAACTCATTTATTCTGCAGGCACTTGGAAAGCGCCCACATTGCCGCGTGACCTGAGTTCGTTTATGGCCGACATGTCTCTCAAGCCGGAGGTTGAGGCGACGCTTATTGGCGACGTATCCGCCACATTTAAAGAGTCTCATGAGCTGATGGTCACCGAGCTGCGCAATCTGATAAAGGACAAAATTCGCATGATCGGAAAATAGATTTGCCCTGATTTTGCTGTGCAAAGTCTCGCTTGCTTGCCCGACTCCAACGCAACATCTTTCAATCACCCACACAGTTTGTTATTTAATATTTTAAACATGAGAAAGGGCTGCTCTGGAAACGCCAAAGATAACATATCCTTGCAGACTATACATTACAAAAAATGGGCCGGTTGTTCCTATGAAATCTATGATGCAGCAGTCCAAATGTATATTTAATGTTTATGCTGCGGATTTCTAGGTAAATATCAAAGATTCCGATATTTGAAGAATCAGCAATCTAGCTTTCAAATTGAGATACTAGTTCGCATAGAAAAAGGCAGACACAAAACGGTATTAACCTCTGCAAGGATAAGAAGGCGATTTTCATGCCCCATCTGAAGTCCATTTACTTCCTCTCCATCTACTTATAATCACCAATCAAATTATATTCTTGTGCACTTTTCCAATTACATTTTTTCGGCATTTTTTATACAACAGGTAAAAAGTTGTAAACTTGTAACTTGCTTGATACAAAAAAAAAAAAAAGAAGAAAAATTTAAAACAGCTCGACACATAAGATGAAATAAAAACTGATCAAATCGTATAAATTATTTCAATCGTATTTAAATATAGTTGCTTGATTGCAAATAGACCATCGTTATGCGGAATAAATTTAGCTTAATATTAAGCGGTTTAGTTATTGAGCTACCACTAAACATATTGTATTCAACACAAACATATTTAACAGTTACTTATTTTACTTGCCACACCACTGCCTGCGCTGACTGCTTTGAGCGTATGTAGATAGGCAGCTGTGCGGGGATCGTTGATATGCTGTTGAGTCTGCAGATGTGCAATCAGATTGTGATTGCGAGCAAAGCTTTTGTTGCACAGTCTGCACGTGTGCGGCTTCTCACCGGTGTGCGTCTTATAGTGCACCTTGAGCACATTGGCATACGTAAACGACTTGCCACAGGTGCCACATGCATAGGGACGTTCATTGCGATGTGTACTACAAGTGAAATAAAGATTACATCACGGCAAGTGGCAGATGAGACATCCACTCACCGTTCATGCTTCACAAGAGATGTGCGATCAGTGAAACTGCGCTGGCAGTTCTCGCAACTGTAGGGCCGGGCTCCAGTGTGCTGTCGAATGTGCCGCATTAGCTGATAGTTGACATGGAAAGACTTGTGGCAGATTCTAAAAGCAACATAATTTAAAGAAAATCAGATTTGTCTTTGCTGATACAGTCAAAAAATAAATTATTTAAAACTAAATCATTTCTATGATTAGCTGATATTCAAAGCACCTTATGCATTACTTATTATTATATAATTATAATTATTATTATTACTTAGTGAATTTGATTCCAACTCACTCGCACTCATATGGTCGCTCATTGTTGTGCCGCCGCATGTGCGTGTCCAGCGTACTCTTGCGTGGATAGCTATTGCCACAGATGTTGCAGACATGTGGCTTGCCACCAACAATGGGTGTGGCAATAGCGTCGTCGGCTGGCACCGCCATGAGACTTGTGGTCACTTCAGTTACATCGACAGCTGGCACTTGTTCAATTAGTTCGTCATAGCTCCAAATGCCGTCCTCCAGCACCTCCACCTCCGGTTTCTCGTATTTACGTGCTGGTTGCGCTTCCTTCAACAGCTGCTGCTGCTCCTCCTCCTCCTCATCATCATCATCGTCGGCCAGTTCCTTGCAAATGTATTCGCGCAAGAAATCGTCGGAGTGCCGACAGATCTGTCGGAATTTGTGGGCCAGCGTTAAAAAGGCACGACATTTCAGGCAGATGCGGGTGGGCAGCTCTGTGGTACGAACTATCTGAAAAGGTCAGTTACTCAAATCGTTGAAAAACTCCAATGGATTAAAAATGAAAATGAATAAAAACCACCTTGATGCCGCTACAGTTTTCAATTTTCTCGCAAATGGAGACACCGCGTTGCTCCTCGTCGCGCTCGTAGATGGAGACCATGTGCGTATCGCTGTCCTGCAGGCAAATCCGACACACGGTTGCTATATCCATTACCAGCTCCGTTGTAGCCATTCTTAACGAATTCAATTTCACTTGCTACCTTTAAGCTGTTGATGCGATGTTTATGTTTTGAAAAATATCATATTGAAAATTAATATCGCGAGACATACTTACGATGTTTGTGCCAACCAAATATCGGTGCAAAATGAATTTCGTATTTTTCGAATTTAAAAACTCAAATGTAAATAAATAATATTGAAATAACATACTTAGATGCTTGACTGGCAATATTTAAATTTAATAAATTATTGTTATGACAATTGATAGCATATTAAATTATAAATTGTTATCGAAATACATCGAAATGTATGATTTTATTTATCGATATACGGCAAATTTCTAATTAATATAAGCATTGAAGTTAGCAATAATGGAGAAAGCAGATCCCGTTTGCAGGATTTGTCTGCTACAACCAAAGACTGAGACACTAATGCCAACCGAGTCGGATTTCTTTGCACAAATCGAACAATGCACCGGAGTTTTGGTAAGCAGTTTGGCACAAATGTAATTTACACTTTATGAATTTTGCTCTTGCAGTTGACACAAGATGAACGCTTGCCCAATAAAATATGCACCAGCTGCGCGTTGTTGCTGCGTGCTGCACTCAAGCTGCGAACGATGTGCCAGCAGACGGAGGAGCAGCTAAAAAATACCAAATCCGCAGAGGAGCAGCAACAGTTGCAATTAGACAGTGGCAGTGAGATGCTAACGGAGTTCATAGACTCCTATGAGGTGACACTGGAAACGGATAGCATCACAGGCAGCACAGACGGCATCACAATAAAACCCTCAAATCCTGCACGCACAACTGTACCCGCCCATAAGTCCCAGCGCCGGAGACGCACCGTTGCTGCTGGAACGGCAACCAACACAGGCAGCGAATCTGAATGTAGCAAGCCTCTGGCCATATCGTATGTGTGCAACATCTGCAACAATGTCTATGCGGAGAAGGTCAAACTAACGATGCATCTTAAGCTACACAGCATGCATAAGCCGCACGAATGCGAGTAGGTTGCCGGACGCTAATCTCTTAATTGATAAACTAAACTTTTACTTATTTAATTTGTTGTAGAATTTGTCACAAGCGTTTCCGTCAAACGCCGCAGCTGGCGCGGCACATGAACTCACACACTGGATTACGGCCATACAAGTGTCATTATTGTTACGCCTCCTTCGCAGATCCCTCCACGCGCATCAAGCATCAACGGTAAGACGATCTGCTTAAAACCATAGACAGCATTAATAAAACAACACTCTTCGTGTAGGATTCATACAAATGAACGGCCATATAAATGCAAGTATTGCAACAAATCGTTTGCCTACTCCAATGTGCTGAATGTCCATCTTAAGACCCATACGGGCGAACGACCCTTCAGCTGTCAATACTGCGGGCGGCCCTTCTCCCAGGCGCATCACAAAAACACACACGAGCGCACGCACATGGTAAAAGAGGAGCTGGAAATTGCAATGACAGAGGAGTAGGAAAAGCATTAAGTGTAGCATATAAGCAAGTCACTCTCTAGTACAATTAAATATTAAAATTGTTTCTAAGACAGAATTGCAGAAAAGATGTGAAAATTATATATAGAAGAGATGAAAAATAAATTATTTTAATAAATGGAATGAAATAAATTTAAATGTGTTTAATATTGGATTAAATATGCGGTTAATCTAGGCAAGGCATCCTATTTCAATATTCATGCAGCATACTTTTAGGATGCCAATATTCACGCAGCATACTTTTAAGATGTCATTGAAAATAAAAATAATTTCCTTGAATTCCGAAACTCAAAATTTATAAAGCATATTTTTAGGCAGAACGGAAATAGACAAAAATATTTAGAGGACATAGCGCAAGGACCAACTCTATCAACCTGCATTCAAGGATTATGGGGTCATCTAGCAACCCAAAGACTTGCCAAAATATATCTTCACAAAATCATTGATTACTCGGAAATTACAAGCAATGGTCAACACAAATTGTTTAACCCAGGAGTCATCAAGATCCATAAGGATATGACCGACTTACGAAAAATGTTGTTTTTAGAAAAGAAGAAATAAAACAACATGAATTTAGTTTTATTCAACTAACATTTATTATTCTGAAATTTAAATAATATTGATTTGCAATAATTTGGTTATATTTTCTGTTTTACTAATGGAAACAATTTCCTTGCACAGTTCTTTTGAGAAATTAAAAAACAAATAGCACACAACTTACTTAATAATATCGAATAAAAGCTAAGACTATAATTATAATTATAATTATTTGTACAAGGTCTAGACCGATGGAAACATGCTAATTGGGATTTCAGCCATGTTATCTTTAATACGATCCCTATCCAGTTCGACGGGCTTCCAGTTGCCACGTTTCTCGTGCGTCACACGATGCAATCGCATTTTGTAGGCCTTCACGAAACCCTTGCCGCACAGATCGCAGCTGTAAAGAGAACATATATATGATATATATGATTAAATCACAGATCAAATCACTTACACGTGCGGCTTTTCACCCGTGTGTATCATTTTGTGAAATTTCAAATTGTCCGAATATGTAAACGTCTTCAGGCATACATCGCACTCGTACGGACGCTCCTTGGTATGTATTCTGTGGATTTATGTTGAAATGAGTTTGTATGAGAGTAAAGTGGATTGCTGGAAGACATACCGATGATGCTTGGTCTTCGTGGAGCGATCGGCAAAGGCGGCTGGGCAGAAATTACATTTGTACGGTCGATTTCCAGTATGCGTATTCATGTGCCGCACCAGCTGCTGGTTCTGCACGAAGCCACGACCACAGATTCTGGAAGACAAGTATTTTAAGATGCCAAAGCTATCAGTAGATGTTGGCCCGGCTTACAGATCGATGAGAGACTTACTCGCACTCATGCGGCTTGACGCCACTGTGAAATTTCATGTGCTCGGTGAGGCGTGCCTGGGATGCATAAATGTTGCCACAAACATCGCAGATGTAATTCGAATGCTTGTCGCGGGGCTTGCGACCCATTTTCTTCTCCTCATGCACGCCGCCGCCCGTTGCGGTTGCCGTTGCCTTGACTCGCTGCTGCACCTTGCGCGGCTGCCCGATGCGATTGAGGAGGCGCGGCTGCTGCGGTTTAGCCTCTGGCAAATAGTTGTCGTCATCGGAGCTTAAGATATCAATATCGTCGTCAGGCACATGGCTCCAAGCAACTTGCTGCTGTGTGGCTCCTTTGGCTGGCGCTGATGTGCTGCTTGGGGCTTGGGTTTCGGATGCCAAAATCTCCAGTTCCTCGTAATCTGCAAAGTTTTCGGCATCTGTTTCCGTTTCCACCTCAGCCTCGCCAGCCACCTCGACAACTGTGGCATCTTCGAAAACAACAGTATCCACAGCGTTCGTGGCATCATAGACAATGGTATCCACTTCCGTTTCTGCATCCACATCCTCGGCAGCAACCACATATCTAAGAAACTCCTCATGAGCAACTTCAACATCGCGTTCCAATTTGATTTGATTATTATTAGCCTGCTGCGTTTTCGCCTCATGCTCCTCCCATGCGCGCGCAATAGCCTCAGCCTCCGCCTGCGCCTCGTCATCATCGCCAGCGCCCAGTGCAGTGTTCAACTCAGCGGATAACATATCTGCGATATGCTGATGCGATCGCTGGCAAGTCATTCGGAATTTGTAGGCGACACGCAGCACACGCACACACTTTGCACACATCTTGTCCGGAAAATTATCATCTATGCTCACCTGCAAACATAATTTGTCGAGTTATTTGTTTTAATGCGTATTTGATTTGTTATTACTTACGGGAATCCCAGCACAGATGTGGAGCATCTGATCAAGGCGGGTGCTCGCATTTTGGCTGAATATGTCCTGTAGCAGTTCCTCACCCTCGTTTGGATTGCTCAGGCAAACGCGGCACACAATCCATTTCTGGTTCAATTCGGTTTTCATTACTATTGTCGCAAATCATACACATACAAGCAAAACCTTATTTTTGACAATATTACAACAATGTTGCAAGCGTCCCTTGCCGTCTTTCTGGCTCTCGTTCACAGTATTTTAATTTTTGGTATTTTGGTAGTTCATTTTTAGCCATTCAGCAATTATATGCAGACACAATAATAATAAGAATGATCTGATTTATTAAATTATTAATAAGTTATTAATTGCTACATATAAATAAAAACATGAATTAAATTAGGTTTGATTTATAAATAAACTAAAATAGTATTATTTAAGCGTCTAAGAAAATGAATACTGCACAAATCAGAATATGGTCACCTTAATATATTGCCATTCACACAAAAGCGCGAACAGCTTGTATTTTTACCATACTTATTTTTTAACATTTTTGGCGTCGTCCAGCTAAATTTCTGCAATCCGTGCATTCGTTGCAATATTTCATAAACAAGGAGATGCCGACTACAACGACAGCAACAACGGAGAAGTGGATAGTCTGTCGAGTGTGCTTGCAGCAGCCCAAGGAAGCAATGGGCAGCATTTTCAATGACGACGCATCCAAAGATATGACCAACATGATATTAGAATGCGGCGGTGTGCCTGTAAATACAAATAGAAAAAACAAAAAAAAATTTTAAAAAATAAATAAATAATTTATATATATGAACTTGCAGATTAAGAAATTCGATCATTATCCAGACAAGATATGCGAAAAGTGCTCGAAGAGTTTACACATAGCATACAAGTTTCGCCGCACTTGTCAACGCTCCTACAAGCATCTGCGGCAGTTTATAGCGCCCGTTGTTGTGGAGCAACCGTCGGCGGGGGAGGATGGCCAGGTGATGCTGAGTCCCAATGAGCCAGTGGGCGCAGAAATTGCCGAAACAATTGGTGCGACCGGAAATGAAGAGCACACAGAGGAGGAGGACGTCAAGGAACGCCTAGTGCACATGAAGAGCGAACAGGTTGAAGAGGATGGCATTATTGAGGAGCTGTATGATGTATATGAGGCGTACGATGGTGAAATTGTCACCGAACAGCCAGCCAATTATGAGGAGGGCAACCCAGACGAGGGCAACGAGGAAATGGGAGCACATTCCATCTCAGGTCTATCCGCGGACATTGAGTATCTGGAGCAACTCGATCATGATCAGTTAACGGAGAGCGCACACGAGGACGATGTCGAAGTGCAAAACTCATCGGACGAGGAAGAATTTGTGCCCGTCAAAACACGCAACACACGCTCCGCCGGCGCCGGTGTCAAGAGGCGTATGAATACACGAAAGGCGACAACCAGTAAAACGGTAATGGGGAATGTTAAGCGGGACAAGTGTAGCGTGACCAACATCATTGTGAATCCCGACGAGAGCATCAGTTTCGGTGAAACAATTGTGTGCAAGACGAAGGGCATCAAAACCAAAGGTGGCCACAAAATTCTCGTCGGCGACAAAAAGGAATTCAAATATATATGCGACATTTGTGGCAACATGTATCCATCGCAGAGTCGCCTCACCGAGCACATCAAAGTACACTCCGGCGTCAAGCCCCACGAATGCGAGTAAGCAGCTCATTTTCATTCATATATTATATTACCTATATATATATATTGTATATTTATATATTTCTTATAGAATCTGCGGTCATTGCTTTGCCCAGGCACAGCAGCTAGCCCGGCACATGAACACACACACGGGCAATCGACCTTTTAAGTGCAGCTACTGCCCGGCAGCATTTGCGGACTTGTCCACCCGCAACAAGCATCATCGGTAAGCAGCTGCAGCTGCAGAAGCAGCAATTTGGTGGATTATGTTCATCTGGATATTTATAGTAGTCTTTTCTTTCTTGCAGAATTCACACCAATGAGCGTCCATACAAGTGCGACGTGTGCAATAAGACCTTTACCTACACCAACACACTGAAATTCCATAAGATGATTCATACGGGCGAGAAGCCGCATGTGTAAGTTGAACCATTTGAATACCATTAACAAATCTCAGTGGAGATTCGAATTTCGTCAACGCCTCCATTAGACTTTAAGCTATTGATCAGCATTAAAATCAGATTAGATATTGACTTGTTTTTAAGTCTGTCTGTTTCCATAAAAACCTTAGATCTTAAACTATCCAGTTATATGCGTTTGTCTATATCATATATTGTGTATTAATGTTGTACGTTGTAATGCTCTTTTTCTCCAATTTCGAAAGTTGCGAAATCTGCGGCAAGGGTTTTCCGCAGGCGTACAAGCTGCGCAATCATCGAGTCACCCACGATCGCCGCGTGGTCGCCGTCAATCCCCATGTGGACGATCTTTATCCAGTTTATACAGAGGCCAAGGCCGGACTGGAGCTGTAAATGCAGATCTACAAATATACAAAAAATATACACTAATAGATATATATAAATATACAAGTAAATTTATATACATATATATATTAATAATTATCGGACCTTTAAAATTGTAACAAAAATTTAAATAATTTACGGACGCATCTTGCGTCTAGCCTAAGTTTTAGTCTAATTATGCGGAAATAAATTAAGTATAGCTGCACAAATGGTCTTTGCATCTGTCTCATCCGGATACAGCTGGAGCACCGCATGCACCTGATGCTGCGGGAACAGGCTGCTCAAATGATAGCGCATCAGACGCCGTTGCTCCTCCCGCGATGCCTGCGCCGTGTGCAGCTCCTCGTTGATCCGTGAATCCGACGCGGACAAATGGGCTAAATTGTGGGCGGGCATGGATAGCGATAACTTGGCCGCCTGCTGATGCTGATCCGTCAACGGTGCGGATGGTGTGCGTGTCAGATACTGATGTTGATAGTTGTTGCTGCTGTTGTTGTTGTTGCCCGGTGGCACCAGCAGGCGAAAGGCGGGAGGTGGCGCCTGACGTTGCAGTTTCTTGTGGCGATTCAGCTGCTGCGACGCATCTGCATCCAGGTCCAGTTGATTGTTAAACGAATGGCAGAGTTGTTGTTGTTGCTGCTGTTGCTGCTGCGAGATTTTCTCAATGGTATTCGATTTGGTGCGCGCAAGCGCTGCCATCTTTGCATTGTTGGTGCTGCTGCTATTGGAGAGCAACTGCTGCCCCCCATTGCTGTGCAGTGGAGCACTGTGCGAGACCTGAAGCGGTAGGCGTTGCAGTTGCAGCTGTGCCGTCTGATGGCGAAACTTGCACTTCTGGCCGTAGGTGCATTTCTTGCCATAGGGACACAACTGCTGCTGTGCATCGGACATCTTCTGCTGCGTCTGCTGGCCGCGCAGCAGCATGTCCAGCGTGGGTCCCGAACGACCCAGCGGATCATCGGGCGGCATAAATATATCGTCCACAAAGGAGTACATCAGCAGACGTTCCTGCACCACCTTGCGATACTCGTTGCTCTCCAGCAACAGGTCTCGATAGTTATCATTGGACACCACAATTCCATCCGTTTCCACGGCCAGTTTCAGTATGAAACGGTCATCGTAGCACGAGACGCGTTTCCCATCCAAGTGACGCGATGGCGTAAAGACCAACACTCGTTCATGCTCCAGCTCATAGAGTAGCTCCTGCTCGGTGATATTATTGTTGGCCAGCTCCTTGCGCCAATTGGGCACAAAGGCGGTGATGTGACGATGTCCACGCTGCCGGAACCAATCCACACAGATACGTATGCCGCGGCAGCTGAAGATCGTGTTATTGCCATGCGACAATGCTACATTGCTGCCATCAATCACGATGTGACGCAGCGAACCATTGCTGCTGCTGGATGGTGGCACATGATTGTTATTGTTGCAATTGCTGTTGTTATTGTTACTGCTGTTGCTATTGCTATTGCAATTGTTGCTGACTGTTGGCCGGGGCGAATCTGCCGTTAATTTAATAAGCTCGGCGAGCAGCTCATTCTGTTTAGCCTCGGAGCCAAGGCGCGTTAGCGCCGTGTGTATCGACTGCTCGCTGTACCCCAATTTCTGTGCAAATTCCAAATTTTTGCGCTCTGTTTTGCTCAAATCATCATCGTCGCTGCTTTCCTGCTGCTGTTGCTGCTGCTGTTGTTGCTGCTGTTGTTGCTGCTGTGGCTTTCTCGCATACAACTTGTTGTTGCTTTGTTGTTGTTGCTGCTGTTGTTGTTGTAGCTGCTGTTTTTGTTGCTCGGGCACTTCACAATCCATTTTAATGCGCATTTAGTTTGTCAATCATTTATTAAGCACTACCTCTTCGTATTTTGCTTGCTGTGGCGTGCCTTTTCTAAGTTTTAAGCAATTTTTAGCAATTTTTGCAACAAGTTCCGTCTTTTTACATTTTGTTGTTGTTGCCAAACAGAGATGTTATTAACATGGCAGCCACACAAAATTTGCAGCAATGTTATGAACGCGACCATTTATTAAATGCTGTTATAACCGACGATGAGACCGATTTTTTGTCACAAAATTGAAAAGTCCTCCAATAAAATTATTATTTGTAAATATTAAAGCTTTTCTAGTTGGCCGTTTAATTAAAAACGTAACTTTTTAGAATCCAATCAGTTTCGTTCAGTTGTATGGTGGAGTTTACGAGTGATCGATAACAATGACGCTCTTCAACACTGAAACACTGACTAATTGGCGCGCTATTGCACTTCAATTTTAAAATAGCAAGCATAACTGACTTTTCCATTAAAACAAAAAACACACACACAACTTATTAACCTTGCAATAACGGATTTTTAATGTGTTGCACAGTATAATATATCGTATATTACGTTTAACAAATTCGCTACATTTTATATAGTTAATATATAACATTTAAGAGTAATCGTTTTTAACATTTATAGATCTCACTTTTCAAAATAAAGTACATATTTTTCTCTTTGTATGTTGTATGGTTGGTCCCTCTTTTCATGAAAAAAGAGTGCGCTGCATTCTAATTAAACTACTCATACAATAAATATATATATATATATATATGTATATGTATATATAATACTTTTAAATGGTCACATCTAAATAGATTTTCAGTAGATTAAATGCAAAGAATACACACGTACTTCAAAGACAATAAAGTAATGCATTTTTTTCCTCGTTTAATTATCGTTCATGTCTTGCATGGCGAAATTATTTTGACACCAGCACTAAACACAAACGAAAAAAACGATTAAATTGGACGTAAAGTGTAGTTTACTACTTGCATATAAAAAGGAGTTTCTACATGTGAGCGTGTGTAAATACGTGAGTGTGCCTGTGTGCTTATTGCTGTGCTTGTCTCTATGTGTGTGTGTGTGTGTCCATTTCGAATTCAACGAGTCATTCATTTTGCAGGATGCTTTAATAAAAAATATCCTTCAAGCGAAAGTATTAAGGATGCATTCCCCTGACACGTCGTATGCTATAATTTCTACTCTTGCGTGTTCCACCAATCTGTTTTACTCTGCACTGCGCTGTTCGCCATACGCGTTTGATGACCAACATTAAATTTATTGTTACATCTTACGTATGTGTAAGTGTGTGTGTGTGTCAGTGTCTGTGTGTGTGTGTGTGTGTGCGTGTATTTGGGTTTGTGCACCGAGCTTTATGGGAGATTTTCTTCTTTAACGGGTAATTAGTGAAGTTTTCCGCCGTTAACTTTTTACAGAAAATTTTCTACAGAATCATTATGTGAGCACTATGCAAAGTTTATTGCGCTTTTGATATTTAAGTTAAAAGCCACATTGAAAAGTTGTATTCTTAATGCAAAGTTCTATTCTTAATGCACACAAACTTGCTGCAGTTGCAAATCGAGTATGCATAAATGTATTTTAAGTGGATTATGAAAAGATCTGAACTGGAAAAGTTAACCGACCATAGCATTTAAAGTTGTTAAAGTGAAGTCAGAAATGACAATAAATAAACTTTTCATAAATCATAAAATTTATATGAAATTTTAATGTCTTCATTTGTCTTTTGTTTCAGTAAATAGAGTGAAATGGAAATTGGCATCGTAATTTTCCAATTGTTTTAACGAGCAAGTCGCATCGTTATAGATTGATAATAAAATTGTTATATGTAAATTGAGACATGAATTGATGATTAGGATGGAAAATTTCAGGTTTCAACATAACATTTACAATCGAAAAATTTGCCTACTTATGCGAGCGCTTGACCTTTGCTTTTCAAATAAAGAGATATTTGGACAAAAATTGTAAAAATTCTTCTACATATGTGACACTAATCCCAATGACAGCGAAGATGCGTGCTTGAGAAATTGATGAGTTCTCATCTGGGTGCACCAATTTGTTATACCGATAATTTGTGCTTGAGCAAACTTTGTCATTAATCAGTTGTTTAATTTTTAGAAAGCATGCGAAGGATAACGCCCACTGGCCTACAGCACGTATGTGTGTGTGTGTGTGTGTGTGGAGGAAATGTTTTTTTTATTCTCACAATCTACTTTTTGCCTACTTTTGGATACACAAACCTGTTTATCGGACCTAAAAATATATCCACGTTGCATGTTAGGCTCCTAACCTGATTAACATTTAGTTCCGTCTGCCAGCGTGTGTGCGTGTGACTCTACTTTGGTATGTGAGCTGTTTGTGGTATGGAATACATTTATTTTCAATAAGTTGGGCCCACAAGCTTAGTGTTTGTGTGTTTTTTTTTTTTGTCGAATAAACAACTTTTAATGCGGGCCATTTCTCTCGCACTAATTTGATGTCAAGTTGATTTGGCCATTGGACCATGCCCTTAACTACGCACACCTCTCGCTCTATTTTCAAACAATTGTTATGTGAGTCTTTTTTGATTGTTTGCTTGCGCTTTGTTCGTGTGCATTGCATTCAGTTTACGCTACTGTTTTTATTATTTTAGCCTCAGGCTTCCGAAAAACGGAATATGAAAGGGAATGAAAAAAGAAGAAAGCTTACGCTTTGGGTTTGTTCATTTTAAGCTTTTTGTGTTGCTCTTTGTGTGTGTGAGTATATCTCTGTGTGTGTGTACGTGTCCTTAGGTTGGTTAAATGCTCCCACGCTGTCAATACTTGAAATTGGCAACTGCATCTGCAACGGCATCAGCAATATCGACAGCAGACAGCAGACAGCAGTGGGTCGCATTGTGAGTTTTGGAATTGAAGGTCTATGCTGGATACAAAAATAAAATCGATTGGTTTGGCATTTACATTTCAGTTAATTAAGGCTAAAAGCCGAAAAGCTGCATCAACATTGTCGTCTTGTGTGGACTATAAATATATGTTCTCATTCTATAGACAATAATACATAATCTGACATAAAGCTCAATTGCATTACAATTAATTTACATATTTAATAAACTTCGTTTCTTGATTTTGCACAAATTGTAAGTAATTGTGTGGCACTGTGCACACTAAATAAGTTATACAGTTATTTCGAATTGGGCAAAGCGCTCCAGTTTTTTGTTATTCACTTGAAATTGAAAGAAATCAAATGAAAACCGAAAAAGCTGGTCACAATGCACAAGGGATAAGAATGGAAATCGTTTTAAAAGCGCACAGTTTCAGTATTTTTCAGTGCAGTTACTTATATGTAGGTGAAACTGTGTGTGTGGTATGTTGGTCTGTGGTGTTGGTCTGGCAAAGCGGCTTGAAAACAAACCGCCAAGCCCTCCCCCCAACGCCCACTCTGCTACCCAACTAAATCGTAAGCGTCAACATTGTTGCAGTTGCTGCTCGGTTGACATTCGACCTTGCCACGCAACGGATTTTTTCTTTTTGTTTTTTTTAGTTGTTTTTTTTGGTTGTGTTATTTTTTATGTAGACAGCAGCTATTAGGCGTTGATAAAATATTCACGCTTCTTGTGACATTTCTCATACGCAATGTAGCACAGGGCGATTGTAATGAGTACCAGGATCGTTATGCCCATTATAATGCTGACCAGTATAATTTCATCGTTGATGCTTTTGTAGGAGTGACCTGCAAGACAAGATAGAGAAAATAAACACATTAAGATTTCGAAAAGCCTCTGACAAATAACAAACCATTATTTTATATTTTTTAAGGGTTTGGTGTTTTTTCCTTTTTTTGGGGGAGTAAAAACAGTTGGAGGCATTTCTGTTACGGTTGCTCTGTTGTCTATCAAACATTTCAGATTGTTAGCGACTCATGCATATTCAAACGATTCGCTTGTAGCGGCGACATCAAATTATGTCCGTACATATCTGAACAAATGCATTGTTATAAATAAAAATAAGAGCTGAGAGCTCTTTAATATTTACTCCCTCACCCACACAGAAATACATGACATTACATAACATATATACATATGTTTGGCATAACAATCCAAGATAAATAACACACGACACAAACATAAAAAAGAACATAAAAAATTAAATTAAATTTGGATTCACAATTCGCTTTTATTGTAACAGATGAAACCAGTATATGTTGTGCGTGTGCACATACGGTTAAAATTGTTCTCCCAAACAAATTGAACGCAAAATTGAATCCAAAATTGAACCCATTTCCATGTAGATTAATAATTTTGTTTTAGTTTTGACTAAATAACAATTTTGCACGAAAATTTCATTGAATAAAGTTGGTTTTAATTTAGCATGTCAAAAGATTTTCCATATGTGATGCTTCATCCAATGTTCCGCAGCGTTATTAGCTTAATAAACATAATACAATACACATATATGTAATGTGTATATAAATATATATATATATAGATATACATATACATATATTCGTATGTACATAATTCTTGCCCGTATCTTTGCCGTTGCCTTTGGATAATGGAGGGCCCTTTTATGCGTGCCATTTGGCCAGATGTTTGCTCTCTGCGTAATTTAACACATAATCGATGAAGACTTAGTCTTTGAACAAAAACTCCGACAAATTAAAAGCGTGTTTACAGCAGCCAACTCGTCGCCACATTATTATTGGGCAGGAGACGCCAAGGGATTTGTTAATTAGATGGTTTTAATAACGTCGCTAAGTTGAACCCGATTCAGCTTTTAAAGGTCTCTTGACTATAAGACCATATAAATTGAATCAAATGTGTGCGATTAATGTCTTGTACAAATATTGCGGCCCCGAAATGTAGGCTACACTTTTGGCCCAAGAGAGATGGTGCATTAGAGATTAAAAACAAAATAAATGTAAATAAAAACCGCTCAATTAACATACAATAATTTCCAATTTAAGTTAATGCTTATCTTTATTTATAAGCCACAGATAAAAATGATAAAATTAAACAAAGTCTAAATGGAAACAAAGTCAGGAGAACAATTATTAATTAAAATTTAAATGTACGCTTTTGAAGTCTGCGGTCTTAAGGAAGTTAAATTGGACAATGTTGGCGTCGGTTTCCGAACAAAACAGAAATATGCTAATCAGAATACCTGTGGTTTCTTGAATTTAATGCGCTGCTCAGAATTGCATGAGCTTATTAAAGCGAATAGAAATTTTAAAGCATTTTCTTGTCTTAGTTTTATTTTTGCAAGCCAAGCGAAATCACCCAAAAGCATTTTAGAAAATGGTAAACTATGGTAACTAAAATGACTTGCTGCTCTGCATACAAAGTGATATAATTTATGTGATTGTCAAGAAAAAGTTCAGCTGTCAAAACGCAAAGTGCTACACAAAAAATATCAAATGCAAGGCAGCTATATGCAAAAAAGAACTCTAAATTTAAGTCTAAATGAGAATTGGCATTCGAATACCCGAAAACCCGAAGCGTAAATTATTGAGATTTATGAGAGTACAAGAATGGGGGCAACGTGCTGCATCGACATTTTATATACATGTATGCCTCGGGGCACGTGGCAGCGATTTGTGTATTAAATTTCGTTTATTGTTTTTTAGATAAGGCCAATAAAGCTATTTGTATTATTATTATTATTATTATTATTATTATGGATGAGGAGTATCTAACGTAATATAATAACTTTATTTCGGACCGCGTATGTGTGGGTGTGTGTATTTTACTTTGGAGAACATCTTGAGTGCTTTGCGAGCAGCAATAAAGAATTTCGTGAGATTCGCTTCTGTGATTTTCTGCGATTGAAGTTAAATACAAACAAGCAAACCATTTCATATATGTATCGTATATATATATTTATATATATATATATATATATATAAGAAAAGTCAATTTGGATTGCGAGCAAGTGAGTTGCTTGGCTGCTGCTCCCCATCATCAGCCAGACAGCCACCAGCTTCATTTTGCTTTAATGTCAGTGAGCCAAGGCAATGCTTTAATTTCCATACCTCTGGAATACACATTGAGTGTTTGCTTTCCTTGACTTTGTCATGAAGTGGAAGTGTGAAAGGAAATTGTCAATTATGTAACTTCAAAGCGTGTCCGGGCTTAGCATTTGACATGCATCTGCCCGAGGACAATGTCGGGCACTATTGTAAATTTGTATATACACATAACAATAGAAACGAGAACTAAATTAATAGTGACCAAACAGAAGGACCGAGGGCATTGAGCAGTAGAAGATCAAACACAATTGAAATTGCTTATAAAACTGATAGTAAAGTGTGCGTTGGCTTATTTGCACAATTACATTACATTAACAAATATTATCAAACAACTTATAGAAACTTCACACTTTAAGTACTAAATTGAGCAGAGTTAGAAATGGACGAGTATGTAAAGAGTACAATTAAATATGCAAATTATATCGCTAAAATGTATCTAATTTCTAATCAGCAAAGAGAAATTGTCAACGGGCAAAAGCCTTAAAACATGTTGTGGCTTTCATTGGAGGGGAAAGGCAAGCTGCCTCATACCGTTAATCACGTTGCCGATTTTAATATATGGCCTAAGCAAGAACTTACCAGTGAGTATACGAATAAATTATGTTCAGATACAGATACAAGAATAAAATACACAATATATAGGAGTACAAGTGCATGTATCTGGTTGTGAATATGGCTTTGTTTTGGATAACAGAATGCATTCCACTTTATCTGACATCAATATTTCCAATTGTATTCTTACCACTTTTTGGCATTATGGTGAGCGGAACAGATATAAAAGTGTATATATATATAATGAATCTATTAACTAATGATGCCACATATATATAATCAAGAGCTCCGAAGCCGTTTGCCATCTGTATTTCGCAGACACTTTGGTTATGTTTCTGGGTGGTCTTTTTATTGCACTGGCCGTCGAATACAGCAATTTGCATCTGCGCATCGCCCTGGGCACAATTCTAATAGTTGGATGCAGTCCACGACGGTGTGAACTGTTCCGACAATACTATCTTGATGCTCTGAGTACTTAATTCACATATTTATTTTATAGCTTGCTTTTGGGTATGGTTTTCGTCACCTGCTTTATATCACTGTGGATATCCAATTCGGCTGCTACGGCTATGATGTGTCCCATTGTTAAGGCCGTTCTGCTTGAAATGAGTTCTGTAAGCCAAATACTTTTAATTTCAGTTATCCTTCCAATCAGTTGTAAGTCCCACGCAGCAAAATATATTTGATGTATATATGACGCAAGAGCAGGAACCAGTTGAGGAGGGCGAGTAAGTATATATATATATATGTAAAAGTATATATAAAGCTATCTCTTTTTCAGTTCACCGCATCTGTCGATGATATCGCTGTCATTTTATTTTGGTATTGCTTATGCTGCCACAATCGGTGGTTGCGGCACACTCATCGGCACCGGCACAAATCTAACATTTAAAGGGCTTTACGAAACGTAACCAATTTCTATTAGTCTATAAAACTACACGTTTTTATATAGCACCTGATATTGTCATGCAGCCGCTTTCCCAACTCCAAGGAGACGTTGGACTTTCCCATATTTATGTTGTATTCGATGCCCCTGGTTGTGATCGTTAATATTGTACTGTTGTACTTATCGTTGCTAGTCACCCACATGGGCATGTTTCGTGCCAATAGCGAGATCGCCCGACAAGTTAAGCGTGGCGCCGACAATAGCGATCTGGTCAAGAAGGTGGTCAAGGAACGCTATCAGGATCTGGGCCCCTGGACCTGCCACGAGATTCAGGTGATCGTGGTCTTTGTATTCATGATTGTCTTACTCTTCACCCGTGAGCCAGGCTTCTTTACAGGATGGGGTAATTTCTTGAATGCCAAGTGAGCGCTACATTTGATTCAGTGTATTTCAATATTTTTGAATCATTTTCCATTTCCAGACATATAGGTTGCTCGGCGGCTGTCATGCTGCCAGTGGCCCTATTGTTTGCCCTACCCACACAGTACTCATTTTGTAAGTACTGTTGTGGTGGACGTAAGTTAATGAATCACAACCCCAAAGGATTTTACCTGATACTCCAATCTACACTGTAGCGCCCTTTACTGGACGCAGCATGGACGCTTGCCTCTCCTGGGTGTATGTACATAGGAACACACCATGGGGCCTGTGCTTTCTGCTGGGTAAGTATTAATTAAAGTTGAAGTTTATAATCACTACCGTTGTCCCTGTTTAGGTGGCGGCTTTGCACTGGCGGAGGGCAGCAAGGTCAGCGGCATGGCCGGAATGCTGGGCAAGGCAATGGCTTTTGTTTCATCGCTGCCAACATTTGCTACTATCGCTATTACCATTTTAATTAGTCTATTCTGCACGGCTTTCAGCTCGAATGTGGCAATTTGCAACATACTTACTCCCATCTTCTGTGAGATGGTAGCTACAGCTAGTTCCAAACAATAAGCCCAATTCTGATGTTTTTTTTCCAAATCTCTACGCAGGCTCTCGCCGTTAAAATACATCCATTGCTGTTGACATTGCCCTCAGCGCTGGCGATTAGCACCGCCTATCATTTGCCGGTCAGCACACCCCCAAATGCTATTATTTGCGGCTATGCTGGCATCAAGACAAAGTACCTCGTAAGTCTGCGAGGTGTTTCTTACCAGATGAGTACTACTTTTAACTTGACCATATTTGTAGGCCGTTGCTGGGATAGTGCCAACAATTTGGTCTTTTCTGTTGCTCTGGCTCAACGCAATGACTTGGGGCCTGGTTGTGTATCCGGACTGCAAATCATTTCCAGACTGGGCTGAGGAGTAAAGTTTTTTTCTTCTGACTCCGAAAATACTACTTAAATTATATGATGTATATCAACTTATAAATGTACGCTGCTTAACATAAAATAGTTATTTCTTAATTGGGAATCAAAACTGAAACTAAGTTTTGTCACTTTTCTCAAGCAGCTTATAGCTTTATACAAAAAATCACATGATACTTAAGCTATATAAAACGCGTAGAACATTCATGTTATATTTTATGGTGGTAACCATTTAACGAGTTAAAACATAAGAGCCCACCAGACAATAGCATTCGTACTTGTATTCTTCCACAGCTTGTCATTGGATAAAAATAGTCAAATTGTCAACGAGCTGCCTAAATAAACAAAATACAACAATTATCCTAATGAACAAACTCTTGCGTGAATTTTTGTAAGGAATAAGTCTGCATCTTATATTTATTTATACAGCTTGAAAATAAGACAAAAAAGTTTGCTTTGTCCCTGTTACAAAATACAAATTTATAATTATCAAACATATTTATATTTATTTATTGCGGGCCTTTTCTTTTTTGTGAATTTTAAAATAGAAGAGTAAGTAAAAAGTAAAATTAAAAAAATAATTTAGAATCAAAAGTTTTGCTTCTGTTCGTTTTCTTAGCAAAGCTAAAAAACCAGTTATCGAAAGTCTTCAGTCATGCTGCAAGTTTCATTGGAAGGGAAAGGTGTCCATTCTCGTCCCTGTTAGCGTCGCCGATATTAATTCATGGCATTAGGAATAATGCACCAGCGAGTAAAGCAACTAAGTCAGTTAATTGGACTGGTTTATAATATACATGTATCTGGTTGTGGTCATGGCCTTCTTCTGGATAGCTGAATGTATATCACTTTATGTGACATCGATGCTTCCGGTTGTATTTCTGCATTATTGTGAGTAACCGTAATTTATGATGTTTGGCTTTATTCTGGGATTCCTTTCGCCAGAGTTCGGCAAGGGCTACCCAATTATTTTTCACAGATACTCTGGTCTTGTTTGTGGGGGGTCTCATAATGGCGATGGCTATTGAATTCAGCAGTCTGCACAAGCGTATTGCCCTGGGCACAATTCTGTTGATTGGCTGCAGCCCGCGACGGTAGGAATGAAGTTTAAGAAACCATACAAATAGTATGTTAGCATCATTATTTTAGGTTGCAATTTGGACTAATATTGTTAACCAGCTTCTTATTGATGTGTATGTCAAATACAGGTGCTGCAGCCATGATGTGCCCCATTGTTAAGGCTGTGCTCCTGTAAGTCAACTGCACACAATTTCAACTATTGTCCTACTTAAGCTGAGTTACAGGAAAACATTTTACACACATATATGACACAAGGGGAGGAACCATTTGAGGGGGGCAAGTGAGTACCATTCGTATCCTATCTAAATGTGAGTTTATAAATAATACTGTTTTATTTACCAGTCCACCTCATCCATCGAAAATATCTATGGTATTCTATTTTGGTGTTGCTTATGCTGCCACAATCGGTGGTTGTGCCACACTGATTGGCACTGGCACGAATCTAGTATTTAAGGGTATTTACGAAACGTAAACAATTATTTGGTTCTATTTAAATAATCTTCTTATTTGACCTTTTGACAGTCGCTTTCCAAATGCCAAGGAAAGTGGGGACTTTCCAATTTTTATGGCATATACGCTTCCAATAGTAACTTGGCGTTGCTGTTCCTAAGTTTACAGATTACACACATGGGGCTATTGCGAGATAAAAGTAAGACCGGCTTTGAGGTAAGACGGGGCAACGAAAATAAGGTGGTGGCGAAGAACATAATCTCGGAACGTTACAGACAATTGGGTCGCATAACATGCCATGAAATTCAGGTTTTAATAGTATTCTCATTTATGATTGTCGGACTTGTTAGTCGTCATAAAGGGCTGGGCAGATATCATCAGTGCCAAGCAAGCGCACTTTTTGTTTTTTCTTTTGATTGCATCTGCATTTAAGATTCTTTGCATATAATTATTAAATATTATATTCTTTGAAAAATAAGCTCTTCAGTGCCTGTAATTTTGTCATGCTTCGTTTTGTTTTCCCTGCCCACACAGTACACGTGTTTTAAGTATTGCTGTGGTGGTCGTAAGTTAACGTATTTTTGCCAATATCTTGTTACTAACGAGCTGCAATAGTGTTAATTGCTTTCAGCGCCATTTAATGGCAGAACCTTAGACGCTTGCCTATCCGGGTGTATATACACAATAATATTCCTTGGGGTCTCTTGTTTCTAATTGGTAAGTTTCCATTAAGTTTCCATTTACTTTTATATTGAATGAATAATGTACTTGCTGCTAAGGTGGTGGCTTTACACTAGCAGAAGGCAGCATTGTCAGCGCCATGGCCAAAATGATTGGCCAATCAATGGGTTTTATTGCATCGTGTCCACAATTTCTAGTTGTGGGCATATTTAGCGCCATCAGTATATGTGCCAGCTCCAATGTGGCCACAAGCAACATCGCGCCATCTGTGAGATGGTAATAAAATGTCTTAATATTTCTATTATGATTAATAATATACCTCGCAATATCTAAGCCGTTCTTTTTCCACAGGCAATCGCTGTTAAATTTCATCCACTCCTGCTAACGCTGCCCTCAGCTCTGGCGATGAGCAGCTATTGTATGCGGGCATCAAGACAAAGTACCTGGTATGGTGTTTTTTACCAGATGCGTATTGCTTTTATATTCACCATAATTTTAGGCCTTTGCTGGTATATTGCCAACATTTTGGGCTTTTATCCTGCTGTGGCTGTATCCGGGCTGCAGAGAATTTCCTCACTGGGCTCTGGATTCCGATTCGAAAGCTCTGACAAGCATAATTCACTAACATTCAGCTAACAAATACAACGACAAAAGGAGCTCAACATTCCAAATTTTTAGCATCATAAATTCATATGTTGTCTATTTGTCAAAATATATTTCTTATGCGCATCAATCCATTAAAATGTTTTCAAATAAAATTCAAAGTAAATCAACATCATCTCAGCACTCTTTCTAAAGTAACCAATCAAAACAAATTCAATTTGGTAGCTTGTTTGTGGGTGAGTAAATATAAATATAAACAATATACGTTCAGCACAAGAATCTTAAGAATATAGATATTTACTTTCAATTAATATGGACAAATTCAAGACGAGCCAATGATACACACACCATAGAAAGCTGTAAACTTGTTTTATTGGCACTTCTCTGCTGTATACTGGCACTGCTCGGCAAGGAGCAATGGACAAGGCAGGCAGGCAGGAGTTTACTTTAACAAGGATATTTCGCCGCACAATCTACTTGGCAATTACTTGGCTTGGCAGGTGGTCTTTGCGGGTGAGTTTCGTCGCAGTTTGGCAAATGTTATATATACTTTCTTATATATCACAATACATAATTTACGCACAATTTGTGGCAATCAAAAACTATGCTAAAGTTATTCAAAAGCACAAAGCTTCGGCCAACAAAAGTGTCTCAGAATAACTTTCGTATTTTGTCAGCGTATTGGCTGTGTTGGGCGGTGGGTGCTACGCCAGAGGCGTTCATAAGGGCATAAACTCACTTAAGGGCATTTTGGTCGAAGGAAAACAGAACTTTATGCAAACACAGCAAAAAGTCGCATACTAGAAGCCTCTTGACGTTTAGCTCTCGTCTTGTCTTGCGCTCATTCACAGAAACTGCCTCTGTAATATTTTGCTCTGAGGTTTCATTCAATGCGTATGAAAGGCTCTAGGCCGCAAGTCCTAGTTTGAATTGTGAGATTTCATTTCTGGCCCAATGGTGAATGATATCAAGTGCACAAAGGCGCATAAAGCGTACAAAAATCTCAAATACAAACACAAACACAGACACAGTGAAGACTCCTTGTAATATTCATGCATACAATGTATGTCCCCATGTACATGTATGTATATCCCAAAACGCACACATACAAGCGAGTTTGCTTACATGAATGCGAAAAGCAGCGAAGCAGAAATGTGATAAAAACACGTCTGGGGAAGTGGCCGAAAATACCAAACAAAATAAGAGCAAAAGGCATACGTAGAAAAAAACACGCTTCCTACACTGATTACCGTGAAGGATGCGACGCGACAGTAGTTCATCAACAACAGCAAGGACGAAGACGACAGGACGACGCCGCCGCCGCCGTCGGTGGCAGTTCTCCCAAAGCCGCCAAATGTGGTTGTTGATGGTCTCAATAAGGACAATGGCCACAGTCGCAAGTCTCAATACTTGTGAGCCAGTTTGTCTAGAATGATCTGAGCATGGAACGCATGACAGACAAGTGACGGCAAGCAACATCAAAATAATAAAAAATAAAATGAAAATAAAAAAGGGCATAAAGCCAAAGAAAGGTTTTAAAAAGTTGTTTGAGTGAGAAATAAGAAAAGAATAGATATAATTATAATAACAATATAATACAAATAATATATAATGTATAATCTTAACCTTAACCTTAAGGACTTTAGAGAGATAAGATGGGAATAAAGTACAGATAAATAAAAAAAAATGAAAAGGGACAGCGTTGTTAATAGGAATAGTTGATACACGCATTTCGTATATGGGGGAAAGTAATTTAATTTAAAAATAAATGAAAAGAAAAGTGAGCATGAAACACTCGAGCAACAAGCGAACAACATGAAAGCCTTGATACGAAGATTAATATTGAACTGAAAGGGGATAAACATATGAAATGTAATTAAACGAAGTAGCGCAAAAGATTTCGGTCGCCTTGAGAAATTTGAAATGTTTTCTTAACTCATTTTGTATCACTGTAGGCCGTAGGCCTTGGCGCAACTAATGATGTTGCCAACGTATTTGTGCACTCGCCTGAAACTGTTAATGGTTGTGTAAGTGTGCGTGAAGCTACTTACTGCTGTAATAATTGTTGTCGGAATAACCGTATTTGCCGGCTGTCCTGCCGCCGCCAGCCATCTTATTGTATTGCTTTGTTCCGTTGGCGCGTGTTGTTAATGCAACTTCCGGTCAATCAAACTGTGGCCCACAAAAGGATCAAGTATTCAAAGGAACGCAACTCAAATCTGCTTATGTTTATATTTATGTTTATGTTTACGTTTATGTTATGCGCTGTGGAATAGAAAGAAGAAACAACAAATATCAGCATTAAATGAATGTTACAAGCACATACATAAGCTACTCGAGTCTGCTTGTGTATGTATGTAGATGTTTGTGTGAGTTCAATTACAGCACATAAAATCACAGCATGAAACGCCAGCAGGCGGGCTCGCGGAAATTGCAAAAGTCACGTTACGTATACGCAGCGTCAGCCGCGTTTTAATATTGCCACTCATCGACACACACACAGTCACATATTTGACGACCTTGCTGTGTAATTATGCATGTAATTAATATGCATGTACCTATATAATATTAACAAAATTGCTACCACACACAGAGCGTTGCAGGAGCAGCAAGCTTCACGCAAATGGTGCAGGAGAGAGCAACAATAAATTTCGTTCAATTTGCGTAATTAGGGTAAGTAGCTTTGGCTGTTTAGTGCCTGAGCGTGCTTGACAAACCTCCAACCTCATACCCAAAGTCTTTGTGGCTTATACAAGTTTTGAGTACTGCATTTGTACACAACAGCATTGCCAGTGCCTTCAGGCGTTGCAATTTTAATGAGTGACAGCTTTGCATGTGCAATAGAACCACATTCAAATTGCATTCTGTCACACGTGTTTTTTCAACTAAAGTGTAGGCTTAAATATGTTTACCTGCACTTTTTCGAATTGTCTAGCAAATTACTCAACAAGTTTTTTCAGCGCAATCATTGTGTGGAAGAAACTATTTAGCTTAATATTTTGAGAAATCAATTCACAATTCAAATCGAATATATTATCACGGAATTAAATATAAAATAATATCTCACTTTAGACTAGCTACACATTTTGCATATTATCACAATTTATTATTATGTGAATGTATTTTATTGCTCTTTGACATTTAAATTGAGCTACAATTCAAATCATATTGCCTAGTTTTCTATGCTCAATTAACTATTAACTAATTAATTAAAAGCGTTTCCCAAGTTTTACCAAAAATTAACTATGCGGCCAAAATCTGTATCAACAGATTATTTATAACTGCCAAGTATTTAAATATTTTCCTCTTCAATGTTGGGAGGTGACAGTGACAAAGTTTCCAAGTTCTTGCATAAATCACTTGGAAAGTTTTGCTATGAACATTAATTGCTCATATTAAACAGATTTATTACCGTTTGGGTATACCAACAAAAGTTGTTCAAAACTTTAATTTAAAATAGTATTATAAACCAGCTAGCTGATTGAGCATACTTATCAAAGTAACCAATTTGATTGCAGCTCACAGTATATAAATATTGGTAATTTGTAAATTTTGCACGTATTCGAAGAAACTCAATTACACGCACAAGACGTAAATACTTCTTGCACCTTGAAATTTATACATACATATATAATGTATATACATATATTTGCCGGCATACCAGCAAATTCTAATAAAAGTTTATCCTTCCATATGTGTGGGGATTTTCACACACTTGACAGCTTGACTCTTGGCAAAAAAAAAGGATAAGAAAGCAATAAGAAATTCCTTGCGAATTGGAAAGTATAGAAAATGTTTAATAAATCTTCAACTACCTATCGAAACTTGAGAGATAAAATAATGTTGTAATAACGTGAAAATATTTTTGCTTTCATATATTGAACAACAATTTTATTTATTTTTTTTGTCGGCTGTCATTTGGGAACATCAGTAAGTAAAATTAATCTGTGCTATTTATCCAATCATTACCTTGCATATTTTCCAAAAATAAGAAAAAAAAAAGAATGTAAGTGACAAAGTGGAATTGTTTGATTAAGGCACAAGTAAAAATCGCTGCCCAAAACTTCTTAAAAACATTATGAGAACTTTTTGCCACGCGCCTCGCATGCCAATGTCAAACTGGGAATGCAGGCAGCTGTACTGTGGTTGGACTCGTGGGCAGGTCCCATGCTCGGGGGCTGTGCTCGTATGATGCCTACCAGTGGGTTCAATCTGCTCCACTTAGTTGTCAACGCTGACGGGTCCTTGAGGCCAGTTAAAGCAACGCAGAACAGCGCACACACGCCCGACTGCCCACACTTCAAGTTTTCTCGAGCTCTCTGCTGTTTTCGGCCTTTTGGCCATAACATATTTTTGTGTGTGTGTTTTTTCTCTTTTTGTTCTGGGCACATGTCAGATGTGCTCAACCTGAATGCGGTTGAGGTGTGTGTGATCGATGCAAAGTGTCGACATGTGTTGAACACAGCACAGCATTATATACTCAACAGACACACAAGTGCTCGGTGTGCTTGGCAGTGTGGGTCGAGAGTTACAGAGATGATTTTATTGTCGAATGGCTGGTCTACCACTTACATTCCCATATAACGCCCAAGTGGTGTATGATAAAAACAAAAAGAGAAAATAACACTAAACTTGTCGCCACTATGTTTTGTCTATTTCAGCTCGGATTGGCTATGAAGTGTGTGAGTGTCTGCGTGTGTGTGTGTATCTGCATGGCGACAACATCCTCATCCTCATTTCGATTCACATTTATTTCCTTGGGCCTGGCATTTGCGCACGAGTGGCCCATTGCCGAAATTATTTCAATGGCATAAATTTTCCATTTGACTTTAAATTTGCGTGCTTGGCCCGCAACTCGGTACCCGGTTACGGTGACAGCATTTCCACAGAAGCTCAACCTGCCATCAGCGCAAAAACATGCAAAAACAATGCATCAATTTAAAGTCTCACGTTTCCACTCAAGTTTGTCATCTGCAGCGATTCCCTGTGATTGCCCTAATTGTTAGTCAAGTCAGTCGCGCAAACGCTACAAAAAATGGTCCACACACACACACACACACACACACACACTAGATACACACACACACTAGATACACATTTAGACCTACAAATATACACTTAAAATATAGAAGGATGTTAGTCGATGTGCTAATGGTTTCTGAAGCTATAAATTGATTTTATTGGCTATAAGCAATTAATCAAAATATATTGGTAGGCATATTAATCATGTCCTTTTCATTTGCACGATTATTTGATCTTAATGAAATCTTTTTTTTACTTAAAGAACCAGTTAAAACTAATTTTTTTAAATAATTTTTTGTTTATCTGTTGAAAATTGTGTGGCCGGATGTCTATTAAACAGTTTCCGCACTCTAGTTACATATTTAAGCATAATTACTCTCTGAGCTGGCCAAAATGCTCAAAGAGTTCACCATCAACTTGGTGCTCAGACTGAGCCCAGTTGAGTTGGTTATAAGTAGCAATGATAAACGCCAGTTTTAATACTTTCATACATCTATTTGCTTGACATATTTGTAGCTCATCCCATTAAAAATAATCCTTTATATACACAGGGGATTTTAAGCTTTTCCAGCTGTCAGTTTGGATTAATGTCCGACTTAAGAGTACGGGAACTTATTAATTGCTCATGTGTGAAATCGCTGTGAGGCAAAGTGGCATTTTGTTGTTTGTGCTTGTGAAAAGCACTAAATCAACTATAAACTCTAGGTGGACTAGCTTTTTACTATCGTATAAAGATGAAAGTAATGTCGGAAACTTAATGCATTAAGTGCAGTCCACACTGCTCATAAAAGCGTGGAGTATACGCAGAGTATAATTTTGTACCGCATTTAAGGAATAAAGCTTGCAAAAGCTGACAAAATATAAAGTACCATTTATAAAATAGGAAGTATTGAATTTTGTCCACATAGGAAACATTCAATTCCGCAGTCATATCAAAGTAATATTTGGATAATATATCTGATTTATTACTATAGATCAACTGATCTCAAGAGTGTCAATCTTTTATGTTGGGGTGGGATTTCCCCCATTTTTAAGGTGAATCATAAAAAACAGAAACATTTCATCGCATATTATGCAAATGCGACGTCATAAAATAACGCTAAATGTTTTAAAATATTCCTCAAGTCTGGCGTTGATGGTATTATGTAAAATTTTTTAAGGGGAGTCCGCGACCTCACCAAAATGTGAAAATAAGAATACAAAACGTTATTTAAAGTCCTCAACCTGAACCTAAACGTGCATCGAAAAGCAAAAAGTATATTTGGAGAGGGAGATTGATGTGGCCGTAATGAAAACTCAACAAATGCGTTAGGGTGACTGATTGACTTAAAAATAAGGCTGCAATCCACACCGAACATGTACATATGTTTTAAGCCCGAGGGCAGCTAAAAGGGTTGATATCTCATTACTTTATATGTGTATCCTATTTATTTACATATACAAAACCAAATATTTACATAATGCAATAAGTATTTGCCATTTCTTTGAAAAGAAATCATAGCAACTCTTCAGAATTATTTGATGAGCCTGCCTTAATTTGGGATCTTTTTCGCCCGAAGCTCGCGAGACCTTCATAAGAACAAACCGAATTGGCTTTGGCTGTTTATTAATACTGATTTCAAATAAAAATCATATAATGTTGGACTGAATGACTGATTTATGGTAAATGTGTGCATACTATGGAACGATAAGCATGATGTGGAAAGTGCCACCCTTTGTTATTTGTAAACAGCTTTTTACAATCCTTTTCAGCCTACGGCGTGACAACATCATACAATAAAAACAACGTTAATGAGGAAAAAAAAGAGAATGAAAATAATATAATGAAAAAATGGCACTTTGATATCTGTAAAGGACAGGTTGTAGGTCGTTTTAGCATAGGCGCATTTATTTATGTGCTGGCAGCTGGCAGGCTTAGAGCAGCGACATAATTGATTTATACGCCATTTGTGCATATGGACCTGATAACCGATGTCGGCCTAAGGCCAACACTTACCCCGTTCCGTTGTGGGTTTAAATCTTGATGAGCTTTTGTCGTCTGGTCGGCATTAAATGCTTAATTAATGCTACAATTGAAATAAACTGCCAACAGTTGATCAATATGGCCACAAATCTGCACGCAGTCTTATCAGGATGATGGTGGTGGGCTTCCTTTGTGTGGCTGCCTTTGTTCGCCTCTAGCGTTGGGCCAGGGCTAAGGCAGTGGCCAAGATAAACACAAAAATCAGGCGACACAAAAGCGCGCGAAATCACACAGCCAATTCACGCATACACACGCTCACTAATACAGTAATACACACACACGCACACGCACACACACACACACACACACAGGGATAGGACCACGAATTGAACCCGGTCGAAGCACTTTAATGTGGCGCCAAATGATGCCGCGTCCACGTCGTTGTCGTCGTCTGGCTTGTTGTCAGGATCTGTTCGATGCGCGACCGTCGCAGCTTCGTCTGTGCCATCTAACGCTATTTGTTGTACTGATTGCCCAGTGCTGGCTGCCAGATGAATGAACCAAAAAATTGCCAAACAACTTCGCATTGTCGGTGAAAGATGTGAAAAGTTTTTGCGCGCTCCCCCCGTGGACCATATACAGAAAACAACATGAACGCACAACGCTTGAAGCTTTTACTATACTCCGAGCTTTTGGGGTGTTCTTCTGACAACCCCCATCCGCAAAAGCTTTGCGCTTAGTGGTGTGCTAAAAGTCCAAGTGCTGTGGCAGTTGGTATTCGTTTTAAAATCTATATATGAATCTGAAATATATATATACTATAATTATAATATTAATGAAGTATTAAAGTATTAATATCTGAAAGCAATTAGCTTAATAGCTGCAAGAAAAAAAAAAAACAAAGTTTTTGATTGCTTTTATTTGCAGTTAAGTCTGTTATTAAGTTACTGCATTTTATTTAAAGCACTTAATCTAAAACTTGATATTTTTTATTATAAAGATTATTTTTTGTTTCCAATTTAAGTGGTTACTATGAACCTATTTAATAAAAAAATATATACGATGAATAAAATCAAATCAAAGAAGGGCTTGCTTATTACCAAACGTAAAGCTTCTATTCATTGGCATAGCTAATTAATTAATATGAAAAGTTATTCTTATATGTATATAAAAGAACTAATTAGACGAATAATTCGCTTATTGATTGCGTCTTTGGGGTTCAATAGAAAACTCTGACGTCGATTTCATTCAGTTATTCTCAACACTTGATGCGCAGGAACATAATGTATACATATGTTGGGGATTATCAGTAACTGATTTGCTAAACAAGGCAGATGTTTTAATTGAATTTTCAGTGCTATAGTTCAAAATAGTTGGCACAGCGCACAGCAGAGATTAGAATAATGCTGATGTGTTGGGGTGAAAAAAGAGATGAAGTCATCATTTTATATAGATCAGAGGCGTTGTAAGCGAATCCTATATATATACTCATTTAGATGACTGGACACATTATCTGTGTGAGTCGAAGTGAAATTCTAAAGCTAACCAAATAAATAGATTGTATAAGTTTTACTGTATGTATGTATATTACTTTATTAAATATTTAAAATTAATAATTACAAAATATATTATCATTATGTATTACATATTTTTGTGGATTTGCAAGGGGGATAGGGTTTTTGGGTGGGGTTTTGGGGGGTTTGGGGCGTGTTTTGTATTCTGCAGAAGCACAACTTAAAAATATCACACACAAATACCACGCAAGAAAAGAATCCAACAAACTTAGCGACGTCTTTGCCCAAATCTTCTCCAAGCTTAAGTTTCCCATCGTTCTCCAGATTTGCGCACTGTCAAGAAAATGGATTCGAGTCTAGCATCTATGGACACTCCTTATCGCTGATCTTTTGAAAGTCTAAGCAAGGTATGAATATAATTATATGGTGAATATAAATATATATGTATATATATATATACATATCTGTATATTCGATTTAAACTCACTTGCATTCTGCAGGCAATTCTCCGTCTTCATTATGCAAACATTGCGATAGGTTTTAGTGGTGCCTTTGTCATCCGCAGCGCATATGTATTTGTTCTCCTGCGTATCACACTCCATGGCACACTTCACATTGGGATCGGGCAGGCTGAGGCACTGCACCAGAGTCAGCGCATACAACGTTACTATAAATAGAAACAACAATATGTATGTGGTGAGTTAGTTATTTAAGCGGGAGGCGTGCAAAATAATTCTGTGCCTGGCAACATGCCCTGCATATTAACTAAATGGCGACCGATGATCAATCCAACCCAATATGATATCACCAATTGCAACAACAACCAGCAACTGAACACTCTCAATCTGTATAGTCCATCGTTCAAATCGTACGCCCATCGTTTCTAGACGCCAGCGTGTCTGGCATGTCATTGGCCGGCCGGAAAGTTTTATTATAATACTTGAACCAGGCACAGCCGTCACTCGTTCGTTGCTGGTGGGCATTAAACTGGTGGACTGGTGGACTGGGTATTGACAACGTAGGCAATTACCATATAATTAATACAATGAAAACAAAACTACAATACAAAACTTTCCTAAAACATATACATTAGTAAATGCAGTTCATTGAGAAATATTATTGGGGGGAAATATTGAAAATTATTTCTTTTCTTTTAGCACGCGAAGCAAATTAATTTTCTTTTTTGTTTTGGAAATTTATGTATTTTGTTTATATACTACTGCATATATTCAGTGTCAATAATTAAATAGGTCAGTTCTGTTGTTTGTTGATTTGCAAATTAAAATCTCATCTATATAGTATTTATTGAGTGCAAAAAATTGTTATTGTACACAAATATGTGAATCACAGCACTAAGCAATCAACATTTATGGGACAGAAAACAAAATACTTTAATTTGGTTTTTTTGATTGATTTTTCTGACTAAACATTTTGTACTTTAAATTTAAATTAAATATATTCCATATTTTGCAAATTAATGTAGCACCAAAAACAGGCGCGAACTGCCAATTCTGGGAATTCATAAATAAAATCTGTTGGTGAGATACATTTTACCAGGAAATTTATAGAAAACAAGTTCTGATAAATATAAAGAAAGCTTATTCAATTTTGTATAATATAATGTGTACGTACATGCCAAGAATACTGCAAACAGCTTCATTTCGTTGTAATGTAAATTCAATATGTGGGTTTTTTTGCGTTGTGTCTATAAAAATTTGTTCGCTGTGATCTATCACACCAACAACTAAAAACTCGGTCGCACAATTATTTATTTATATTTATTGAAAATGCGATGCGTGAACTTTGCGGGTCAGAATCGTGTAGTAATTATTTCGTTGATCAAATTTTTACACGATTACTATGCACATTTGTTGTGTGTATACATATGTTTGTACTGTATAAGCATTTATGTTGTGCTATATATTATTTGTGTAAGATTGCGGCTTGTCACTGAACTTCAGACACGTGTATAGCTATATGTATACGAACATATATGTATATATATATATATAGAGTATATATGTATATATATATATATGAGTTTTGATTTAAAATTGATTGTTGTTGTACACGCGACACATTCGCTCGCTGCTACAAGTATTCGCGCACTGGATTCCGATTCCGATTACACTCTCGGCGTGGCCGCAACAGCACGCGTCCAAATGCGAACTGAAACTAAAGCGCCAAGCGCAAAGATATCCTCCAGCGAGCGGGTAGAGTGAGCTCTGACTATCGACTCTTGGATTGACTGATGAGACTGAGACTGGACGCTGGATGCGATGCTGTTGTGCTGGGATTGTCTCGCCGATTGCTGCTGCTGCTGCTGCTGTCTGCCGGCCGCTGTTAGATACAGATACAGATAACTCAAATAAGTATGTGTACATACACACACACACACACACACGCACATGCACAAACACACACAACAACAACAAGAACAAGAAGAGCACGTTTGAATTTTCAGTTTCGAGTTTGGGGTTCAATAATCAATCAAAATCAGTGGACTGCCCAACTGACTGACTGACTAACTGACTAAATGACTGGTTGAATGGTTGACTGACTAACTGATTGGCTGGCTGGATGGCTGGCTGGCTGGCTGGATATCTGGCTGGCTATCTTGGCTTTGCCTTTGGCTTTGGGCTGCCTCGTCGTAGCGCACACGAATGATGTGCGACCACACAGTGTCTGTTAGTTTTATAGAATTTTTTCCATGCTAAAATTGATTTACGCTCGTGTCGTCGTCTTCAGTTTTCTTTTCGTTTGCTTTGTACATTTTGCCTTTATTTTATTTTACTTTATTTATTGTTGTTGCTGCTGCTGTTGTTTTTTCATCTCTTTTGTGTGTGTGTGTGTGTGAGTGTGTGTGAGTGTATGTACTGTGTGCTGTTAGCTTGGCTGGTACATCGGCTCCGTCGGCTGGTCGTTTGGTCTGTCGATCGATCGGTCGTTTGATCGCTTGATCGATAGCTCTGTAGGCGGGTCACGCGTCACGTTGTCCAGCCCCTTGGTTCTCTTATATATATATATATGTATATATATGTATGAATTATTTATGTATTTTATGCAGTCAGTCGTCACATCTGAAATTTTTGAGATTTTTTTCTCGTCGCTTTTTTTTTTTGCTAAAAATTATGCTCCGCTTTTTCGTTAATTGGTTCACGTTCACGTTTCGCTTGATACTGTTCGGGCAGACTGCTGCTGCGGTCGCCGCTCGACATCTTTCAAATTTCGTCAGAAAAGAAATATTTAAAATTGTTTTATTTTCAAATTTTTGTTGTTCGGCTTTTGGCGACGGCCACGAGTTCACTCCACTCAACATCAGCGTCGTCTATGAATTTCCTTTGATGATCAAATATTTCTTCCATTAAATGTATGTGCAGATCGTTATTTATGGCAGAACGACGCATTTGAATTTTGATTTAGATTCACGTTAATGGTGTGTCTGCTCATGCCTTTTTTTCCATTTTGCTTATCAGCTTACTTATACTTATGGACCATACATATATAATGATTATCTCATAATTCATTTAACGAACTGAATTGTTTTACGTATTATCAAAATACTCTGACTAATCGTGGTTTTTCCAGGGATTACACGGCTTATGCAAAATGTAAACAATCAACACATTTGTTTAAATGCTCAAGAATGGGTTTGTGATAGATCCATTATTTTTGGCAGGGTAAGTTATTAAATAATATATATAGCTGAAAGTCCAAATCCTCAGAGACCCAATAAAATAAAGGAGCAGCGTACTTTTTCGGTTTTACGCTAGTGCGCCTAAGGCAAGTCTACCAAGAAGGTGATTTTTATTGGAAAAACATGTGCGTAGAGTAGGAAAAAATTCGTGTAATATAATCAAGTTAATAAATATTAATTTTAAAATTTTCTACTTAGGAGGTTGTTGAATAGTATAAACATCAATTTATCAATCTAGTGTAATTGATAAGTGGAGAATACAAAATTTTTGACTATGTGGAAGAAGAAAATACCACATTAAAATATTCTATAACATTAATAATCGATATAAAAAAAAAACTATCAATAGTTGAAAAGATTTCTAAAATTGTCTAGGTCTGTAAGAGGAGCGCCACGCCCGCCAGCGTCCATTTGCCTGGCTTATCTTTGGTCTTCAAATTGAAGGTCCACACGTAGGTCGGACCACGGGTGCGTGTCTTATAAACGGGGCATTCGTACATGTTTCTCAAGTCCTGCTTGTCTTGGGTAATGGCCTGCAAAATAAATAATCAAACAAGAATGGCAACAAGATAGAAACGTGCGAGTTTTAAAATAGTAGATTTATGCAAACATGCGCCGCACTTTAGACGCCACAGATTCGTACCAAATTCAAAGTTATTCATCAGAATTCGCTTTGGCATTATTTGCATTACAAACAACAAAAAAAAGAAACTCACTCGAATATTGATCACTGGCATTGATGGATAAAGTTCTTTGAGACGTGATTCCATAATAATACCCTGCTGTATATCCCATCTGGCGCCCTCCATATAGATGCCATGCACACAGCAGCCGTCCCGCGGTGCCGTACTGTAATTAAACATATACATTTATATATATACATATATCTATATATATATATATATTTATGCAATTTATATCAATAATCTTCGATTGTTGTCTAAGCTGGCTAGCTGGTTAGTGAGGCGTCTGAGTCTCGGCTATTGTTTGCTTTAAAGTGACGCCAAATCGAATCGTGCGACGATTTGTCGTCCATCGCGAGAAACTGGGCGCCACTTAATAAGCAATAAGCAATCAGGAATTAAGAATCAATGATCAAGCATCAACGAATAGACAATTGTTAATTGTATGCCATTAATAATTGCTATTTATAGACACACTTGTATACATATGTATGTATTTATGAGTTGTTTTAAATTTAGCTTCCATGAAATAGCATTGCGGCTATTATTAGACGCAGCTTGAAGCCGTTGGCCGTTGAGCCGCTGCTTACACTATCTTTCAGTGTGTAAGCATTGACGCAAGTCATGCGGATTTACATAGCTATTACTACTAGTTGATATGACAAAAAGTGCTGGTCGCGTGTCATGTTTGGTTTGGCGTGACACGAGCACGAACACGAACCCGAACACGCACGACTTGAGCTACTAAAAAATAGGACTAAGGATGACCTAACAACATAAGTTGAATGCTACACACAATATGAATATAATGGCAGTGTTTTTTTTTAAACCTGTTCTTTTTTTGCTGTTAACAAATGATTAATCCCAATTGGCTTTGAGTCAGACAGCTTAAAAAATAAATATAATAGTCGATATTTTTCGAATCCGGTCTCGGTCAGATATTTAAGCAATAAGTGAATTTCATACAAGTGCTAATTATTATTTATATTAAACAAATATAAATAAATATTTCGTATTTATAGTTAGCTATTAATCATTTTCCGCACACTTCTGTGTCTGAAATGATTATGTGTATGCGTGTGTGTGTGTGCACATATGCCACATAATTGGGTTGTCTGTGCTGCGCAGCTAGCTGTTTTCGAGTCAGATAAGCTACGGGAATATAGACTAATATAATATAATATAATATAATAAAATAATGCATGCCTTCGTTTGCTTTGCTCAATATTAAATACTGACAAATAGCTGACAATATTAAAGCGGCACAATTTAAAACAACGGGTTGAAAATCACTATTCGCAAGTGTATAGATATTTTTTTTGTGTGTAGTTTGGGGTCAACGCCAAAAGTGAATTAAAATTGCGTTTTAAATTCGTTTGCAGTCGGCTCACTTACGTAAATTCCTCCTTCTGCTTCTTAGTCACGTCACACTGCAGGCACATCTTGTCCAGCGGCAGCTCGTTGCGTCGCGCCGTGCTCTGCATGATGGCTGTTAGCAGCGATTGGGGGTTAAAGAAGCCCGCCAGCCAGACGCAGGAGGGTAGCTGCACCGGCGACAACACAAAAATAAACAAAAAAGAAACGAAACGAAACATAAATGTTTGCACAAACTGGTTGGTCTGGTTGGTTGCAGCATACCACAAAATCGGTGGACCAAGTTTCCAACTCTCGCAGTCGCAGACACAAATCGATGAACCAATTGTTGAGACCCAGCAGCGAGGGATAGGCACGTTGTGCCCATATCGGCGGCACTTGATCCAGAAACAATGAATTCTCAAGCACCTCCATATCCGATGTGATGGTCAATTCACCCTTCAAGCCCAGGTCGAGCTCCTTCAGGCTGCGTTTCATTTCGCTGGTTAGGTAATTCATGCGTTCGCATTCCTGAAACGCCACAATCACATATGGCGTACGCTCCTCGACTTTGTTCATAATCTCTACCATGTTAAACTCCTCCGGCAGCTTCTCAATGATCTCATCCACAATTTGCTTAACTTTGTCCTCGCGTGTAACTGTGGCACCACCTCCTGCACCCGCATCTCTTGGCTGCATTTCGAAAACGGTGCGGAAGATGATTTCCGCTCGTGTGGTGAGGAAACCGACCTCCGCATTGGGATGCAGTCCATATAGATAGGGAGACTCGGCTGGCATCATATCATCCACATACGTGTGATAGCCCACATAGTCGGTGTTGGGCGGAGCGGGAAACGAGGGTGCCAAATACAGCTCGCCATCGACCAGATCCGGTTGCATATACTCCTCCAAATATGTAATGCACAAGCGTCTGTCCCAGTCATCGGTTATATGACCGCCATACATGATCTCACCAAACAGATAACGCAAGTCCTCCCAAGGCACTTTGGCATTCGCCTCCAAATAGTTATAAAGCACCGAAACGCTTATATTCAAGTCGCCCACGTTGAAGGGATAGATTTTGTTCCAACCTTGTGGACCAAATTTGCGTCGCTCAGCGACTACAGCGTGAAAGTAGCACAAGGAGAAGAGTATGGCTTTAAATTCAGCTTCCTTGCCAGACATTTCCAGAGTTTCCTGTGTAAAATTATCCAATGCCTTGTGCAGGTTGGCCAACATGCCTGTTGGCGGCTCATTCGTGATTTTTATTGATGACTCCAAGATGCCCTAAAAATAAAAATCAAGTGAAAGAACTGTAATGCTTCACACCAGAGAAGATTCTTCGTTTACTAAATTAAGTAATGATTTGTTGACAACTCTTAATTCTGGTTAACCAATCAATTTGATTGCTACAATCACCTGTGGTATGATATGTGCCGATGGCGTTGAGGCCGGCTCCGCGCTCAGGAACATACGATAATCCGAATGTGAGCCATCTGCGTAGTGCTCCAACTTCTTCTCCAGTACTGGCAGCCATTTGCGCACCAAATGGATGTTCTGTAGGACGACCCAGTGTCCATTTTTAGCCGCCGTATCCATAGCTGTTTCCGCAATTGATTCCTGGCCTTGACCCAAGGACACATTGTGAAAGTTGCCCAGATCCAAGGAGAAACCCAACTGTTTGCCCAGGGCTTCAACATCCTTTAGGGGATTCACGCCAGGCGAGAGTATAAAGAAAATGGGCGTCGAAGGGCTAGCTTCCTCGTAGGACTTGGCGAATTCCATGGCACGATTCTCAACATATTTCGAGCCCAGTTTCTCCTCAATAAAGTCACTGCAAAGCGACATTTTTAATCTTAACTATTGAAGATCACTATTTTTGAAACTCACGCAAGGGCATAGGTCATGCGATCGGGTCTCAGGGCTCTGATCATGCAGAGGCGCTGCAATGCGGTTTTATTCTTCCATTCCTGTGGAAATTTCTCCTTCTCCGGCAGCTCCGACTCCACGAGCTTTTTCCAGCGTTTCGATGATGTCTCAATGTCCCGGTCCAAGTTCCGAAACTCATCTTTGGACGCTAGACTGCAAATTCCGCCCCACGATTGGTTACTCAAAAAATCCACAGGACTTGTGACATGTGGCTTGATCGGGAAGCGGAGTAGGAAGTCCAGTTCCGCAGATGAGACCTCCTCGTTCATCAACAGTATCTATACCAATGAATTCCAATGAAAATTAAGAACAATTCTTAAAGTTTTTTAGGTTCTACTATTGGGCTTACCTGAAAAGTCATTTGCGAGGCAAAGATGAGCTTGTCGCATTCGAAAAGACCACGCGAAGTATACTGAAAGACCGAATACGTAATGCAATCGATCAGATTTGAAACACGCAAATCCAAAGTTTCGCCCGGTTCAGCCTTGGCTATGGCCTTTTGGAACACTACGCTAAACGCCTGTAAGAATAAACCATTAGACCATTTATGGGATACCTTTTGAGGGTTACGGAGCTCACCTTCAGTGAAAACTGATAGATTGGATTTATTGTGTTCAATTCGTTGAGTATAAAATACAAGAGACTTGCTCGGGCCGCAGCTGGTCTGTAATATTCTCTAGCCTTATCGATTTCCTTGGATGTGATCTTTGCCTCTGCCACTTTCTCCTCAATATCGGAGGCAGTGCTCTTCGTTGTCTCCAGATTCTCCACCAATGCGGTATCACCTAAAATATTCTCACCCGCCGACGAAAGACGCGAGAGTAGATCATCCTCCAGCTTCTTTAGCATGATTTTAAAGTCATTCTGTTGTTTGGTTAATTCGGCCTTGAGATCCTCCAGATCGGGTCGTTCCGCCTTGACTACTTCAGCGAGTAGCTGATCCTCCAGGCCATCGCGTGTAACGGTAAAATTAATAAGCGTTGTCTGTGCTTGCATCTCTGGCTTATAGTGCGGATTAGCTAGTTTAGTGTGCAGGATCAAACGGAAAGTGGAATTGTACTCGATCTCCTTGTCACCTATTTTAATGGCTCTGCAAAGGAAAAGATCGTGAGAGAACCAATCGATTTATATGATATGTGAGCAACTTACTTGCCCTTCTTAATTAGATTACGTCCGAGCAATGAGTCTAGAACAGGGTCCAGATTTTCATCAATGTTCTCGATCAGGACTGTGATGCCGGTATTAATGGACTTTTCAATGATATCCAAATAGTTGCGTTGGCCCAGTCGTATGACCTTTAGCTCCTCGCCATATTTCTGCTTAATCCACTTGACGCCCTGCAACTGAGGATCAATCATCAGTGGCCAACGATCCGAATTGGATAGAATTGTAGCATTCTCAATGGACATGCGATCGCTAGGCAGTCCCTCATTTGTCCAAACGGCGATGGTCGTGTCATCCGTAAGCAGCGTCAGCGGATCGAGATTTTCGGTTGTGGGTATGGGCGGATCAATGCTCTTCAGAAAGGGTGTCCACATCTTTAGCAATAGATCAATGCGAAAGCCTTTCGTGAAACAGCCGACATAGGAAATGAAGGCGGTTATGAGTAGTATATCGCCGGGTAACGTAATTCCCTGCTTGACGAAGCTGCAAGGTGAGCACAATTTTCATTACTAAATGCTAATCCCAGTCGTGTTGATGATGACTACTCACTTATTGACTGCTTCAGCCCAGCGCACGTTTTCACTGGCCAAACCGCCCACCAGACGATTGGCCAGCGCGATGGTCGCTTGTGTGGCATCCGCTTCCTGTTGACAACGCAATTTATCGGCAATGGCCGTCTCAAAGTCCGCTGTAAGCTTGGCCAGCTGTTCCTCAAGGCTCTATTTTGAGAGAGAACAGAAATATATATCACCTGGGGTTACCCGACTTAACTAACCAAACATCTGTTAACAGTCAGGGATGTTCTTTGGCTTGTTACAAATTAATTATCATATTAATCTTTATGTTTCATAAGTTCGCCATTTTCATAAGTTCGCCATTTACCACCTACCATCACTTTGCGTTTGATGCCCGACAGTTTATCCTGGGCGGCTGCCAGCTCCGCGTTGGCTGCGGCAAGTGCCTTGCGCTTCGGCTCCACATCGCAGTACACCTCATAGAACTTGATTATGTTGATGACCCAGGCGCAGAGTCCAGCTGCGGCGCCGGATTTGGAGCGCACAAACTCTGGCTCGAATTCGGGATCCTTGAGATAGGGTTGGATGGCTTTGATGATTTCGGGATGTATGTTTTCCTTGTCGTAGGTGATCAGACCATCCAGAAAGGCATCTACCTTGGCCATGGAGATTTTGGCTGCCTTCCAGGAGCGATCTTTGGGCAGCTTGCCGCCAGGTGCCAGGAGCACCATAACAGCAGCCGTTACATTAGTAACCGCGCCCGGCGGAGAACCAAAGCTTTTAAGTTCAGTTAAGTTAGCTTTGTTGAGGGTATTCAGAGCCTCTTGAGCGGCTAATAAAGCTGGCTCGGCTTTGAGGAGATCCTCCTCGCAATCTCGCTGCTTTTTGCTCACTTCGTCGGCTATCAAGGCAACCTTCATTTCCTCCTCATCGGCCACGGCTTTTTCCGTTTGCACCTTTTCCGTTTCAATGCCCACAATTTCGATCAAGGCATCGGCTGCATCGTTCTTCTCCTTCAGCTCCACCTCCTGTACGGCCAGTTTGACCTTGAGATCTGCCACCTGGACAGCGGTGGAGCGTAGCTTCTCCAGCCCATTCTCTAATCGTTCGATTTTGCTCTGCAAATCGTCGTGCTTGTGATTGAGTAGCTTCAGATATAGATTGATCTGTTCGAGATAGCTCTTGGGTGTGGTGTAGTTGTAGCGGCGTTCGTTCTGTAAATAAACCTTGGACGTCGTATTGACCGACGTGTGTACATAGGCCATGAACTTGGCCACAGAATCGCGATGATTCTCTGGCAGCACTTTGTTCTGTGCGAGGAAATTCATGGCAACCGATATGAGTGCCTCCTGAGGCCATTCGTGGAACCAATTGATGGATGTTGCATTGATGATGGCAGGGAATTTTCTCGACCGAACACGCAATGTTGAACCCACTGGTGAAAAACACAGAACTATCTTCAGTTGTTTGCGCACACGATCGATGAAGAATTTCCAGCAGTTTTCACGCGTATCAACCAGTCCCGCACCTTTGACCTCATTACGCACGCCAGCGATTATATTCTCGATTTCGTCATCCGGAAATAGATCTGGAATCTCGCCAGTGGCTAACAAATCGTTGATTAAGACAAGAAAATCCTCGCTCGGTATTTGCGCATCCGTCATTAAAAACATGATGCTAACGTTTTTCAATCCAGCTTTCAAATACAAGCCGGAAAACTCGCACTGCGTCATGTTGTGTTAAAGCCAAAATAAGAACGGTTTAAGTAATGATCGATTTGAACGGATTAAACAGACCTTTAAATCGTTGACACCGTAACCCTTTTTGAGCTGTATCTGCACAACCTCCAAGCTGGATATGAATGCTGCCAAGCGCGCTAGAGATTGTTTTCCACTGCCACCAACACCAACCAATAACGCGCTGCCACGCGGCGATTCTAATATGCGATTGATTCTGCAAAATGTATATAGTAATGTTAAATATATTTGCAATTGTCTTTGGATTTGTTCAAAGTTCAAAGGTCAACTGTTACCTGCACACGTGCATCATCGCATCCTCGAATAACACCAGATTCATGGCAGCGACTAGATCATTATACGATGACATTGCTTCCTGAAGGAGTTTGTGAAGCTCAGGCCAGGCCTTGATTGGCATGTACTTAGGATCACCAATTCCTCCAGCGAAATGACAGTAAATATTCGGCTTGTCGAATATCACGGATTCGTCAATTTCTTCGAACGACTTCTTGACAATGTCATGCTGCATTTTAGTAAAGCTATCAATATCCTTATCATCGATCAGCTTATCCGAGTACACACGCTGTGTCTCATGTTGCCACAAACGTATAAGATCTGTTGGGCCCGTCAAACAATCCGTCGAACTAAAAAGCAGACCCTACAATTCAAGTAACATTTAGTTTGATATATTATATATATCTATATTTACACTCACTTGAAATACATTGCTGATATCGCGCAGATTGAAGATATAATGCGATTTAACAGCCGTGGGTAAAAACACCTGTAGACATTTGTTATGCAGCGCAATTGTGGCTGCCACAATGTTGGGTGTCATCCGCATGACAATCGGCATAAACTTCTGCTCGGCATTGGCAAAGTGCTGTGCCAAAATGGCCGAATACATGAGCGTGATAGAGTCCGCGGCGGGGAAGCTGACGGCCAGGACGCAGAAGTGTCGCTGCAGACGTGGATTGATGGTGAAGCTGCCTGAGGTGGGATTCATGCAGGCCACATACTGACAGTTATGTATATCCTTGAGGGTCAGCTTGTTGCGATCATACCAATGGCCATAGTCCAGATGCTGTCGCATTAGGGTGTGCGGCTGGACGGTGCCGTAGCAGTCCACCTCGGGCATGTTTATGTCGTCAATAAAGTAGATCAAGGTCTTGTTGCCGGGCGGTCCGTAGTTGCGACCCGCCTTCTTCTCCAGCGGCTTCTCAAGGATCTTTTGCAACATTTCGGACGTTGTATAGAAATTGAATGGTATTGTGGTGACAGCGTAATTCTCAGAAAGCGATTGAAGCTTCTCATTGACCAGTACGGTCTTGCCGCAACCGGCATTGCCCACTAGCATCACCGGGTGCTTCTTATCCATCAGTAGATCCAGGAAAAAGCGCAGTCGTATTGACTCGGAGGTGTGCACAAGCACAGCTTGCAATGGTAGATCCGAATCCAGCTCAAACTTCGGTATCTTCTCCGACCACAGCATAAAAGTCTTTGTATCGCAATCCAAAAAATAATCGAAAACTGTTCCACCTATTTTTTTTTTTTTGTTTAGCGAATTATTGGAGTGAAGTAAAGTATATTTGTTAAAAATGTGTCTTTTTGTAAAAAAACCACATCGATTTTACCACTCACCCGATGGAAACTTAACAGTTTTGAACTCATTTACCCACCATTTGCTGAATTCCACGCGATAGTCAATGGCTTGATCCTGGAACATGGCCGAACCGAATGCCCAAATACAGGCAAAAACAAAGTACAATTCGTGCCATTCTTTTGGGCAATCGGCCGGCGTATTCGCTGGTATTAGAAAACAGTTTAGCAGATGGCACAGCATTTGTATGTGGGCCATTTCAGCGACAGGCGTGATCTTTTTGAAGCGCACGCGTATCGTCTCCAATGAGGGCGGTATGTACTTATCGAATAACATGACCAAATTGGACTTTTCGGCTGGAATTTTGCGCGTTTCAACCCAACTGGTCACATAGCTGCAACAAAGTTAACTAAATTAATATGCAATTTACATATGTATATTGGCTGCTAATCGGCATTGCCCGATTAAGTTTTATGCGATTTACAAAATTAGTTCGAATTTGTTAAGTTAGTCACACAATGAAAGAAAAAAATATTGCGACAAATTTTTGCTTGCTATGCATAATATATATATATATGTACTCACGGATTCCAACCCAAGTCCTGGGGATTTATGTACAGTATGCCAGCTCTGGATACGGTTGCCGGTGTCGCTGTTCTCAGGTTGGAGATCTCAAAGAGCAAACGCATCGAAGGTGTTAACGCAATGCGCTCATTGCTGGCCAAAGTTAAGACTTTGTTGTCATCCATAACGGTATTTAAGCTCTCGATCCACATGGGATCGATGTCGCCATCGAGCACAATCCACTTGGGTTGATCACCCGTTATGTTTGCTTGGTCCCGCATTAGCACTGAGAACAGGCCATCCTTCCATTCGCGTGTCGCCGGGTTGATAATGCCGAAAAGTTCATCATTGGTCACCGCTTTTGGATTCAAGTCATTGAATATGGGCTTCCGTTTAATGTTCTGATAGGTGCGCAGCAGCGTCTTCCACACTTGGGTTTTACCGGTGCCAGCATTGCCAACAATGAATACAGAATGACGTACCTCCAACAGTTCCTCCAGTTGCACTACTTTCAATATAAAATTATCTTCCGGTTGTAGTAGCAAATCGGAGGCAGCTTGTTTTACGGTGCGTTCAAAGTCCTGATCACGTTTGCGAGGCACATCCAAAGCGGGAAATAAATCGCTGATGAGCCCCATGAACACGGGCATATCATCTGTGACAATTTTCGGTATATTGAAGTCGCGCAATGCGCGCATCAGCACCTCCTCCTCCGGTCGACCAGGATCGCCGCGCTGCAAGCACCAGTTGAACATCCGTTTAACAAGGATCACAAAAACAACTCAAAAACAATGTGAATAAAGTCGATAATAAAATAGATCCAAAATTACTTAATTCTTACACTTCTATCCACATCAAATTGTACAACCAAATATAAAAATATATTTCGAATTATTTGTATTTATGACACGCACCTTAAGTGAGCCGGCGACCACGAGCACCGACTTGATGGCACGCAAGCCCCAGTCGTAGTGATCCTGTTTGGATAGCAGCTCCTTGCACAGCGTGTACAGTGTGATGAATTTGCGAGCGAGGACGCGTGCATCCTGGAATCCCTCGGCGACCAACATAATTTCGCATATGAGCTCAAAGTCGGGTACCACCATGGCGCAGGGACGAAACAGTGCCTTTAGATTCTCTGGCAGCTCTGTGCGTCCGGCATATCCGGGATTCATGGTTATGAATATGCCCACGGTGGGCACACACGTAATGAACTCGCCCATAAAATTGAATTTGTCCTTTTTGTCGCGTATGGCGTCCTGTACGGACTTAACCTGCACGGCCACAACGGACAGCACCTCGACCGTAATCCGATTAAATTCATCGAAGCAGCCCCAGGCGCCCGTTTGAGCCAAACCCTTGTAAATGTTACCACATGATTGATAATCCATTTGTTCGGAGCAATTAAACACGTAGACCATGATGCCCAAGGCACGTCCCAGATCTTTAGTTGTCTCCGTTTTACCGGTGCCCGCCGGACCAGCTGGTCCGCCGCCCATTACCAAGTGTAAGCTCTGTGTGAGTGTTATGTAACAGCGATCTGTGAGCGGCGTGATGACCAGGCGTGGTGTATTGCCTAAGTATTCGTGACAATACTGGAACTCAGCGTCGCAAATATTGGCAAAGCAATCTTTCTCGACATCGTCAAAGCGATGCCGCAACTGCGATTGCCACATAAAAGCCGAACCTGAATCCAATTTGGCCTGAATCATCTTAGCGACCACATCTCTCGAATGCACATCAATTGTGCATATCGTCATAATTTTCTGACGATCCCCCTTGGTCAGCTCGCCGAGCAGCAGTGTAATGAGTAAACTGAGCTGTGAGATTTGTTTTTTGTAATAATCCTTGATGGCATTATCGTAGCCCTCCTCCAAACGACTGAACGCAATGTTCACCTCGGTGGACCACCAGATTTGTGAGCCGCATAGCGAGACCTGTGCAGGATAATCGAATAACCATTGTTCACGTTGCTTTTCCTCATAAGCGACGACAGCTTCGGTGACATAATGACGCAGTGAGGCACGCATCGCCGCTTGTATGCGATTTAGCCACACTTCAACCGGGCCGCGTATACTGGCCAGTTCATTAAATTCAACGTATTCGCCATCTTTGGCATACATGCCGGAAGCTGTCTCTATCTCATTAGCCGCATCGCGATTGAATTTGAGCCGTGCAATTGAATCGAATAGTTTGGTCAGATGTTTGGTAACCATTTCGGGTTGGATGCCATTGCTGAGTACATCGAGCAGATCGGCCGATGATACAAAATAGAAACGAGGAAAAGCCAAACGTTTTGTTTCCAAATACTCTGCCAGTGCCTTCTCGCACAGCGTCAGCTCCTTTTGCAAATGCTCCAGACGTTCGATCAGGCCAGCTCGATTCGTTGATGCCACCACATTCGATGAGAGGGACATCTCATCCATGAGTATACGGAACTCGGCATCGATATTATCGAAACGTTCCGAATCGACGGGGAGCTGTTTGCGTATGTCTTCCGAACTCATGAAGATACTCTCAAGATGGGTCCAAGTGCGTTGCACCTCAAACCAAACGGTAATCACTTGATCAGCAACCATTAATTTATTTTGCCAAGTTGAAACTTCCTCGAGGAAATGGGCGATGTACTTGGATGTTATTAAATTTTGTAGGCACACCTGATTCTCTTCAAGCGTCTCTATGAGTTCTTCCGATGTCTTAAGGAGTTTACAGCCAGTGCGCGGGTGCAGCTCATTGTCGAACTCCATGGCCGACCATGTGGAATTCAAGTCACGCAATATCTTCTCCATTGACATCTCCTTAACGGCTTTATCCACAATATTTTTCACTTCCTCCTCGCATTCGTGCAGATTTAAGCCTAATAGTTCCGCAAGCGTTGTCTCATGATCCATTATGAATTTCACCTGAAATATTAGATTAACAATTGTAAATATTTATGTTATATATATGGAAATGGGATTTCTTCTAGATTACTACACTTTCTACTTGAGTTCAGTTACAACATGCATTGCACTTACGGTCACTTCCTTGGGCAAGGCGGCCAGACTCTGGAATGAAATGGTATTTACAAGAACTGTACAGTCGAGGCACAACTATATTAATATATATACACATACATCGGCCTCTTTCAACATAAAGTTTGGAATAATCAAAAGGAAAATAGAGATTTAAACGGCATTGCTATACAATTGAGCATCTTTCAGCTTTGGTGCTAGGAAAGGAGTTAAACAGATTGGTTCCATGGGTATTATTTACAATATGCCAAATTGTCCGCATTAGAAAAATGTAAAGGAAAAGCACAAAAAATAGACCTTGGTGGAGTTCATCAGCTGATTCCAGTGACGCTCGCGAATCGCCGGATTCTGTAGCTCGCCGACGGCACGAAGGGAGGTCAACATATTCTTCACCGTCGACTCGAGATTGATGAACGTGTCCCAGGCGCGCATCTCCTTATCCAATAGTCGTATATCCTTGGCAAATTTCTTGCACTCAATATCCATATTCTCCACATCGACTTTGCGCCAAGGCGTCGTCTTCCAATCCTCAATGCAGGTCTGAACTATATTCACATAATCCCAGAGTTGCTGTGATTAATTAATTACATGTCATTGATTTAGTAAAAGTTACAAAAAGGCAATTATTTTTGGGATTAGTAAAAAGTTTAGGTAAAGCTAGGTAAAAAGTAAAAGCTCAAAATTCCACATGTGGCATGCAGTATATAAATAAGTTTTGTAAAAAATTTAGTAAATTGATTATAGGAAACATGCAAAAGCCACGGTCGCAACGAAAACCTTTCAATATATACCTTCAGCATGCGCAGCTCCTTACGGCATTGCTTGAGCACCTTAAACTCCGGTATATTCACTTCAAAGAGACTGCCCGACTTCTGTATCTCGCCCATTTCCCGCTCGCAGAGGAACATGTCATCGTTGATGCGATCCATGAGTAAGTAAGGCTTATAGCAATCGAAGCGAAAGAAATCGTATTGCTTGAAGACCTCCCGGAAGAGTTGTATGTGCGCCTCGAATACCGTTATTTTATGCCTTATGCTAACCACTTCGGTGGCTTGGAGTGGGGAAACCTGCTGCTTCACCGTTGTGGCAATCTTCTTGGTGTTTGCCCACTGTTCGGGCAGCTCCTGCAGCAGCACGTTCACCTCCTCGGGTATGTCCATGTCATAGTATTTGAGTAGCTGTATGGTCTCCTGCATTGGCTCAAACATCTCATCCGTGTTGGCTGCACGCTCCTTCACCTGCATCAGGTAGGCCATAATGCTGACCAATCCCTCATAGTCCTTCTCTTTGACCGTTTGCAAGAGGCCCTCATCGGCCTTGCGTATAAAATGACTGAGATCCATCAGACTTGATGTGACAGTCGTCACCAGATGCTCCTTAAACATGTTGCCCCACTTGCAGACGGTGTTGAGCAGGGCCTGTCGAAAGGGTCGCACATCCACTTGGAACCAAGAGCTAAACACCTGAAATGCTGGTATGTCCTCAATCTCGCTGAAGAGCGATTCGTAATTGTCAATCTGCTCCCGAAAGGCCTCAATTGTCGGTTGACAGGGTTGTGGTGGCGGTGGTGCTGCCGGATCATTCATCTGAATCAGTTCTATTTCATCTGGATCCAGCATCCGTCCATATTCCAGAAAATATTCCATGCACTCCTCGCGATCGTCTAACCACAAATACGAGTATCGTTCGAATTGCCGACAGAATCGGGATGCTTCCTCCATGACCAGATCAACGCCATTGAGTATCTCGCGACGCATGTCAATAATATCCTGATTCTCCTTGATCAGCTCCACATAGTTGCGTTTCTCATTGGGCTTGAGTCGCTTTACAAGCGAACCCATCTTCATTATATCCCGCATCAGCTCAATCAGCATATTGTTGAAGCCCATGGGATCTTCGGGTTCCAACGAAGGCACAAATACCAAATTTGGTTCCACAAGTTCCAGTCGTGACTCAAAGAGTGGCGCATAATTGTTGTCCGGATCCATGTTCTCAGCCAAGTAGCCAACACTGACGCCCACAGTGCGCAGTATGTTCTCATAGACAATATTATCGACAAAGTCCACGTAACTCAACCAAACATCATCGTTTTGCTTCTGCTCCATGTCAAACTGCAACATGTTGTCCTGGAGAAGTTTATGTATCTCCAATGAGGCCGCCTGAATCTCTGCATAACGCTTGGCCGTGCGATCGGGTCGCTCATCTAGGGACAACACCGAGTCCTTTTTGCAGTCACGACGCTCAAAGAGGGGCTGCTTTGCCCACACCTCCATTATTTTGCGTACTTGTCGCAGATTCTCCTGTGTGTGATTCACGCGATTGCGCAATTCAGCCACAGGCTTGCGTAGCTTCTCCAGGTAGTCCATGATGTCTGAAATGGTTTACAATTAGTATATTTGGTTGAATTACAGATGCCACGCTTGACTGCGCTCACCTGCCGAATTCCAAACAAGATGATCCACACCGATTTTAACCAGATCATCAATCATTTTAATCTCGGACTCAATCAGTTTGAGCTCAACCGTTGAGCTGCCCTCCTGTATGCTGTTGTACCAATCGATGGTCTTCTCCAGATTTAGTGTATACGAGCGGAACACATCGCTCTTCTCTGCAAACTCGATGGCTATCTCGGGTATCCCATCAATTTTCATTTGCTGCATATAGTGCACCTCGCGCAGTATGGAAAAGAGTGTGGTGCTGAAGTTGAGTATCAACGAATGGCTGTGCTGATCGCGTCCAATGAGTGACTTCTTAAGATCCTCCTCGATTTGGTCCGCCAGTTGCACGGACCAATCATCAAAGAATTGCGTCTTACAGGCGCCTAACTTGGTCATTAAACACTCATAACGTTCGACAATTTCCAGGGATTTCTCCTCCTTCGTAATGCTGTGGAAATGTTAATTATTATTAGATGTCATTTGCATTTATATATAATTGCTTACTCATGCTGCAGTGCCTTGAAGTTCTTCACTGGCGCCGTAATGCGGGTCTCCAGCTGGTAGCACCAGCGTATAAAGGCTGCCACGGAGGGGCAATTGTAGTCGGGATAAAGTGTTTCGCCCTCGCGGATCAGCTCCATTTGCTTGTCGTATATATTCTCACAGACTGTCATCTCATCATCGAGCATGCGGACAATTTCCGCATAGCGTTGCGTGAACTCCTCCTTAATTTTTGGACGATCCAGAACACTGCCCACAATGCTTATAAGCTATGCAATAAGTTAGACATATATCTAAGGTTAGCTTAATGTCCATACGCACCTTGAAAATACTCTCTAAGTTATGACAATCATCGAAGGCCTGACACAATATGGCAGCCAGCTTCATGTCCAGCTCCAGTATGCGTGTTTGAAAGCCCTTAAAGTCCTCATCAAACTCATGATCATCTGGATCGAGGACATCGTAGCTTTTCGATGCAAATGCGGTAAAATATTGATTGAACTCGACGTAGACATCAGTAATTCTTGTGCTTAGCTGGCGTCCACGCAGTCCACCGATTTCGACTTTCTCTAATTTCAGGAATTCAATCACAGTAAAGAAGAACCTAAAAATAGTCCATTCATTTAGTAGCTATATGTGAGAAATATGTTTTGTATAATTGATGGAGAATACCAACCACTGAATTGTTGTTAAACGCTCAAGGAACGCATTAAAGCGCTTGAAAACTGAATTTGGATGAAAAGTCCACAAAATCGGTGGCCGCTCCTCAGGTTCCGTAAAAAACGCAGCTAAACGTTCCTTATAATAATCAAATAGTTCGCGAAAGAACTTTAGTATTTGTATGGACAGGGTTAAACGCTGCATGGCCTCATCAATATCGCTATGGAATATGGACGATGGGTCCAAATAACGCTTGGCCTAAAATATGCAAGAATCTCAAAATTAAATTCAATACGCACAAAGAGGGCAACAATTTAGAGACTCGCCTGATGTATAATCAAATTGCATATCTCCTGCAACAGCACAGTGATTTTCGCCGATTGGCAATAGTAGCGAGAGTTGCCCCACAGAGTGCACACAGTATGCATAAAGGGGATGAGTAGCGGCTTGTATTCGGCAAAATCAATTTCCTCCAGCTGATGCAGGGGCCGATTCAATGGGTTCAAATAGAGCGTTATATCCTTTGACTCGGCAAGTGCTGCGATTGTTGTTCAAAAACGATTTGTTGGCATGCAAAAAGACAAACGACAGCGAGTTCATTTGGGATTGGCATGCTATTCAGCTATTAAATGTGGGCCTGCACTCACCCGTAACAACATTCTTGAAAAGTGTCTGAAAGCACGGATGATAGGCACTCGACGAGTACTCCAATATTAGGGCCATGGCTCGAATGCGCTCATTGCGCAATTGGTCGTAGATAAAGGATAGATTCTTGAGTCGATTATTCCAAAATGTGAATTCTGTTGTAGAGTTTATAAGTTACAAATTAATAGATAATCTATTTTAATATGTTTAATTTGTAGATACAACTCCAAGTTGATTTGAAAGATGGAACAGACAAAAGGCTAGGTGACTGGGCTGTTATTATTATATTGAAGAGGTTACGAAAATTGAAGAGTTTAAATCGAAATGGCAAAAACTCTGTCAAACTAAAATGGAACAAGTTTCTTTGCATGCTATTTGCATTCTTGCTGAAATGATAAGCTTTTGTCTACACTTAATTTAGTTGAATAATTGAAGAAGTGCTTCCAAAATGATGAAAATCGCATAAGCTTTAGGCAATTGCTGCCTTTGGGCCAATTCCAACATAAAGCTTTAACATTGCCAATGACACATGCCACAACCCCAAGCCGGAAAATGTCAACTCGTATATAAAACATAAGAAAATCCGAGCAAAATCCCATTAGTGAGTGGTTGTAAGAGTGGGCAAATGTTGCATGTCACCTTTCGGCAAAAGAGATAACAATAAAGCCAGTTTTGAAGACATTTACCTACATGTTGTTGGCTTATAAACATGCAATTTTGGCCGGTGCCGGTGGCACGACGTTGCTAGGATATATCAAACAAACGTCAACTGCAGAAACTTGAATTTTATCAATAAATAATAAATAAAGCTGTGCCAAAAATAAAACTAAACGAAAACTAAATATGCACATATGACGACGATTATGATTAGACAACTACACACAACTTCTTTGAGCACTGCGAATTTACCTGTGTGCGGCGTTGGATTCTGTCCGTTGGCAAAGGCATTTGTTGGACTCTCCTTGATGACTTCGTGGATTTGGGTGGCCCACTTAATGACAACGCCCTCAATGGCACTCTTCAGATACAAATCGAATTGGCAATGCTGCGTTTCGGTCAACTCCTTGGCAGCCTTAACGATTTTCTCAACGCCCACGGGCATGGCCAGAATGGTTTCGCCGCTCACCTGACCCTTTACCTGATGCACCGTGCTCTTCAGGCTGTGCACATGCTTCTGCACATCCTGGGCGACCATTATTGGCCAGCTGCGATAGTTGTCCTCATTGGAGAGCAGTGGCACCAGCACCTCCTCCACCAGAGCAGACAGCTGGTCAATTGTCCGGGTCGCGAGGTCACCAAAGATTATAAAATTGGCGCAGTTCTCACGTGGTATGGGCTGGGCATATCGCTTAATAAAGTAGACACCCTTGCTCTTTAGCTGCGAGAGGGGGAATGTGGTGGAGGGCACCAGCTGCGCAGCGGGCGTGAGTATTATGATTAGTACAACGGGTACACTGCGATCCAGAAACTCTTTAATTATGCCCTTATGCTCCTCCACCGTGATGACACGCGTCCATTTCTCCGGCTTAAGTTTCAATGACTTGATGACAAACGAACCCATCAGCTCCAGTCGTGGATCCGGCCCAATGCCCGCAGCGGCAGCGGCCGCCTCGGCGCTTGTGGAGGGCTGCTCCATGAAGGGGCAAGGATTTGTTTGCCGTTGTTACCACAGATGTTCTTGTATCCTTTGGCTGTGTGTGTGTGTTTGAAGGTGTTTTAGTTTGAGTGACCTTGTTACCACTAACAACTATATAATCAATAAATCCTATCAAATCAATATTTCTTTTTCAAAAATTGCATAATTATTCCCGAAAAAATAGTGGCAAGTGCAAAGTATCCTTTTTGAACTTTGTAAATTTATGTATTATGCAATCTTTCACATTTTACTTTGCTTTTGCATTACTTCAACTGTTGTGTAACTTAGTTTTTCCATATTTTTGCCATTATTACAGAAGAAACCGTAAAAACTTAAATAAAATTAAACCATTCCTCAAACAAATTAAGTAATTTGCAAGCACTTGGGAATTTAATCCGTAATTTTGACTATTTTTTTTAAGTTTATATATATTTTTTAAATTTTGAGTAATTGATTTTTAGGTTTGTGCCTTAATTTTAGGTTTCCGCGTTGCGACTGCTCACCTGCGCTACTGTTAGCTGACTGAAAGGAGCTGCTAGGCAAAATATTAACCGTGTTACGGTAAAAGTGATCGTGGCAGGACCCGGTTGCTAGGCAGTTGTTGATTTTGCCGCTTGACCATTGTTTATTTCCCCTGTGCCATAATCCCTGGTTGCTAGCCACGTTGCCATGCTCCTTGCCAATTGTTGCGCCGCCATCGCATGCAATGCCAAATCGTGCGCGAAAGTTTTGACGGCTTTCCGTGCTAGCTAATAAAGTTGGTGTAGTTCATAAATCCTGCTAACTGATTGGGTGCTAATGCAATTAATAGCTTTGGCATTACTTCTAACCCACATCTAAGTCATAACTAGTTATTTTAAAAACATTAATTTAATAACAGTTCTTAGTACATTAGCATATTTAGATCATTTACCGCACAGGGTGTTCCATTGTTCCAAACAAAAATCGATATATTTTTCATTGCGGAAATCGATGCTCAATTCAGATGGGCTTGCAGCTAAAAGTACTCAATTATTCTGATATGAAAATATCGGAGTGCAAACTTAAATTACATGCAAATATTTTGTTTTAAATATATATCTAAATATGTGAGGGAATTACTCATGCATACATGTATATTTTATCCGATGGCCAGGTCAAAATCCAACAAGAATCTAATTACAAAAGCTTTCTGTAACTCGCTAAGCTGTGAAATTAGTTGCATGCTAAATTGTCAGCAGAGCTGTCAAAGACTAAGCCACAAAACGCTTACAATTTCTATGGCAGCCAAACAAATGCCAAATGCTTTGCAGTCACGCCAAAAACTGTTGCATATGCGCAACAATTGGGGTGCACTTCAAAGCACCCACAACACAAGTCGCTTCCCCACGCAAACAAAGCGAATTTATAGCAAAAGCCAAGCGCAGGCGCCAAAATTCAAATAACTGTTGCGCCCGGCGCAACAATGTTGCAAATCAAGACAGACAGGCAGGCAGCAACATTGTGTCTAAGCAAACAAGCAAGCAACAGTTTCTTGCATGACTTCCGCTTGTAAAAGTTTTACTATTGCTATTTATATTTGGCAAGCAATTGATTGACCTAGGCCTAGGCCTCGCTAGCTGCTAGCTAGGTTCGTTCAACTTCAACGGTTGCTAGGAAAACCTGTTGTAACAAATACGTACTAAAGCCATTTTAATGTTGCCAAACCGCAAGTTATCCGAAATGCACTCAAGCTGAAAACTTTTGGTGCATTTATAAAAGTGCCAATAATCGTTCAGTTCAGATTGAACTTCAAAAATGTGGCAGTTGACATTGCGACTGCAGCAGCTGTTGCAGCTGCTGCTGCTGCTGGTGATCCTGCTACTGGTCCAGTTGGGATTTGCACCTGCAATCGTTGTGGAACGCAACATGTTTGCCTACTATAAAGTTCCTCTAAGGATGCTCCACTTGTCCAACACTTCCTCCACTTCCGGTCTGTACTACGTGCTGCAATGTCCGCCCAAACTGGACGACAGCATACCCAAGCCAAAGGATATGCCCACCTGCCATGTAGTCGATCAGTTCAAGGACATTTGGCAATCGAAACGAAAGCCAAAAAGGCTTCCAACTCGCACAATGTTGATGCCACTGCCACCGCCGGCAGTGCAGCGGATGCGTTGGGGCTGGCGACGACCCAAGCGCCAGAATCTGGACACTGGACTGCCATACGATGAGGCAACACCGCTGCAGCATCTTGGCCAGCCGCATCGCCACCAAAAACTGCTCAAACTTGCCGCCGATCATCGCAAATTGAAGCGTGGCAGCCGCACAAAAGGATACCAACACATGTTTCATCGCGATGAGAGTTACAACGATCACATCTTCTACGATGAGATGAAACTGGATGGCAAGTTCCTCAATCGGGGCAAAACAAATGATTGAACAACAAATTATAAATATATAAGTACTTTTTAGTTATTTCAATAAATCTACAGATGAAATTAAATCTTATAGTTATGTTACATTTATTTTAGTATATTCATCAAAAAGCCCCGCTAAGAAAATAAAAAAAAAATTCAGTCAAGTCAGTAAATAAAGAAAAAGATTCCAGTTTCTAATGTAATTTTAGCTGCCTCTGGTTTCAGTTTCCAATCGATCAGAGACTGAAATTTGAATACTATATTTATATTTAATAATCTGACGATTCATTCCAAATTTCGACTGGTAAAAACATGTCGTCGTAGGACACTGTTTCAAAGAACTTGCTTAGCATGCCCTCAAGGCATGTGGCAATGTTCTTAAGAATAGTGGGCTCAACGCCATTCCAAAACTCTACCCAGTGTTCGTTCATAATATGATTTAGGGCAATTGTAAGATCCGTATTTTCTCTATACAAATTATCCATCCAAACGATCCAGCTGTAATTTAAAGTAAAGTTTAAAAATCTTATTCAGCATATGTCAAATAATACCACTAAGTAGACAATAAAAAGTGGCGTCAAATTGACTAAAACCTTCATCATTTTCTAGTAGGTCCTAGTTGGTTATGAATGTGTTCGATAAAAAACAGCTATAATGCAAGATCCTTGAATGTGTGCGAAGATAGCAGCAACACTCTATCCTTGTGTTTTTGTGTGCGAGCTTTTAGCTGTTGAGCCTGATGTAAAAACCTTTCATAAAATGGGGTGGTTTAACTATTGAATAAAATTTTGTGACTTTATGCGCATCTAAAACAGGGTATCAGGGAATGTCAGTAATTTCGTCGAATTTTTTATGTCGAGACAATGATACCCCTTTGATTGTCTGCTTAGTGATAATACTCACCGATCTAGATCGGCTTTTGGCACCAATTCATAGATTTTTAAGTAGCGCTTGTTGTTGCGGTATTCCAGTGTGATCTTAATCGTAATCGTCAGTTGTAAATTCTGATAATCCGAAAGCAATTTGTCCGTTGTATTAGCAACAAACAACAGGTAGCGCCCCTGCATATGATAGGTTGCCTCATGCACCAAACTTGGTATGCGTGCCTGAATTTCAATTTGATCTTTAGTTGGATTTTTGTTGAAGCCCGTCACGTGAGTAATTGTGGCATTGTTGAAGCCCTTGTACACATTGTTTGTGAAGTAAAAGCTGAGATAAATTGGTGCATCATTTGGCTTTTCGGGAACCGAAACGTCTTTCACATTGATTGCATCCAGCGTTGGCAACCCAATCTCAGCTGCATTCTTGGGATAATTACGCACAAAATCGTTGATGCTTCTCACCAAACATTTTGAGTCACCGAAATGGCATTTCTCTATATAGGCAGCTGAAAAGTATAATTATATTTGAATTAAATTTGTAACTTAACTCAAAAGTTATGTTTGCTTACGCAGTTGTACGCCAAAAGTCGTCTTAAATAGACTGAATAAAATGAGCAAATAAAACTTAGTCATTTTTTGCGCTGATTGTTTAGTATTAGTAACACTCAGCACAATTGTACAATAGTTAACCTTAAAACCAGTTGCACTAACTGTAAGTCACGACAAATTTTTATCAGAATACGACGCGACTTTATGCAACTGAGAACCTGCTTTGGCCGACGTTGAACTGTGAATAAAATCAATATATAAATATATATATATATAGTTTATTTAGCAGCGGATGTAAGCATTTGCGAACAATATGGAAAACCGGATTTTTAAATTGCATACACTTTACATAGCTGCTGCAATACATGTTTATATTAATTTATGTTCCAGTCTCTCCATCCTTGAGGAACAAATCATCATAGGGTACTTTTTGAAAAATATCTTCAAGCATACCGGTAAAAACACCTCTGAAAACATTTAAGAACGCTGGTTCCAATTCATTCCAGAACGCCAACCAATTGCTATTGATCAATTTATTTACATGGATTGCAAGATCCATGTTCTCTGGAAAAAGGTTACCCAACAAAAGAATCCATCTGAAGATGAACATTTTTTTATTGCTACACCGAATAGATAATTGTTGTTGCAACTTACCGACTAATCTGAATACTCGGCACCAGCTCGTAGATTTTTAAGTAACGCTTATTATTCCGATATTCCTGTGTGACTTTGAGTTTTAAGATAAATCGCAAATTCTGAAAATCTGATGTTGATTCTCCACTGGCATTTACGTTAATCAGCCATAACTGTCCTTTGGCTAAATAGTCACCCTTGTGTGTCAGGCTGGGTATCTGGCCGTATATCTCCATTGTGCTGGCAGTGGGATCTTTGCCGAATCCTTTGATGCGCGTTATCGTCGTATTCTCGAAACCATAATTCACTTGATTGGATAACTTGAATTGAAACCAAAATCCACCGAACACAGCATTGTTCCAAATATCCGAATCTTTGATATCTACAATATCTATAGGCTTCAGTCCAATACCGGGTATACCTCTGATAATGTTTTATTATGGCATTCATAGACTCGATAATGCATTTGGCATCCCCAAAACGACACTTCTTTATATCCTTTGCTATTGATGTGAACAGTTCGAAGAAAAATAATCTTTTTAATTTGCCGATGGCACACAGTTTACTTTTGGACTACCCACGTAATGTTTGGCACTTCAATGCAACAAACAGCACTTGTAGACTGATTATACCAACTAATATTTTACGCATTCTCAAATCAGATGCACTTGCGTTAGCCTCAGCAGTTTTAGCTCAAAAATGTATTGCATATATTGAAAATGCATTTGTAAGGCCAACAAATTCGCCTAGTTTTAGAACCGGTTATTTGAAAACAAGCACGAGCTTTCCTCAGTCTCCTCAGTTTTAGTATTTGTTCAATTAGTGGGGAATATACAATTTTTATATAGCAATGACATTTATATTTATAGAGATATTCATACCTTAATCATCTACTTTCAGTTTGTAATTTGTCTTAACTTTGTATACCAAAAAACCATTTTTATTATTGATATGTGACACTACAGAGAAAAGGCTTTATTATATTATGTATTTGAGCTTGCTCGGTAGGAACAAGTCATCGTAAGACACATTATGAAATATATCTTCGATTATGCTCAGAATTACACCTGTAATTACCTCCAATATGGCTTTTCCGGTTCATTGCAAAACGTAATCCAGTTGGCATCAAACAGTGTATTGATAGCTATGTTCAGATCGGAATTTCAAACCAGCTCTCCAGCTGTAAATACAGAAATTCATATAGTAATATAATTTAATATCATTACTGTTGATAAGTCTTTAGGTAGGTGTCTGTCTGGCTGTCTGTCTGGCTGTGTGTATGTCTGACAGCTGTTTCAACTTTGCATTTACCATTTGGTTGCAAGAGAGTATTTTTGTAATGTTTTTGTTTTTGTAAAATTATTTTGTTTCACAATAAAATAAAAAAGTTCTGTTTGGACCTTCAATATAAATCCGAACTGACTCGGACACGCCTGTTGAATTTATAATTTATAATTAATCTGATTGATCAGTTTAGCTTTCGAAACTTGGCACTTCTTGACATCCATAGCTATGAGACTGCACAAAATATCTCACTATAATATTTACTATCCGGAATTTCGAGTATATTTCCTGTACACACGTATTGGTGCACAATAAGTAAACTTTCCCCATACAATACATTATTTTAGCACATGCATAGCCCGTCACATTCAAATGGTGAATATTTTCCAACAAATGCTTCAATCTCATTGGATAGGCAGATTTAGGAATATCGATGATCAGAACAAGTTTTTGCAATTCACCATAGTTTACGATTAATTGAGACAGGTTTAGCTTTTAATTGAAGAGCTTTTTTATTTTACAGTTGATCGATCTACTGCATGGCAATAACAGATAATTATATATATGAATTGTTACCTAGAAAACTGAAATTTAAACAAATTTATGAGCTATTTATTTCTCAACGATTATTTAATGCAAATATTTATTATATTTTATTTTAAAAAAAAAAAAGTATCTTAACTGAAATTAGCATATTGTGTGTTTAAACGTTTCTATCGAAACGTTGGTTCAGTCACATGTTAACAATTGAGTTGATGAGCTCATTAATCGAGATATTCTGATCCATTTCAAAGTTGAAACGTAGGCTGCAGTACAGTTTTGAAATTAATGGTGTCTTATAAATACTTTCAAATCATTTTCATATTGAAACCAGTGCATCAAATCAAATATCAGGATGCATATTCAATAGTTGCAAAAATATGATGACAGGTGCTGAAAGCATAAATAATGTTTTATAAATCATTATATCTTTATTAAGTAAAGTTAATAAAAATGAAACCAAGAAACAATTTTTCGCCATTTTTTATACAATCCAATAATTTACGTCTCACATTAAAATCCGGAAGTGTCCTTAAAATTTAGCACTTAATAGCTTTATATAATTGATAGTAGCAAATGCCACATTATCATTATAAAGCATTTAATTTTTATTTTATTTTAACAGCAGCTATTTGAATCCATTACAGATTCTTAAACGTCATGACAAAGTGAAAAAGTCGAGATAATAAGTAGTTATCGTAAAATAAGTGAGTTAAGTGAGACTGATAATACCCCACGGCACTCATTTGTAGTATTTAAGTTTATAATATAAGCAATTAGTGTGTGTAGCCACGCAATTGATTTTCTAAACAGATTCTCACACAATAAAATTAAAAAATTAATGGGTCAATGACAACTGGGTATTATTATATCCCATCAACTTAGCGATTTATTTATATTTAATTAAATGTGTAAAATGTTTATTATACACAATGTTTGTGTGTAACTTCTAATATGAGAGTCGTTTTCAAGAATGTGTCCTAAGGAGCTTGACGGTTATAGGAGACATTCGTGGGGATCGAGATGGAATCCACGTCGGTGTATTGGTTTTTCAAACCAATCAAAATTGATTTATCTTTGAATCCCTCCTTCAAACAGCGAAAAACACAATTTATTTTGTACTTATTGATACTATCATCATTTATTTAAATTTTTATAGATAACAATTAAAAAAAAACAATTTGAAGTAGCAAAAGTGGGAAATATTACAAATTGTGCAAATGCGTTGAATAAAATTGCGAATTGATATAAACATTTTATAGTACAATTAAAATCCTCGATATATTAAATATAGAGCACAACTCAACTAAAAATATTTAGAATGTTTTTTGAAATGGTACACACTTATTTAAATACACATTGTTTACGATTAACATATTATTGTTTGATAAATTGATTTCTCTTTTTCAGTTCACAGCCTTATAAGTAATCTAGACAATATATTTAAAATATGTTATATTATATGAATTATTATCAATTACATTACTCTGATTTGATGAACATTTTTTGATGACACATATTTTTCGCATAGTTCTTTGCAGATCTATGCGAATATTTATATGGTGTATGTAGTTTTGTTTGCTATGAAATCCTCTCTTTTCGTTTTTGGTATACTCCGTTCAACATGTTAAAATAAATATGCTATGAAAAAGTATTACACTAATTCCCACGTTTTCGCTCGATATGGCCAGATCTCAGGAAACCAAAAGTTGCCGTACGTAAGCAGGGCCGTGTCTGTGATATAATATGATAACGCCCATACAAAACGTGGCAACTTTGTGCTTCTTGACGGACGATTTGTTAGGGCAGAACAAAAGTGACTGCTAGCTGATGACCACATTCGTGTCCAAGTTGCTGCTGTGGCAATTCAGCTCATTGTTGTTGCTGGTGAAACAAACCTCCTCACTGTCATCGGAATCAGTGCAGAACAGTAATGGCTACGCATCCTCACCTTCCATAACCTCCGCATCTGTGTCCCCATTGGTGGCAATTCTGCAAATTAAATATATAATAAATGTCAATGAATAAGTGTGTGAGTGTGGGTGTGTGGGTGTGTGTGTGTGAGAGTGTTTATGTATATGCAAATAATGATGAGCAGTTATGTCTTATAGGAGACCCAAGAGAGTTACTAAATATGGTTCTAAATAGGAGCCCCCACGTAAATTGATCTTAAACAATGGATTCCGTTGGGAGAGCAAGAAAAACAATACAGTTTTTTAGCAACTATCAAAATTATTCACGCAATATATTTCGTATAATACATGACATAGTGTCATCTTAGCCAACTTTCTTGTTAGTATGTATTGTAATTGTATGTGAATCACTTTCATAGGAAAATGAAAAAGAGAAGAGAAATCATAATACATATTTCTATATATACTATACAAATTAGCATTACGGGTAAAATGAGATACAAAATAAATAATCAAATATCACAACAGTGGCCAAAATTAAATATATTTTTATTTTGAGTTTTTTTCATCTATATGTATATACAAACATATGTACAAAATTATCTACTTATGGAGACATTTTAAAACAAAGAAAACTACGTAAATTCGTCATAAATACTTAGTTGGACAAATCGGAATAATAATAAACTAACTAATCCTTAATATTAAACAATACAAGCTATGCTTTAGACCACTTTCAAAAGCAAATTCAAATTTTATTAAGTACATCGAGCATTGGAATAAACATAAACATCGAGAAAGCTTAAGAGGTGACATTTCTTGGCGAGTTGGTAAAGGAGTTTATGGAGATTCCATTGTCGTTAAGCGTCAGCTCACTATTGAGGTGGCATCCACATGTGTTGCGGTTGTTTGTTGGTTCGGTGATTGTGCCGCAATTGCGTTGATTTTGTTAGTCCAATAAATGGATAAACAAATTTGGCGGCACGTGCAGCAGCGCATTTGCAAATTTAAATAAACAATTGAAATGAGTTCAATTCGAATTTTTGTTGAATGATTTTTTTTTTTGTGTGTTTGTATGTGCTAAACTGTCGAAATGCTAATTAATTTAGTTGGCTATTTTAATGTTGTTCCAAACAATGTCTTCAATTTTTGCATATTACGAGCAATTTGTTGTTGGTTTTTTTATTTATCTTTTGTTTGCTTGCCATTCGAAAGCTTTTTAAAAAAAAAAATAATAATTTTGTACCATTGCCAACAAAATCATTTGTCAATTTTGAAAGATTTTTTTGCACAGTTTTGTTTTGTTTTGTTTTTTTCAATTAGCCAAAAATGATAGATCAATTAGTCCAGTACAGTTGAGGTATTTTTATTTGTATATTTGTATTTGCAGTAGTAGCGAACGTCACACAGAAACAGTAGAGTGGGATACAGTATAAGAGTAGTGGAGCGAGTGTATGTGTATGTGTGTTAAGTATAAGACACACAGATCATAGTGGACATAGTGGAAACAAGTGGGAGTAGTCACGCACACACATATAATAAAAAAGAATTTGTAATATAAGAAAATAGTTAAATAAATTAGCAACACATTTTCGTAAATGTTAATTTTGTTGTGAAGGTTTTATTTTGTTAAATTAGCCAGGCCAAATGGATGAATGCAATGCAATTAAGCCTTATACCATAAATGACCAGAAGAGCTTTATCCGACATATATATTGTATATCCAATGCAAAGATATAAACCTGTACTCGAAATAATACTAAATCAATAGATTATTACAAATTCGTGGAACATAATAAGCTTCCATTTAAAGGCTCCAATTCCGGGTAGCAACTTCAGAGATCCCATCCAGCACTCAAGAACTAGCTTACAGCATATATATAATATAATAAATCAAAAGCAAAAAACACTTTTACAATATAGTACTATTAAATGCATACTTTATTTATTACACTAAGCGTTCTAGCTTACATACAATAATAATATACCGTGCCTGATAATAACCCAGTGCGAGTATTATAATGCTTACTTAGGACTTACCAGAAACTTACAAATATTGTGTTAATTGATAGAAACAGTTATCGCATGAATTCATGCAGTTATAATTAAAAACCTTTTTAGATATTGATATTGATGAATTGTGTGTGAATAGTGTTAATATCACAAATGTGTAAGGCTTCCCGAACAAACTAAGTTAGTAAATATATTGAAGCAGCTAATGATCTAATATGCGATCATTAAGCAACTTTATCCGAAATAGTATCGACAGTTTTGGCTGTAGTCGTAGTTATAGTTTTATCGTCTACAACTAAGGTAACATCACTGTGAATAATCGAAAGGAGAAGAGCATAGGAACATGTTTTGGGATTAAGTGTTAGTTTTTAGTATTTAAAAGGAATAACCGGATGGCAGAGCAGAAGATTAGTAGATTGAAAGAGATAGTATACAGCATTAGGTGTGCTGGGAAATTGAAAAGTCAATTGATATTAGAATAGTACGTATAGTTAGAGGACAGTGATTAGTTACCCATTCAAAGACTTAGGCAGGCGGTGTGAAGTGTGCAGTATGTGTTTATGTACAAAGTGTGTGTGATTTTGTGTGTGTGATTTTGTGTGTGTGTGTGTGTAGCAAATGTTGTGATTTCATATGCAAAAATTATGATTGAACATACCTGGCATACGTCGAGTTGGCATTCTTTATCGAAAAGCTATTCTGGCTTGGTAACACAAAACGTTGCACCCACTGTTGAGAAAGAGTGAAAATCAAAGCGTTAGCTTGTTGTAGATGAACTTATCTTCAAGTGGCGACATGTAAAGCCTCTTAAAGTGTCTGCCGGCAGTCACGTAAATAGATAAAATACATTTCGCACGATAACCAATGTCATCACAAATTTTATGATTGACTGGTTAAATAGTCAATTCATAAACGGGCTTGTAGTCACGACTATTGATAAGCGTCGCCGGTTTTGTTACTACTTACCCGACTGTTTATCAGACGCTTATTGCCCATGCAGGCGGCCATATGTATTACAAGATATAACACAAATAGTAGGTATAATATTGCGAATATGCCTGGCAAAAGACAAAAAAGAGAGTAACATTAGTCGATTAAGTCAATTGTCAGCAATTCGATGGAATACTTACAGACAAGAGCCAACATGCCACCTTTAATTTCCAGGGTTTCCACTTGCACGACCACAAAGTACAAATTAACGCCAATTACCACGATGGTCAGTAATATGGAGGCGATTTTGTTGCCACTATCAGAAGAGATGATATTTAAAATACAAATACAAAACGGAAGATTCACAAAACACTCACATCCCATTCACAAATTCACCCATTATGGCCGCAGACGATGTGAATGCTATGGTCGGGATGGCTGCAAATGGCAGCTGGAGCGACATGACTGCATTTAGTATATCATTCATACTGGTTAGATCCTCCATTTTACTGAACATGGCCAGACAGAAGGTTGGTACAATGGCAATGCAACGCGTGACAAGCACGCGACACCAACGCGGCCATTGCAAATTGAGGAAACCCTCCATGGAGAACTGGCCCGCATACGTGCCAGTCATTGTGGAGCTCTGGCCGGCAGCCAGAATGCCCACGCCCCAAATATACATGGCCGCGGCGCCGAATGTGCAGCCCAGGAACAGGCCGCCCTTGTACAGATCCGGACTGATGATATCTGTATTATTATGACTGTCTTTAAACGCTAACCTGGCATCCTCGTACATGGGCTTGTTTTCGCACACATCCAACTAATAAAACGACAGTTATTAACGGTTAACAGTTAACAAATGTTAAAATTACATTTGACCTACCACATCCTGATTGGTCTTGCCGTACATGCCGTGCGCAAATACCGCCATAACAAACAGATTTATAATAAAAGACACAAACAGCGCTACGGAAGCCTCAATGAAGAAATAGAAATTCGCTTCGCTCACTTTCTTTGGCTGGCGACGATCCACATCGCGAGACTGTAAGCCAAATATAGGAGAGATTACAAAGTGGTTTACTTAATCATAATTATATAATTCCTTACCTTGACCAAAGCAGAGTGCAAATAGAGATTGTGTGGCATAATGACGGCACCAACTATGCCCACTGCCTGCAGCAGCACATCCGAATTGCAATCTTTGCACCAAGGCACAAACATGCCCTCCAACAATTCACCCTGATTGGGCTCGGAGACAATGTACTACAAGTTTAGAAAGAAAGCAAAAATGAATATTTAATATATAATAATGAGAATTGTAAAGAATGCATAAGGATCTTATGCAGAAAGTTAAATATTTGTTTGCATTAATCTGAAAAACAAACAATTATATAAATAAAAATTCCCCACAGATTCTCAGTACTCTTAGCAAACAACTCTGATAAGCTCTTAAAGATGAACCCCCTATCGCTTATCAGAAATAGCAGTTGCGGTGCTTTTCCGGCAATCGCAATGACACATAATAAGAATCTTATGAATAAAAATAGTTGCCATTTCAAGAACGAACCTACACTCGTCAACCACTTATTTAATCGTCTGACGCCCAGGCGGCAGTTCAGTTACATGATATAATTGTTTGTGTTTTGTCAGATATATACAAATATGGATGTATATATTTTAGTTATCATCACTGAGCAAAATGGACTGAGAAAAAAAGCAAACAATGCCAAAAAGATCATAACAATGGGAATGCAACGGGAATAGGGACGGCAACTGCGGTTCGACTCAATTGAAAGATATGGGCATGAGTAACGCCCCCCGACAGACGTGCTCGACAATTGCCTATTGCAATTTGTGACGATAGAACAAAATGCTATTAAAATGTGTTCAGCGAAAACAAAACGAAATAAAAATTAAAGAAAGAGGGTAAAAAATAACAACTGGCTAAACAGATTTGGCTTATTTGTATGCCCGTAAAGCATTTAATTTGGGAGCCACCTGAAAAGGGGAAGTTATTCTGGGTAATCACAATTTACTTACCTCATAGCCGAATGTGATGGCCATGACAGTGATTAAGAAACCAAATAGGAACTCCAGTTTACGTAAGCCATACTTATCCAGAAATAGGAACGTAAATGTATCAACAATGGTGATCAGAACACCACCCCACAAAGGCACACTGCAACAAATTAACGAATCGATAGTGTTAAGCTCAATCTTAAATATGATGTATATGTATATGTATAATGAATGTAGACATACACTTTATTGGATAGCAGATATATGGCAATGGCCGTGCCAATGACCTCCTGCATATCGGAGCCAATGATGGCAATCTCAATCATAATCCAGAGTATCCAACGCGGCACACGTTTGTATTGCCGATAGCACATCTCCGCCAGATGCAGGCCAGTGACAACGCCCAGCCTACGTGTAAATAGTATATAGTATATAGATATATATATCGAATAGCTGATAGCGAGAAGCTTACCTTGCAGCCAAGCGTTGCATAAGCAGGCCCAATACGGTGGCCCATAACAGCACCCAGAGTATTTGATATCGGGCTGCGGCGCCCGATTGCATATCGGATTCAATATTGCCGGGATCTAGATACGCAATGGACATGAGAAAACCGGGGCCAGTGAAGGCCCACAGCTTGCGAAAGCTGAAACCGATCTGTGTACATAAAGTTATTCGTTAATTAAATATGCAAACAATGTATTTATTTAAAACGTACATTTAGGCGCTCATCGTCGGGTATCAGCACCTTTTCGTCGCTGAAATAGGCCTGTTTCGAGGGCTTCAGATATGTGTTCTCATCGAGCACCTGCTGGTGCAACTGCCTGCTGTTTCCGGCGGCAGCAGCGGATCCATTGCTGCCACGCGCACTATTATAGCCAGAACCTGAAGCCTGTTCATCGCCAGCGCCAGCTGCACCGGGCTCTATTTTATTGTGATATCCCTCATTTGAGGCCATGCTGTGAAATATTTGAAATATATTGAATATAACTAAATTAAGTACATTTTTTAAGGCCAGTACGCGACAAACAATTCAATTTGAGAGCGTAGTCTAACAAAAAATTAAATATCTACATAAATCTATATTAATTATTTAATATTGAATTAATATTTATTTATTTTATTAATGGAAACGATTATTTATGTATTTATTACTTTATTGTATTAATTATTATATTTATTGTCTTCAACATAGCTGTTTGGAAATAACGAAAATAATATTTATAATACAATTTCCTGGTTTGACAGAATATTAAAAACAAACAAATATTCTGCAAAATATTGTAATAATTATATCTATCACTATAGACAAGCCTCACTGTATTTCGATAAGAAAATTAAAAGTATTTATTTATTTGAATTTCGCAAGGAAATGTGTTAATTGTATTAATAAATAGATTGAAATTGTACCAAAAACATTGAAGCGCAGTCTCTTACTAAATTCGCGATTTTTTTGTTGTTATTATTATAAATAAATTGTATATAAGCAATTCAATAAAAATAAAAAAACGGAATTCGTGATGGGCATTTATACAGCTGTGTGTGAGTAATTCAATATAAGCAAAACGAGCATATTTAAAATGAACCAAACACGTGAAGAGTTTTTTATAGTTATTTTTAACAAATAAGGTTACCTGTTGCACAAGCTGCAGGTGAATAACCTAAGTAGCAAATACGTTGAAACTTTGAGAACTTTGTGTATCTCTCTCGTTTTTTCTTCTTATTTATTATGCCCTATTCTTTGCAGCTTTTTTGGCCAGAAATCTGCACATCATGTCTATGCCTAGTATAATTATGTATATATGGATATGTTAGCTTTGTCGTCTGGGCATGTATGGAGCTTGTTGGAAATACCAGTCGTCTGGTTCACCTTGACAAACGCAGCTTTCGAGCTCGCTGGCTCCACTGAGATGTTAAAGCTATCGACTTGTCGACTTAACTAATGAGCCAAATCATATGAATTGTCTAATTATGCTTGGCGCCATTTAAAGGCCCCAACTACATTGGGTATAGATTTTCATTTTATGGTTAATTGTTGCGACTCAAAGTGAAATAGTTGTTGCTGAAGTTCTCTTGAATTGCTGTTTTGACTGATGGCAATGGATTTTTGCTTAGACAGTTGCCGCATATTAACGGTAAAATGTGTTATTTCAACAAAAACGAGTGCTGCTTATCAGCAGCTGTAATTATAAATAGATGGTTGGTGTTTTATTTTGAAACACCTGAGTTGCGATAACTCGTTGAACAAATCGACGGACTCATATTTATATATTTATGGAACCTCTTCGTGCTTATCACTCATAACTACTCTCAAAAATATGTTTTTTGTCATCTTATCATGAAATGAAATAAATTATTTACAATCCGTTGCACGTTTAAAATATTTTGGAAACTAAAGTAGATTGTGAAATATATCAAATAAGTACGGTAGTCTTCATTTTTTTGGGACGTAGATTTTCTTTTTTTTTTTTTTTTTTTTTTTTGTAGGCAAACAACAAGTTAATTGCGTCGCTAAATTTGCGCAGATCCATTGAATATATAAATGTGTGTATATAGTACTTAAGTGGACAAAAGTCTGTTCAGCCAGCAGTTGATGCTATTAAAACTGTGTGAAAAAAGACAGTGGAATAAATCAGTATTGGCTGATAACAAAAAAAAATACATCATTTAATTGCGCTCATTAGTTTTACACCTGTATGAACTGAGTGCTGTGCACACAGCAAACGCATTTGCACAAAAATTATACATGTGCATATTTTTGCTTGTCATATTTAATTGCGTCTAACAATTTCCTGCACTTGAGAACTAATAAATGCAAATGTGCTGACTTTAAATTATGCATAATAGTTAAGCTAATTGAATTCAATTGGGAATTCGTACGATTGTTTTAGCTATAATATTTTCGATAAGAACAGGGCTTATCATAAATATTATTAACGACTTCCAATTGTCAAGAAATCATGGCAACTGCCGGCCACAACAGAGAGAATCTCTCTCTCTCTCTCTCTCTCTCTGTGACGCACATCTATTTCCTATGACACTCTCTCTCTATCTCTCTCGCTGGGCCGGCGTGTGTGTGTGTGCGTGTTTTATTCTCTTCGAAATTTGTTGTTCTTTTTTTGGAACACCTGCACGCACACACACACACACAGACACTCGCTCAAACAAACACATGTGTTGTGGCAAAAGAGAAAATACACAAAAAAAAAGTGATTAGATGTGCACAAAACTGTACATCATAAATTACATACAGAATAGAGTCAATTGCACTGTATGCGAATTGGCAATTAAAAGACAATTAACTTAAACGACACGTACTTGCGACAGCTCGATGATTGGTAGGCGGCAGTAAAATTACAAAATCAACACAGCTTCAAAGATTATTGATGTCTATGTTAATCAATTACAATTACACAAACACAGGGGAAACCGAACAGAACGTGCGTTTATTATTGCCTATTTATTGCTTCTTGCATAGCCGTATTTATGAAATTCCTTTCGGTGACGTTGACCGTTGTTCGGTTCAACTTTTGGGGACGAGTTGCCAGCGTCAAAGGTTCAGCATTGTCTCTGCCACTCACACACTGCAATTCTCAATATTCGCGTGTTGTCTTCAATCAATCGCACGCGCGTCAAGCAATTTAGCAACATCCACGACGCGTTCAATTATTTGTGTTTCTATTTTTACTATGTTTTTCCTTTTTCTGTTTTGTGTTTTATTAATTAATGTTGAGCAGCCAGCTGCTTGCCTTTTCTTTCGCACTCACGGCCAGGCTATTTACGCCAAACAGCTGTTCGAACTTCGAAAAACGTCCAACTCAATATCAGCGTTGGGATATCGATATATCGATACGTCGATTTCGTGGTAATTTAGTCCAAACGAACAGCTGCTGCCCAGCTCTGCGCGTTGTCGTCGTTGGACGTTGAGTGACTGCCAGACTGGCATTCATTGCCCCTATATATATATATATGTATATATCTATATATATGTGCATACATATACAGCACGTAAGTGTGTTGAAATAGAGAGCAACAACGCTCACGAGTCCCACTGATAACGTCTGTGAGAGCAAAAGCGAACTTGTGATGGGGGATTTTGTGATAATGCTCCTGGTGAAATATTCGATATACATATGCTAGTTTGATCACTGGACGAAGGACAACAACAAAAAAGTACTTGCTGTGTCACAAGTGCTTAGCCTTCCGTTACAATTATGCCGCTATCAGTAACAGCGGGTTCTCGTTTTTTCTTTTCTCTTGCTGGCATTGACTGATAGAGCACATTCATATATTAATATTAATCTCTCCAATAATTTTGACAGACAATACAGGACAGTATCAAGAACGCTTATCGCTACACGCACAAGTTATCATAATCCCCGTTGACATCTAGCCGGCCCAATTATTTGGAGCGACAATTTTTGGCGATCTGATTGATACGTGATCGCTATCAAAAGAATGTGATTTTTGTATATAAAAAGAAGCCTGCGGCTTAAATGAATATATACAATTAAACATATTGTGACACAAATATGAGAATTGAACGAACAGCTACAATTGTGAAAGAACCCCAAGGAATCGGTAAACTTGCATTTTTCTTTGTCAACTGAAACTGCAAAATTGAATTGTGATGATTCATGCACATTTACAACTGATTATGAACAAGTGGGAAGTTCCTCAGCATTACTTTACCAGATGTTCCTCAATTGGGTATATTCTGTATGTACATAAATATATTTACAGATGGTTTTTGACTTTTAAAAATTAACAAGTGCCCACGATGTTCAGCTCCTTAACCTCCTTCTGTGTCAGAACTGATTCAATTTAATAAATTATAAATAAAAATCGTCATTAAATTTTGTAAAATTATTACGTATTTATTACCTGTTCGCATTTTTAAATTTATTTAATTCAGTTATCAAAATGAGTATTTGAAATCTGAAGTTTAATTTGTTCTTTGGATTAACAAATTACCTGTGAATATTCAAATAAAAAAGGATTGTAATTTTCTTGTACAATTTTAGACCAGTGAAAAATACATTTTTTGTATATAGTTAATAATAAACTTTATTATGCTTTTCTTAAGCAAAAGAACAGACTTTTTGCTGTCAGTGTCCTTAACATTCATATTGAAAACATTTATAGACTTTATACAAGTGAGCACACTTTTGACACATTTACTCAAAACATTCCAAAACAAATACAATTAAATATATTAGAATTTGCACAAACATTTTTAAAAAACTTTTTGCTATGTATAAAATGCATATAAATAGGTTTTGGCATATTTTTTTCAAAAAATACGCACATAAAAATACAAAAGAATGTAAAATACAATTTTTTAAATCGAATATGAATGATGTATGTAAAAAATGGAATATATATATTGCGTGTGGCTTTATAATGTAACAAATATTACAATAATTAGAATAACGCCAACGTCTTTTCGTTGTAAGTGGGGCAAACAATGAAAAATGATATAATGGTGAATTATGACTCGGTATTTTGATTAAACAGTCAGTATTTTCATGATCTCAGTGCTAAGTGGTTAATAAAATTTGAATTTGTTCTGAAAGCAATTTCAAACGGAAGCATTTTCATTTTTTTGTTGATGCCTGGCCCTTGCCAGAAATTAGGAGCTTTGATTAACAACTTGCACATAATTGGCCGGAAAGAGGCCATAACGATTCTTGCACAATCCACGCCACCAGCCATCATCGATCTTCTCGATGTGTGTGACAACATCATCGGGATCAAAGGATATTTCATCATCATCAGCTGCCTGATAATCATAGAGAGCAATTGCATGGGTCCCTGTATCCTCCAGATAGTCCGACAAATTGTCCGAGTTGGCATAGATGGCCTCCTCGTTTGCCCCATTGGCAGCTGGTGCTGGTGATCCGGCTGCTTGTGGCAAGGGCGACACAGACTTAACCTCAGCATGGTTTTGATAGATTGGCTCAGGTTCTGGTTGCGGCACCGGTTCTTGTTGCGGCACCGGCTCTGGTTGTGACTGCACCTGTGGCTGCTGTTTCTGCTGCTGTTGCGGCTCTGGTTGAGGCGTTGGCTCCACGGCTGGCACATGAGCCGGCGATTGTGGCTCACTGCGCGGTGGCGTCGCAACAGTCTCAATCTCTATTTGGGGCACCACATCAGGCGGTGGTGCACTGACTTTCGGCTGTGCGACCGCAACAGGAACTGCTGCTGGTGCTGCTGGCGCGGCTGGCTGGTCAACCACGGCGGGCTTAACTGCTTCGACTGGCGCTGGATCCTTGGGTATGACAATTTGCTCCTTGCGCGCCGGCGGCGTGTCTGTCACAGGTGACTGCATCTGATTGAATGCACTGATAGCATTGCCAATGCCGCCCGAACGACCCGTCTGGATGGCTGTCCGGCTGCCTTTGGCGGGCGGAGTGCGCGCCTCGTCGGCAGAGGGTAGCGGCGTGTTCTCCACAATGGTTTGCTTGGCGGCCTCCTCGCGATCGCGCTTATCTTTGGCCTCCCGCAAGCGCTTCTGCTCCTCGGCACGCTTGCGCGTTTCCTCCTCGGAGTTCTTGGCCAAATTCTCGAATTTGGCGCGCAAGTTAGAGGGTTTGGCACCCTCAATGATGGGCTTTACTTTGTGATCCACCTGGCTGGCGTGCTTCTGGGGCGCCTCAATGTGATCCCAGCCGACGGCCGATTTATCTTTGCGATCTTCCTGTACGCCAAATTTACCACCAAAGCCCTTGGAGTAATCTGCAAGCGTAATAGGATTAGAGAACTGTCAATAAGGTGATTCATTAAAGGTTAATCTGCGCTTACCCTTCTGGGACTCGTGCTTTTCCACCTTTTCGATGTGATCCCAGCCCACGGCCGACTTATCCTTGCGATCCTCCTGTACGCCAAATTTACCACCAAAACCCTTAGAGTAGTCTGCAAGTTTACATTTAGTTTTTATGCACTGAGTACGAAGTTCGTAGAAGATTATTTACCCTTTTGGGACTCGTGCTTCTCCACTTTCTCGATATGATCCCATCCGACGGCGGATTTGTCCACGCGATTCGTTTGCACGCCGAATTTGCCGCCAAAGCCCTCGCTGTAGTCCACTTGCGATGCATGCTTGTCCACTTTGCCCTGGTAGTCGTGGCCCACAGCCGATTTGTCCATGCGATCCTTTTCAACGCCAAATTTGCCACCGTAGCCGTAGCCAGCATTCTGATCCTTTAACAATTGCTTCTTCTTGTTAAAATCCGATTTTTCAGTCTCTTCGCGCAGCTTATCCATACTGTTGTTGTTGGTTTGTGTTTTTTTGGTTAAAGAGATTAATCATAACGGTAATAATAATGACTCACTCAATGGCGCCGCCTCCATCGCGTCCGCTGCCATCAATTGTCTTTGAGCCCCAGCGCTGCTCTTGTTCGCTGACATCGTTCACGAAATCTGGATCCGTTTCCCAGTCATCGTCCTCGGCAGCGCTTGTTGCCTGTATCTGGTGACCGGCGCTTGCTTTCCACATACTATTACGGCTAATTCTTATCTGCGTTCAACGTTGGCAACAAAAAGATAAAAACAAATGACAGGTCTTTTTTTCATTTTTTCTTGAAAAAAATGTTGATAGTGAAAGGGAGGGGCTAACTCGCCGACTTCTTTTTGTAGCCATTGTTTATACACTTACTGGGTTTTAAACAGTTACCAAACGAACAAGACTATGCCAAAAGAGCTAATAAATTTGCAGAACACTTTTGCTTTGCAAGTGTTAAGCTATTAACAATTAATTTAAATACAATGCAGCTGCACGGTACGCCAGACCCAATACCAATGAGCCAGTCGAAATATCGAACAGTTGAAATCGATTACCACTTGTTCAAAAGAACTGCATCTAGCAGTGTGGTTTCAGTGTTGCACAACATTGCAATTCAAAGTGCGCGCCAGCGAATAATTCTTCAACACTTCATTGTTTACTACCATAGCTTAGTTATTATCTGACCTTGTTATCAGCATATATCCAGCTTCCAGTCGCATGAATCATCTATTTGATACTGATATTGCTAATACAAACATTTGTACATACAAATGTAATTACATATGAATGCGCAGACTGAGATCAAATATAACAAAAGCTGGCGATTTTTATATCATCAAAGCGAATACGTAAAACATAAGTAGGACGTGAGAGAGAGAGAGATAGAGAGATAAAGAGAGAAATAAAGCTTTTCAGACACAGTACAATACAATGACGTCATTTATTGGCACCAATGCTCTCTGAGAGATAATTTTAAAACCAGGGCTACAACACTATAGTTTCATAAGTAGCTTAAATTTATTTAGTTTTTTAATTTTATTATAAATGCATATCACATGTACCATAACTAATGCAATTATCAAATAATAAACAAAAAGTCCAAATATATATTACTGGGACTAAACAAACTCCCAACAAGAGTCCCGCTCTTTACATAATGTTCGCCACCTCACCAACACCCAAATTAAGCTCTCTCTCTGTGTCGCTCTTGGATCCGATACACCGGCTTCTACAGCGCATATAAAACCTCATGCCAAACGCAAAGCGATTTCAGTATTTAATTCACATCGAAAAGAGCTCGTAGTGCTTAACGGCAAACTTTGTACGTATTTTGTGAGAATATCACTTGGTAAATTTTTAGAATTCCTCTCTAGTTGCTATTTTGTTTATTTTCGCTGTGCTTTTTATACATGTATATATATATATATATATCTGCATACATATGCATATACATATTAAAGTGTGTATGTAAGTCAAATGTAAGACCCCCATATCTGTTGAGGCCGCTGTCAACAACAAATTTAAGTGAAAAGTAATTAAGAATACAAACAAAGTGTTTAAATATGATTTTTTGGGCGCGTCCGAAAATGATAATATCTATACGTGGCACTTATAGTCAGCAATGCTTTATAACAATATAAAAGGCACACAAATACAAGCACTTTTTCATTTTTTGGTATGTTTGTACGTATTTCTGCACCCGAGTTGGACGAAAGATGACATCATCAAAAATTGTTCAAATGAAGCTGCACACAAACTTTAACGGTGCTCATTTTGTCAGCGCGCGCTCTCAACGCTCTCTCCTCACTCCTCCACTCTGCTCTCAACGCTCGCTGCTCTCATTCGCAGACGCGTGTGACTTTTCCAGCCAAAGTTTTTCAATTGGCTTTTCAATTGAATAGGATGGAAATAAATACATATATGATGGATGCTTCAGTGTCGAATTATAATTCTGTTTATCAGACAGCGGCAAATTGAGCTCGGTTCCGCCATCTTCTTTCTAAGTACAAACTTAATTTACAATCTCGAGTGCCAATCAAGTCAATTGCCCTTAGTCAATCTGTTGTTGTACAGTAAAAACTGTGTGCATGTCCAATGAGACCGACCGCATTCCGCAACAAAAGCTTTTAAAAAACAAAACTCGATAATTGCAATTGCATGCCCACAATTATAAGGTGCGTCATCAAGGTTTATTATAGTTAGTTGGCTAACTAGCAAAATGTATCACATTTTGAAAAATGTGAATAAAAACATAGACCTCAAGGTACAGTCAGTCAGTCTTTATGTTTCTTATTTTCCATTAGCAACGACTACCAAAATTTATTCACACATGTTCATGTGTCACGAGCTTTCTGTAGTTGTACGCTGCTAACAAAAAAAAAAAGAAGAAAAAAACAATTACAATCTTAAGCTAAAGATTCGCTAACCATTGCGGTTAACAAACCCAACTTTCCAGTAAATCCAGTTTCTTTAAGCGTTCGTCACATGCTCCGCCCACATTAGCCTACTTTTGACGTCACAGTTAAGCGATCTTGAAATCAGCCCATGTACTTACAGCATGATTCATGACATGAGTCTCAGTAAGATGACTAGCAGATGTGATGAATCTACAAACTATTTATATACACACAAATCATTTGTATACAAATCGTGGAGTTAACGGCATATTTTAGTTGGAAAATGCCCAAAAGTCTTCTGATAGTTGTGGCGCATTCCAAACAACTTTCCAAGCGCTTTTCTAGCGCTTGTTCATTTGGTTGTTGCGTGTTCCACAAAAGCAGGCAAATTGATGGCCACAAAAGAGAAGCACACCAACAAACGCTTCTATGTTTCTGTGTGTTGTGTGTGTGTGTGTGTGTGTTGTATGTAAAACTACATACATTTCAACCGGTTCTGGCTATAAACTCTTTTGATTTTTTCTTAGCTTGGCTTATTTGTTTATGGTAGGTCTAGAGGCGTTGTGGTGCCACGTCATGTTTTTTTTTCCTCCTTCTTAATTTTCACGTTTTTGTTGATTTTTCATGTTTGCTGACGTTTTTTTTCCTCTGCTAACGCGAGTTGTTTTCGTTTGATTTATTATTAAGAATTTAGATGCATATTGATTGGCATAGCATTTGTTCCACTTGATTTTAAGAGAACTTCCCTTATGTGGTCTTCTAGCATGAGCTCATCCAGTTGAGTTTGGTTTAGTAATTCAGTGAGTTGATGTGTTGAGTCTGCTGCTAGAAAATATCTTGATTACGCATACGCAATGCTGACTGCACCCACAGTTTTTTTTTCTTTACTTTTTTTCTCCTTATCAAACGAGCGTAGCGCAAACGCCCATTTCTATTTCAAACTTTCACTTTTCCGCTGTTCGTTGAACTCTATGAAAACCACTGAATGAGGGAAATAATGTCAATATTGTTTATTGTTGGTTGTCGCTAGGGCGCCACAAAGGCTACGAGTCGTATGCGTGGATGTGTTTCCCTCCCAATGTTTGATGATGTCATGCGGGCGGCAGGTTTATGTATTCCCATAGCTATTTAATGCGGACATTATGTTTTTGTGTGTTTTGACCCTTGTCGTACAACAATTTTCAGGCCTCCATTACAATAATCGAGAGACTCGCAGTATTCGTTAGATCAGTGTTAATTATATTTGTATTTTACGCATTTACAGATTTAAACCCCAAACAAAGAATCTAAAGAAGACAAGAGGCAATCATGAGCTCCGCTGAGTACTATCCATTCAAGGTGAGTGTATGAATAAGTTTGAAATATTGCATGAGATAAGCGAATGTGCCAATATTATTATTATTATCGTTATTGGTAATTAAACCATTACGTTTTAATCGAGTGGTACTCGACTCGACACTTTTAATTATGCAGATAAAAAAATATAACACTAAAACTATGTGCAAAATTTACAATGCATTTGTTTAGATGAGTCAACATACTTATTATATTCATGTATAGATGAGGGAGTGCTCAGTACGTGTGCTACGTGCATTCATCGATTATTCACGATTATTCATAATCGTATTACGTATTCATTTCAGTTGCGAAATAAATAAATAATAAATACAGTGTACAGTACATTATTATTCGTGGTGAATACTATTTATAAATCGTACAAAGCGAGTTACTAAATTTTAAATTCAGTCCAGTTTTATGGGATCTCAAACAAAGATATAAAAAATTCAATTCAAAAAAAAAAGATGGGAAAATGATTTTACTTATTAGATTAGATTTAGTTAATATCTTCATGTTCAATACTTGTGAGTGAGCACTGTACTAAAATTGATTTCAATTTGCATTTGCAGTGCACACCCACCGTTTACCCCGCGGATCCCTTTGATCCCGTTGAGGATGCGGCCATTCTGCGCAAGGCGATGAAGGGCTTTGGCACCGATGAGAAGGCGATCATTGAGATTCTCGCTCGTCGCGGCATCGTCCAGCGTCTGGAGATTGCCGAGGCGTTCAAGACTTCCTACGGCAAGGATCTGATTTCGGACTTGAAGTCCGAGCTGGGCGGCAAGTTCGAGGATGTGATTGTGGCGTTGATGACACCGCTGCCCCAGTTCTATGCACAGGAGCTGCACGACGCCATTTCCGGCTTGGGCACCGATGAGGAGGCCATCATTGAGATTCTCTGCACATTGTCCAACTATGGCATCAAGACCATTGCCCAGTTCTACGAGCAGGGCTTTGGTAAGTCCCTCGAGTCCGATCTGAAGGGCGACACCAGCGGCCATTTCAAGCGCCTGTGCGTCTCCCTGGTGCAGGGCAATCGGGATGAGAACCAGGGCGTCGATGAGGGTGCCGCCATTGCCGATGCAGAGCTGTTGCATGCTGCCGGCGAGGGAATGTGGGGCACCGATGAGTCCACCTTCAATTCAATTCTGATCACACGCTCATATCAGCAGCTGCGTCAGATTTTCCTCGAATACGAGAATCTCTCCGGCAACGACATCGAGAAGGCCATCAAGCGTGAGTTCAGCGGCTCCGTGGAGAAGGGTTTCCTTGCCATTGGTAAGTCATTCTTAAATTTTTGTAAATACTCTATTTATATATTTGTTATTAATTGTTTAGTCAAGTGCTGCAAGTCCAAGATCGACTACTTCTCCGAGCGTCTGCACGACTCGATGGCCGGCATGGGCACCAAGGACAAGACGCTGATCCGCATCGTTGTCAGCCGCTCAGAGATCGATTTGGGCGATATCAAGGAAGCATTCCAGAACAAGTACGGCAAGAGCCTGGAATCGTGGATCAAGGTAACTATTGCTCCATATATATATCGTATGTATGCTAACATTCTTAAAGATAACATTTGTGGTGTTGGGCACTGCTCTAGATGTGCACTCAGTAGAAAATAGTCGTCACAAAGTTGATTTACATACATATATAAATACATAATTATTCCTCCTAGCTTCATTATTCGCTTAACCATATCGAGTTGTAAATGTTACATTTCATGGCATTGCCAACAAGCAGAACAAGCTACAGTTACATTTAACAGCTTTGTAAAGCTTTAAAGCTTTACCCATGCTCTGTTATTTACATAACTAGTAACTAGTATCAGCAGAATGTGTACAGTTTAACCCCATGTTCACATACAGTTTTTCCCGTTTATCGCTCTCGCTCTGTCTCTCTTCTAAATGCAATTTCATTTAATATTCCCGTTCAGTTTATCAGTTGTACACTCATATTTTGCTTATATTCTTACTTCATTTGTGTGCATTAAACATTAAAACTTGCCATATTCTATATTTTTTAGGGCGATACATCTGGCGATTATAAGCGTGCCCTATTGGCTATTGTTGGATTGTAAAAAAGAACTCACCCTCACAAAAAGAAAAGAAAAGAAAAACCAACAAAAAACTTGTCACTGTCGTGTCTGTTCCATGCCCTAAGCCTTATCTTATACACAAATTGTACAAAAATTCGACTATCGAATCGAATAGTTAATGCGCAGATATACATATATATATATATATATACTTAATATATACAAACTTTTATACACACTATAAGGATGTACGAATGCAAAAATGTGGAACCTTTTTGATAAGAAAACGCAGTGCATTTAATTAGGCCGTCAGAACTACAGTCGCATCACATGTTAAATATTATACATATAATTATGCACATTCATTGCACCTAATTTTATCTAAATTTTTACAATGACTATACACGCATATATGTGTAGCTTATGGTTTCTGTTAAACTTTTTACACATTTTTCGAGTCTCATTTGCAATGGTTTAAGTTACATTATTGTTTAATAAAAAAAAAGAAACAAAAACAAAACGCAACAATAAAACAAAAATTAAATCAAATCAGACGCCATTTTGTGCCGTAAACATTTGAATTTTATTTGCCGCATGCTATGCCATGCCATGTTACTAACAGTGCGCTGTAAGCGTTTAACATAACACCTAACACGGTCAAGCGGTTACTTTGTAGCGCACTGAGCAACTTAATACTACAACAACAACAACAATTAAAATGTATACAAAATAACGCGTTTTATGCTCTGCTCTTTTTACGCTTCCCCCTTACGCAATTTACAACACTCGCACAGGAGGATGCAAACACAGAAATCGGATATTTACTTGTGACTCTCGCCGCTTGGTAGAAGAGAGAGAAAGAGGGCAAACCTTGGCGCCAAGTATAAGAGTTGATTTTTCAACACTGCAATAGAAATGCCAAAAAGAACTTTGCATTTTCGAAGATAACAAAAAAAAAAACACAAAAGAAAAAAATTTAAATAACCGCTGAATTTATTAATGTTTGTGATGTGCTTAATTCTCAATTATGTTTCTCATTGATAAACTGGTTAAAGTATTCGCCAAAAAATCGACTCTGTAATAACGTCTAACGTGCAATCATCTGATATTTATACTCTTTTGCGAATTAATTAAATTATAACGATTTTCACATATTTTGTATACATTTTATTTGTAAATTCTGCAGTAGTTTGTGCTTGTTATTAACAAAATAATAAAAATGGAACAAACCGTTTGCAAGTTGAATTTCCAGTTTTAAACAAATCAAATATTCTTTTTCTTTCGGTTCATTTACAGGATGATATTTCCGGCGATTATAGCTACGTCCTGCAGTGTTTGGCTTCTTACTAAATACCGTATATGAATTATACACAAATGCATACATCACATAGAAACAAACATACATTTCATCAATTGTTGTATTCTCTTTTTGTTTAGTCAACTTTTAACTTAATATAAAATTTGTTTTCTTCAAAAATTCTTAACTATTATAAGTGACTTTCAATATGGAATATGATTTTTGTGCTTAATTTAAGGCCAAATAGCAAAACTTATTTTTTTATACAAATTGGAAATACGATTGAGGTCAACGTGGTCGGGTCCCGACCCGGGTCAAAGATCACTTGGCCACACGCTCCTCGTAGGCGGCCCAGAGGCGATCGCTGTAGGTGAGCGCCGCCTTCTCCACATTGGCCGCCTGGAGAATGCCCCGTCCAACAACGCCAATGTCGGCACCGCGCTCCTTGATCACATGCTCGGGTGTGTTATACTGCTGGCCCAGCTTATCGACGCTCTCGTCGATCTTAACGCCCGGCGTTAACTGTATGAGACCCGGAAAGGCAAAGCAACCGGTTGACTGACAGACGACACCGGTCACAAAGTCGACGTCGCCACCCTCGGTGGCAATCTTATTGCTGTTCTCCTTGTACTTCTCATCAATCAGATTGCCATTGGCCGACATTTCGGCCAAAAGGAAAACGCCTCGTTCCTTGGCAACATCGTTGCCGTCAAGCGCCGCCTTCAGGCCCTGGACAATGCTCCGTCCGGGCAGCGTGTGTGCCGTGACCAGATCCGCCCAATCGGATATCTTATAGATACCCTTGCCATACTGCAGGGCCACCGTGTTGCCAATATCCGCAAACTTGCGATCCTCCAGCAGCAGGAAATTGTGACGAGCTGACAGCGCTTTCAGATTGACTATGAAGCTCTCAGTGAAGTCCTCCACAATATCCACATGGGTCTTGAGCAGACAAATGTATGGTCCACACTTGTCAGCCATGTCCAGAATGGCATCCGCCTTGGTCAGATCGGCGGCCAAGCAGAGATTCGTTTTCTTGGTGGCCATCAGGTTGAACAGACGCTTGGCCAACGGACTCTTGGCCAAGTTGGCGCGACTCTCGTAGGTCAGTTTGGTGCGCGAGAACTCATTGGCTGTTCGAAATTTAAGATAATCATTATCAGCAGATATTATTTAAAGCAAATGCGATTACACTGTGCGACAAACAAACATGGATTAGGAAACAAGTCGGGGCAAGTAAACAATAAGAATTCAATCAATAAATCAATCTTTAAAAAATTTAAAGAGTAAAATATGAATTGTATTCCGACGTTGATCATTTGTTGTCCAATTATCTTGGGGAGTAAAAGGGATTTTCCTAATAATAAATGGCAGCTATATGATATAGTGATATGATCTGTCAGTTTTCAACAAATATATGCTGTCTGCAGCAAATAGACATCAATGTAAACCAAGTTTCATCTAGATAGAAATCATAAAATCAACTTGGCTAGTGATATTGATCAGGAAGATATATAATTTATAATTATATAAAGTAAACCGGAGAATTGATGCCGACCTTCATCTTGAAATCGCCAAATTTAAATAGTTATCTTTTGGCAGCACCTTTGACAAAGAAGCCAATCCCCATTTTGAAGCTTTCAAGTGTATCTATTTTGATTACAGTGTATATCAACCTAAATAGATAATATAGATGGAAGAGAGGAATATAAAACCCGTTTGGTTTAATCATACGCTATCAGAGCAGCGTTAATAAAATTAGACACAATAATCGTACAATATCGTGGCATCAATTGCTGGGATCATATTATATAACAACTGATATGAAAGCAAATTAGACAATTTAGGAGCTGAACAGACAACAACACTATTTATAACGACCTGCCCTAATTGACAATGGACTATAGCTGGATGGACTGATTAAATTTGGGGTTGGCTTTCGGCTCTGATGCTAAACCTAATCAGACTACGGATTGGGGGGATGGGAGGTGTACTTTTCCTAAATTAGCACGCGCGAATGTCATGTTTTCATTATCGTTTAATATCTGGGATTCACTGTGCTCCCCCTGCAACTGCACCTGGGGATTCCGTTTCTGACCCCTCCGACTTACCCGCCTCATGTGGCTTATCGCCGCCAACGAATGAACCATCGCTGTTTATTTGGACAGCCGCAATATACTTGGCAACCGCATCCACGGTCTCTCGCTCGATGCGACCCTCCTCGTGCAGCGTGTTCAGCAGAAAGGAAAGAGTAAACAGGGAATGCATGCGAACGCCATGTTTGGCAATGTTGGCAACGCCGCCCTGTTCCCGATCGACGACAACCACTGCATCCGTGCAAACAATGCCTTCACTTTTCAGATCACGCACCGTATCCAAAATACTCGAACCGGAGGTGACTACATCCTCGACAATTAAACAAGTGTCGCCGGCGTGATAGATGCCCTCGATGAGCTTCTTGGTGCCATAGTCTTTGGCCTCCTTACGGCGCACCAGCATCGGTGTGTGCTGCTGCACGGATACAATGGTGGCCAGTGGCAGAGCCGTATACGGAACACCGCAAACGTGCTTCGAGCTCAGCTGCAGTTCCTTGATGTGAGCCACCAGCAACTCGGATACGGTTTTCTAACAAAGGGAACAAAAACAAAAAAAAATAAAAACACTTGTTAATCATTCTCTCTCTCTCTGTCTCTCACCATAACATCTGGATAGCTGACGATGACACGCAGATCAAAGTAAACCGGAGAATTGATGCCGACCTTCATCTTGAAATCGCCAAATTTAAATGCATTGATCTCAAACAATTTGAGCGCTAACGCTTTCATTTGATCGGCATTCTTGGTCACCATTTTGTATATGGTTCTACTCCGTATTGCAAATGTTTAACCTACACTAAGTTAATAGCCACGTTATATACACGTGCGAGTTGCGCTTACAACTTACAAACACGTCCGCTCACCGCTGGCAAACAACAAACATTAAAAAACGAGCGCTGCATCGCAAAGGGAAGTGCGACTCTTTACTCAAAAGGCACTGCTTTAAGCAATGGGAGCTGTTAACTTAACATAGATGAATGAGAGTTATGGTATTCCCTTTTGTTGCATATACATTTGCTCACAATAATTGTGAGTGAAATGTGTTTTTTTTTGGCCAACCTTGTCATTTCTGTTTAATAATTATGATTAAATATTAATTATTGAATTGCTTGAAATAATAAATAAATTAAAGGAACTTGATATGTTAACTATCGCACATGACAAAATGTATCGATGATTACAGAAATTCACATAAATCGATTTCTGCTAAAGCGGGCAGCAACAGGTTGAAAGTAAAACGAATTTTATAAGAAATAAGTAAAAATGTCCATAAGAATGAAGAGGTTCTTTGCTTGAACAAATTAAACTTTTATATAAAAAGCTAATAGCAAAAAAACCAGAGAAATAAACACATTGGCTTTTTTTATAGGTGATTATAATTTATTAGAATTTTTATCGACTTAAGGTATATATATATATATATAAATAAAATGTTATTCAAGTACAAAGTTATATATACTCATTATTTTTATTTAATTCAAGTAAATATAATTCAAAGTGTGTGTGTGTGTGTCTGTGTTTTCTTCTTGCTATATTAGGTAAGTACAATTTACTGTGTTCTTGCTTTCCATTTGCCGTACATCAGCAGTTTTATCAACTTAATTATCGTTTTTTTTTTTTTAAGTCAAGTGTTGTCGGTTGTTCATTGAATTTGGATCACAAAACAGTAAATGTCTTAAACGAATCGAAATTTTATTTAAATTAAACATAGTTAAAACAAAGTTTTAGTTGTGTAATTATAAAAATATTGTAGCTGCTGCTTGTCACTTGTTCTTCTCTCCACTTACATTTCATTATTTCATTACAATTTGTTTTTTTTTTTGTTTAGCTCGAAAATACATGGGTATGCCTAACCTTAAACCAATGTCGTCTCCAACCGCGCGCTCTTTTTGTATTTGTTTTTTTTTTTTGTTTTTGTTTTTTATTTGTTCGTCCACATCCTTGTCCATAACACTCGCAATTTTGTTTTTAAACGCTACGTTGCCTTAACTTCAGTCCTTTCGCAGAAAACCTAACCTTAAAATGTATTAAGCTTTTCAAATATTATTTTCATTCTTAGATTTTCTTTTTGTTTTTATTTTTGTGTTCTTTTTGTTTTTTTTTTTTTTGTATTTGTTTTCTTTGCCTGTTTTAGTTGCTGCCGACACTAAACATAAATACAGTACAATACATACATATACAGTATTTGTATTTAGTTTTCATTTATTTATTTTTTATAAAAAAAGTGTTTACATAATATAAACGTTCTAATCGTCGCCTCGCTGTTTGCTGCTCAAAATGTTCCTTCGTCGTTTCTCAACACTTGCCGTACTTCTAACTACAATTCTAACTTTATCTTTGGCCGCACACATTCCCCTTCCTTCCCTTGCCTTCGTCTACCTTCGATTCCATCTGCTTTCCCGTTAGTTTTGTAAATATGTAAATTGTAATACATTTCATTTAAATTCACTAAGAGTTGCTCGGACTGTGTGTGTGTGTGTTTTTTTTAATGTTTTAAATCATTTGCTTTACTGCCTGTTATACCTTCGCTAGACCAATTTTTGTTTAATATTTGGAAAAATATGTTTTGCTTGTTATTTCGTTTTGTTTGTGATTTTTTTTTGTTGCTGTTTTATGCTCTTTTTGTTTTCTTTATAAAATGCCAAAAATTTGTGCAAATTTCTAATGATTTTAATTTTTTTTTGTTTTGATTTTTTTTTAACTCTTACCTTTTTTTTGTTTTGTTTTACACTAAAATATTTAACTTTAAAATGTACCATTTTTTTCTTTTATTTATAAATTTAGTTTGTATTTTTGTTTTTCGTTTAGTTTCATTTAAAATATTGCATTTTTACTTTATATTTTTTTGTTTTTTTTTAGTTTTTTTTTGTTTTGTTTTGTTTGTTTGGAGGCTTCATCCCTGAGTGATTTAATTTCCTTTGTTTGTCATTTATTGCAATTTTTTCTTTATAAACTTATTGATTTATAATTTCTTATGTGATTTATATAAGTTATACTAAACGAAAAATTGCGAATTGAATAAATTTGCGTGGGCTTTGAAGGTTGCTTATTTCTCGATATTTACTTGTTGGGCTTCTTTCTGACTCTGATTAGGATGATGATGTGTGGCACACTGGACACATTCTGGGATCGACTATGCAAATGTTAGCCATAATGTGCCAATCTAAAATGTAGTAACTGTTACTTAAGATTGTTGTTCTTTTTCCTTGCTATGTATTTTGTTATTTATATAACTTTTGGCTAATACTTTTCTTTTGTTGGCTACATTGGCCATTTTGTATGAGTTGTTGAATTGTTTGTTGCTGCTGCTGCTGTGTTTTTTTTTTTGTTTTGTTTTTTGTTTTTCGTTTTTCTATTTGTAATTAGTATTTGTACTTTAATGCAAGTATTTCAATTACTTCTTCTGTATTCAAAGCAACGCACAAAGCCACAAAAAGCAGATATACCCGATAAGGATAGACTGCTCCTTAAGCTGTTGCACTTGAATCGAGTACACACATTATAATATATATGCTTGTAACAAAATTAGCATATTTTAATTAGGTAGTAAATTGATAACTACACAAATAATGACACTACATCAATTAGGTATGCTCAAAAACAAAAATACAAATACCAAAAAGTAAACTTTGCAGTAATATTCAAATGATGCGTTGACCACCAAGTTTCATCAATTCAATGCAGAAAATGTTCTCTGTTCAAAAAGAGTTTCATTTCAAATCGAAATTCAAATATGGTTTAGATACATTTAAAAAATATACGTTTAGTTCATAATCGAAATATTTGAAATACTTTGTGCTCAATGATCATTTGTGTGACATTTAAAAAACAGTAGAAAAAAAAAACGAAACCATTACAACTATTTTGGTTTTTTTGTTTTTGTTTTTTTGTTTTTCTGATGTATGTATATTAGTTTGAAGCATTCGTATAACTATATGTAAATATGCTGGTACATCATATGATAAAACGTTTATTGGTATTGTTTAGACCTTTACATTAATCTCGTTAATCTCAAAAAATGCTATGTATTTGAACAGTAAATTACGTTTTCACTTGCACGAAGTGTTTGCACTTTATTTCGGTTATTGTTTTATGCCTTTCATTCATATTCTTTATCCATTTCTCTTTTCGTTTCATGTTTTTTTTTTATATATTTCTTTTTTTGGTATAAGTTTTGTTTTTCTTTTGCATTTATATAAAAAATATTTTTGTTTATTGAGTTTTATTGCAGTTATTGTTTTTGGTTAGCTGTTTTTTTTTTCTCGTTTTTGTTTTGTATTTTTTTGATAATATCATTTAGAGCTGCTCAGCGGATTGTATTTTTCTTTTTTTGGATTTGGTTATATATAGTATGTATATATTGTGGTATTGTATTTCATAGTTATTATTATTATTTGTTGCTTTTTTTTTTAGTTTTTTAGTTTAGTTTTTGTAAGCATGGTAAGTTGGCTATAGCTATAGAGTATACTTGTTTGTTTATATGGTATATTGTAGTTTCTGCGGTTGGTAATTTTGTTTTATGGATAGGTAGATTGATTTAAACGACGACTGGAATTTGGGCATGCAAAGACGCAAGCTGGTATTGCATTAGTCTGCTTAGTGTGTTTGCTTTTGCTTCGCTTTGAACATTACGTTTAAAATCTTAAAATTACATGACATTATTTACTTTTCTCTTCACTTTTTGTTTTTAATAATTGTTCAAATAAAGTATAAGACTAGAAATATATATTTACCGCGTTATTCATTCCGTACATCATTTGACTTAATTAATATGCGCATAAAATGAATTCATTTTGTTGAATTTCTGAACTTAATCTAAGTACATTTTTATTTAAGTTGTTCCAAAAACAAAAACAAAAAGAAAATTCAAATGAAAAAATAAAAGAAAATTGCACATAAATGGATTTCTTTAAAAATTATTAGCTTACACTTAAAAGCTTTCGTTTGTTCATTTTTTTTTTGTGTTTTTTTTTTTTTAGTTTATGCAGCAAAGATCACAGATCCTCATAAAGAAATGAAAGCCAACTATGCGCATATTTCAAATATTAAAATTCCAGCTCCATTTTAATTAATTTTCCTTCTGTTTTTTTTCTTTTTTGTACATATAAATTGCTATACTTTGCTTAACTTTTTGTGCGAAAACTTGAACTGAAAGAACCAAAGCTAAAGAACTGAAAGTGTTGTAAACAAAATTCAACTAATACTTGCATATTGTAGTATAACTTGTTTTCTTTTGTTTTGTTTTCATTTGTTTTGTTACTTTGTTGTGAGGGTTATTGGATTTGGGGTGACGCTCAGCAGAACCTTCGGTAAACTCTTAACACATTTCCAAAAAAGCAGCTCAGCTTTTACCAACAATTCGCAATTTATGGCAGCGATTTGCTTGGCAACAACTAAGCCGCCTTTTCCGGGCATGAAATGTGTGTTGAGAGTTTACCAAAAGTCCTTGTACGAACCTCAGGAACCGTGTAGCGCATTATTCTGCGCAGTGCTGGCACCGCTGCCATTCACATTTTGGGCTGAGACCTCCGATTTGACGCGACGCGCAATATGCGAACGCGTGTGTTTGCGCAAGTGATCCTTGCGATAGAAACCTGAAAGCGGATGTAGCAAGGATGTATTAGCAAAAGAAACAAATTTCATTTTAAATGAGCTTTATTCTAATAATTACTAGCAGACAACATATATATGCAGATATATGCAGATCAGACTCACCTTTGCCACACTCGATGCAGACATGCTTCTTCTCACCCGAGTGGATGACAATGTGCAAGGTGAGCTGTTCCTTGCGCTTGAAGGACTTCATGCAGATCTGTTAAGATGAAGAACAATGATTAGAGATTCGAGATCAGAGATTGCGGTTTCGGATTGGGATTGGCATTCAACGATTCTCACTCACATTGCAGACATGAGGCCTGTCCGGTATGTGGGATAGCTTGTGCCGGGTCAAATGATCCTTGCGCTTGAGCGCCGCATTGCATATATCGCAGACGAAGCGCCGCTCGACGGCATGCGAGATGACGTGCTGCTCGATGAGGCTGCGATCCGGATATGCCATCTGGCACTCCGGGCAACAGTATAGCGTGGAGCCGTCCAATGCTTTCGTTTCACGAATTTCACCGGGCTTGGGTCGCGGCTTCTTCTCCTTTGGCGGTTTCTTCTTTTTGGTCTTCTTGCCGCTGGCGGTGGTCGTTCCACCCGTGGCATTTGTGGTGCCCACCGCCGCAGTGCTGGAGACGGCGGCACCATTAACCGCCCCATTGGCATTGCCATTGACGCCATTGGTTGCCCCGCCATTGGCCAAAGCAGCGCCATTCGCATCTGTCATGTTGGTCATATGGACGCCATGCTCCATGCCCACCAGCCCGTTGTGATGTGCACCATTTGCCACATTGTTGCTGGGCGTCAGGGCAACGCCACCCAGCGCCAAGCTGGCCAAATTTGTGCCATTCTTAAGCACATCGCCGGTGGACTCCTTCTTTATTGTTTCCGAATACTTGAGGAAGTGCTGTATGGAGATTGGCAGTGTTGCGGATAGCAAATGCGATGAGTAGTCGACCGTGTTGGCCGTATTAGCCAGCGTTTGCCACGACTGATTGACATTCTGTAAGATTTGCTGATTGAGCACTGCGAAAGCCAAAAACAATAAAACATTTGTGAGTAAAACGAGATCATTTTCTTGTCTGAATTTTTTTTTTTTGGTTCGAAGACCATCTTGCTGAAACTTGGCAATTGGTTTGTCTTTTTGCTGCAGGCAAATCAAACCACATTTTGAATAAGTCCAAGCAGTCAGCTCTTATTGGAAACCCCTTTTTTCTTTTTAAAGATTTCTCAGCGAAACTCATAAAGTACAAGTGATGTTCTATTTTATTTTTTAGTCTACTATTTTATATAGGATAGGATAGTGAATTTAAAGGATTGATTGTTTGAAAATAGAGTTATTGTCTTCCTCTTAACATCTTTCGTAAGCTTATTTTAAAAATGCATACTCTACACAAAGTGAAGAAATTTGAAGATCACAAGATCATATTCACGGATAGGGTATTTAAACAGAGACTTGCAAAGGTAAATTGTTATATGTTGTTTTAATGCTGTTTTTGATAATGACGATGGCAACATCCAGAGCCCTAATCCAGACCTAATGCTCTCATCACCCGCCAAACACCGCCCCCGTTTGATCTAAATATGCCCAGGCCCAGGCTCACCGCAATGTGAGCAACTCATGCATTATCTAATAGCATCCTGGATAATTTTCTTGCTGTAAGAAATGCTGTAAAAAGGAAAGAAGAAAAAAAAACCTACCCCAACAACAAAAAGCTTTGGCTTGGCAACACTCAACCCGTGTGTGTATTTTTCGCTGTGTGTGTGTGTGTTGCGTACAGGCTCTGTTCTATTTTCTTGAAAATCCCAGGCTGCCTTCCTCTGTTACCCGCTCCCTCGCCAGCGCCCTCGCCCACGCCTGGGCGCCCGCACCACGCCACGAAGTTACAGCCGTCAAGGACACATGACATGCAGCATCCCTAACCCACTCCGCGCACTCCTCGGGTGCTCGTCTAAGGCTCATGTTTTCAGGCTGTGCTTTTTATTTTATTTTTTTATTTTTAAGTTAATACGCCCACGTGGAAAATGGGTGTGCCCAAAAACTTTCAGCTCAACATCAAGTAAACAGAAATTCTCAAAACTTGTTAATAGGAAATACATACACACACACACACACACACACATATCTCGAGAGTTTATAAATTGTTTGGGAGCTACAAATTGTTGGGCGCTCCAAAAAATATGCTACAAAAATCTCAATCCAGACAGGGCGCAATATTTATTTTTCGGCTATTTTTTTTTCTTCTTCTCATATATATATATATAAATATTGTATATATAATATATATATATGTCTAAATACTTTATTTGGCCGAAGCGAGCCGAGCTGAGGGCAGCGGCAACGGCGACAAGGAGCAGGACAGCCGCACACGAAGAATAATGTGCGTCCTTGAAATTGTAAGCCATATAAAGAGATAGCAAGCCCAAAAAAAGCACAAAAAAAATAAAAGAAGAGAGCAAGCCAAATAGACGTGTGTAACTCTTCCTCCCACCACAACCACCCACAGCCCCTACCAACAAATAAAACCAAAAAAATAAATATAAAAAAAAGAAGAGGAACCGTTCAGCAAGCGTCGCCGACTCACCTTCTTCCCGGTCACGTTCAATTTTTGGATGGATTTTACCCTTATGATCCGCTGCTGCGGCCGCATTCAAAAAGTTCAGATCACTCTGCGGCTGCGAGTAAGGTATGGATATATTTTGACCATATTGCATATTATTAGCCGCCGAAACTGTAAAATAACCAAAGAATCAAAATGTTACATTTTAGTGTGTTGAATATTTTGTTTATTTTAATTGATATATTTACACATGCTTGAAATTGCGCTAGAATCACAGCCTTAGAAAGTTACTTTATAAATACTATATATTTGAGATATATTTGCTATATATATTTTTTTAAAAAGTTATTTTAATTTTTTTGTAAAAACTGTTCGCCGCTAGCGAGCGACAGCGCACAACGACTAACTACAACTGACTGGGGCCTGCGTCTGTCTGAGCAGTAGCAGAAGCAGAAGCAGAATCAGCAGCAGCAGCTACAGCTACAGCTGGCGGCGGCGACGACGACACACACACACACACACACAAACAGACACAGACACTCACACACACACAAACACACACACATCGATAGATAGATAAACGCACGAGGAGCGAGGATCGGGTGCCGGCAAAAAGCGGGCGGCTGTTCGTTTTATGCACGACGCCGACAATGTCCCACTGAAGCTCGATTTGTGTGCGTGCGTGTGTGTGTGTGTGTGTGTGTGTGTGCGTGTTTGCATGCATACACATACATCAAGTTACTGACTGTCTGTGTGTAGGCAGCAACAATTTGGTAGTAGTTGGCAACACTGGCACTGCTGAGTGACATGCGTGTGTTGTTTTTGTTGCTGTTCTTGCTGTTCTTGCTGTTACTTTTCGGCAGCTGTGGGCATGTCTGCCTGCCTGCACGCCCCTTTGCCCTCGCTCCCTCCCTCCCTCCCACTATCCACTGTTCGCCTGCGCTGTGTGGCCTGTCGTCGACTCGCTGCTGTCTGCCAAGGCCACATCTTGCACCCACACACCCACACACGCACACACACACACGCATAGCGAGAGAGCGAGACGCACACGTGCGAGTTACGCATACATAGGAAAAAGGAAATTAAAATTGAAAATACCGGTCCTACCGAAGCGCCTTAACTGTATGCTACACGCATTCAAACACATACACACACACATGTATATATATATATATATATATTTGTGTCTGTGTGTATTTTCGGCGTTGCCTTTTGCGGCATGGTTTTGCCGGGCGCTCGTTTTTATTAATAAATATTTTCTGGCTGTTGCCAATTGGCCCGGTTTTTCGTTTTTCTTTCTTATTTTTTTTTTAAACATTTTTTTCCAGTATTTTCTTAGCATTTGCTTCCTTTTTCCTGATGAAATGATTTCGCACTCATTGGACGCTGAGCGGGGGTGCGGTGGGGTGAGTGCCACTGGCATGCAACGGCAAAAAAAAAGCTCTCAAATTTAATAATAATAAAAGAAAGAGCCGAAATATTTAAAAAGCCATATGCATGTGCGCTTGGATCTGAGTCCTTGTGTGTGTGTGTGTGTGTGTGTATGTGTGTGTTTGGCATCTGGCTGTCAGTCCCTCGTATAAATTAACTTGTGACCTTGCAATACATTTGAACATATTTTCTTATGCTTTAATGCCTTTTGCGAGACTTTGCCGCAGTCGCATAATAAACTCTAGCGTACTTTTAAGGGCTAACAAATTTAATGCGCTAACCTCAATTAGCCAGGTCATACATGTGTGTGTGTGTGTGGGGGGGGGGGGGTGGGGGATGTTTGTGCAGACAGATGTGTGGGCGGGCGACTTGGTTGGGTCAATAAAGGAAGCAGCCTAATAGGATATAATAAACGAAAGTAGTCCGCAAGGAGGATTAGGCTGAAAGAATTGACCAGCGAACCGTAAGAGGAGGCAACAAAAGGCAACTTTGCATGGATTGAACATATCCCTGAAGCTTGGAGCATACTTAAAAGCAAGATTATATTTAATTAGACATACTAATTATGCTTAATTGAAGACTTTAAATTGCATTAAATGGCTAAATAGAAAACCTGAGTTTTCGTATTTTTTTTATTTTATTCTTTTTTTTTTGTTTCATTTTAGCTTTTGGTTCATTGATTTCAAGTCGGTTTGCTCGCAATTATGAATTGTTGAATCAATTAATCGACACAAATATTTATCTTCCTGATAGACAAGTTGTAAGGATAACTATTATTTGCAAGAGTACGTAAAAGTTTTAGATTTAGTTGGAAAACTAATCAGACATATTTATTTTTGATTTTTGTTTTTAATTAACCAAAGTTATCTTAATGCTGAACCAGACAAGTTGAGTGGAGAATTTGATCACGAAAAATCGATTTACATATTAGGAATTTCAACTGCATCTCAACCAGCGATCTGGCTACCAGTGGGAAAAGTAAAGGCAAAGGTAATCAAATATTAACCGAGCAATTAACATGCTTTGGACAACGAAAGCAGTTAGGCAAATGTAAAACTTATGTAGCCGTAATTAATCAAGTGAACCCAATGAGTGCGCAGACAACAGACAACATGAGAAGCACAGTAAGCACAGCAAGCAGACCCCGAAAAGTAGACAGCGCAAAGTGACAGAAAAACCAACTGCCCATAAAACAAGACAAAACAGGCAACAACAACAAGAACAAAAAAAATACAACAAGACAAGTTGACAAAACAAAAACGACATGGAATATGGAACGGGTAAAGCGGTCAGGCAGGCAGCCAGGCAGCCAGGCAGGCAGGCAATCAGTCAGGCAGGAGCAGGAGCAGAAGCAGAAGTTAAATTCACAGACGCACGGAAATACTGGGCTAAGCCCTGTGGTGATGCGAGAACGAGCAGCGAGAACCGGAGCGACCAGAGCCAAACTTCTGAACAACAACAAATCTGAAAGCATGCGCTCCATTTTCCATCATCAACATCAACATCATCATCGTCATTGTACCCGGCATTGTCGCTGTAACATTTCACTTTTCACTTCACTTTCACATGGGCCACACGACAGCAACAGAAACAGCAACGACCAGAAACAGAAACAGGCACCAGGACGAGAACAAGAACGATGAGTACGAGAAACAGCACATGATGTATTCTGCCTCCGCCTCTGCCTCTGTCTCTGTCTCTGTCTACTGCTGCCTACCTCTGACTGCTTGTTGTTGCTGTTGCTGGTGCTTAGCAACGAGTTAAAGTCGGTGAAAACTGAAACACGGCCAAGCGAGAGTGAGAGCGCGCCCAACTGCGTACAATTTGAGAGACTGAGAGCGTAGAGAAACAACGAGCGAGCGAGAGAGGGAGAGAGAGAGCGCGCGCGCCCCAGCTTGTATATATGTGTATGTTTGTGTGTGTGTATGTGTGAGAGAGAGTGTGACTCTGCTCTCTCCAACCCACAATATGGCGTCGTCTGTTGGGTTTGAGTAGCTAGCCAAAGTGGAACAAAATGGAAAGGAATTCGCTGGGTTTGGGGAACGTTTGGAAAACATGGCGCTGCCGTCTGTATTCCTACTTTTAAGTGTGTTTATAGTGCCGGCCACACACAGTGAAAGCGTGAGAGAGCGCGCGCGCAACAGAAACACATATACGCTTATATATACATAGCAAAAAAAAAATACAGAAAGAGAGAGAGTGAGAAAGAGAGAGAATGGGAGAGAGAAAGAGCGAACGAGCGAGTGAGGTTAGGAAAAACTGCAACCCCTATTAGAGTTGGGGTTCCATTCGCCCGCTTGTCTCGCTGCTTGGGGTGGGGCTGGTTTTGGTGGTGGGGCCCACATTGGGTGTGGGCCAGTGTAGCGCGACGCGGCGCCAGTCGCCAGAGTTTGAGTCATCAGCGACAGCAACAACAACAAGACCAACAACAACACGAGAGAAATAGCAGCAGCCGCCATAAACCAAACGAGTGTTGCCAGAAGCAGCTTTAAGCCTTAAAGCTGCCATATGATAGAAAAAGCTTCGCTTTTGGCTTTATTGTTTTACACTTGCCTGCCTTTTTGGTCGGCTCAAGTGTTGTGTGGCTAACGAAATTACATACACATGCGGTCATATATCAACTGTACATATATATATATTATATATATATATATATATATATCTTTATAAAAACACACACACCTAAAGTCTGACAGAGTTATAAGCACGCGCATTTTTAGTGTTGCATAGCGTCGGGCGCTGTTCCCGCCTCCTGCTCACTCACCCTGGCGGTGGGGGTGGTGTAAACCCAGCCAGGACACACTCACACTCACACACACACTCGCACACTCTCTGTTATGTACACATAGAAAAGTATGTACATGAGTGCAAATAATTTGTGACGGGGGTTGGGCGAGCGAGCAAGCAAGCGACCCCCTCTTGACAGACAGACCGCAATATTATCACATCCATTCGCTTGGCTGGCCTTTTGGCTGGCATCTTAAATTTCCCATATACCCATCATTATGCATTATGATCGGGTTAGTTGCTTGTTGTTGTTGCTGTCTGATCATCGGCATGCAAAATTTGTAAAAATAAATAAAAATAACATTAGCACGTTTCTAACATTTTATTCCGCACACAAACATACAACACCCAGACACTCCCCAATTCTCTCTCCCCAATTTTTGCTTCTCTCCCTGTCTCTCTCTCTCTCTCCCTCTCCCACTCCCACTCTCACTCTCTCCCTGTTTGTGTTTTACTCATCCCTACCCTCGGCGTCGCTTCGTCATCGCCTAAGCGAAAAATCAATGAGCCTCAAATGTTCTTTCTTTTATTTTATTTTGTTTTTCTTTTCTTCACTTTTGTTAAGTATATCCTTTAGGATGTGATTTGCCTCTAAATGGTTTTCATGTTGAATTTCTTGTGTCTTTTTTTTATATCTACTTAAAGAGTTTACCGCAGGACACGATGAATTATGTAAATTGCTGAAAACAAGTCAGCGCATAATAAACAAATATTTAGCCAAGGTACTTGAATTTAAGTAAGCTTCAATGTTGTGAATTAGGGATTACGAACGGGAAGAGTAAAACAGAAATAGGTTAAAAAGTTTGTTCTTTCATTCGGGCTTAGTGAATTACTATGTAAATGACAATGTTTTGCACATTGCGAATGCTTTACAATGATTTTTGCTTGAGTTGACAAGGATGTTGTATAGCGAATATATTAATAAAGTTATAGTTTTAAGTTAGTCTCTATTTATGACCTTAAACTAATAATGATATTAAATTAAAAAAATCTATACATTAGCGCAGTTTTTCATATTGGATCTGACTCAATGAAACATCAAAAATTCGTATTTTTCTATCTGATCAGACGAATATATTATTTTGCTCCTAGGCTTACATTTATATTCTTGTATTATGATGTTACGAGTTTTAGTACATTATTAATAGTTTGGCAAGAATATATCAACAAAAAAATCCAATAATTGGGATTCTTAGTTTTAAAAAGAAGGTACAAATATTAATCAAATAAAATAAGATAAATAAGCATTTCCAGATATCCAACAAGTAAAATAATAAATAATTATACATTTTGAGATTCTTTTTGATCAACCCGTGAAAAACAACAGCTACAAAGCTATCCTAGTTTCAACAGAACATTGCAGCTAGAGAAAATATGAAATCATATGACTATATGGAATAGAAAGGTTAACATCTGAGTACGGTTGCATTTTTGTTTTTTAGTTAAATCGCCGGCAGCTAACTATACTAATTGGCTGGCCAGTCCACGTCTCTTTCGAGTTGATATCGGTCTGCGTTCGTAGAAATGTGATTTATACAACAACGAGACACGCTATCTGGGCCTGGGCTATCTATCTGCCGAAAACTGGACTCAAAGTTGACTTTTTTGTTGCTGTTGTTGCGGGCCGCGTGATAAGCCGAGCCAGCTAATAAGCGACAAGAAAATGTGGTAGCTGGATTGGATGAGCAGGGTGCATGGTGCACGGGAACGGTGCGGGGGGGCGCGTATCTACCGCCAGTCTACCTGCATTGGCTAGCTGCAACCACATAGATAAAAGAGCAACCCACACACACACACACACGCACACACGCACACACAATCAACGACATACACACACACGCATAGACACATTTTCCTGTTGTTGCAGGTAACAAAAAAAAAAAAAGAAAGAAAAAATACAGAAATGAAATAAAATAAAACGCTAAACTGGAAATGTAATGCGTAGAGCTGAAAAGCTGGGATCAATGAACTATACGAAACCAGTGGCAAATGGCAGTAGGTATCGAGTTTGAGTTTGAGTTCGAGTTCGGAATTGGAATTGAAATGGTGTTTGAGTATTTGATTCTTGTCATAAGCAATAAATGCGTGCGGCAGACTTAAATTGAACTGTTTGTTTTAACTGTTTAACTGATTGATTTCAAAAATTATGTTTTAATAAATGTTGGCATTTGTTATGATTTACTTGGCATCTCTGTGTGTTAACAACAATTATTTATCAAAGACGAGACTCAGCTTGAAAATAAAAAGAATATTTAAGACTGGCAGATGCCAGCTCTAACAAACAATAGATTACAAAACAATAGATGTATCTATAATATTTATTTAATATAAAATATAATATATCTATCTATAATCTGTATATGAAAACTATTCATAGTTGATAAGCCACTGGACTTTTAAATATTTCACTAAATTGTTATATTTCTCTAAATTATTATATAGTTATGTAAAAACCCGTGGTGTTCCTTCCCCTTCCCCTGATTTCTCATAATTAAAACAGAGAGCATTTCAATTTTAAAATTATCTGCCCACTCTGGGCACAGGTAAATAATATGAATAATAAAGTGCAGTTGCTTGGAGTGGGAATTTAATTATGCAAGTGAATGCAACTAATTACAATTGATACAAGATGTGAGTGCATTGAGATGGGCTGTTGTTTTAATGTGCTGCCAATATGGGAATGGGGGTCTTTGTATGGGGTTATGTACTTTGCCTGTTTAGGGGTTGGTAGGGGGTGTAGGGGAGAGGAGTTAAAGGGGTTGGGCTGTCACCCTGCCACAAAGAGTTGCAACGGGGCTGTGTAAGGAAGTCGGTGCAATTAAAAAAGCAGCGACGCTTCCTTCCCTTCAACAGGGGTTGGGGTTGAAAACTGCGCACGCACACACACACACACCCCCGTTTAATTGTGTTTGTGCGTGTGTGTGTGTGTGTGTTGAGTAGCTAACGACAGCAGAGAAACCCACCCCCAGAGCTATACAAAGTAAAATGCAGCAAATTCAAAAGTTATTTGAGTTCATTGCATTTTCAAGCGAAGCTAAGCAACAACAACAAGAAAAACTGGCAGCAGCAGCAGCAGCGTACAACACACATACACACTTTTACACACACACACACACAGTGTCAAACAAGGGTGGGTGGTAATGACTCAAAACATAGCGCAGAAAAGAAAAATAATAACCAACGCAAAATAGCAACAACAACAACAGCAAAAATCGTTAGATTCGGTTATGTTGACAGGCGCACTCCGCTCATCTCGGGCATATTAGTGCGGCAAACAAATTGGAGGACGAGTGGGAAATTGGGAAATTTGTAATAAACTAAGGGATGGGGTGGAAACAGTAGTCAGTGGCGTACATGAGAGTTTTTGATGAAACTCTTGCAAAATAGTTTTTGACTGAAGAATTACGATAATCTCAATCTATAATACAAATAATTCTTAAAATGCTTCTAATTATTTGATATACAATGGCTTCTGCCAGAATTTCCTATTATTTCTACGAATTTACAATTTGAGTGTAAGCCTGTGTTTTTTGTTACAAATATTCCTCTCTCTTGATCATTTATAATTAAATGTAAATTTTAGTGTATTTGCAATTTGTTCTACATTTTATGCTTTTGGTCTGATCAATTTCCATTTGCAAATAATTGCAAATTCTATCAATGCACGTAAATAAAACACATTATTATATAAACAGATTTTTTGCATTTTAAATGTATGCAATTTCAATAAATTTTATTAATCTCTCCAACTTTAAAAATAGTTTATCGCAGCTCTTTAAATAAAAACTCGTTTTCTGTCAGGTGGCAACGCCCCAGTAAACGCAAGATTGTTTGAATGCATTTTCTTTCAGTTCGAACTAGTTCTGTGAACGAAACAAAACGAATCACTAAGCGGCTGATTAGCTGTGCCTGCCTGCTCGCTCTAACATATGGCGCTTCGTATGGTGCAAGCCAAAGCCAAAGCGAATGCAAACATTTAATACTCTTATACACGCTGATGTATTAGTGATATTCTTAAAGTTGATCCTCTGCCCTCTTCCAACAATCAAAACAAGAAATTTGTGCTAGTTACACATGTTCAAAAGACCCCAAACGGCGCGTTGTAGTGCATTATTAACATAGGGAAAAGCAAAACGACGCCGCTGTTTTTGTTGCTGACGCCAGCGCTGACGTCGCAGCGGCAGCGACAACGTCGGCGGCAGCAGCAGCAGCAGGCGAAAATAAATCGATAAAAATAAAATAAATTTTTAGTGATTATGTTGTACATACAAACAGACAAACACATGCAGCGCATATACATGTACGCATGTATTCGTATATGGATGTTGGTATGTGTATGTGATGTTCACTTACCGTTGGGCACATTCTGATTGAAATGATTGCCATTGGTTTGATAGCGTTGCACATGATTATCGGTGCCCGCTGCAGCGGCCGCAGCGTTCACCGGCGGCGTACCAAATGCGCCCGGTGTTTGTGCATCAAATTTAGCGGCAAACTGATGAATGCCTGAGAAGGGGCCGCCGAACGCGGAGAAATTCATCATGACAGTTTATGGTTATTAACAGGCTTCACACACACACACGCACGCACACGCGAGCAGCATACGCACACTTACACACACACACACAGACAGGGAGACAGGAGCCGTTGGACAGTGTGTGTGTGTGTGTGTGTGTGTGTGGGAGCGAGAATTGCCGATTGGTTTTTATTGGAGAAGCAGCGACTTTTTTTTGGGGGGGCTTGTGTAACACTTTCGCTTTTTGGTTTATTTTGGTTATTTTCAAATTGCACTAGCCAACACTAACACTAACTTAACGATGCGTTGAGCCTGCGAAACTGAAATACGATCGAACAGCAGCAGAAACAGGCGATGACGATTACGATGGCGATGACGATGACTGTGCGGCGCTTTACAACAGTGGGTGGTGGTGGTGCTAACTTGACTGGGTGTTGTTTTTGTTGCTGTTGTTGTTGTAGTAGCAGTTGTTGTTGTTGTTGTTGCTACTCTTGTTGGTGGGGGTTGGTTTTTGGTTGGTGTGGCGTGGCGCACTCACTCGAACACACACGTTTGTGTGTATGTATGTATATATATAAGCGCGCGATTGTATGCAGCGCTTTGCTTTTTGGGGGTAGCAAAATGTACAACTTTCAATTTCGCTTAAACTAAACACATACAGGGACAAGCACACACATACGCACACTCACACGCACTCACTAACACACGAGGCGCGACCGCGACGGCAACGGCGACGACAGCGTCCACGGCGGAGAACAACAACAACAATAATAAAGTAGAATTAAACGAAAGTCACGCTTACAACCGGCTCGTCGAGGCTCCGACATCAAACTAAAAGTAACATTACAACGAAAGAAAGCGGAAACACTGGGGCAGGCAACGGCAATCAGGCGCTGGCAGCGACTGCGGCTGCGAAGCCAGCGGCAACAGCGACGCAATGGACAAATGACAGTGACAGAGCGGAGCGCTCTCTTTTTGTGTTAGTTCGCTAATATGTATGTATGTATGTGTACACACACATTCGTTTGTTTGTGCATGTGTGTGTGTGTGTAGTGTTTGTCTCGCTTTTGAGGGTGGAAGTTTTTCTACTTCTCTGGAAAATGTGCGTTTATTTGTATATTCTTCCCAATGCGTTTCTGGCTGGGCATATGACACAAATTCAAACAATAAAATTGTTGAGCCAAATAAATAAATTAGCAATATAAATAAAGTTGCGATTTATAAGGCAAACTATATAAATTGTATAAAAATATTATTAATTTTAAATACGAGCAAAAATAAAAAAAATAAAACATCAAGTCAAGATTTGTTTCATCAAAACATATTAATTACGAAAATTTAATCATCTTATATAATTTGTACCTAAAATTGTATAATAATTTGAGGACATCAACAAGTCGACTAACTGAATGAAGAAAAATCCCAAACACAGCGTGCCTTGTATTCGTATTTTTATTTGGTTTTCCAACTTTTGGGGTTGTGTGGCCATCGCCATCGCAGTCGCCATCGTCGTCGCAGTCGCAGTGAACGACCAGTGCATTTATACAGATGTGTGAGTTTGTATGTATGTATTTATCTATGTTTGTTTATACACGCGTATATATGTATAAGCGTTAACGTAGCTGCATATGTATGTATGTATATATGTGCCTACGTTTGTACATGTGTGTGTGGTGTGTGTATCGGAGATGTCTAGGAGCGCTGAGCATTCTCGGCAGCGTCGCTGCATTTTATTCTGCTGGCGTTGTGCTTGTGTTAATGAAAGTGAGTGCAGCCTCAGCATAAGCACTTGTCTGTGTGCGTGAGTGTGAGGACGGAACGCTCTAATAAGAGAGCAGTAGCCGCAGCAGCAGCAGCAGCAGCCTCTCAGCCTGAACGTCAGCCAGCATTCACAGCACTTGCATGCGTTTGTTTTTATGCCTGCGATTGGCCCTGCAAGTGCTTTATGATTTTTGCCGGTGCCCTACTGGCTAGCTACAAATGCATTACAAAAAATACAGAGAACAGAATACTAGTGAAATGCTGAAGCCTGACCCATACTCATAGTTAATAAATTAAATAATAATTCGAATTTATATTTTATATACTTGTTCCTTATGTATGTGTATACAGTGTCTCGCAGTTCAACTGGAACAGCGCCTAGCAAAATATTTAAAGTGCTATAACTTTTAAACAAAACAATAAACGCAAAATATTTAAATGCCAATTTGTTTTATGTTATATCACGTTTGAAAAGGAAGTTTCAGTTTTTATTAAAATATTAAATAATTAACTGAAATTAGTCAAAAACTGAAAACATATCCAAAATACATGTCAAAGTTTTTTTGGAACAGTCTTAGAAAAGTAACATATTAGGCGTATAAAAACTTAAATAAGGATGTTAATACTTAGTATGATATCCTTTACCCCTAATAAAGTCCCTTAACCTATTATTCATGGAAGATACCAGCTTCCGGGTCGTTTCTGGACTGATTTTGCTCCACTCATCCAGCAGAGCATTCTTGAGATCGGATTTGTGATTCCGGATGTTAATTTCGAGCAGAGCCCACAAATTTTAAATAACATTTAAATCTGGAGACTGGGCCTGTGGAATTATCATGTGGAGGCAGTTCCAGATATGCCAAGACCGTACTAATCCGGACTTATTCTTGGTTGTTGTCCTGGTCGTTGTCTGGTAGATCTGGAAGTACTCCGATTCCTAGCTTCTCGGCACTTTGGAGTAAATTTTCCTTTAATATATTGAAATACACACTCTTTTCCATTGTTGTTTCAAAAAACACCAAATTTCCGACGCCGGCTTCCGAGATAGATGCCCATACCATGACACTTCCACCGTCGTGCTTGACTGTTGCCTTTAGGATTTTGGGACTCAGCTCAGTATTGGGCTGTCGCCACACATAATTCCGTCCGTCCGAGCCAAAAATGTTGAATTTGGACTCATCTGCAAATATGACTGTGTTCCAGAACTACGAATCATTGTCCAAGTGGGTTTTGCCGAAGTCGGGCATTAAAGTCATGATTGCGCAGAACCCGACGCACAGTTTCCACACTGCACTTTTTCCCCATTTCATCCTGCACCTGTTGAGTCAGTTTTGGAGCCGATAGCTTGGGATTTTCCCTTATTTTCCTGATGATCCTCCGCTCCTCCTGTTCGGTGAAAATCTTGTGTGGTGCCTTTCTGTCCTTGTCCTCTATCCGATTTTCGTCGACGAAGCGCCGAATGATATTGAATACAGTTGTGGTACTCAGATTTACCATTTTAGCTATTTGGCGATATGAATATCCAATCCTGAAGTGTTCCAGGATCAGTTTCCGTTGTTCAATGGTAGTCCGCTAGCACATAGTCCTTGTTGACTACGAAGGATTGGTCTATTTATACCAAAAATAATCAACCTGACGTAAAAAATCTGGGTTTTATGGCACCCAGGTGTCCATAACGCCATTGTTCCACATAATATGTGACCACAAATTAAGGTACTTTTTTACATAACCCGACCTAGCCGGCGGGAAAATCCCAGTTTATGGGGGTCATATAGTCATTTAGGTAGTCAATATATGTACCTGCCATAGTTCTTTGGAATTTTTAAAAAATATTGAATAATTTGTTTATGGCAGGCAATTAAATTTTTTGCTAGGCGCTGTTCCAGTTGAACTGCGAGACACTGTATATCATGCACACCTCGTAAACTGGTTTGCAGCGCACGCAACAGTCGCATAGGCTCAAAGTCGCTGAAGCGTTTTTCCTTCTTGTGTATTGTTGTTGGTGCTGCTGTTGTTGTCGTTGTTGTTGTTTCTTTTTTTCTGCTGTAGTCTTCCATTCGTTGACTTATTATGAGGGTTGGAGTTTTTGACTTTCCATGCGTTCTTTTTAGCCTCGCATTCTCTCATTCTCTTGCGCTTCTATCCTCCTACTGTTGGTGTCTCTTTCAAAGGCAATGCTTTGTTTAGCTGGGATCTCAGAGCACTTATTGTTACATGTGTTTATCTTTAATTTCTATGCATATTTTCCAATTATGCATTTACTCTCCGGCCAAATGCACAAATATATATGCATTTGTGCATCTGTATGTATGTATGTTAGAATGAAGAGAGTCCTCTGTTTTTATTAGATTGATTAATTATTAGGTACATCATTATTTTAATTCGTTCGATGCAGGCATACATATGCATATATATACATAGGTATGTATATTTCTATGCTGCAGCTGCAGAGACCCCCATCCGTTAATTACAAATACACACCATGCCAAGCCATCCCATCATCATCGATTATATATTTGTATATAATGTATGTACCTAAGCGCATATAAATATACCAATACATGTATATATATACATACCACTTCCACACATTAGTTTTCTGCGTTTTGCAAAGCTGTTAATATGATTATCTTAGCCATGCCTCCCAGTTAACTAACATTTCTCAAACGCCAAAGGGCGGTTTGCTGCTCCAACTCTTTGCTCTTTTGAAAATGTCAACGGGGGTTATAAATCAGAGAGCTTAGTGGTTAAATAAAAAATGCCTCACGATTGCGTTTATTCAATTTTATTAATTATTATGAGCTTTTATCTGATGTTTTCATACAGAGTTTATGGCCAATTCTAGGCATGGACTATGCGAGAGAGAGAGGTGTGGACTTTAAGCCTTGCTAATTGAAAATTGCATAAGCATAAATGAGTTTTACAATGGGGTTTACGTTTCACCGATATCCCCACTATTAGCTGCATGCTTCTCTAACCATCGAATATTGTCTGATTTCATATCATAATTGGCAAATTATATGTGGGTAACAAATATTCCATTTGGTAGTTTATTCTACGAAACTTAAAGTTAAGGCATTTGAGTTCGGTCTGTACGAAAACATCAGCATTGTAATGATGCATACATAAGTATATATATATATATACATATATATATATATGGTATATATATTGTATATTGAGAGATTACATTTTATAAATATAAGTAAATACTTTCAATGTCATTTCATTCAATGTCACTTCATTCAAACATGCACCAAAAAATACCATCGAGACATACAATTGCCATTAATATTTAGATTAATTTACGTATATCTTTTAGCTACATATTATTTATGATAAATGATTTGCTAACGATTTGGTTTGTTTGTTTGTTGGTTGTTTGCACTTAACGAATGCTTACGAAATATTATTATTATATGTATATTTCCTTAGATATCAAAATATAATGTACACATAGTAAAGCCTTGGGGTTTTTTGTGCAACTTTCTACACGGTGGTTTTATAAAAGAAAAATATAACAAGTGTAATAACAAAATTAAATGTACGTTTAAGAAAACTTTGTAAACCCAAATAAACATATGTCAATTGGCAACTTAAAAGTTAATATCACACAAAATATATTTGTAAAACAGCGCAAATGAATGAGTCAGTGAAGCGGCGAATGTACATATTATAAATCATAATACAAAGTGTATGCATATCGTGTATCTGTAAATAGAGACACTGATATATAACTACATCTATATAAAGTGTGTATATATGCTGATATAAAGTCTGTGATTTTTCAGCAAATTTTGCTCGAGTATTCCAATATTAAGCATTTTGTTTCATATGTGATTTTGCACAGATCTAGCTAAATTATTAAATATGAATATATGACATAGAGTATATTTGTGTAGTTTTCGCGTTTATAGTGGATAGCCGAGTGCAGCAGATAGTAGCGGTTCCCAGGCCCGATTAATATCCAAATAGAGCATTGTGCACTGCTCTGCGAGCGTTTCATCATCGTCCAGTATGGTTATGGGGAAGAGATCATTCTGTGAAGCAAGAGATTGTTTTTTAGATAAATAATACAATACAAATATTATTAATGGCAAATCTAACGTACATTTTTGGCCTGCCAGAGTTGCTCGAGCAGCCGTAGAAATCGCTGCATTTCCATGCTGCTGGCAAAGAATATAACCAAATCATCCAAGCACTCCAACGGCGCCTCCTGGCAGGAGAACTCTAGTATGCACCACCAGGTCTCACTGTGCGAGGGTATCTTAATGCCAGTCATTGCTTTTATATCCGCACACGTGAGTATCTCGAGGCCAGAGTTCTTTCCATAAACGCTGCTCATCCTTTGCGATTGTCCAGCTGCATCTGCAGCAGCAGCAGTCTTCTGCAACGCTCTGGGCGCATCCTGTGAGTGCTTGGTGGGCGTCGAGTTAAGCGAGGAACAGGAGCGTTGAGTGCCACGTGTTGGTGTGCTCATCGTCGAGCTTAACTGCAAAGATATTACAAATATTAAATTGGAGTTTGATCGTGTGAAAGTTGTCTTCTTACCAAGCTGCTAGTTTCAAAGATGCACAGCATGTCCTCATCGCGCAGCAGCTGCTTGTGCTCTGCAGCAGCTGGTGGCGTCTCCACCTGCTGATTTAGCTGACGCAGTGGCGCTGAGAAGTCCTCGCGCAGCGTTATCAAATGATTTTGTGTAACTATTAAAGTGCAGCCTAGCGCTTTGTGTCGCTCCTGCATCTCAAACAGCTAAAAGCGAATAATAATGTTAATAATGTAATAATGTTTTAGATATACCGACTAGGACCCAAAACATGTCTCATTATAGTTTAGAAAAACTGAAAGGGAGTTGGACATGACTCATCGTACAAGTGTTTAAAAACTATAATAAGGATTATTTTTGATTTGAACTCACACCACTGGCCGATTGCAGTAGCGCCTGTAGCCACTCGGAGGCCACATACTCGTCGGGCGCCGCCATTTGCAGCAGTTCGCCTTTCAACATAATCTCAAAGCAATGCGGACGGGCTGATTTAACGGCACGCCGGGCGCCCTGGCACTCCGCCAACGCCATGGCCCAGCTGGGCAGTTTCTGTGTAGAATCATTGAACATATACAGAACGCCAGCTCTAGAAGATGAAGTAGAATTAGTTACATATGGAGTAGAATTGGTTTTGTCACTCACTTAAGTAAGAAGTAACCGGGCTGCCAGTGGATTTTAGTCGTTGCAGCTACTGTTGCCGTTTCCCGCACGCGTCGATTCATAAGAAAACCTTTGATGTGGGGACCCAGCGGCTCCTGTTCACCATCTAAACCCATGCCGAGTGCGCCGCCAGCTGGCATATTGACCACCGCATAGAACATCCAGTTTTCGTCCTTGCCCACACAACTGTTGGCACGCACAAAAGCCTGCAGTGGCGCCAAATGCTCCAAGGTGAGTTGACCTACTGCCGGCAATGTGGAGCCGCTGCGTCGTGCACACAGCTCTAGATTGGCGACCAGTGCATCTGCTGGATAGGGTCCGCCTGCAAGTAGTACCTGTTGCATGTCCCGCATGCTGTTGCTCAAAAGCACCGTGTTTCCAAAGGGGCCCATCTGAAACGGAGTCGATTTATTAGGTTAAATAGTCTCCTTCTACATTTGCAGAGTCAACTCACCAAAATTACATCCAGATCCTTGTAGGCCAGCACGAATTTGGCGCACAGGCAATTACGCACCAGATCTGCCACATACAACGTTTTGTCTGTAAGCAGTACCAACACCGGCGTCATAAATCCCTCGTTGCTATAACCGGTGTATAGCTTGAAGACCTGCAAGGTTGAGATGGGTCCAATAATTGAATCTACTAATTGGCTAATCTAATCTACCTTTAGCAACTGCTCGTTGGGCTCGTGCAGAATGGACAACTGTTTGCCATTGAATAGGTCAATGGATATTTCACCGATGCCCAGCTCGAAACGTGAAACATCTCCTGGCAAATCCATATCCATGCCGACGGCCAGTTCGCGTCGTGGCGAGTTGGCGCCCGACATCTCAATCTCCATTGCAATCTCAGCATTCAAATCGTCAATCAGTTCGTAGTTCTTGGGCCGCGCACCACGCACATAGAGATGCGATCCAACGGATTTTTGCTCGTTGCGCAGCTTATCGGCAAAGAAATCATTTTTGCGTATCGAGGATTCAAGTATTTTCTTTTGGGTTACATTGCGCAGAAAGCGATTAATGAGCGAGGTTTTGGCCGCTGGCGCTGGTGGTTTCAATAGCTGTCCATAATCCACATCTGTATAGTCCACAATTACCAGATCGCTCTCTGTGGAGGGTCGCTCATTTGCCGTATCTGTTGTCGTCGTTATGGTCAATATATCGTCAAACTCCTCGCTGAGAATGGTCGCCTTCGAGTCACGTCCACTGCTGCCAGGTGCAACGACACCGCCTCCTACCCCCAAAAAACTGCTGGGACTGTGTAGGCTGCGACTGTGGTGATGCTGCTGCTGGTCGCCATAGCGTGGTGGCTGCCCGCTTCGCTTCTTCAGCGGCGATGGAAGATGACGTGACTGTCGCTCCACACTGCCCAGCACCAAAGCATGGACTGTGTTTTGCGCTTGGGGCTTGGGAAAGGAATTGGAGTTGCTGTTGGTGTTGTTGCTAATGGAGCTAAGCTCCGATATGGTGGATGAAGAGTGGGTGGTGGGCAGCTTGCTGGCTGGCATCGGCTGCTGCTGTGGCTGTGTCGTCTTTGACATTTTCGTAGCTGTAGAAGATATATAATTATATTAATTAACAATTATAAAACTCTACAACTACAGATAAATATATAAAATCGTACAGATAAATATATTTGTTCATAATTTAATTATAATTGCCATAGAAGGAATTTGAACTGAGACAAAATATTGGGATCATTATATAGTTTATCTTAGGATACTTTATGAGAACTATATAATAGACTATGATATATATATATATAAACTTGTATTTTATATTGTTCATATATGCATATATATATATATATATTATATTTAAATTTATTCCACTTACCAAAATAACTATCAGTTGCTGCTTGTTGTTGTTGCTGTTGTTGGTGGTGCTGCTGCTCCTTTTCGACTGGTGTGTTGACTGAGCTCTCCTTGAGACTGCGAAAGAAGTTACTGAATGTCTTGGCCAGGGGCGCGCCCATAAAGGAGCTGCGACTCTGACTCGCTGGCTGGGCAATGGGCGTGTCGCGTTCCAGCAAGCTGGCGACGCTGCTGTGCTGTGTCATTGACATGGAGAATGGCTCTGATTGCTGGGGCGCGCTGGTCTCGTAGGAGACGCCCGTGTGCTCGAAGACGGTGCTCTCACAATTGATGATGAACTTGCTGCGGAATTCGCTCTGTGTGCTGGTGACAATTGGTGCCGTTGCGGCGCCTGTTTCCTTATCGAACTCATCTTGACGTCGCAGCACGTGAGGCGACTGCTGGCTGTCCATGGGTGAGGCCTCAGCGGAGCTATCATCATTTTTGCGACGCAGCTGCTCATCCACATTGTGCACGAATTTCTTGACGCACTGCGTCTGCTTGTTGCCATCGAGACTCTTGCTGAGAAACGGTTTGGCTTTGAGTGGCGGCGAGTTGGATGAGTCAAACTGCTTGGATTTATGCTCGGGCGTCTGCTCCAGCTCGGGCACACACTCTACCACCGCCTGCAAGTCCTCCGAGCCTTCGGGCACCCCACGTTCCGGCAGCGGCAACGTGAAAATGCTCTTCAGCGAGCCAAAGATCATTTTGCTGCTATTGTCCAGCAGCTGATGCTTGATGTCGTGCACATTGAACTTCTTCACACGTCCATTGAGATCCTGCTCGTGTATGATGTTCGTGTGTCGTTTGGTCTTCTTTAAACAGCTTGACTTGGGCATCTTCTCCTTGTTCCACACGGATTTCTGTTTGGGACTGCCCGCATCTTCAATATTGGGCTCCGAATAGTAGCAATTATCGCCTACGTGAAGCAGTTGAAAGGAATACGATTATATAAAAGTTAAATTGAGCAAGTTCCCAAGTTGGGAGAGACTGATAAGAGGAATCGGAAAATGTATACAAGTAAAAATTGCCAGTTACCAATTAGATTATTGTTGGCATGGCTCATGCCAATGCAATCGCAGGAGCTGCTTTTGGCCTGTTCATATTGTTTGCGATTGGGATTGCTATTCGAGTTCTTGTCCTGCTCATCCGAATCCAGACTAGAATTGGAGCTGCTGCAGGCGCAGCGATAGAGCAATCGCTCATCCCGCTGCTTGTCCTCAGCTGGGGGCGCATACTCAAAGACGCCCGAGTTGTCATATTGGAGGCCGACTGGATCATTGGTATCGTAGATGTCCGTATTGCCATAGTCCAAAACATCGGAGCAAGCATTGCGATAGACCAGACGGCGACTGCGTCCGCCCGCGCCGCCGCCAGCCGCCTCCTCAAAATCTTGGCCCGCCGCACTCAGCTCAGTGGGTGCTTGGACGCGTTCCCTTTCCGCGCACCAGGAATAGCGACCAGCAGCGCCAGCCACGCCCGCTGAGTTGCTGCCCACAACGGCCAGTTTGCGTCCGTTTTTGTAGGTGATGAAGCCATGCTCGATGTGTATGTTGTCGGTGCGTGTATTCTTGAGGATGTCCTCGTGAAAGGAGACACGCTTCTTGGGCGCTTTCGGCGTCGCCGAAGCCTTGTGCACCTTGCGTCTGTATACGATCTTGTCTGTGTTGTCAAAGGTCGAACAAGCGCTTGTGGTCATGGTCTCCTCCACTGCCACATTCGAATTGGTGTCCACAGGATCGCGAGTTGCCTTCACCGGCTGCTCCTCGTAGTCCAGACCTGTCTGTGAACTGATGGACTCTAGCATAACGTCGCTATTCTCCGAATCCAGCATTTGTATGCCCGAATCACTGGGCGTGGTGTCCTCCAAACTGCTACTGTTCATGCTGGAGCTCATCTTGTCACCAGCACCGTTGGGCGACAGCTTTGAGCTCAAATTATTGTTGACCTTGGGATATAGCGGAGACTCCATTACGACATCGTAGGTATATGTTGCTCGTTGTTGCAAGACCAGAATCTCTGGTGGGTAAATACTTGTTTAGGACTGTGAGTTCAATAAGTATATATTTGATATATCTTATAGGCCAATTACAGTTGCGCTTTAATGATATAAAATAAGGGAACCAATTAAAACAATATAACTTTTATTTCCGATTTGTGAGCCCTTGCAAAAGTGTTTTCAACTATGTCACGCAATTTTATTTATTTCTTTATCTTACATATAAGTTCTTCATTAGTCAGTCAATAAGTAATCGGTAGAAAACTGAAGTGCTATCATATATTACTTTGTTGTTTTTTTTTTAATATTTTGACCAAACTCACCATTGACAATTTAATCTGGTTAAATCTGCTCATCTCATAATTTGACCTTACAAGATCTGAATATTATTATTGTGCATTTCCATATGTCAGCAAGAATTGTAATTGTTCGTCGTCCAATGATAGATCTATTTTATCGTCTTTTCGTAATTTTCGTTTCTTAGAGTTTTGTGTATCTTGGTTTTCTGGCAAGTAATCAATATCAAATAGAAATTGCACACTGCGCCGCAGCGGCATCACGTCACTGTGCAACAAAAGAGAACACGGTCGACCCCACCTCCTTCTCTACGGGCACCTCACCTTTCTCAACCCCGTCATCAACAGCCCCAAAAACTGAATGATGCCCTGCGCCGAAAAATTTGAAGTTGCCTGCTTAGCAAAGCTTACCTTCGACTTGTTGCGGAAATTCCATGTTAAACTTGTGCTCTGCACTGTTGATGAATATTATTGCTTATATTTTATAGTTAATTTGTGGCTTAACCGATTTTTAGTTACATCTTTAAAAATACAAGTACATACAAGTAAAACAAATCAATATTTATCATAGTGCGCGGCATTGCCACACAGTTCGAGGGTTGATCTTATGGGCAACTCGTTCGCTCAGCTGAGCAGCTGCAACTCACATCTGGCAACGTTGTAATATTAACAACAAATGAAATAATTTGGCGGGTGTTTTTAAACGCAAGTTGCATTTCATCTACATTTGAATGCTACAGCACGACGTGAGGAATATACAAATTTATGATTTTATTTGCTTGTATAAGTTGGGGTTAGGAATACGTCAACGTAGATTTGTCAATTATCAGTCAGGCATTACGCAGATTCTACTTTTTTACTTGCATGGGGCATAATAACTATGTCGATGCGTTTTGCGCATAGGCGGAAATAGTGATAATGTTTGATTTCTCAGTTGTTTTCCCATTTTATAACTGGCTAGGTATTTTAGCTTCGACTAGTCGCTATCTGTTTGCAATTCTGTTGTTGTTTTGCACATACCTTAGGCATGTCATTTTGAAAAGTACAATAGCAAAGAGAGGAATGCCAATGAAAACGAATGAAACCATAGAAATTAATTTATCACCTACCTTGAGCAGCGCACAGCACAACGTCTATATAACTCTTTTATTGTTTTGTTTTTGGTTTGCCGTATAAACTTAAAGAAAAAAGGAATCGTCTTGCATTTATTAAATAATCCAATAAATTGCATTCAAATGTCAGAATCGAGCTAGAAATGTTTCAGTGCTTTTGTGCATTTGAAAAATGTCATCCACATCAGAACAATGTGCCGTAAAACAATGAAACTGAAATATAAACGTAAAAAACAAACAGACAACACGTGAAAACGCGCAAAACTAGGCAATACACAAAAATAAATTTAGTAAATAGCCGTTAGATTAATCAAAATTTTTTGATTTGATATTGGAAATTCGAAAAACGCAAACGCGCTGTGTGTTCAAAATGCAAATGCCAAACATATTTGGACAATTGAAAAAGCATAATTTCCTGATTGCAGTCGCCATCTATTTGCATATATTTGAAAAATCAATTCAACTATGTAATTGTGTTCATGGTTTCAGGTAATAAATGATATTGAATAAAATATATTGCATCAGACAAGGCTGTAACATAACCTGAAAATTACATCGGCCCTTTCTCTTGTAAATCCAATTCTAATTGCAGAAACAATACAGAGAGTGCCGAGCTGGTTTCTCATTATGAATCGAGTCTATCGCTGCCAGATATATTGCCCATCCCATCGAAAACCTATGACAAGAATCGTGCACCAAAGCTGCTGGGCCAGCCGACAGTTGTTTATTTCCATGTCACAGTGCTCTCGCTGGACTCGATTAATGAGGAGTCCATGGTAACTGAACCTGGGTCTGGGACAAAGAACTCTTCTCTATGAGTGACTCCACATTTGGTGCAAACAATATCCATTTTTATTACAGACCTATGTGACGGACATATTTTTAGCACAAAGTTGGCGCGATCCGCGTCTGCGCTTGCCGGAGAACATGAGCGAACAGTATCGCATCCTGGATGTGGACTGGCTGCACAGCATTTGGCGACCCGATTGCTTCTTTAAGAATGCCAAAAAGGTGACATTCCATGAGATGAGCATACCCAATCATTATCTCTGGCTCTACCATGACAAAACACTGCTCTACATGTCCAAGCTGACGCTGGTGTTATCGTGCGCCATGAAATTCGAATCCTATCCACATGATACACAAATCTGCTCTATGATGATTGAGAGCTGTAAGTGCTACAGTTCTTTCTTTAAAAAAAATAACAATAATATTTCTAGTGTCTCACACTGTGGAGGATTTGGTATTCATTTGGAACATGACCGATCCGCTGGTGGTCAACGCTGAGATCGAGCTGCCGCAATTGGATATATCAAATAATTATACGACGGATTGCACCATAGAGTACTCAACAGGTAAGTGATTTGGAATAAATGAACTCGTTATTTTCTTTGAATTAAACAGTGTTTTCTATAGTTCTTAAATGGTTTTGAAAACAGAAACGGTTGCACATCATATAATATTTATCTTTAGAAATAATTACGATTAATATGTAATATTATTTGTTAATTAAAATCACATTTGTAATTTGTAATTTTTATCTCCCACAGGTAACTTCACCTGCTTGGCTATTGTATTCAATTTGCGTCGACGTCTGGGTTATCATCTATTCCACACCTATATACCATCGGCGCTGATTGTGGTCATGTCGTGGATATCGTTTTGGATCAAACCGGAGGCAATACCGGCACGCGTTACGTTGGGCGTTACTTCGCTGCTCACGCTGGCCACACAGAATACACAATCGCAACAATCGCTGCCGCCGGTGTCCTATGTGAAGGCCATTGATGTGTGGATGTCCTCCTGTTCGGTCTTCGTATTTCTATCGCTAATGGAGTTTGCTGTTGTCAACAACTTTATGGGACCGGTGGCTACCAAGGCCATGAAGGGTTATTCCGATGAAAATATCACAGATCTGGATGATTTGAAGGTGAGTATTTTGTGGCAGCAACTGGCTGTCACAACTTGTTGAACCTGAAACTCTGAAGAGTGTCGTCTTGCAGCATCATCATCGGGAGTCGATAATTGAGCCACAATATGATACATTCTGCCATGGCCATGCGACCGCCATCTATATAGATAAATTCTCGCGCTTCTTCTTTCCGTTCTCGTTCTTCATTCTAAATATTGTCTACTGGACGACGTTCCTATGATCTGATCTGGTGAACTTGGGACAGTTGTTTAGCAGTTACAACATAAAATTATAAATACAAAGCGCATTTGTTTAAAAATGTATATAGATTGTAAGACACAAATGAGAATTGCAGTAAATTATATATAATATACATATATAAAATATTGTATATTATCGTATTGTATAAATAAAGAAAGGCGTTTATTAATTAAATTTAATTCAAAGGAAGAAATTAAGAAATGCATTTTAATTGCGCAACAAAGGTGGAATTATCTTTGGTATTTTTACTATATAAGTATGTATGTATGTATAGATAGACATATAGCATATATATGTGTATATATATATATATAAAAAAAATGTATATAAAAAGTTGCTATCGTGGCTTCCTTTCCATTACTTTTCTTATTTCAATCCTGTCAGCAATATACGTATAATCACATGAAATTATAGTTTCCTCCTTTATATTTTCACATTTACAGCACGATTTTTGTAGATATTTTCTCTTTATCTTTACTATATATTTTGTTTAGCTTTTGTCGCCTACGTTAATTGTTGCTAAATATTCATGTAATTTATGCATTATGCGAGTGTTAATAAACAACTTTTGACACTAATTCAACTTATATATGTAAAAATATTTCGGTTATAAATAATACACACAGAGTTACTACAGATCCAGAGTAATACACGCGCTGACAAATAAATACTCTCTCACATGTAAAAAGATACATTAATAATAATAATTATAACGTTAATTGGATTGTCCTACAACAAAACAAAACATTCAGCATATTGTATAAATATACATATGTATATATATATATATATATATATATATATATATAAATTTAAGGGAGCAAAACACGAATATAGCATAGAGCAAATGCCTATACAAAAGCCACGAAAGAGGAGTACTTAAGAGTGTCAGGATTTAATAACAAACTGTGTAAGTTGCTGTGATGATTCTGGTTCTATTGCAAACAGGCCTGCAGCTTTTCAGTCCACTCCTGGGCCAGATTAGCATTCATTGCATAAAAGTTGTAGGTGCGCTTCGATGTTTTCAGCTGCAAACAATAATATTGATAATAAATCAATTTTCATACAAAAAACGAGACATTAAAATAGTATAACTTACATCGAAGAAACCCTTTTCATCCACGCGTTTTGTGCCAATTTGTGCGGGTTGTGCTGCAGTCACCGATTGCACTTCAGCCAGCTCTGTAAAATATATATATATAAGATATACTATTCTGAGTTTAATTCTAAGTGAGAGTACCTATTATGCCCTTGGGTGCTGTATCATCGGATGTGTCATAGTAGCGCAGCTGATGCTTAATCGAGTCCAGAACAAACCAGCGCTGTTTCCAGCCCTTGAGCAATGCGCCACGTTTATAAAGGTGCCTAAAAGATTTAAACAATTTGTTAATGAAATTCAGTTAAAATAGATAAGTCAAAGTTACCCCTCGTGTGTCCGATTCTCGGCAACATTGCTGCTGAACTGATTATAAAAATGATGGCTGGAGGTGCGTGCTGTGGTAGCTGCACTGGATGCAATGCTGGCTGTGTCACCCTGCGACATATTAACATTTGGTGGACCGACGGTGCCATCTATGGCCTTGTACTTGGTGCAGTTTTTCATGGAGAGTTCGGTACACTTTTCATGATACGAATTGCCGCAGTCCATGCAACGATAGCCGACGGGTCCCCAGAGCAGCTTCGTACAATGATTGCAATTGGTGGGTGTCGTGTACGGATGCTTCTCAAAGCGATGCGGATGAAAGAATTTATCCTGATAGCCCGCTAAGCGTCCCTTCATGATGATCTCGAGCGTGGAGCGTTTGTGCTGATGCGTTTGCACCAGCATGCTGCTGAGCGAGGTCTTACGCGACATGGGCTCCAGTTGTGGTACCACAAGATTGTTCCACACTTGCTGCCACTTCTGTGGCAGATGGCCGCGTTCCGTTTCCGCCTGCTTCACCTCGCTGAGCAGGCACACATAGGCGTTGGGATTGCATTTCTCAATGCTGTCATAGCCGGCGCTGATTACCATGCGCTTGCCCTTATTTTCGGATACATCGATTTCGTCATCCACATTGGTCACCTCCAGGTCATAGGGTGGTCCCTGTGCCAGCTCCTCATTGGTGTAAAATCCCCACAAGTCCAGTGCCGCGACACTATGCTGCGGACGCAACACCTCATCTTTGCTGGAGGAATAGAGAAAGTTGTAGAAAATTGGCGACTTATTATGCTGTCGCTCGATATAGTCAAAAATGGAGTGACCGATGCGATTCAGTTGTGTGGGCGTGCGCGGACTACGCAGGTCCAGCGGATAAACATTGCACTCATCATCCGAGCCATTGGCGGCGCTGCCACCGAACATATTCTTGGTGCTCAACGAGCCACGTTTGTCCTCCATGGAAGCGATGCCGGAATCGTAGCGCTCCAGCTCGCAATCGAAGAGGAAAGTGCGAAAGCGACACGACACCACATGGTAGGCCAGAAATCGTAAATAGAAATCATTAAACTCGAAGCCCATCGGAAACTGTAGCTGCAGCTGGTAGACAACATCAAGAAACTGGAGAAATGTGGGCGCAAATGCGATATTTGTGCTCGCATGCGACGGCTTCAGATTGCTGCGATGAGCAAATCGATGCCCAAATGCCAGCCACTCCTTTTCGACGAGCACACGAAAGCCATCCAGGCTACGATAATAGGGATCAAGGCAGAGCTGAGCTATGGCCGAAAGCTGTGCGGTCACATCGGAGCCATCCTCTAGCGACAACATCACGCTGCTCTCCTGCAAATCAATCAGATCCACCACAGCGCCCGATAGCTGCAGCAACGTTGAGATCTGCTGCAGCCAATCGGATTGCTCGACCATCTTGGCAAAGCTTTGGCCATCCGCATCGTTTGCATTATGCGACGGCATGCAAGCGCGTATTAGCTTCTTGAAGGCCGATCGGGATTGCCGGATGTCCGGATAGTCTACGGGTATAAAATCCGCACAGAAGTCACCATTCAAGTTGGACTTGGCCTGTGACTTTTCACCTGTCAACAAGATGGTAATTTATATTATTGATTAATGTACGTATTTCCATTTATCTTACCCAACGTATAAAGCCGCATCTTGCGGAAGGCATGCGACGCTAAATTCCTTTCATTGCCCTTCATGGTGCCGCCCTTGTTGCCCGACGCATTGGATTTACTGCCATCGCTCACAGTCAAGTTGGATCTTTGCTTGCGCATCAGCTCTGGCGTTAGAGATTGATGATGATCCTCGCCAACACCGTGGCCCAGCAGCGAGCTCATCGAGAGATTCATGCCCGTATACTGATTGAGTGCGTCCAGCTGCGTCAGTTTGGGCATCGTATTGATCAGCGCCATGAAATACTTGTCCTGCTCCGGATAATGTGTGACATCGTTGTGTGTCATCGTATTGGCACCCGTTGTATTCTTAATCATGCCAATCACGGACTTGCTATTGGGCTGTGCGCCCCGTATGAGCAGTGAGCCGTTGCTGTGCCGCCAGGTGGGCAGCGGTATTCGCTGGCCCTTAAAACAGCGTCCCAGGTGGGTCATAGCCGCATCGCTGCACTGCACCGGTGCCACAATGATGGCCGGCAAGGTGCGGCAGGTGGCATAGTTTGCGTTCGCATTGCTAATCCGGAAGCCGAGCTGCGCGTCCGCATCGAAACCGAGACGTTTCCAGTCGCGTACATAGCTGCGTTCGCGCATGCGCTCGATATCCTTGGTGGTTAGTAGGCGTGGCAGCGCCTCGTTCTGCTGTGTCTCGAACTCGTCGGCATCCTCGAGCTCGTCGTCAATGGAACGGGTCTCCAATGCATCAGCACTGCTGCTGCCCAACTCATATTCGGGTACCAATTTGCGTTTGGTTTGTGCCTTCTGTCTGAAGCCCGCTCGCTTCGCCGTGCGGAGCAGCGTCTTCTTCGCAAATCCCTTGAGTGTGGAATATTTCTCCTTGGTCTTGAGCGGCACAACGCCCTGCAACATAGTGCCATAGGATTGAAATGCAAAATACTCAAATTCATCGAACGGATGACGAGCTTTGTTCAGCGTCTTGCGGAACGTTTCGATTTGTTCCAGCGTCACCTCCGTGTCAAAGGCAATCTTGAGCAGCTGAAAGCAGCTGGAGCGCAGTTGCAGACCCTCTGGCAGCGTCTGATCCAAATGGGCCAGATACAACATCGATATCTTCTTCTCCTTGAGCAACGAGGCAATGGGAAAGGCGCGCACAATCGTCTGCTCGCAGAACAGTGGATCGCAGGGCGAACCCTTGAATACGATGCGATAGTTGGTCAAGAATAAAGCACCCTCGGCTGGGATTAGGCACTGGGTGTCATCTTCTCTGCCATCGGGCATCAGAAAACAACGTAAATGTTCGGTGGCGAGCTCCTCGCCAGGCAGCAGGCAAGGCGTTTGTATCTTTGGCTTCTGCACATGCGGATGCCGTTTGGCCTCCAAATAAACCGGCTCCAGGGATTCAACGTGCATGTGCACCACACCCGGCACCATATCGTGCAGGTTGCGTATATGCTCCGAAGTGACACCGCCCTCGGTGCAGACGCAATCAATGAAACGTGAAATTGTCTTGCCAACGGTCACGCCAATCTCCAAGGCATCGTTCTCCTCGAAACCTTCATCGGAATGTTCGCTCAGGCTGTGCGAGCCCATAATACTGAAAGAAAATGATGTTATTATAAAATCTATCAAAGGTGGACTGCAGCTGCTGAGTAGTTGGATCTTTCAAAAGTGGTTATACATTTATATAGTCTTCCACTTTAAATTTGGACTATCGATTTAGATATTTGTTTTTTCTTTTTTACCTATTGGAAACGCTCTGGTTCTCCTCGAGCCGAAAGGCTTGCTTGGGCTTGCTGGCCGCATCCACGTTGACGTCGAGCGGTATCAGCAGGGAGACCATGCGATTGGCAAAGTGTATGGCCTGGCTATACAGCGTGGACTCCTCCGATTTGGCAAGCTCCGTCTTTTTCTCCTCCTCGATGGTGGGACTTTGGCGCAATTGCTCCGCTGTAATTTCCAATGCTGTTGGCTCTTCCAATGGCACCTCATCCAACACAAAATTCGCCTCCTTATTGTGTTCGTTCTGGCGGCGCTGTAGCAAATACAGAGCCTTAATTTGCGCCTGGACATCCTGAAAGAAAGTCGACTCCCAGAATTGCAGGTTTTTCCATATGACATGATCTTGGATCTCCGTATAGGCAAATTGCACCACGCCCATTGAGAGCTTGCGACAGAATATGGTTGACATGGGCAATAGTGCAGCAGCAACGGTGTATTCATCCACACCGGAGGCGTTTTGTAGCGCCTTGTTCATGAAGCGCACAACCAGATCGAATTGCTGATGATCGAGCACCGCCTTATTGCCATGCACATAGCCAAATAGCTCGCGGCACAGGATGAGCCGGGCATCCCGATGCTTCAGCGTTCGCATTACAGCTGGCAACAGTTTGCGTGCATCCGCAATGCGATTTTCAAATATGTAAGACACACAGGTGCGCAGAACTTCCAGGCGTCGCGCTGAATTGTGTACCGTGGTTGGACGCACGTCTAGCGCCTCCGGCAATCTGGGGCCCATGGGTATAATTCTATGCTGATTGCGGGTGACATTAAAACGCTGTGACTGTCCATTCTTGCGTATGCCATCCTGTATGATAAGCTCCACCTTATCAGTGTTGATGCGCGGAAATGCCGGCTGATGGATGCGCTGGATTGCGCCATCGGGCGGTCGCAGCACCTTCTGGGCATAGGTCGCTGGTGCATTGGATGCCTCGTTCTCGTACAGAGTGCGACCCAGCTCCTGGATATGTGTGAGTATCTGTATAAACGAAATAGAGATCATAGTATTAACATGAAATCGAAAATAAACACGAATTTGTTAAGTACGCACGAGATTCCGGTTTTGGGCCTCCGTTTTGAGCAGCTCGTTCATAGAGCTGTACAGCTCATCCCATGCATCAGCGGCGCGCCAGGGCGGTCCTCGCTCATTCACAAACGTGGTGAAGAACATGCTGTCGAGGACGCGAAACAGAAACTCGCTCTCGATGAGATCGCGTGCCCCAAGAAAGCCAGCCTTGTGAAATGTGATCACGGTCTTTGGGTGAATGCGAATGATGGTCAGGCAAGATCGATATCCCTGGAACAGCTGTGCGAACAGTCGCATGAATATGGCACGCAGCTCCTTATCCATGTGTGCCTCCGTTTTCGCGAGCGACGATGGTCGCTCGATATTGGGGAATGCAAGATCCGCTTGCGCCAAATTGGGAAATAATATCATGCCGAGCAGATCTTGCGTTTGCTCCCACAGCGGTGATGGAAATATGGGCACCGGTGGCGTCAGTGCATCCGGTATAGTTACCAGGCCACCATCCAAATCAACCACAATCACATCGAGCAAATCCGTTATTTCCGTTTGCAGCGAACTATGTATGCCCATGATAAATGGCGTCGGCGTTGAGAGCACCTCGGTGAGTGGGGCCGGGAGTATGGGTATATAGACATGCGTATAACGAAATGGATACATGAGCGCAACCAATGCCCTGCAGCTGTCCGTCAAATGCCAATAGCACTTGGAGTGAAAGAGTATTTTGTTTTCGGTCATCACGGCGCACAGCAATATCAGCACATTCTTAATGCCCAGCTGTTTGAACAGAAAGTAAACACCGCTGCCCGTCATCGGCAGCGAGGAGCTCTGCGGTGGCTGCAGTGATTGCTTATCACCAGCGCCAATTGAGAAGCGCACCTGCGGCCCGCCCGCGGGCGGCACCTGTATGCAGCCGAGTATGTTGCCAACCAGATTCTCCATCGCATATGGCAAGTTCTCAATATACACCGTATAAATGGTACCCAGACAGTTCTGTAATATTAATTATTTTTGATATAATAAATATTTGCCATTCATTTAACATTTATGCTCTAGGAGTTCAAAGCTATTGTGATGCGCCAGAGGGTTAACAACATATTTACTTTAATTTCTATTTTTCTTTTTCAATTTCTTATAAAAAAAAATCAGATACCCTATAAAATATGTAGAAGGCAGCAATTGAAATAACTTTGACTCGAATCATTTTATATGTGGGGTTACCTTAAAAGTATCGGCACAATCCAATCGGGATATGAGCACCAAACACTTGGGCGCATACATAATGCTATGATGCGTAATGGGTTCAACTGGCGCCGCGGCCAACAGTCCGCGGCTACTGCTGCAGTTGTTGCCAATTGTCTCATCCTCGTCATCCACGCTGCGTGTTTGCGTTATGGCCAGCGTCTCATGGAAGCTGAGGCACGCACAATAATGCTTGTTCGCATCTATGTCGGTCAGCACTGATATGAAGAATTTTGGCTCTTGTTTCTCGTACGATAAATTCCAGCCGAGTGGCTGACAGAACTATAATTATTATGAAATTGGTATTGCAATGTGAATAACAATTGTGTGTTGTATGCAAGGCGGACTAGATTAAGAAACAGCAACTCACCCATTCGATGCCCTCGATGAAGGGCGTGTCGGGCCAATCTTTCTCAGGAAATCGTTGCACAATTTTGCCGCATATTGGCTGGCCGCAAACATTGCCGGCAGTTTCTGCATAAAAAAGGCATACATTAAAGAAATTAATATATATATATAGATATATGTATATACAGTGGTCGCAAGGCACTTGAAACTATCAATAATATAATTGGTGTTTGAGAAAATGTTTTATTAAACACTCACGACAATCATGATTTAGATGGATTATTAAAAAAAAAGTATACCAATGAAATTATTTAGTTTAAAATATGTTGTATTTTTTTTTTTGGTATAGAAATAAAGAAAGAGATTATCATAAATGAGAGATCAAGAGAACAAGTCTTCCAATTTCGAGCGACAACTCTTGATCTCTTATTTATGATAATCTCTTTTATTTTCATTTATTTCATACCAAAAAGTTACTATACAAATTGTACATACATGTATATATATCAACCATTAGCACTCACTTTCTTTGTCGTTATCGTAGCCAACAATTACAAAGTAATCAGCGAGCCGGGACATCTCGTACGCTTACGCTGCAGCTGCACATTGCAGGCTAACTTGGGTTCTTGGGGACTGCTGCTGTTTCTCTTGTTCTTGTTATTATTCTTGTTGCTTGTGTGCCGCCGCCTGATGCTTCAGATTTCTTCGTTTGCCAGATCTACGAAGTACAAGCATAAAACGCAAATCGAATGAAACAATATTGTTGTTGGTGCTGTTGTTATACACGTTGTTGTTTTTGTTGTTGTTGAATAATTTTTTTGTTTTCATATACACACAACACAGCGATGGCAATCGCAGCCGCTTTGGCCGCCTGCCACAAAACTCATTTGCATAAAAATTGAGCTCTCAATTAATATAGCCAGGCGTTTTGTGTTTCGCATATGTAATTAACCCAGAAATCGGCGTCCGAACGCATTGCTCATGTGCCACAAAATTTCTCATATTATAATAAAGTAAAAAAAAAAAAGAAAACAATTTTAACGTTCACAAATTTTAAGTCACAACCACACCCCTACACTAAGCGAATTGCCATGTTTGGTTTCGTCATAAGGTAAAGTGTTATAGAATTCATATATATACCGTTGAACTGCTCGTAATTTTTCGCTTATGGTGCCTGGTACTTTTATTATAAACAAATTACTTTAACTTTTAGATTTTTCATGCTTGCGGAATGTAGGGTTGTTGATATGCTATCGATATTTATAGATACGACTCGATATTTAGTTACAGTGCTACTTAACGGTAAAATATGGCCTATAACATTACAGAGCACTAGCAAAAGTGGCGCAATCATGTAAACTAAAAAATGCTCACCATTTTAAAATATCATTATTATCAATTTATCGCGAAACATACAGCTGCAATATAGCACAAAAGTTATAAAGTTAAAGAAGATGCATTTACTTATTGGAATGTGCATTACGAAGTGTCTTGTCGATGTTATCGCATTATAAACTTCTTGTATCGATTCATCGATATTTGTGGAAGTCAATGTATGTGTGTGATTTTTTCCCTACGTCGTGCATATTTCTGTGCTATTTGTGCGATTTTAGCTACGATTTGGGACTTTTAAATGCAATTTTATATAATTGGAGCTGTGGCCAAGTAATTACTGTGTGTGCTTGATATGAAAATAAGTCGAACAAATGACTGCGTTGTGTGCAAACTAGCAGTTCCCCCACTTTACCATTAAGGTGTCTTGTCGGGCTTCGGGCAGCAGGTAAGCTCCACTCGCTCTCCCTCTGTTCGTCTTGCATATGCTCTCCCCATACACCATCTCCCTCTCACTCACTGGCACTTCCAAAATATTTTGCTCTTTCTGTCTTATTCTACACACAGCTGTTTTGGGCCAAATCTCAAACTTCTTATCAAAACCTGCATGTCGAATACAAATTTGAGTGCACAAACGCGGATTTCGAGCGAATTCCAAATGTGTAACGCCGAATGCATTGCTAGAGTTGTGTTAAAATCAGGTGACAACACCAACACACTGAGATTTTTTTTTATGGGTTCATTCACGATTTTAACACACATGAATAATGAAACACAGTCAGCGTTCGATATGAATAATTACAGTGCACTATCAAATGTACACTTGATTTTGTATATTTTAACCAGTTAGCTCAAAAATTGTAGCCTCAGCAAATTGGGAAAGATCATGAATGCCTTGTATATATAGCTATCATTTTTGTATTATAAATTTATCTCATTTGTGCTTACAGTAAATAGTAAGAAAAACTGATTTAAAAATCGAAAATCGTTTCTCAATGAGTGATATTGACTTCATTTTTCAAGTAAAACTTGCTTCTCCACATTAAAGCCAACGTTTAAATGAGAATTTAATTAGTTTGTCAACAGTTAGAAATTCTTCAACTGTAAAAATTGACAATTTTGTATTGTAAACCTTGATAAATGAGTAAATTTTCGAAGTAGGTGTCTGCAAAAGCAGTCGTTTGTATAAATTTTGGTATTTCAGTTTGCTCTCATAATACACATATTTATGTGATCGGACAGACACATTAATAATTTTTCTAATTTGTGTTTCTCTTTAAAAGAAAAAACCAAAAAAAAAAGCGTAAGCATGGAGAATGAACAGGATGAACTCAGACACCGGCATATGCAGGATCAGCATCATGGCGTCCCCATTGGCTACTCCGACGTCATGGTACAGCTTGGGTCCAGCGAGCGGGGTAAGTGAATCTCAGACTGCTAAACAAAAATGTGCATGTTCAAATATTTAAATACTTTGCAGAACGTTCACCCTACATACCCGTTTACTTGCAACGCGAGAGGCTGTCGGATAGTTATATGTTGATACCTTCCTATATACAGGCTTCCACAGATTTGCGACCTGCACGGCAACCGGCCGCAGTTACGGCAGCCACTACTGCTGGCTATGTGTCCATGTTTCAGTATCAGCCATCGGTCATCGGATCTCTAAATAGGGAATCCTTTGCGGAGCCGGCAAGCTCAACAGGCAGCCTGACGGCCAATAAGTGCTGGAAATGCAATGGTATACGCGATGTGGGATGCCACTGTAATCGACTGTCGGAACAGGGCAACAACTATGCGGAGCCCGTGGAGCACGTGCATTCCACACAGTCCAATGGTGGCAGTCCTGGCGGTGGTGAACCCACACAATTCTTTGAGCTCAGCTCAACGTCTACGGCTGCCACGTCCACACTGTCTGCTGCAGCTAGCAGTAGTACTCGAGGCGACAGTGCTGCTGTCTCCCAGTTCATTCCAAATCACAACACACAACGTAAGACTGAAACTAAGCATGAGCAGCAGCAGCAGCAACAACAACAGCAACCGCACGCAAAGCACGATCACGTCAATAACAACGGCGATTCACATTCAGGTCGCGTATGGCCCGCTGCCATGGATGATCATGCTGTGGATGAGCAGCTGCTGCTGCAATCTGGTAGTACTACCTACGAGCTGCCATCCAGTTCGCTGCTTAGCAGCTCCCACAACAGCAGCAGTACGAACAGCTCCTTTGAGGCGAGCAGCAGCAATAATGTGATGATAAATCAGGTGACCGCCTATGATGATGTCACGTCAAGTGCATCGGATACGGAACATGTGCAGTTTGCCAATACGCGTACCACCAACACAACCACAACGACATCTGCTGTACAAAAGAAAAAGCATCAACCGAATCACAGTCGTAATGGTGGTGCCACTAGTGAAGCAACTGCAACGGCATCCGCATCCACATCTTCGTCGGTCATTGAACTAGATGCAACTCCCAGCACAAGCGCCCAGGCTCAGCAGCAACAGCAACGCCGCAACTTCTATCCGCCACTTCATAATTTTTTTAGCGAAATGGATGATAATAGCAGCGATGATGGCTGGGATTTGCGTATGCACAATGCAGCAGCACCACAACAACCAGCATCAAAGGCAGCAGCGTCAGGGAAATCAACAGGTGTGCGACCGCACAGCAGCAATAGCAACGATCATGCGGATCACACGTATTACAACCGAGGTGGCTACAGATATAACTGTATACGTCCGCCACCACCATCACCCCCACTGCTGTCTAATTCCACCTCCTGCACGACGGCCACCCTCACCACTTTCAGTGTGGATTACGACGGTCCCGATATTTGTGGTGTGCATCGTTTGTCAAACGAAGGCAGCGGCGGCGGAGGCGGCGGTGACGCCACAACCACAGCGAATCAGGAGCAGCGCCAACGACCCGCAGCGGTGCTTAAGGCATGCTACGGTTCAGGACTGGGCAGCGGCATTGTGCGCACCTGTTCGAGTGCCCGCTCCTTGGATGAGCAAATACCCACCGGTAGCAGCAGCAGCAGCAGTAGTAGTAGTAATCTCAGCCTCAGGCTCTGCCAACCGCCTAAAAAGTTGGCACGCTTCGAGTCACGCAGCGACGACCAACTGTCGCCGTCGGCCATGTCCAGTCTGTCGCCAACGAACTTCTATGCATTTCAGCCGGGTCGTCATCGGCATCGCACCTATGCGGAAATGGCGAGAAGCACTGACCGACAGGTAAGTGTAGATTTTATATAATTATATGCCGGTTAATATATATGAGCATATTTTCCTGATTAGCATATTATGTTTTCGGCATGCCGAAGATATGTTTTATACTGCACTAAAATCGATATTTATTTTTTAAGGAGGCGCAGCGTCGACGGCGCATTCTCAAACACAGCAGCAGCAGTCATCAAGCGGGCGGCTCCTGTGTAATTGCCTATGTGGGCAGGCCACGTGAAACGGATGGCAGCCAGGCGGCGCAGGGAACACAGGAGCCGCCCAACAATCTTCCATCCACCTCAACGGGCAGACGTCACAATTCGAATTCGTCACATGTCAAAGCGAATGGGGATAATGCGGTGCTAACTGCCCCCGATCTACAGCTGGATTGGTCATCCGACTCTAATGACGATGATGATGATGTTGTATTTGTGCACTCCACACGCGAGCCAATACTCTCCATAGATCTGACTTCCGATGATGATGGCTTCGGTGGCAGCAGCGATACGGCGTTACAACAGCCGTTGCAACAGATTCGACATCGCTATCGCCCGCAGCACCAGCAGCAGCAACAACAACAGCAGCGGACCTCTGATGACGATGGCTTTAGTGGCAGCAATGATATGGCTGTGCAACAGCATCGCTATCGTCAGCAGCAGCAACAACAGCAGCGGCATCAGAAACAACAGCAGCATCTGCAGTTGTTACAACAACAGCAGCAGCAGCAGCAGCAACAACAACAACAGCAGCAGCAGCATCATTACTTTGGCGAGGAGTCTCTAGCGACTTTCAGCCGAACACCTGTCGGCGGCGAGACACTAGCTTCAACTGCAACTGGCGCCACAACAGTAGCTGCTGCAACGTTGCTGCCACGTCCGAGTTCAGCCAATGAATACGAGGAACGACGTCGCCAGCGTCCAGCGGCTGGCACGTCATTTGCCTTCTACAGCGGCGCCCTGGCGGATCGTGTGCCCATCAACGATCACAATTACAGCACCTACGATCATACACAGGCCATGGGACCGATATTCAACTTTCGCAATCTAATGCCACCCACACGTTGTCCCGGATTGGAGGCCGAGGCGGCAGCGGCAGCAGCAGCGCATTCTCAACGCTATTTTCAGCCAATTACTCCACCACCCATTTGGCATCTCGGAGCGTTGCCGGAGAGTCAAGCTCCGTCAGCGGCGCCACCGCCGCCGTCAGTGTCAAGCGTTGGTAATCCCGGCAATTATGTCCAGCTGCAAAGCATTGTGACGAATGTTGGTCCCATTGATGTGGCACCAGCTCCACCATTGCCAGGTGTTTCCAATCCCGGCAATTATGTGCAACTGCAACGCATTCCGACGAATGCAGGCTCCATTGATGTGGCGCCAGCCCAAACATTGCCAGGCATTGCTAACTCTGGCAATTATGTGCAACTGCAACGCATTCCGACGAATGCAGGTCCCGTTGATGTGGCACCAGCCCAAGCATTGCCAGGCGTTGCCAACTCGGGTAATTATGTGCAACTTCAGCGTATTCCAACGAATGCTGGACCCATTGATGTGACATCAGCACCTCCATTGCCAGGCGTTGCTAGTTCCGGTAATTATGTGCAACTGCAACGCATTGCGACGAATGCCGGTCCCATTGATGTTGCTCCAGCACCACCATTGCCAGGCGTTGCTAACTCAGGCAATTATGTGCAACTGCAACGCATTGCGACAAACACTGGTGCCGTGGAAACACCCGAAACATTGACCAATGGACGCAGCAGTCCGGCTGCCTATTATCATCGGTATCAGCCGTTTTATGTGCCGCATTATGCGATCACAGCGCTGCCACCGAGTCGCAGCAATGGAGATTACTCACCGGGTCCGCCGAATCCGCACTATCAGGGCGGTTTGAGCAATGCAACCGGCAGCAGTCGCAGCTCTCTCAGCGGTGCCATGAGCGCAGCCGCTGTGGCTGCCACTGTGGCAGCGGCACAGGCGCAATCCTTTCACGATCTTATTTCGCTGGCGAATGTGCCCAGTTCGCCGGTGGCAAGGATGGAGAGCAGCAGCCTAGATGATGACTATCATCATCGCAATCAAACGCTCAACATGCTCAGTCGTGCCACAACGCCGGTGGCGGCTGCTGTTGCCACCGCAGCAACAGCGGGTCCGCCACCAGTGGTGTCGTCAATTGTTTCAGTTGCCGCTGCTGTGTCGCCGCCACCGCCGCTAGAGATGTACTCCGGACGAAACACAATGCAGTATTGCGGATCGCCGCCGTTTAGTCTGCGACGCTTGGATGCATATCACAATCATCGGCAGCATTATCAGCCGCAACCGCATCAGGGTCATCAGGCGCCACAGAATCAAATGCATGCGCACATTCATCCGCCACATCGGGCTAGTGCCATTGTGGCAACATCGTTGACACCGGCGCCGCCGTATCCGGTGCATCAGAATCTGTGGTATCGGCAGCAGTCCATGCAGGAGCTGCACCGTCGTCATATGACGCCCACACCCATTGATCTCTCCTCGAATCCGCTCAATCTGACAAGCAGTCTGCGCCCCCGCTATCTGCACAGGATCTGCAGGTGCGTGCATGCGCGCAACGGGCCCGTCTCCAGCCTCGATCCCGCCTACTATCCGGCCTACGATGCAGCTGTGCACCAGCAACAGCAAAGCTCCGCCGCTGCTGCGCCCATTGATGCGCATCAGCCGCACCCGGCACCACCTCAATTGGGACTACAATATCAGCAACAGCAGCAGCAACAACAACAACAACAACAGCAGCAGCAGCAACAACAGCAGCAACATCAACAGCATCAGCAGCAACAACAACAGCAACAACATCAAATACAAAGACGTCGAGCCGCTGTTCATCATCATATGTTCCATCATTATTCTCCACTCCATTTGGAAATTGGCCTGGCCACACCCCTTACAATGGGTACATCCCGCATATTGATTGGACCACCGCGTCCCAATCGAGGCGCCACTCTGGTAAGTAATTCCAAATTATTTATAATCTGTATGTAGCCTTGTAGAGAGGGTATTATAGTATTGTTCTTGATCAGAATCAGTAGCCGAGTCCAGACACTGTTGATAATTAATTTTTTAGTGAAATTTAGATGTCGGCAGGTTGACTTCGATCTGCAAGCGAATGTAATCTGCTGATTAATTAAATGAAATCTGTTTTTCAATTCGTAGGAGATTATCGAGCGCAACACATTGCCACACAAATATCGTCGAGTACGACGTCCCAGCGAAACAGACGAGGATGCTGAGAAGTGCGCCATATGCTTGTCCCTCTTTGAGATTGAGAACGATGTGCGGTGAGTCAGCGTGAATGTTTTAACCATGCCTACGTTGAATGCTAAAATCTTATTTAATCCATTTACAGCCGACTGCCCTGTATGCATCTCTTTCATACCGATTGTGTGGATCAATGGCTAGTCACCAATAAACACTGTCCGATTTGTCGCGTTGATATTGAAACGCATATGGCAAAGGATGCACTGGTGCCCAGCTCCAGTGGCGTTGCAGCTGCAGCTGGCACTGCTGCCTTATGACATTGCGTACATGGCATCTTTATGTAAAATTGGCTTCCCGAACTCTACTGCAAACAACGGGTATCCAACTTTTCAGACTGAGTTCGTCATGTTTGAATCATTCATGTCGGAGCCAAGCAGGCAGCAACAAAAAAAAAAAATGTGTAAAACTAAAAATGACAAAAAAAACAAACTACATAAATTGGATTTGCAAAATTGTATGCGAAGGATGCACTGGTGCATCGTCAGCTTCAGTTTTGTCACTGCCACTAAAAGCGCAACATTTGCACACTCTTCCTGAGATCAACAAGTTTGTCAAGTAGAGGACAGACAACAAGCAGTGACAACGCGAACATTTCATAAATTATTTAAACCAAAAATATACAAATTTGCAAAGCATTCAAAATGAAATCGTTAAACGTCAGCCAGTTGGAACCGTGAACCCACCAAAAACAGGCGATAGTAGCTGTACAAAATTTGCTGCGTTACGTTAAAATACAAAACAAAAACAAAAATATGAAGAAAAACAAAACAAAAAACAAATTGGCTCAAACTTTACGTACATACTTATATATTCTTACATATTAAAATGAATTGATAGGTGTTTTTTGGCATAATCATCATAAACATTTCCTATTTTATAAATTATGTCCATTGTTTTTGTGAAACGAAATTCTTGTGATTACACATATTTGTATTACGTATTGTTAAAGTGTGAATGCCGCCTCCCAATGATTAAGAATTATTCAATGTACCAACTGTAATTGTTATTGTAATATCCCATATTTTACAATTTGTCACGAAATTATAAAGTGTGGTACTACCAGCAAATACGACAAAAAGCAACAACATTCGACTCAATTGCATTTTAATTTTAATTACCAATTATCTATATTTTACCTATTGAATTCAATTTGTTGCCATATTTGTAATTGATTTTGATTGATCTAACCTGATTCGTTGGAGTGGCGCGTGGAGCCACTTAAAACATATTTTTAAATTACAATTAAGTTTCTCTATTTGGGTATACCTAAAATCCAATTTAAAGTTGGACACAGGATACTAAACATTTATATAATTATAATATATTGATAAACATGAATTGCAAATCAAATACATATATTCAATATTACATTTTAATCACATTTGTAGTACTATTTAGGGATGCCAATTTTTGTGGTTTTAACTTCGGCACTTGGGTGATTCTATCGAACTATTTCTGTATAATTGCTCGCCAGTTCCTGCTTCAATTTTAATTATATTTTGATCGATAATTGCACTAAAAATCTCTTCGTGTGGTGTTGTTTTATTTAGGTACATGCTAACTTTATTAAGCTTTTACAGTACAGTACTTAAAAACTAGAGCTAAAAATTGTTGAGAAATGTTTAACAATGATATATGTATGTATAATGCCAAACCTTACTACAGATTTTGTAAGACTCGAGATAGGCAACTTTATCTAGGTTATATTACTTGGTCCAGCTCCAGTATTGTTGTCTTGCCCGCCATTGTCGTCGTCGTCCTGTTCCTTGGTCATATCTGCAAAGAAGTCGGAGGCATTTGTGCACTTGGATGAAGGCAAATTGTGTCGTTTCTCCTTGTATGCATTGTGCTTCTCATTATATTTAATATCGCCAAAATCCTCGAAATATTTTACATTCCAGAAGCGCACATCGTTGTTGTGCGACGAGGATGCCAGTAATTCGCCACTGCAATTAATATCCAGCGACTCGATGGGCATATTATGCTGTCCCACAACACCCAAATTGCGATAAGGTGCAATGTGGCATGCACGTATATTGCCATCCTCGCCAGCCACACACGCAATCCGATCCGTAATGGGTACCATCAGACTTATGGGGCTCTTGATGCCCGGATACATGTCGCAGTGGTAGCCAAAGTAGCCCCAGTTATAGGTATAAAGGCGTCCCTTTGAGGTACCCGCCACCAGTTTGGAGTTGCCACGATAAATGCCCATGCAACTAAGCTCCTCCTCATATGGTTCGGATTGCACATACAATTTCCGAGCACCGATATTATAGGTGGTTAAATATCCATCGGCACTGGTCGCCAACAGCAGTTTATTCTGTTCATTGGTCAGCATTTGTGTTATCTGATCCTCTACCTCCTTCAGCTCAAATATGGCATCCTTGGTGCGAAAATCCCATAGTTTTACAGTGCCCGCATCATCACCAGTGGCAAAAAGACGCTCGTCCAGCACAAACAGCTTATTGATGGCATCATCATGGGCCGTTTCGTAAAGTTTCTTTAGCTTTTCCGTCTCCATGTCGGTGACCATGACGCACTTGTCCTTCGAGCAGGTGATCAAACTGCGACCATCCTCAGTAAACTCGACATCCCGGCATGCCTTGGCGTGTACCTCAATGGTGCGCAGGAGTTTATTTTCCTCGTTACCATACTCATACAAATGCACATCCCCAATAATAGTTGCCAGGGCAATGATATCGCGCTCCGGATGAAAGCAAATGTCTGTTATGAAATCCTCAAGCTTAATCTCTGGCGGCGCACTACGTGTCTTCTTGATGGCAGCTATCATGGCACGCACCGTCTCATCCGTTTCGTCATCCTCATCCAAATGTGAATAATCAGAAACACCACTTGGGTCCGATCCACTGGGTCCGGCACCATCATCTGCGGACTGCTCCTTGCGCCGCTTGGCACTGCTTGCACCAGCCGACGCCACCTCATCGATCATTGAGTCATCAGAGTCGGTGTCCTCTGCATTCGGATCAAAGCTGCCGTCGCTGCTGATGCTATCATCTGAGCTGCTGGCCGCCTGATGCTGCACTAGCGCGCCCATATCCGCCAAATCGTATTCGTCGTCGTCGCTCTCAGACTCGTTGAGCACGTCCTGTTCAATTTCAGCTATTACTCCAGCTACCATATCGTCATCAGTGTCGTCGAGCTCGTCTTCGTTCGTTGGCGATTTGAAATGCTCATGCCTGCCAAAAAAAGGGCTCAATACGTACTTCTCTTTTCGAAGAATCGTTTAATACTTACGTATGCATAGTATGAATAGCCAAAAACCCTGATTTTTTCTTTTTAATTTGACAAGCCACGCTTTTTTCCGCCAGAACAACCCAAAATTCAAGAGACGAAAGAAGAAGCAGAACACACAACAAACACATGCCTGAATCACAGCTGATGGCTGGCATGGTAACAACAACAACTCAGCAGCAATTGAAGAATATGCCAGTTTCGACTATGAAATACTCTATAGTGAGATAAACACGTTCCCTTTTGAGCTTAGTCTTTATATCAATGAACTTAATTTATTTTGCATGTGCATATTCAAAAATTAAATATTTTGGACATATGTGGACACAATTGTGCCCGAAAAATGAATATTTATAGTACATATATATGAATTTGCTGCTGCAAGTACTACTGCTACACTGTGAGGTGTATGCCTTACCAGCCAATTGGCATACAGGGTATTTCAAAAGAAAGAACAAGAACGGGAACAGTGCTGCCAGACAGGCTAGAAACTTTTTATCAATTAGCATCTAGTTCAAGCAATGGTGTAATGAAAAAACGCACATACATCTCCTCCTCGTCGTCGGCCTGCATCATAAAGTGCAGCTCCAGCAGACCGCTGTCATCCGTTTTGATCGCCACCTTTGTGGCCACCTGTAGGGCCTTGTTAGTGAGGCGTATTTGTTGGCTTTTGTACCGGGCCACAGTTGTCGCTCGACAATTGAACAAAATAATCATATCACTAGACTTGGCAACCTCCACGCTAGATTCGGCCTGCATGACGCCTAATGTGGTGATCTTAAAGTGTGGCTTTAACGGCGAAATGGTGAACTCGTACTCGTCTGCCGCCTTATCCAGCTCGTGAAAGATGTGTGACATATCGGGACCGCGCATAAATATTTTATTTAAGCTAGAGCTGTTTGAGTCTAGCTCATATTCCATGGGCTCCTCCACATTAGTGGTTTTGATGGAGCACTCGGTGCTCACCTGCTCATCGTCATGCGGCTCTAGCAGCAGCAGCAGCGGTGCCCCTTCGCCCTTATACAGCATTTTAACGCTGCAATCCGACAAACCAAAGAGGCTCAGACACTCGGCGAGCACACTAATCTTTATACTAAAGTTTTGTGCGCCATCGACTTTGAATTCGGCAAAAAACTCGGGCGCTATGAATAACGTTGCCTGTATAGATTTGCCCTGCTCCACGGTGATGAGAAGCCCATCCTCACTAGCTTGTAGTGTGCCAAACTATATGCATAAGGATGTATGTTATAAGGTGGTAGAACTATTAAGATTGTTGAGTTTGGCTCACTTCACTGAAACAGATTGCCTTGATGGATGAGTAGAAGGTCTTGATGTGCTCCAAGCGGCACACCAGCTTGTAATCTTCATACTGCGATTGTGTTAGCATTTTACGATTTTTAATGATACCTTTCGCGTACAGCAGCTTGGAATGCTGCATTAATCCGCATAGATATCGTCCTGGAAATATCTAAACTGCGAAAGCGTTAAGACCTGTTCCCTCGGCTTTGGATTTAGTAGCTGATGCAAGCGCTGGGCCAGCATATGATCACAGGTGAACGATACTTGATTGTAATTGTCGTCCAGTTCCAGTTTCTCGTCGCCTTCGCTTTTGGGCAATTGCAGAACGCAGCGTTGGAAATAGCGACACTTGCAATAGTTCACACCAGGAATAATGCGCACAACCTGCGCTAAATTTCGCTTGCTGTCAAATTCAACTATGCTACGTAAACGATCTGGTGTATAGTAGATAATAATGCTCCACTCATCAAGTAGCCGCAGTGTTCTCTCCAGCAGCTCTTCGCTCAACAATGCGCTTAATTCCGTAAACAATTCGGCACGTTCAGCTGGAAGAAACTTTAATGTATTGAGTTTCGAATGAGTAAGAACTTTTCCAATTACTCTTCGTTATGCTAATGCCTTTTTGCCGTTGGTATTTATTAAAGACCTGTTGCACCAATCCGGGTAAAAGTAAATCCCCCGGCGAACTTACTAACTCACAATCAAGCGCCATTTGCATATAAATATTTGCAACAATCGGTTTATGTGACATTCCTGTGCATATTCCGATAGGTCTTATCGAAATGTATTTAGCTTATGTTTTCTTTTAATATGGTAAATTTATGAAGAGAATTGCATCAGTGATTGTTATTTTTCTTTTTTATATAATTATGAGTAATTATGGCGTACTATATCTTAAAATTGATCGCTTTCGATTTGTTGGCATTTTGCTGATGGCTCGCAAAATCGATAATGTCTTGCAATTTTGAGCGATTAACGCAGAAAGATGAGCGAGTGATTCCCGCGTTTTTTTTTATATTTGTTTTGTTTACATCTGATATTGGGTTAATTTAGTTTATAACAAAAGTTAAAATACTCATTTTATGTTGTGCGCGTGAATACATAATGTCCCGGAAACCTGTTAATCAAAACAAACCACTGACAATGTCAGCATTTCTTGGCCTAGACAAGAGCAGTCAGAGTCAATCGACGCAGTTAACAAGAGAGTCTCGAAAAAGTTGTGATTTATAAAGAATATCAGTGGCATATATAAATAAAATTAATGTTTATTTTCTTATTTCCAGATATACAGGAGGCGAGAATAGCAAAGGCAAAGTTTTACAATCCCATTTATCTCGATTCATCGTCATCGGAGGAAGATGATGAGCAGAGTCAGAGGAAGCAGTCAAAGAACAAGGAGCCGGATAAGGATGCTAATGGAAATTCACTTATTAAAAGGTATAGCTTCGATAATGTCAACCAATCGCCGCTAGCACCATTCCCAGCGAATGCCATCCTCAACCCAATGACGCAAACACCGCCAAAAAACGCCTCTGGCGTCAAATTAAACTTCGATAATTTGGATGAGGTGCTCAAACAGGATGCAACCTATCAAGCCACATTGTCAAAGCTCAATGGTCACATAAATAAGCTGTCCGTATCACCACGCAAACCACTCTCGTTGTCTCAATCCCCTCTCAAGCCCATTGAGACAATCAAATTGAGTTCCTCAAATGTGTGCAACTTAGACGACACTTTCGATGCGATGGTGAACAAAACTATCAAAAGTGAGCCATTGTCTGATTGCACACCGACACAGCCATTTGTACCACCGATCAAGTCGGACCCAACGCCCTCCAGCGATTCACTATTGAATCTTAAGGAGAAGCCACCAACTCCAACAGCAGCAGCAGCAGTAAAATCGCAGTCACTAGCTAAAGAGCAGCCCAAGTTGAGATTCGTCTTTGATAATTCATTGGCCGATTATTTGCGCGATTTGGGTCAATATGATATTGGCATAAGCAAGACGGATTTTGGTCAGCAGAATGACGCAATGCTTAGGAGCACGATGGGCATGTATAAGTCCAGGTATATTGAGCTAATGGAGAAGTACTGCGAGGTGATCGATCAAATACCCGCAGTGCATTTTAGTAAAATTGAAGGCTTCGAGGCAAACACATTTCTCAAGCTTAAGGTAATGAGGCAAAAGTTTAAGGCACGCACGCAGCTCTTGGAACGGCAAATAGAGCGTAAGCGGCAGGAGCGTAAGGCGGAACCGGAGGCGCATGACTTTGATGCACTGGAGCGAGAGGAGCGTGAAATGCAGGCGGAACAGTTGCTGCAAACTCCCAGTAGTTATGCAACATGCCCCTCAGAGGATCAGAATGATGAGGAGCTAAATGATCTGGTGCTAATGACAAAGCCCAGCATAATGACAACAACAGCACAAGCCACAACAAACAGCAAGTATACGAATGGTCCACCAGATGATTTACACGATTTGGTGCCCATGGAAAGTCCTTGTCATGAGTCGGACGAGGATGATTACTTGGCTCAGAGCATTCTGATGGATGAGGAAGAGCTCTGCAGCTCCACACAATACGCTGCAAATCCTGCCAAGTCCGCCGCCGCTTCTGCCATTGAAAAGCCCACAGTTGTCGTACATTCGGATGATGACGAGGAAACCCTAAAAGAAATCCACGAGGAGCACGAGGCGCTGCGAGGACGCAAATCGGAGTATAATAATTATGCGTATGCTGACTTTGAGGCTGTAAAGCAGCCAACCAAGCCATCGGAGCCTGCCCAGCGCATAAACTTTGCCGCAGATAGCAAGAAGCCCATTGTGCTCGACGACGATGGCTTTCCCGAGTACGATCCGGCGCTGTTTGAGCAAGCTTATGAGCAGGCATCAGTGATGGCCATTGTAGACTTGACCGCCGTCGAGACCAGGCCCAGCACGAGCCGCACATCCATCGTACCAGCTTCTGCACAAAAGATTTCAGGAAATTTCCATGCCAACGTGCACAACGACGGCATCACCGGCGAGTTCGATGGCCAAAAGTTTGAGCATTCGACGCGTCTGATGCAGGCGCTCAGTTTTAGCTTTGGTCTGAAGAGCTTTCGCCCCAATCAGCTGCAAGTTATCAATGCGGCACTGCTGGGCAACGATTGCTTTGTGCTAATGCCCACGGGAGGAGGCAAATCTCTATGCTATCAGCTACCCGCCATACTCACCGAGGGCGTCACCATTGTCATAAGTCCGCTCAAATCACTGATCTTTGATCAGGTCAGCAAACTGGCTTCGCTGGATGTAAGTAACGCATATATTAACTATATGTATATGTTAAGATATAATCTGCCAGCTTATTTAATCTATGTTCTCTCCAAGATAACTATTATGTCAGGTTTATTAATTTCGCTTCGAATTCCCCACAGATTTGCGCAAAGAGCATGTCCGGCGAACAGTCGATGGAGGATACTATGGCCATATATAGAGATCTTGAAGGACATTCGCCATTGGTCAAACTATTGTATGTAACGCCGGAGAAGATTTCCAGTTCGGCACGCTTCCAGGACACTCTCGACCATCTGAGCGCCAACAATTTTATCAGTCGCTTTGTCATTGATGAGGCGCACTGTGTGTCCCAGTGGGGCCACGACTTTAGGCCAGATTACAAGAAACTGGGCATTTTACGGAAACGTTTCCCCAATGTGCCCACAATGGCGTTGACAGCAACGGCGACGCCACGCGTCCGCCAGGATATTCTACAGCAGCTGAATCTGACACACTGCAAATGGTTCTTGTCCAGTTTCAATCGTAGCAATTTGCGGTTTCAGGTGCTGCCCAAGAAAGGCGCCTCTACGCTGGATGAAATGCGGAGCTTCATACAGACGCGTCCGATTACCGCCAGCGGCATAATATACTGCTTGTCGCGCAAGGAGTGTGACGAGGTGGCCCACAAGATGAGCGCAGCGGGCATACGTGCGGTGGCCTACCATGCCGGCCTAACGGATACGGCGCGCGAGTCTCGCCAGAAGGATTGGATAACGAATAAGGTGCGCGTCATATGCGCCACAATTGCCTTTGGCATGGGCATTGATAAGCCCGATGTACGCTTCGTTCTTCACTATTCACTGCCCAAGTCCATTGAGGGCTACTATCAGGAGGCGGGTCGCGCCGGACGCGATGGCGAAATAGCCGATTGCATACTCTACTACAACTACAGTGACATGATGCGCCTCAAAAAGATGATGGACGGTAAGTGGTATAAATATTGAAATCCCTTATTATATCGGTGAGTAATAGATAGTCCCTTTCCAACACCAATTGCAGCGGATCGTGCGCTTGAATATCATGTGAAGAAAATTCACATCGACAATCTGCATCGCATTGTCGGCTACTGTGAGAATATCACCGACTGTCGTCGTGCCCAGCAGCTGGACTATTTCGGAGAGCACTTCACCAGCGAGCAGTGCCTGGAGAATCGACGCACTGCCTGCGACAACTGCCTGAAGAAGCGCAGTTATAAGCAGATCGATGTGCTCGATCAGTGCAGAAAGGCGGCGAAAGCTGTGCGAGAATTGTGCAGCGGTCGTTCACGCTTCACACTGCTCCATTTGGCAGATGTGCTCAAGGGCGCCAATATTAAGAAGATTGTCGAAATGGGTCACAATAAGACACCGCATCATGGCGCTCTCAAAGATTGGGACAAGGCGGATGTGCAGCGTCTTTTGCGGCACATGGTGCTCAAAGACTATCTCAAGGAGGATCTCATCTTTACCAAGGACATACCGCAGGCGTATCTCTACCTGGGTAACAATATTACAGCGCTCATGAATGGTACGCCGAAAATCGAATTTGCACTCTCACGCAAGGAGAGCGGCGGCACCAAGTCGGTGGCCACCGTCTCAGAGCCCGCTGCAGCAGGCACCAACGATTTGAGTCACCTGCACCAACGTTGCTATGCAGATCTGCTCGATTTGTGTCGCACCATTGCCGCTGCACGAAATGTGACCATGGCCAGTATTATGAATATGCAGGCGCTTAAGGCCATGGCCGAGGAGCTGCCCGCCACGGAGAAGGACATGTGCGCCATTCCCCATGTTACCAAGGCCAACTTCGATAAGTATGGCGCAAAGCTGCTGGAGATTACAAGTGGCTACGCCACTGAGAAGGAATGCCTGCAGGTAATGCACGACATGGAGGCTGCTGAGTCCGCAGCTCCAGCGCCGATAACGCCACAAAATTCAAGCAGCGCACGCGCATCCTGGGCAGCACAAGGTGGCGAAGATGATGATTGGGGTAGAGCGGCGGCATTGCAGGGCGCGTCTGGCTCTTCGGGCGGAGGAGCGCGTGGCGGCAAACGTAAACGGGCCTGGCGTGGACGGGCCGTCACTGGCGCTACCAAGCGATACAAGGGCGCGGCGAGTGGATCACCTGCGGCGGTTCGCAAGAGAGCGACGCCCACTAAGAGCAGTCGTGGAGGCACTGCAGCCAAACGAGGCGCTGCGAGAGGTGCTGGTGCCGGCGCATCCGGTTGGCTGGGCAAGAAAACAGGTACCAGCAGCGGATTTCAATTGATGCCGCTACCAGGCTCACATTAATTCATAATTTGAAAAATAAACATATTTTTTCTCTTATTTGATTAACCAACAACAATAAGCTACGGTACTCTAAATACTTTTTAAGTCTCCAACCGGCATTTAAAAAAAAAGAAGTGCTTTCGCTATCAATTCAGTTGATGTTTGCCCGCAATTTCTCCTCAAAGTCATAGGCGCCCATTGACCAAATCAAATTGCTATCCGTCTCCACCTGAACGAACTCTGTGGAATAGGTATTTGAGGTGCTCACCATGCCGCCAAATTCCATTTGGGCATTATCTAAAAAAAATATATATTAACAATTTATAATTATCTAAACATTTGGAGATGTTCGAAAACCCACATAGATTCCACTTGAGTCCCTGTGTGGTGACATTGTGCGCCGTACTGCCCAGTGGCATTAAAGAGCACCAACGTTGACTGGTCACCAGATCGAGCGGAACTTGTATTGTGTGTTTGCCCGGCCGCAACAGCCATGTTATGGAATCACTACTCAGCAGATATACATTACAGCTGTCATTTTGCTTTTTGTACAACGTATTCAGATTGGCCATCACCTGATCCAGCCGACCGGAGCAGTCGTGGAATACCACCACATCAGTGACCTTGCGTTGCATCATTACCGGCTGCAGCACTGTAAAGGCTTTTGTGAAATCCGTTGCATCTTGGTCGGGTGTTCTTATTTTCGGTATTGCTTTAAAGAATTCGACTGTTTCTTCCGTTATGGAATCAAAATCGCCCGTTATGAGGTCGGGTGGTTCTATGATTCCCACTTCGCTGTTATCCGTGTTGCCCTTGTTCGCTGTGAGCGACTGGGCTAATATGAAATCGCGCCAGTGATTGGAGCCGCCATCAACGGCGCATCTCAATGTCGCTGAATGGAAAGAGACGGGAAATTTAAAAGCTGGTTGTTTGTTTTTGTTATGCGTTTACCGTTCTTCCATAACAGCTTGACCACGTGCGCAGGTATTTGAATTTGTCGGTTAAGTACAATGCAGACGTGACCGTTGGGTCCCAGTCTAAAGGATTCATTGATTAGATTGCCTGGCGTCCATTTGTACTCTTTGGGAGGTACGGTGTGGTCCATTTGTTGTCTAAAGCCAATTGTTGTTTTTGTGCAGAAATTCCGTGGGTATACTCTAAGGTTGCCAGCCTGTCGAAAAATGCCGCTGTCATCTGGCATCGCCAAACACGAGCCCGCGCCACGCAATAATTTAAAAAGGGCATTTTTGATAACCGCCGCTGCTGCCATGTTACGGCAGCGCGTGCCTTTAAATCGAACGAAATTCATAAAATTTGAATTATTATGCTTAGCACGACCAGACATTTTCAGTATCGAACCCATAAACAACATTATTGTCGTAACAACAAATCAACAGATCACACAGACCGATTATACGTGGCTTGCAACTCTGCGACGCCGCAAACAAAATGGCTCTGATTTTTGCAGACTAAAAAAAAGATTCTATTTGAATTTTCGCATATGCAAAATGTAATAATTTCAAGTGGAATGAAAGAACACAAATGCAATTTGCAAGTGCCAAGTGATCCAGTGCCATTTAGATGATGCGTCTGAGATTCCTAAAAGTCAAATGATGCCAAAGTGGGTTTTGAAATACGAAAACTAGTTCTTATAAAACTGCACGCACACACGCAAGAGCACGAGCTGCGGACAGGCTGCCAAAAATGGAAGGTATGGACCTGTGGACGTCCATGTTTTCGGCTGACTTTGAAGAGGCTGATGCTGGGCCAAAAAGTCACAGTTATGCAGACGAGATTATGGGCGATGATGCTGCGGATGAGCAGGAGACTGCTGAAGATGATGTTGATGCTGGGAAAGGACCTGAGCCAGATGACGATGCCATATTTGATTTTGAACTGGAGCCAATTGTTAGCATTGCGGAACCCGAACCAGCGCCAAGACCAACTGTCCGATTAGCGCCACCAATGCCAGTTGCTCCGCCCGTTCGGCCCCAGCAGCATAATCTTCAGTCAACGGTTAGCTCCACCTCATCCTCCATGATGGGAGGTCGCGGTGGTGCTGCCGCGCCACCCACACGACCTACAACATCGCAAATCAATGCCACAGATGAGAACGGAGTGCCCATTAACTATGAACTGGGCGTCATCTATATATGCCCGGCTTGTGGTGCCGAGTTCCGGCAACAGGACATGTGGAAGCGTCACATGAACCAGATGCATCAGTATAACACTCGCCGTGGCCTCAACTTTGTTGCAATTGATAAGCTGTATCATCGGTGCCTGGAGTGCAACAAGCGGATTGCCATGCACAGCCGAGAGAATCTGCTCAAGCACAAGTTCACCCATTTGCCATATCGTTGCACCAAGTGCTACATCTGCAAGCGCGAGTACAAGTACAGACAGGACCTGATGGTGCATCTGCGCATGGTGCACTGTGACGAGGTGGTTGCCATGATGCGTGCCGGTGACGCCAGTGCTGGACGCAAGACGCGAGTCCGTGAGCCGCGATTCGAGCAGCGTGCTCATGGTGCGTCTCGGTTCGGGCCGATGAGCCATGGACCGGTTCGTGACGATGATGATGGTATTGAAGTCATGAATGAGCTGATGGACACGGAACCAACGGCTGCCGATGATGTGGTTGACGAGCAGAATCGCAGCTTCAACCAAGGAAAGAAGAAGCGTATTAATCAGTCGGCCGGCTCTGCAAACGCTGGCAAAGCCGACAACGACAGTGGCAGTGGCGGCGGCGCTTCGGATATCTGCGAAGATTACATACACTACATGTGTCCCGATTGCGGCACCGACTGCGACACGCACGCCCAGTGGAGCCAGCACATTGAATTCGTGCACGACTATGTCAGCCGGCGGGGACTCAATTTTCGTTGCGTGGACATGCAGATGCAGTGCCTCGAATGCAAGGAGGTAAGAGACACAAATTATCCACATTGCCGTAGCTATACACTCTTTCTATATATATAATCTCTTTAATCCCTTTGCCTTCCACAGTTTGTCATCCCAAACACAATCAAGACACTGCGCGCACACAAATTCAGTCATTTGGCTCAGCCGGATTGGATGCGTTGCAAGCTGTGTTATCGGGGTTATACGGATCATCATGAGCTGGTCACGCATCTGCTCAAGCATCATCATCTGGAGACATTAATGCCCGAAGAGGAGCAGGAGCAGCAAACGGTCAGTGCCAGTGCCGGCGATGATGCTGAGGATAACTCTGGCATCGGCAATGGCTGCGATGATGAATCCCTCTTGCAATTTGAGGATGTGCCTCGTCGTGGCGGTCGCATTGGCGGCGATGATATGTATGAACCGCATATTGATTATCTGTGCCCGCAGTGCGGCCGCGAGTTCATTGAGAAGAAGCATTGGCGCACGCATGTTGTCCAGGTGCATGGCATGAACGATCTGGCCAAGCTGAACTTTGAAGTCATCAACGATCGTCAGCTGAAATGCACAGAATGCGAGAAGATCATCACGAACGCCTACGGCATTCAGAATGCTCAGCAACACCGGATTACTCATCTGCCCTACAAGGCATATGCGCGCTGTCGCAAATGCCACAAATCGTATACGGATCGCAAGGGTCTGGTTAAGCACTTGGCCACATACCATTGCGTTGGCTATGAACCGCGCAATTCCAGTGCGGGAGGAGCGGCAGTCGGTGCAGGACAGAGCCAGGTCAAGTCTCAGTCAACGCCGCGCAAACAAATTGTTACTGTTGCCAATGAAACGTATGAGATTATCTATTTGGATGACGAGCAATCACCGCCAAATAACAATAATGTTAATGAGGAGAATGATTTTGGCGAGCAGATGCAAGCCGATGATGATGACTATGCCACCAGCTGCACAAGCACACGCCAGTTGCCACCAGCTACTGCAGCTGCGGCTGCTGCTGTTGCTGCCACTAACACTGCGTCCAATCAAAATGCGAATCGTTATAAATGCGTTGATTGCGGCTCCCTGTTTGCCACGCAGGCGGCGCTCAAGACGCACATTAGCGAGGAACATGATTTTATGGACACGCAGTATAGCGCTAAAAAGTTTGATAATGCCGAACACGCAGAGGAGACGAAGCCAGCGGCAGCGTCTGTGGCTGCTACTTCGCCTCCCAAAATCTTTTCTGGCGGCTCGACAATCGAACAGAATTATATATATTTGTGCCCCTCCTGCGGCAAGCCATATAAGACGCAATTCGAGTGGCGTCGCCACATCAACGAGGAGCACAACTTCGATAAGCGGCAATATTTGAATATGCGCCAGCTGGACAAGTATCGTTATCAGTGCACTCAGTGCAAGGACATTGTGAGTAATTCGAAGCTAAAGGGACTGCAGGATCATCACTTCAGACATCTGCCCTATAGGCTCTACTTAAAGTGCCTCGTTTGCGGCACCTGCTACAATCACAAGCCCAACATTGCCGCCCATCTGCGTACGCGCCACAACATCTTTGAGCGTGACACGCCCTGGCGCGAAATGCAGCCGAAGCCTCAGAATGGCTATGACACCATCAAATATAAAGATAAGGATATGCCAGTCATGTCCGGCACGACGTCAGACTCGCCAACACCTGGCAGCAGCAGTAACAGTGCTCGCTCACTGAAACCACAGCCCGGTTTGCTGCCCATGCGACCCGCTGGCCTAAACACGCTGGAGGATAGCATCTCCTATCACAATGCTGTCGATCTGGACTTTATTACCTACTTCTGTCCCGAGTGCAATAAGAACTTTGATTCACACGCCTTCTGGCGCAAACACATTGTCGAGCAGCACAACTTCAACAGCCGGCAAGGCTTGAACTTTCGCCAGATCGACAATCATCACTATCTGTGCCTGGAGTGCTACAAGCGGGTGACAGTCACCCACACCAAGGGCGCCATTGGGCAGCTGCAGTCGCACAAGTTCCGCCATCTTCCCTATCGCTCATTTAAGTGCTTGACCTGCAACGGCAAATTTGTGCGAAAGCAAATGTTTTTCAAGCATTTGAACCGTGACACAAATCGCTGCGACAGCGGAGATCTTAGTAACGAGGAACACATCTCCGAGCAGCCGGAGGAGAGATCTTCGTCCGCAAACGATGCATCCCAGGCCGCCTCGTATCGCTTGCTGTGTCCGCAGTGCGGTGATAACTTCAGCACCAGCACCAAATCCGTCTGGCGTAAGCATATTAACACTCAACATGGTCTGAGTAAGCTAGAGGTGCTGCACATGTCCAAGCTGGGCGACGAGCTTTATCGCTGCGTGGACTGTGATGAGCAGCTGGAAACGAAACAGCTGCGTGTGCTGCAACAGCATCGCTTCCGCCATTTGCCGTACGCCGCCTACATACGTTGCCAGCTGTGCGAGCAACAGCAGCCGGATGAACTGGGTCATGGTCCCGTTGCAGCCGGGATGCACAGCATGTGTGAGCTGCAGCAACATATGCGCGACGAGCATCCCTCGTTTGTGGAGAACGATGAGCAAATGCAGTTGCTCGTCGATGTGGACGATGAGGAGAGCCACCCGATAGCGGTGGCAAGCAATGAGGCATCTGATAATGGATCATATATGCCGATGCCGCTGCAAATGCTCCTCGACGGCGATGAGGATGAGGACAGCCAAACGGCGGTAGCTAACAATGAGACGTCCGACAATGGACCATATATGCCCCTGCCGCCGCATTTACTGGAGGAGGACGTAGACGACTTGGAGTTCGAAGATCAATATCTACTGAGCTAAATGCTTCCGAAAAAAACTATGATCCCAGTCATCCACAGAATCTACATGACTCCCAATTTGAGAAAATACTCACATCACTCAGAAACATATATATACTATATACTATACATTAGGTCGGTCGAAAATTAGAACTTGTAGCAGTGAAAATCATAATTTGTCTTGCGGCAAACATTATTCATTTATTTGAAGAATCTCTGATAAGAATCATTTTCAAGTGACCAATGTATATTTATACATATATATATGGAATTAAGTATTTATATAGTTTATGACACTCATTTCACGTGCATGCAAATTGTAATTTCATCTAGAAATCTCATTTAAATACTTAAGTAGATATAGGTATAAAACTTCAATTAATTATTATTTACCCCACGGCTGCTACCTGGTCTCACTCAAGTAATTATGAAACAAATTAAGAGATCTGGCATTTAACTAATCTATGAAATTATTATGAGAATTATAAATTATCGACTATGTTTTCTAATTTAATCTGTAGTTTTTCGTTAAATACTATAAAAAAAAGCAAAACATTGATCATGACTCGTTTTTCTTTGGGTGCAATATTCTGCCTTCTAAAAACTTGAATTGAATTTGATGGATTATTTAAATCCAATAACTACTATTTAAGCGGGTTAACTAAACTCTTCAATCGAGAAATTCAGGTAAATCATTGTAGGTGTGTGTTCATCTATAAAATCGAAGATTTGTATTTTTATTAGTAATGGTGTTTTCATTTTTATTATTAATGTCGCCTAAGGACCCCCAAGAACGCCCCCACAATATTTTTGGATAACACAAATGTTTTCAATTTAAAAGTATGTATGTATATATCAACGACATATTTGAATTGAATTTCATTGTTTGAGGTGGTTTAGTAAAAGCGAATCAAAATGAGAAAAGAACACCTTAAGATTACATTAATATATGTATGTATATATGATACAGATCGAGAATGCATGTTTGAGCTATATAGAAACATTGCAGCTGCCAATATAATGTACTTCTATGTTGTCGTAATCGATTCAATACGATAATAATACGATATGTAATACACACATATTATGTATGTGGTTTAAAGAACGTTAAAACTATAATATATGTTGTTATAATGTAATATAATAAATAATAATAAATACTTTTGAAAAGCATAAACAAATTGCACGCACATAATAATTGCAACCATATAAATAAAATAAAAATTAGAACAATGTTTTCACTTATGCAATATTAAACAAATCGGTTTGCCAAATACATTTCGTATGCGCATGGAATGAAAATTAGCTGATAATTCTGACTGTTCTTTTAAACAGTTTTTTTTTTTTTTGTTTTTCGTATCGTTTCGAGGATTACAAGTTTCAGTTCCGTTCTCCTTTGTGCACGCTCGCTCCACTATTCGACATTACATTATTTTCTGTTTGTATATACGAATATATATATATAAAACTTATGTTATGTTTGTGTTTGTGTGTGTGTTTAGTAACAAGTTGTTGGTGTTTCACGTAGTAGTAGTAGTAGTAGTTGTAGTATTAAATAAATAAACACAAATAAATTTGTGTTTATTGTTGTGCAACCTCACAGTGTGGGCATGTTGCGCCTACCATTGCTGGTGCTGGAATCTGGGCCACCATTTAACCCATCCTGTTGGGCTTTTTGCTTGGCACGTCGCACCTTCTGGCGCGTATGCTCAATTTGAAAATCCTCCACACGCAAATTGAGCCTCATCATGTTGTTGATAATGAACTCCTCCTCCATAATATGCTCGGGCGGAGAGCGCAGCACAGCCAATGTTTCACATAAGCCCGTACAAGTTTTGCGCACCTTGTGCCTACTGAGCGAAGCACCAATGATGACCAGTGCCACCTTGAAAATAACACGTATTCCCTCGGCCAAAAAGCAATCCCAGACGCGCAACAGCGTCTCCCATGGCAGCGTGCGCGTCATGGCGCACAGAAACCAATCGGTCATATAAAGCAGCGGCTCCACTTTGTGCTTCTGAAGATGACGGTAGACGGGCGGGCAGGTTTTCTTCAGCAGGCCCTCCAAGATGCCCGCATCGTTTTGTATCACCTCGAGGCCAGGTATAAAATAGTCTTGCAAGTAGCTGTAATAAACAAAAGTGTGAATTATTTATCCTTAAGACAAAGCCTCCTATTTGATGTGAGTAGCAGACCACTGTATTAGGAAATGACTTACACATCACATACGCTGACGAACACCCAGAAGGCATCCTCTGCCGGCAAGTGCATCAATAGAAATGCGGCTATTGGTGCTTGCGCTTGGCAGAAGCCCACTTTGGGATTATATATTGAATAGGCCTTGAGCACATTGAATAGCTCGATTTGGCCCACCTTCTGCTCGTCGAGAAACATTTCGTGAAACGGAAACTGACGATGTTTGTCCTTTTTGATTTCCTCAATGGTTGTGGGATTGCCGGGCTTCTTCAGCAGCTCCTCGTAGACATCGGGATTCTTTTTCTTTAGCAAATAAGCACCAGATAAATAGAACCAGGCTTTGGGACGCACCGACTTGGGTATGCCCTTGCGACATCTGTCGCGTATCTGCAAATATGGAAATGGTTGTAATTATGTTTTTTTCATATTGAAATATATATTCTTAATCGTTACCTTTTTGTAGTTCTTGGACATGTAGATGGACCAATTGTCTGTCATATAGAGCCATTTCTTTTCGCGAGCTATGATTTGTGCCTTGGAGAGCGGCTCCTTGGGCTTGTCGGTGCGTTGAAATCCGCCATAGAAGCCATTGCGATCCGGACAACTGGATACGGTGGAGCACAGCGAGATCGTATCCAAGGAACGCCCTGCTGTTGCCATCTGTGTCGTCGTCGTCGTCGTCTGTGCTGGGCAGAATGATACCAAACTAAATACATAAATTATTATAAATTAAGAGACGCCCACATTATATAGGAAAAAATAATGCTTAAGTCGGGTGTGTCCAACTACAATATACCCTGTAAACAATTGCGATACTTACAGAAAACAAACACTATTATTTTATATATAATTTGGAAAATCTTGGAGAGCTTTAAAGAATAGATCTTGGTCAGTATAAGGAGCGCTAAATTATAAATTTAGTGCCAATAGCTTACATAGTGTCTGAGATTGACTTGGTTGTCGTCTTCATAAAAAACACATTATGATTTTGGAGCGATCTTGAATAGTCGCTCACAAACATTTACAGAACTTTATTATGCCCTTTTTACAACATTTGCCGTGGGTGTAGGGTACAAAAACAGCGTAGCTTATATGCACGTAAATATGTAGGTGGACTGAGTGAGAGAGGGAGAGAATACTAGACCTAGTTAGAGAGATCAAGAGAGAGCGGCACCCAATTATACCAAGAGCCAAAGAAAATTTGCATTAATAATTTGCTGGGTTTTTGTCTGTGTGTGCATTATGAAAAACTGCGCAATTAAAGGCGATCAATGCTACTTTGACTGTCTCTCAATCATCATTCTTTCAATTCACAACGTTTAGCACAATTTTGGGCAAGCATTACTCATACATATATATAAATATATATAAATACACATACAAACACAGACAGTATATGTATATCTTTAAGTAAACTAATGAGATATGATTGTTATTGTTTATTTATAACATGACCTTATCAGTGGTTGGTTAGATATTATTGCGCCTTGATAATATTCGTATTTTATATGCCCACCTATTTCCATTGAGAAGCAGCAGCACCTCCAAGCTGGCGCTTCTTTTATTATAATGCAAGCGGAATAATGATACCATGGCAACTAATTTAAAAGTCGCCTATGCAAAAGCCTCAAAACCAAAAACCAAATAAAACAAACTAACTGAAAGACTGATAGACAAAAGGATAGACACCAAGAACAGGCTGCGCAACTGTTTTATGAGCTCAAGTAAATAAATCGAAGAAGCGAGTAAGAACTTTGAAATTAGTCAGCAACTATTTGAAAGCTGTTCGATTTTGGGAGGGATAGTAACAGTAACCAAGAAAGATGAGATGTAATCTACAGGTAAACTTTGTGGAAAGCATTTAATTTATTTTTTGTAACACTAAGGTGTTAAATATCACAGCGCCCATTTCTGAGGAGGCTCAGTCTGAAGTGCTTTCAACTTCCTGACTCAAATTAACAAGGAAATGTTGAGAGTCAGGCTCAGAGTCAATTGCAGTCTTCCTATTGCCATAGCCGGAAGCTCAAATATAATCTGAAGTCTCATTTTGTGTTTGAGTGCTTAACGACAGGCAACTGGCTAATTGAGGTAACCATGCTGTTTGTATGCTGTTGCTTTCAGCTCACTGAATACTTAATTGCAAAACAAAAAGCGAGCAAACGCGCAGAAAATGACAAAACAAAAGTGCAAAGCAAAGCAAAGCAAAGCAACAGCTGCAGGGCACCAAAAAGAAAGTCACTTGCAATTCATGAGTGCGGCACAATTCTGATGGGAATTTCTGAATTGCTGACGAGGTCATCTTTTGATCCAGTTAGCATTCTTATCAGCAATGTGTATTTCATAACGCTAACTTCTAGTGCGACCAAGTGTTTAAGGTAAATACGAAGGTTTCATTGACTAATAAATACACACACACACTCACATTCACACACACACACATGCAGAGGCACGGCCCACCCACTAAATGCGCCAGTGTTGCTCTTGGCTGCCATTTTGCCTACGCGCTCCAAAACAAGTGACATTATTGTATGTGTATGCGTGAGTCTGTACAATACCTAGCAATTGTTATTATTATTAACAGCGCAACGCCCCCTCCCCCGCACCCTATACATCCACTTATTGCTTACCTTTGAGCGACTTGTTCTCGCTGACTGGTGTTATTGTTGTTGTTGCTGAGCTGCTGCTGTGGAATGCGCAATTGTAAATTTTTCACGTGAACTTTCTATGCTTTCTTACGTTTTCTCGGTTTCGCTTTACACTTTGCGCCCGCACAAGTGTGTCGCATTTATTGTGTTGGTGTAAACACTATATTCCAATTGGATATTTGTTTATTTCCTATACAAACTGGAAAGGGAGAGGTAGCCATCGAATAAGAGAATTGCTTTTGTTACGTAGTTGAAAAAAAAAACACACAATATTTCAGCAGCACATTTTTTAAATTTGGCACACAAATTTTAGATATTTGGTCGTTTAATAATGAAAATTTGCACAAAAGTTAATTATTTTGGGGCTCTGTTGGGTACTGCGCGATGTGAACAGCCGAGCACATAGCGATGACATATCGTTTTGCTTTGTCGTAGAGTGGTTATTACAAAATATCGATAGTGCATGTAAGTTTCGATAGACCGCTAACAGCGGTATGTACAGCGGTACAGTGTCCTAAAATAATACAATTTAAGCGCGCATTTCTTTGGATTCAATTATGTTAAGCCGCTACTGGAATTTTTTTAAAAATAATTTTATTTATTTGTTAACCAGACGTTCGTTCCATTTAGGTAGCTCCAACAAATCTTTTGCACTGTCTCCCAACATGAAGTGTGCCAGATTAATTAGCAGCAGGCATATAAATGGCAATACTTGCACAACGATAAGATGGATTAGGCGATCCCTAATTTCCCACCAAGAACCATCAGCGCGTACTCGAAACAGGAATATCAGTGCCATAAAATTACACATGATGAGCAGCCTCTGGAAGATCTCTCGGCGATGCGGCCAAGCAATCTCACAGTTAACGCAAATGATGCACAACAGCAGGAGAACCGGCAACAGCAGTTTCAATGCAATAAGTAACCCATTGATTAGCATTGAATAGTATCCAAAGCCCGTAATTCTTATGTAATAACAAAATCTATACACAGCTGCAATCTCGCCAATCACAAAGAAGGAGTACATGCTGTACATGAATATGTACATGGCCATTGTTTGCTTTTGATTAATCTCCATTTCATTCTCCTGCCTTAGGCGCAGAGCCAGTTGCAGTTCCATGGCCAGTAGTTGTATGACCAATGATTCGAAGGATGTGCACAGCATCGCGTACAGCGTGCACAGATTGAAGATAATCAGCTCCAATGCTTGCTGTCGAGAGCGCGGATAGAACACATAGCACAAATACGCACGAGCAATCAGATGAATCATCCAAGGCTGCGAACTGCACAGCAAATGCAGTCCAGCCATGAACAGAACGAGTCCATTGCACAGCAAGCTCTGCCTGTGCGTGGCACAGGCCAAGTGCAGCGTACGACAAACAAATGGGCGTACAAGTGTAAGGATTAGGTTGCCTAGGAGCAGACTACGCTGCCAATAGCCCAGTGAGCATGGCAGCCAGCAAACCAGTGTCAAGCAGCAGACGATCATTAGCCAAATGTAGAAGTTGAGCGAACGCCGCTGTATAAAGATGCAGCGATTGTTATAGCAGGTGAATCCCATATAGCAGCAGGAGATGTAGCGGCGGTCAAAGAAGACAGCGATGCAGCATAACGACAGCACAATGGGCCACATCAGCTGGCGACAAGACATGATATTGGCGCTCTTCTCATGCGTTTTCAGAGCCATCGTCCAAATGAGTCCGGGCAGCAGCAGTAGTCCACTATTTAACCAAGAAACACGCTGCAGCAGCACGAAAGCGAAAATCAGAAGAATTAAGAGACGCAACAGCGACTTGGCCAACAACAACTGTCTGCTACTAGTCCTGCCTGCCTGGCCAGACAAACAGCGCAACTGATGCAGCCAGCCAAGGTAAGCAAAAGCACTGGCCAGCAACAGGATGCGGCGATAATAGTGCTCATAGTACATGATGCACTGCAGCAACAAGGGCATAACGTCTTCACTGTATTCCTTAAGCAAGAGAAAGCGTCGCTGATACCACAATAAATTCCCTGTGGCAATGAGCTTATCCAGTTGTCCGCAGTTCATCCAATAGTTGGGCATCAAGTTATTTAAGAATCCACGTCGATGATGCCGCCGCGCTTGCAACGCTTGTTCGAGCAACTGCAGCATATTGGTGTACATGGCATGGGCCTCGTGACTGCTGGCGTTGAGTAGACCCGCAGGTTGTTGTCCACGATTGTTAACTGGCGGCGGCAGACCCAACAAGCCGCTCATCAGAGGTGTCAACTGGACGGGCTCCAAGACGTGCAGCGGCAGGCGCTGCTGCTGCTCATTAGCCACAAATGTGCGTCCAAGGCGGGAATTGCTGTTGGAGACGCCAGCGCCCCAAAGCAAGAAAGGAGTCTCCAGCTCTTGTTTGCTTTTGCTGGCTGGAAAGCCTAAAAAGAAGCATGTGGAAAGTGGATGCAATCAGTCAGAGTTGTTAAGCTCACCCCACACTGGCTTGCCATGATGAGAGATTAGCAAAAATGCTGTACGTCGATCCGGAAAGGCTTGCAAAAAACGTTTGTATGTTGTCCAAATGCCTCGTTGAGTGTAGTTGAGGTTCTCATGAAACATTTTTATTCCATTTGACACTTGCAGGCCCAGCAGCTGGATAATAAACACCAGACCCCTCAGATGCTGCAGCTGTGGCGCCTCGCTGTCAAGAAAATCAACGACTGCCTTAAACGACCACTCATCTAGCTTTGAGGAGTCTTCAGCCCAGTTCGAGATTTCATTGGGAAGCGTTTTCATTTTATAGATAGCCGGAAAGTATTGCAGCAACTCGCCGGGGGCCCAGGCATAGCTGCGCGTGCTTCGATTGAAGATTGTGTCGAAGGCGACGCCGTGCACAGGAGCCAAGGCATCTTCATAGCAACCAGAAAAGATACTCACTTGCGCAGATCTGAATGTGGTGACTGCCGGGGAATGGCTGATGCCCACCTGTCCCTGCTTTAGGAAGATCTTGCGTAGGTCCGGCAAATTGCGGCAACGATACTCAAAGAATGACTTGGCGCTCAGGCCGTGAGTAAGAAAAACAACAAGCCGATTGGCTGGTGGTTGCTTCAATAACGTCTGTTGCGGCTTCAGGCCGGACATTAGTGTGGATTGAAAGTAGATGACGTAGACGGAGCACAGCAGCAGCAGTTGCACAACCAATGCATAGCCGTAGCCAAAACCACACATTTTTAATTTGATTTCTTTTGTTTCAATTGTTAAATATTGAAATTTCAAAACTTTTTTTTCTTTTCGCCCATTAAAGTAAGCTTTGAATTGAATTGAATTTATGTCTGCTTGATATATACATACATATATATGTATATTCAATCTTTAATAAGAAACCATTTTATAAATAGTATTTTTTGCTATTATCTGTATTTTTCTTTCTGTTTTTCAGCAATGTAGTTTCATATCGATTATCTATTTCCAAAAGACGATCATCAATGGTGTGCAACCACAGGCGGTGCATCGTGATTTGGGTTTGGAGCCACCAGCGGACCGTCTTGTTGTCTTTCTCAGCGATCGTCTTGAACACAAGGTCATCTTTGGTGGTTTCAACAAGAATGCTTCGGCGGCATTGACTAGCTTCAAATGGAATCCGACAGTTTTCGATACCGTTCTCAATCGCACGAGGGACTCTCTTGTTCTTGTTCATATCCAATCAAATGTTATGGAAATTTAAAGTATCAATTAAAGTTAATTTCAATTTATTGCGTATATGTATAGAGACACCGATAAACTAAGAGTCTGAGATTTATTGTAATTAATTTGTAGATAACTAATTGACAATACTTTAAGTACTTTATTTTGTTTTCGTAGACATCTAAATATTGATGCTAGGCAGTTTTTTGCTTCTGTGATTCCAAATGGGCCTGTAAAAATAATATATTGGATTATTTTCTATTCTTCAGTTGGTTCCATATGTAATACATACCTTTTCTGCTACTTTTAGCAGACTATCAAAGCTATTTTGACCAGTCTCCATGACCATACCATGGAAGATCTTCGAGTCACACTGAGTAAGGAGTTCGTAAGGTGATCCGAACTCCACCATCTGGCCAGCATCCATCACTATGACCTTATCCGAGTCCATAATCGTGTTCAGGCGGTGGGCTATTGTCAAAACTGTGCACTCCCTGAATTTATTTCTAATCGTCGTCTGAATGAGGGCATCTGTCTGTGGATCCACATTGGCTGTGGCCTCGTCCATCACCAGAATACGATTCTCGCGAAGAATAGCTCGTGCCAAGCACACCAGCTGCCTTTGACCCACACTAAAGTTATTGCCTCCCTCGGAGATTCTACTCAAGAGCCCACTCGGGAGATCACTGATGACAGGCTTCAGCTTGACCTCCTCGAGAGCATCCCAAAGCTTGGCATCGCTGTACTCCTCGAAGGGATCGAGATTGTAGCGCATACTTCCAGTAAACAGCACTGGTTCCTGAGGTATAATAGAGATCTTGCTACGCAGATCGTGTAGTCCTAGTTCGTTGGTGTCGCGGCTGTCAATGATGATAGAGCCGTCATTGTAGGATAGGCGGAAGAGGGCGTTAATAAGCGAGGATTTGCCAGCACCAGTGCGACCCACAATGCCCACCTTTTCCATGGGCTTGATCTCGAAGTTGAGCGACTTGAGCACATACTTGGACTGTGGATCGGGGAAATATCGTAAACTGAGATCATCGGCTACAATTTTGCCCTCCTCTGGCCATGTTATTGGTGGTTTCTTGTCTGCTTTCGATTCAAAATCACCCTCTGGCTCGATCTCATCATATTCCAGGATGCGTTCAACTGCAGTCATCGTGGTATCCAATTCAGCGGATTGTGTCATGCCGTACTGCACCATGCCCGCCAGGCTCATTGCCTGGGTAATGGCTAGGCCAACCTCACCGGGATTCGTTGGCGTATTAATGAAGTAATTAAGTACAATGATGATAGTGTACAGCGTGCAGAAGAAGTCGATATAGTAGCCGAAGGCTCGACTCGTGGCCAGAAAAGTATAGTAGCCAGAGCTATGCAGATCCTGTAGATTATCAAATTCAGCAATGAGAGCCTTCTGTGCTCCTAGAGCTCTAATTGTGGTTAGTCCGTTAAGTGATATGCCGAGATGTGAATATATCGGAGATCTGGCCACTGCCTCCAGACGTTTCACATCTCTCGAGGTCTTGAGATAAAACTCTCGCAGATAGTAGAATACGATTCCCAGCGCAATAGTGAGGATTATATAATATGGATTCGTGATGCAGATGACAACAATGACACCAGCCAATGTGAGAAAGATTTGCACCACGTCCAACATAATTGTTGGCAGTACTTCATCCAGTTGACCGAGATCCTTTGAGAAGCGATTCAGTATCCGACCCGAGGGATTCGTATTGAAGAAGTACATTGCTGCTCTAGTGATGCCACGGTACATGGCATTGTGGAGCTGTACGGAACTGCGCCTGGCCATCGAATAGAAGACTATTGGACGCATTACGCTGAGGATAATGGCAACCACATTAAGTGCAGTAAAGTAATACATATCGACAGGATCGTAATTGACATCAGTGTTGTTCTGGTTCTTGTTAACCCTGATGCGAAGAAGATATAGGTTATCCAACGAAGAGTATTGAATAGGTAGCACTTACCAGTAGGAGAGAAACACGTCCGCTGCAGAGATTACCACTTGTGTGCCAATGCATAGGAGCATCATAAATGATACCAAGAACCAACCGCTGCCCGCTGTAAAGTATTCCTTATAGAGACCCAGACTGATTTTGCCCTCAACGCGTGTCTCCTGCGGAACGATCGCCGAGTCCTGGACAATGGAATCGGCAAGCGAGCTCACCGATCCGAAACTCTCAGTGCGCGAAGTCTGCCGGCTGATTTTGGATGAGATACTTGTGTGATCGCCAGCATTACTCTTTTGGTTCTCCAGCTCCTCTACATTGGGCTTATTCAAGTCGGTGAGCAGTTGGGCAAAGTCCAAGCCACTCTGCTGCATCGTGGCATAGGTACCCATTGCACTAATTTTACCTTTGTCCATTATGATAATCTGATCAGCGTGCTCCAAGAACTGCAGCTGATGTGTGACCAGGATGACTAGTTCGCTCTTCAAATACCCTTTCATGCACTGATCGAACAAGTGACGACCCACATGGGTGTCCACTGCGCTAAGTGGATCATCCAGTAGGTAAATATCCGCCCGACGATACACAGCCCTTGCCAGACTGATCCGGGCTTTTTGTCCACCAGAGAGTGAAGCTCCTCGCTCGCCCACAATTGTCTTGTCGCCTTGAGGAAGTAGCTCAAAGTCACGTTCGAGGGCACACTTCCTCACCACTGTGCGATAGCGATGCTTGTCCAGTGTCAATCCAAAGAGGATATTTTCTCGAACAGTTCCCGTGAAAAGCCAAGGCCCTTGAGCGGCATACGAGAATTTGCCATTGACTTTCAGGCTTCCCTTTTGCGCGGGCAGTTCACCGAGAATGGATTGTATCAGGCTGGACTTGCTTGCACCGACGGGTCCAATCACAGCCACCAACTGTTGACGACCCAATTTCAAATTGATATTGTCCAGAGTATTCTCTGTTGCTTCTGGGTCCCATTTGGCATGAAAGCCGTTGAATTCAACGAGCGTCTCCTCATTGCTATTGTTCTTGGTAAAATGCCCATTGCCATTGTTGATCAGGCCACCATTTTCCTTATCATTCTTTTCGCTGGCGAAGGCCGGAGCAGTAATTGCATTTGATGTGTCTTGCACTTGGGTCTCCGGTCGATGCATAAAGGTCTGCAGACGCTTGATGGACACGGTAATCTCTGCCAATTGCGAAATGCTGAGAGGAAAGAAATTGGTGACGGCGCGCTGCAGCAGATTGTAATAGGCGGTGATAAAGAATGCCTCGCCGGCAGTCAATATGTTGCCTAGCAGCACGAAGCCCACCAGGCTGACAAAGGTGAGGGTGCGCGATAGGCACATGCCAAAGGCAATGAGGATGCCACGAATATAGTTGACTTTCCTAATGCATATCATCTCCTTGCCCCGCATGAGCTCCACAAGCTTGCCGACGGGCTTCTCCCAAGCATACATCTTGATCACTTGGATACCAGAGATGAGTTCGTTCATCATTCGCACACGTTCGTCTGTGCGCAGAGCGGTGAGCAGCCGGAGTACAGATGTCTTCTTCGCCAGGTAGGCTTGCATCGGCAGAAAGAGGCACATCAAAGCGACCCCAAAGAAGGCGGCGGGTCCAATCTATAAGCAACACTTGCAGATCATTCTGAATAAATGGCTATGCGTTATTGTTACCTTTTGATACATAAGAAAGGTGACAACGATCAACTCCAGTGGGGCTAACCACAAGAAGTGTACATTAATAAGGATCACATCGAAGCGTCCCACATCGTTAGACAGCAGATTCACCACCTGACCGATCGATGTATCTCCCAGAGCTGTATGACTCAAGCGCAGCGCCTTTCGGTAAACCAGGCTGCAAAGTGCAATCCGCATCTTCATACCCAGATGCAACAGACCCAAGATAAACGGATGTCCAGTAACGACCGAGAGCACCGAGGCAATCATCAGACCCGCCGCATATAACTGCGCCTTAAGTGGGTCAGGATCCTCGCCCGAAAAGTAGGACATAATGCCATAAAGGCACATGGGCTGGGTTACCCTACAAAATCAATGTTTGTTTATTTTTGTTTTTCAATATTAAAATGATCCAAGAGAGCGCATTATGCTCAACTTACTTTACAACAAATTCTCTGACCCCCAGCACCACTCCAGTGGTTAACAGATGCCAGCCAAAAACGCGGAGCACAACGCGCCCCAAGCGAGGTGCCTTGTTTTGTGCTGATCTCTGAACAACTTCCGCATCCCAGGCAGCGCACAGGCGATCTCCAAGTGAATCTGTGGATAATTACACAAGTACATCAGCACCAACCAACTAGATATGCGTTATCGTGAAAATATGTTTAAGTGACAATGAACTATGCAATAAAAATCTAGTTGAGCTCCAAAAATTCAACAAATTTCGCAGCAATCATCTTAAACTCATGTAGAACCACAATCTTGAGATAAGCTGCAAGTCATTGGTGATCATATATATAAGAAAATATCTATCAGCATTACTCACCAGATTTGTGCTCTTTCAGTGGCCGGTATAAATCTGGTTGCTCCAACGTCTTCTTGCGGCCCTTGAACAATACCGGAAAGACAAAGCTTTACGATTTCGAAATACATCATGACGAAACAAAGATAAAATTAAGGCTTTATAGGGTATAATAATAAATAAGCATGTATAAATGAATAGTAAACTGAGCCTTATCAAAACAGCTTGTAACATAAAATATAATAGATATGCAATACTTAGTCCTGTCGGCTTAGTGATATAAATTATATTAAATGTGTTTGCAAACTATTTATTAAATAGATAAGAAATGCGAGAGGATATATATATATATATATATATATATATATATATATATATATATATACCTCTCGCATTGAAGTTTCACTTTAAATGTAAATTATCACATGTCTGTTTTATATTGGACTTCTAGATACCACAATATATTTGTATAATATTTGTACAACATTATTATTTTTAACAATCTGAAAGATAAGATATCTAGATATATTCAAGAAATTCGCGCACGTAATTAAATTACTCAGTGGAATATAAGAAATGCCTCGTCACTATTGTCAGTTATAGATTTAATGCTGCAAACATAATAAAATAACAAGAATGATATAAACACTCACCAAAGCATAAGTTCTGCAAATGGGTTACTTCGCTCCCGCGGATTTTCGGGTAGTTCGTCGGCCTTTATTGATTGCATATTGCTTTCCTTCTTATTTGGTTACACAGAACAGAAGAAACACTTACAAACATTTAAACGATCAGATTCAGATCACAGATTCAATTATTTGCTCTGAGTGATTCTTGGTGCACATGTAGTTTTTAGTTTGTATATGATATTCTCAGCGGATTTACTCGTGCAAAGCTCTGCAGAATTTGCTCTTTACTAATACAAAATATTCCACTGTTTTAGCTAGAGATGCTGCCGCTATATCATTTAGCTGTTTAATATTATCCGTTTATCTTAAGCACTCCATAAAAGCGTGCACACTTGCGTTTTCATAATTAAATTAATTACATCACACCGTAAAATATGCAGATAAGAAAATGTTAAATAAGTTTTTTATTTCAATTTTGTATTAAATTTGTCTGGCCACCGTGAGTAACTCACAGCTGTTCACTCTCCGGTCGCGGAACACGTTCTAAACACACAGCTGACAGGCTTTCGCCTTTTATGTGAACTTACTGTGAAAACAACTGTTGCGGTCGCTCTCTCCCTTCGTTCGACAAGCAGTTTTTTTTTTTTTAAAGAAGCTTTCGCTCTCTCAAATATCTGAAGCGTATTGTGCTTTAATAACGAGCTTTGCATATGGCCATTGAATGACCGTCGTTTTCCCGTACGAATAGACAATGATTTTAATCAACACATTTTATTATGTGATTAACAGATAAGAAGGGGTAAACAAATATATTATTATCAGTAAATCTCAGATTTGTTCTTTTTGCATTTTGAGTGATTCGACAATCTCTATCGTAATCAAAATTAAGGGCTCGTTTCTTAACGAATCTTAAATCGAACTGCTTCGCCACTATTTTGTATGAAAATTGAATCCTTTCTTGCTGAAATTTGAATGCTGAATGAATGAATGTATCGTTGTAGGATAGACTGAAGGTGGCTTTAATTTGTGATGATTTGCCAGCAGTAAAAGTTTTTTTTATTTGAATTTCCACTTTTGTTACATCCTGAAACCATTAAAAATAATGTATAATAGTTTAGTGCGAATGTATGTTACAGGTTGAGCGAAACATCTCCGAATCCATATATTTTTATTTAAGATTAACTGCCGACTTTAAGAGCTATAGACGTCAAATACATACTTTTGATCAATTGGACAAATTTCAAGATCGAATAAGAAACATTCAAGTTAAAGTTGAAATTAGATTCTCATATTAATATCTGTATAATAATAATAGTCGATAAATATGTGTGTGTCTTGTTTAGTGGTATTATTCAGCACCCCAAAATCTTCCATCCATACATAGATTTACATATGTATGTATAAAACTAGAAGTGAAACAGTATTTTATTTTGTTGTTTAAGTTTTTATTAAATTGTTAAATTCTATTAAAGTTAATGACTTAAGCTGAGTGTTTATTAAATATTTTAAAGAAAATTTCATGTTTTTTACTCGTATGACAATTATTTGAGTAAAGCGCAATATAAAAAATTCGACGCAAAGTGTCGTAAGGCAACAGCGGATCCCATGCATATATATATATATATTTTTTTTTATATAATTTTTGTTTATTTATTGCACTCGTATGACAAATTCAATTTCAATTGGTTAATATTTTAAATTATACTTTGACACACAAGATGATTAAAAAATACTTGAATACACAATAATAATAATAAAACCACATACAAAATACAAAGAATTATTGTATGTAGCACAAAAATATGGACCAACACATAGAACAAGACGAAGATCAACATAAAATACGAGACGTTATTTACATGGAAATGTGACCTTAGAAGCTAGACTTTTGCGTAAAAATACGCCGTGTATAAGTGTGAAGTTAAATAGAGTCGAGTATATAAAAAGGGAATTGTTGTGTATACGTTATATATAAAAAATAGAATTAGAATACTAGAGCACATTTCTATGTGGGCTGCTTCAGCTTCAGCTTGACAGAAACTGGGCGGCTCCATGGAATTGCACAAGGATTATATATTTGTCTCTGTCTGTTTCTGGTGGATATTGTTTGTACAGCCTGGGATTAACTGAACTAATTACTGGACGCATGACTGTTTACGTTCTTAAAGTCCTGTGTTTGGGTAGTGCTACGCAGCACTTCTAACCACCTGCAAGAGATCAAAGCATTAATATACATAGATAGTTGGATGAATATAAATTTCAAACTTGCCTGTTGTAAGTATGCGCGCTCTCCGCTCTGAAGAAGTACACGTGATTCTTGAAGGATAGCTTAAAGACAAACTCCTTTTGGACCGCATCTTGATGGCCGGGCGGACCCACCGTATAGCCCAGTAACGGCAGACTGGCCAATGCAAACTCATCCTGATAGCTCTTGTAGAAATACAAACAGAACGAGGTGAACACCACCCATAGCTTCTGCCAGCCGGAGCTGTTTTTGAATTTACGCAGCAGATAGCCGGACAGCTGATGCTCTGCCGCAATGAGATGATCGCCCAGCCCAACGGTGGCGCCACGATGCCAGCAAACGTGTAGAGCGGTGTTGCTGCGCGACGGTTGTGTCCTGTTCTGCTGCTGCATCTGCAACTGTTGCGGCGTCAACGGACCCCCGCCGCCAGTGCTGCTGTTCAGGCTGTTCGTGCCATTGCTCAAGCCGATCATGTCGAGACCCTCCTCCGAGGAGCCTGTGCGTAAAACGAACAATACAATTGGTTAAAGGTACGTTGGCATTTACATTTTGAGATAGTGGAGCTATGCTTTCTTACGAGGCTTCGCAGCGTGCTTTTCTTGCCAGTCATTATGATAAAAGAGTTAGATGATTAGATAGACAGATAAATCGTTAAGCATAATACAAAAGACAAGTAAATGTTTCACTGACAGCCATTTGTCGAAATTTCTTAAGCTTTGCGACTTTTACATTTGCATGGCAACTTGATAATCGAGAAATGAACAAATTATTTAAAGTAATTAATACAAGTCGCTGTCAGAGTAACAATAGGAGAAGAAATGTTGAAATTAATCGAATGTGAGAGCAGAAGATTCGTGCATCGAGATCTTATTAAACCAAAAAACACATTTGAGATACTCACTGCAATTTTTGAGTGTGGTCAGCTGCAGCTGCATGTTTGGTGGCCTGTTCTTGATGTCGGTCGCTGCCTTGGAGAGCTCAGCTAGCCACAAAGTCTTCTCTGCGGTGGTGCCAGCACTCACCGTTATGGCACACTGGCCGCCAAATATGGAGAACGTATTGTGCTCGGCATTCTCCGTGAGCAGCGAACGCACCGGCACATGGCCGAGTATGCGGAAACTTTGATCGACCGGCGACTTGGAGCCATAGAGCAGTATATCCGAGAAAAGGAAGAACATGCGCTGCTGTAGGCCACGCTTCGAGTGCTTCAGCAGGCAGCCTTGACGTATGAGACGGCGATGGGGCTGCACCAGCTGTTCGAAGCTAATGTCGCGCTGTAGCTCGCAGAGCTCAACAAAATTTGCCGAATCGGGCAGCTGAGTGCGTATCTGTTTGGTGGTGCGAATGAGCAGATGATAGACAGCCTGACAGTCGGCATAATCGATGTGTTCTTCGGCATAATAATCGCAGAGGCGCTCCAACAAGAGCTGATAGTGGAGCATCCGATTCAGTGGCTTCAGTAGCAGCTCACCAATGGGTAGATAACAAATCTTCTGCTGTTCAAAGTCCTTATACAGGTGCTGGAAGCGACTGTCCGACTCGTACATGTCGTTCATGCAATGCAGTATGTCCTGATGTGTCTGCACATATTCATCGTAAATGGGCAATGCGCCCATATGTTTCATCATGACGTCGCCAATGCGATGGGAGTCATGATTGCCGCGCCCCTCCCACATCACCATGCGATGCTCAATGTCGCGCAGAAAGAAATTGTGATGTTGGGCGAGCGAGTCGAGCAGCTCGAACAGCGGCTGTAGCTGTTCCACATCCTCAAGACTGAGCACCTGTCGCCACGAACTGTTCAGGACATCCAGATCCTTTTTGTAGGTGCGCTCAGTCATTAGCAGCTCCTTGGCAAGGAAATAGCTCGGCTCGGTGGGCCATTTGCGTTTCTTCACCTCGACCTCGATGTCATGGCTATGGCTATGGTTTTGGCTATGGCTATTTGAAATGGGCAGTCCCCCATTGCCGTTGTGACCATTGTGTGCGGTGGCGACGCCAGTGGCCAGCTCCTGCCGTTTGGCATGCTGTATCTCTGCCTGGATGACGTCATAGGTGCCCGCCTCGGAGCGCGACAGCGATGAGGATTTGTCCGAGCCCAGCGTGAGATCGTAACGATTTGGGGACGTTCCAATTTCACCGCGTCTATCCAGCGACATGTTGCCATTGATGCCGTGGTATACATCTGCAATGCCCCAAGCAACCGCAAATGAAAAGAAAAATGTCAAACAAAAATTAGAACAATTAAAAGAAAAACCATAATATCAATGAATATGTATGAATTTAGTAAAAGTAATTAATTAATACATTCTATACAAAAATAATTATAGATTTAAAATAATTACAATTAACTAATAAGCGAATAATAAGTCTAAGTTCAATTAAAGACTCTGCCTTTATTTTGATTAATGAAGTTTTTATTTTTATTTTATTTATTTTTCTATATAATTAATTTATGTTGTTTTTAATCGCTTGCATCGTGTATAGATTGTTTTTTGTTTATTAATTCAAACTTTTTCCATTCAATAAATTGTTGTTAAAAATGATCTAAATTAAATGTGTGTTCGTGTGTGTTAGCAATGAGGTTTGTAAGTGTTGCCGTATTAGAAAGTGTGGAACGAGTTTTTTTTTTTCTTTTCATCATACTTAGGGGCTAAAATTCAGCTAAGATTGTATTTGGTTTCACTATTTAAATATAATTAAACTCTAAATAAACATTCATTTGCACTCGAAGGAATTATTTTTTTTTGGATACATTATTTGCTAGTCTTTTCGTAAATTGGAAGTTGGCAATAATTGTCTCCGTTGGATAACAGAAAATGGATTACAAAAACATTGTAGAAAACTGTATGATTCATTCGAAAACATTTGCCTAAACTAACTAACTAAAAAACAGGTAAAAACTATATCAAATATCCAATCTGCAATACTCAATCTTAAAAATCAACTAGCGCACAGACAACAAACAATCTGAATTATGTAGATTTTAATTCATTTGACTAAACCTAAACATAGTATAATATATGCCAATAGGAATGGTTGACTTTTTTGATTTAAATACTTTTGATCCGATAAATATTTGAATTTATTGTACGTTGGGTGCGTTCCTAAACAACCGCATTTACACCCATAACATATCCGAACTCCTCCTTAACTTTCCTAACAATTTCCTAACGATTTTCTCCTTCATCTTATTATTATGTGATGTTTTCAAAATTTAACAGGGTTTCGATTGGCTACGATAGATTTCAAATATAATACGCTTCGATTTGGCATCTAATATAATTATTATTATTTATATTTTTTTGGTTGTATTTTTAACGATTTTTTGTTCGTCTTTTGGCACATTTAGTGTACTAGAACTAAAGCTAATACAACTTGTTCTTGGTGAAGATATTCGAATAAGAATTAATGGTTTAATCCACTGCTTATTAAAACTTTGCCATAAAATTAAAAACTTATATAGCACATGAACTATATAAAATATATATAATTAAGACATATATATATATATATAGAATAAAAAAGTTTCAAGATTGATTTTTCTTCTTTTTTTTTTTGTCGAATGAAATAAATGCTTTCATTTTACGTGACCAAACTGTGTCGTAAGAGATCTTAAGTTGCCCCAGATATATCTTCATTATTGAATACTGTGAGTGCTTCCATATTTGGGAACAAGTAAATACTTTTGATTTTTGTTTTAGTTTTTGTTTTTGGCATTGCTGATAACTCAGATAACTCGACTTATATATGTAATTTGAAGCGTTGATTGTTTAACTGGAACTTATAGCATAGGTAATACAATAATACTGTTCAAGTACTAATCATAAGTAATTCAAATACTTGTTTCAATCCATATTTAATATAATTGTTTACAACTTTAATCGTAAAACGTTTTCTCAATCTGACTTTTGTTCATTGTATCAGCTAAATAACAATTAAATATTTGGTATTATTCGATGATTAAACAGTGCATTAAAATTTTGCCAACTCGCTTGCTTGTTGCTTGATAGTTTTTTTTTGTTTTTTGTGGAGCTGCAGCATCTATAACATTTTATATATATATATATTTATATATATGTATGTATAAATACTCTATATAAGGAGGGTACTCCAACTACGGTAACCATGTCCATCCACTGACAATCTTGATTATTTGAATTTTTCTTTAATGAAATATATATATATATATATTTGATTAAAATGTTAGTAAGTTTGATTTGGTTGAACGACTTTCATTTTGGTTATATAATGAATATTATAAGTTCCTTCATTTCCGGGTAGTTTCTTCTTTAGCAGCAATCTTTTTTTTTTGGATTGTAAGATATATATATATATATATATATATATATATATATATATATATATTTGTTTTTGTTTTTTTTTTTTGGTATTTTCACTTTTGGTTTGTCGTAAATCAGTCTCAATTATAAATAAGTTATATACTTGGATCGTGTGTAAAAAATGTGGTAGAGTTGATTCTAAAAATTTCCAAGGCAACTGAAGAAATGGGAAAATGCTGGTGCTGCTGCTGCTTTTGTTGCTTCGACTGCATTAACGATCACTGAGATCATCCGAGTCATGGAATTTTGGTGGCGGATCAACCCGTATGTCCAAGCCACACGCATAACGCTCGTACTCAATAGGCTCCGTCTCGTAGTCCGAGAGAAAGTCCGGATAAGGCAGCTGTTGCTGATGTTGTTGCTGTTGCTGTCTGGACGCCTCCGTTGAGATCGTTGAGCGACTGGCGCCACGTCGTATGGTGCCCATGGCACCAGCGCCGCTATCTTCGCTCGAATTGGCCAAATCATCGGAGAGCCCACCGCCCCGAGACTCGTACTCGCTTTCCTCGGGATTGCAGTAGCTGCGTCCATGATACGGCTGCTGTTGTTGTTGCTGCTGTTGCTGCTGGTGCTGATGCACTGTAACACTCGAGGTGCTGGGCACCACCGAATCTTCGCGCTTGAGCTGTCGCTTCTTGGTGCGCGCTGGCTTAACGGGCTGACCACTAGCCGGCGGCATGGGATGATTGGCTGGCGCCGGCCTATCCGATGACATGGCCTGATACATGGGCTTGGTAATGTGACCCAAACGATCGTAGCGTGGAAAGCCCATTTCATCGACATTGTCGCTCATGTCCAGGCTCTCGAACTTGCTGCTGCTGGTGGCGCCACTGTACTGCGGATAATCCTCATAGTCATCGGTTTGATCGCGCTCCAGTTCCTCATCGAACTCGAGATACTGCTCATCACGCTGATACGAGTACTCCGAACTGCCCGAATCCATTTCGGGCATGTAACCCTCGGAGCACTCACTGCTCTCCGCTTGCTCCAGCAGCGCAGCAGCATTGAGATTGGCACGCATCCGCTTAACGGGCATCTGTCGCTTCTTGCGATAGCCACGACTACGCAACGGCTTGGCAGCATCCTGACCACCGCCACGGACATCCAGCGAGCTGTCCGTATCATTGCCACTGGGTGGACTCTTTAAGGCTGTGGCCACAGCTACCGCTGCCAGCTGACTGCTGGCTGTTGTGTTCTTGCGCGGCGGCTTCTGCACCAGTTGATTCGGTGGCGACTCCGAGCTCAGGCTGCTCGAATAGTAGGGTGAGCATCGTATCAATTTATCGGCACGTTGTGGCATTTGTGGGGAATTGGGTTCGGTGCTCTCGCTGTTAAGGGTATTTGTTGTGGTTGTCGTATTGGTGGCCGATGATGTGGAATGCGGATCACGTTCCTCATCGATGCGCATGGGCAGCTCCTGGGAAGATTGCTGCGATTTGCTCAGCATGTGTTCGTGAAATGAGCTCGATTGCCGCAACTGTTTGCTTGTGGTCTTAAATTCACGTATCTGTGTCTTGGACATCGTTTTATCGTCGTAGCTGTGATGTTTGGCTAGTGGTTTGGGTGGTGGTGCACCCACATTGCCAGGCAGATCGCTGGGCGTCACAATCGGTGGCACACTAGGCACTGGCGGCGGTGCCGGCTTTGTGGCTGCCTTCTTAACTTGAGCAGCTGTTGCTGTTGCTGCTGCCTCTTCCGCCTCTGCAGCGGCAGCTGCCTGCTCCGCCAGTCCCGGCTGCTTCATCTTATTGAGCAATGCCTGCATTATGGGTCGCGTCACTGCCGGCTTTGGCTTTGTGGGTGGCTGTGGTGCGCGTGGTTTTTGACGCTGCGATTGCTGTGATTGTTGTGTCTGAATTTGTGTGGTGGTCTGGTGGCTGCTGGGTGCGGCGGGCGTGTGCAGTGGCACAAACTCCTGGCTCTGATAGCGTTCGGTCAGCTTCTCAGTGTGCGCATACAGACGCTCCACAAACGGTGATTCTGACTCGGAACAGATCTCCTGGCTTTGATACAGTTTCGACATCATTTCCAGCGAGCGACGCTTGCGTGCCGCCGCATTTGTCTCCACGGGCTGATCGGCGATCTGTTGGTGATCGGTTGGTTGCGTGGCGCGCATCGGATTGCCATTGCTGCCACTGCGTCGATGGATTTGGGGCAGAGAGCAACGCTTCTCTTCGCTGGGCGAGCTCAGACTGGGCTGTACGCGTGTCTGCTTCAGCGGCAAATACTCGCCGGGAACAACGCCGACGCCGGCACCGACCAGAGTGCGACTGCTCGACGTCGACCACTCGCTGATGGTGTGGGCCATTTCTGTTAGTGTTAAGGTCGTATCATCGCTACGCGTTGCCGATGTGGCCTCACTCAATTTATCCGTTTCGGAATTGGACAACATGTCGTAGCGTAGTCCATCGGAGGAACCATTATCGCCGCTAAACTTGTGCGAATAGCTGCCGCTCTGCTCGTTGAGGCTCTCGGCCGATTTGTTAATCGAGCTAATGCTCGATTTGGTGTGATTGGATTTCTCGCTTTTGGCACACGAATGCGTTGAGACTGCCGACAGACTGTCCGAGCCGGACAGATTGGCGTATTGACGCACCGTATTTGTGCCCGTTGACCATTCGGAGATGCTCAGACCGATCGAAGTGTCCTCCGAGTGGGAGCTGTGCGTGCATTTCTTTTGCTGCAATCCCATGCGAACGGTGCCATCGAGATCGGTGCCAATGGAGCTGGTCTCCTCCTCCGAGTGACTGGAATGACTGCATTTCTTGCAGCTGCCACCGCCACTGCTCAAGCGTGCCTCATAGTTGCGACGCACCGTTGTCTGATCTTCCAGATACGTGCTGCCCGACAGTATGTCATCAATCGATGTATCCGAATTGTTTGAGCCGCGTGACAATTTCCGTAACTGGGCATCCGGCGACAATTGCACCTTGATGGTGCCCGGCATGAACACATCATCGCTGGAGAAGAGTTCATCCTCGGAAAGGGGGCTGCGTGGTGCTGGTGAGCGTGTCGGTTGCGCCACAATTACCTCGGGGCTTTTGGAGCTCTTGCGCACTCCAGTTCCGGCTGCCTTCGCCGTTGGCTGTGTGGATGATGTGCTGCAGCTGACATTAAACGAGGACGACAAACAGGATGCGGCACTCAATGTTGAGCTCAGGCAACTAACTGTATCCAATTGCAATTGTTCGCTACCAAAATCATTATCCTCGAAGGCGGCAGACATTAGATAAGCGGTATCCTCATACGATAACACCTTGGCCACATCTGGCGGGCCTGTCGCACCGATCGCCGGCTCCTCCTCGAGCATGACCTTGTCGGCACTCTGCGCCTCACTGGCATAATAGGTCTCAATGCTCTCGACCACAATGGGCGCATCGATGGTGCTGGAGGGCGGTGAGGGCCAGTCAACCGAATCTTGGGATTGTTGGAATGCCATGCTGGCCTTCCAGCAGAAGGATTTCGGCACCGGCTTGTCCAGATCTGGCATGGCATAGATTGTCTCTGGCGGTTTAACGGGCACATGATCGAATGGTATTTCCGGTAGCGGCCAATCCTCCGAATCCTGACTGCCCGCATTCGAGAGACACATCAGGGTGTGACGCTCCTTATCCTCGGGTTGCTGTTCATCGACATGTGTCACCGAAAAGCGACCAGTCACCAAGGTAGGTGATTTCGGTTCGTGGCAACTGCCAATGCTGGACAGACGATCTGCAGTTGCCGAATCGCACGGTATTTCCGGCATCTCAGCCGAGGTGCGACGATCTGCATCTGATATATAGGCAAGATTTGTATTGCTACGCGAGTCCGAACTGAGACTGGGCTGATGATCCGTTGAACCAACGGATTCATCTCGCATGCTAACCGAATGTGTGGACGCCTTGCTAACATCATCCTCCATGCTGGACTTCTCCGATGCAGTGCTCCGTTCCGAAATTCTCGATAGTGTCCGACCCAAAGTAAAGCCCGTATTGTAGCCAATAATATCCGTGGGATTTACACCAATGCCACCGAGTGTACTTGTCATTGCCGGGTAGCCAAAGGTGGTGGGAAAGTCATTGAGATCATCCTGATAGCTGGTGTCACTCTCCTTTTGCTCATCCGGTGAGACCTCCTTGATATCACTGTCTGAGGAGTCACGCAACGGATTCTGGCCATCGTAACGCTCATATCCACCATCGGTTTCCACATGATGCCATGGGTCATCTGTGCTTGAACTATTTGAGCTTTCGATGGGGAATGCTTTCCATGTGCTCTGCTGCTCCTTTTGGGCCAAGTCACCACGTCGCTGAGCGGCACCTAGCGATCCGGAGCTGCTCTCCGTCTCGAAGGAGCCGCGCGACTCAACGCTCAGCGAGCCCTTCGAATCGAAACTGGATTTCGATTCCTGAGAGCTGCGATCACTGCCAGATTTCCCAGTTTCTGCTTTGGCCACCAATAACTTTTTGCCAGCATGGGCGCGAGCTGGTTTCTCGATTTTCGGTGGTCTACGTGAGCCGCCTGAGCTAGACTCACTGTCCTCGGTTCTTTGCAGAATTTTGGCAATGCGTTCCTCAATGGGATCCAGATAGCTTTCGGTACTGTTGCCCAAATCAATGGGACTTTGTTTCTCCAGTGTTGGTGTTGTCGGCTTCTTTACAATTATCTTTAGCTCGTTGGTTGGTGTCTGCTCATTGGAGTCAGTGGGCGTGACATCGCCATCCTTGGCAGCCACATCCAACAGCATACGCTGTTTTAGTTCCAGACATTTCTTCTCTTCCTCATTGCCAAAATCTTGTGATATGCCCAAGGGTCGTGCTATGGAGCAGCTAACACTGGACTCCTCTTCGACGGAACTTTTCTCCTTGCCCACGGACAAACTCCAATCCTGTTGTCGCTGCGGACTTGTGTCCTTCTCACCGCTGGTCCATGAGTCCGAACTCTTTGATCTGTCACTCTGTTTCTCCAAGCTGTACTTTTTCTTGTTCTCTGACGTGTACTTCTCAAATGTTTCGAGCACAGACTTTTCAATCATTGGACTCGAATTGGGCGGTGTAACCAGTATATTTAAATCGGATGTGGGCGTAGCACAGTTGGAATACTCCAATGGAACGGCATCCTCCAATGTGGCTTGTGTCTCCAATATATTGCGATCCGGCTCCAAGGTACGCGGCTCATTATCCGAGGTATCAGAGCCAATAAACTCATCGCACTCGACAGTTATCCAGGAGCCCGTCTCATCGCTACGACTGCGATCCAAGCTTAAGCGATTGACATCGTGACGATCGACTTTGAGATGACGTCGCTCCGATGAATTGTCATCCTCCTCGATTGATGGCTCCTCGCATTCAATGGTGGGCACACGATGTGGATAACCCTCCGGTGGCGGCACCGGCGACTTGCTCGCCGGAGAATGACTGTCATCCACCGATACAAACGAGTCGAGACTGTCTGCTGTGGATGCCTTGCGACTGTGGGTGCATTCACTATCGCGCGTATCCTCCGATGGTAACGAACGCTTGAGTATCTCCAGTGAACGACGTTCAGAGATCACTGCCTGCATATCGATGTCCTCGTGGACATTGTATTGATGGGCGAACATGCGACGATCTCCAACTGCACTTCGCACAACTGCCGTTGGTTTCTCCTCCGCTTTCTTCGCCTCGGCTGCGGCCTGCTTCTTGTCGTCTAGACTGCGGGCCTTCACATCTGTGCCCAGATAATGATGTTCAGCCGGTTTTTCCAAGCTACTCGATTTGCCATCGATTTTTTTGTGTACAACGGTACCCTCGATTTTCTGCTTGATTTCCTGGGCTTTTGCAATTTTCTTTGGGGATTTGATCATCATGTCTTCGGGTATATCGGATTTCTCAGAGTCCTCAAAGGACTTGTTGCGATCCTCAAAGCTGCGATTGGCCTTGTCCAGTTTGTCGGGACTGCGACCCTCGTCAAAGCTGCGACTGAATTTTACCAGCGAAGTGTCCAGTTTGCGCGGTGCCTTTGCAATGAGGACATGATCCTCCGCCTTGGACTTGAATTCAGTTTCAATGATTATCTTATCGCCCTCGGTCTTCACCAGTATCTTATCTTCGGGCGCTGGAAAAGCGGGCAGCGCATCCTTTACCGGACTCAGCATTGTTATTGTTTGTTTCATTGCGGACTCGTACAGCTTTTGTTGGCGTTCCTTGCGTTTGGCAATGTCCGCCTCGGTTTCCTCTTGCGACTTGCTCTTGTCCTTGCTCAGGCGACGCATTTCAATGGAGCGCGGACGCTCCTTGGGACTCGACTTCTTGCTACCTCGGCCATCTTTTCCAGTCTTAATGTCATCTGCGCTGGTGCGTCGCGATTCCGGTCGGCTGCGCGATATATGCTTGCCCTTGTATGGCTCCGATGTCTTCAGTTTACCCTTGCCGGTGCTCTCGATGCTGCTGGCCCTCGAAACGCCGGGCGATGTTTTGCGTGAACTGTTTGCGGAACTGTAGGGTGACCAGTCAGTGAATCGATATTTTGGTATATTCAATATTAAATGATCGCCACTCTTGAGCTTCATCTTTGACTTTCGTTTGTCCTTGATCTTGACGCCTTGTAGCGCAATCTTTTCAATATATTTCAATTGATTGAGCAATTGCAGCTCCTCGCTGTCAATGGTCACAGCGCTGAGCAGTGAATCCCGTCCATTTGCATTGTAGCTGCTCTGTGTGGGAATTGAACCGGCACATGAATGTATGCTGTCTGCCAGATCATCCTCCTGCTGTTGTGCAATTTGATTCACTTGCTCGAGCGATTTCTCCTCAAGAATTTCGCCTTCTTCCTCAAAGCCAACGGTGTCGTCTTTGGATGAGAACGCGTTCATCGGTGGCAAACGATGCAGGGATATAACCGGCGTATCCAAGCTCTTCGTTCGTCGTTCCGTTGTCGGCGATTGCTGTGTGGCCTGCTGGCGTTGCAGGGAAACCGAACCCTCCGACAGATTGAGTCTGGCATGGGCAAACAAGATGGGAGCATGTCCCTTCGAGCGCATCACAATCGACGAATCGATTATTTCCTCAATCAGCTTGACCTTTGACTTGGCCGTTTGTTTCTTTAGCGTGTAATCAATATCGGAGCCGGTGATCTTTTCCTCATGGCATGTCTCGTAGATATCATCGTTGCTGCGAAAGAACTCGGCATGCTCGAAAATTGGTGATGGAATATTTTCATTGCGCTGATAGTCATTGGTGCACTCGTCCATGCGTCGCATTGGCAGATGCGGTTCATCCTCTGACGATGGTATCGATATCGAACGCTCCGATATGCGACGCAATTCGGTCGCATTCGCATACTGCGGATCGAGCTTCTGTGTGTGATAGCGACTCTCAAGATCAGCCAGACGGCGGCACTGGGGCGGTGAGCCCTCGATTTCTGTTGAGCTCATTGTCTGTCCCCTGCCCCAGGCGGCCGAAATGAGGCGACTTTGCTCGATGCGCAAGATGGGCTCGATCTCTTTGCGTGACTGCGGCGGTGAGAACTCCAGGCGATCCGGTATGGCCTCCGCCGAACCAAAGACATCGTCCGAGTCCAGACTCTCATCATCCGATGAGAATGAGGTAATTCGTGTCTTACCCTTCTTGGACTTGCCCGATGGCTTTGTTTTGGGTATTACCCTCGGCTTGTTGGCCTTGCGCGCATTCGCCTGCAGTTCTTTGCGCAGACTCTGGATGAGCTCCATCTGTTTTTGCTCCAGCTTCTGTTGCTGTTGCATGCTTTCGGTTCGCGAACTTGTCGCCGAATCGCTCTCAATTTGACTCAGTTTCTTGTTCAATTTCTCCAGCGTCGATGCATCCATTTGCTTGGTAATGTCCCGCTTCGGTGACGATAGCTGTATGGTTGGTATTGTTTTGTCTATTTCGAGTGTTATCGGATCCACTTTGGATAGATCAATGTTTTGGGTAAAGAGAAACTCTTTGGTCTCTGCCGGCAGCAGACTATCCAGTATGTCTGGCAGAAAGTCAGCCGGTCCGGGCACAACTACAGCGTTTGCCTTAGGTGATTTCGGTGACTTTGGCGATTTCGGTGACTTTGGAGATTTTGGTGATTTTGGCGATTTGGGCTTGCTATGCTTTTTCTCGCCCGGTGACGGTGCGGTTCCATTCATAATGTGTCGCTTGTGCAATACATAGGGTATATCCTCTTTGAGAACTTTGGTGAAACGTCGCTCATAGTCGCGAAAGAAACTCTTTGGTAACTCAAAGCCAGTCTTGGGCAAATCTACTTGAACGACTGTCTGCTGGCCACCATCAAAACATTTGGGTATTTCAAAGTTACCATGAGCCTTGCAGAGCGGTGGGGCGCTTGGTATTTGCTTATAGATGTAATCCTCATCACTCGAATCGGCTGGCGTTAGATCAATGGATTTTTGATGCATCAGCACATGACGACGCGAATTGCTGCCGAGGCGGGCGCGATTCGCCAACGAGTTGGGATCACTCTTGGTGCGCTCCACTGTGGCATGGGTATAGTTCAGAGGCACCAATATAGGATTGTATTCCTCAAAGTGGGTCTTTGCCATTAGCTCCTCCTTGCGTGTGATTTTCTGATGCACCACACGCGCCTGTTGCTTCTCAAATTCTGAGATGAGTTCGGGAGTTAGTGGATACTCTGGACTTTGCTTGGCCTTATCATCTTTCGGTTGACCCTCCCATTGCTTGGTGTACTTTTGTATGCACTCGATTCGATCTTGATCGAAGCTAAAGATATTCTCGCTATCCGAACGTCGTCGAAATGCAGAAATTTTGCATGATTGCGAGTTGCCCTTTTTGATGGGCGCCGTTTGATCGATTGAGTCACCCGTTTGGATATCCTTCTCCATGCAGCGCATACCAGACGCCGGGGTCGATACAGTTTCCGGCGATTTACTGCCAAAAGACTTGGCATTACGTTCAATTTCCACATTCTGTAAGCTGATCGAATGTACCTTGGATGTCTTATGCGTCTTGTTACTCGGAAAGGTGGAATATGTATCTCGGCTGTCGTAGAACGAACTGTTGGCCGTCGAGCTGTGCGTGTCGGAGAGCAGACAATCGTGACTCTTGACCTTGGGCCGGGTGTAGAGAGCATCCGTTTCAACGACTGGCTCGACGGCATCGTAGTAATCACTCTTTGACTCCTGACTTGATTGTGCAAACTTTTCGTAGAGTTCCTTCTTGTTGAACTGCTTGACCTTCTTGCAGGTGGTCGTTGGCATCTCGTAATTGCGTCCAAAACAATCGCCAACTAGCGACTCTTTGGAATCCTGACTGGATACCACGGATGTTTTGCTTTTGGTTGTTTCTCGCGATTTCTTACTATCCGTGTGATATAGACTGTCACGGGATTTCTTACTCGAGTCCGAGCTACGTGAAATTTTTGTCTCAAACATTTCGCTTTGACTCTCCTGACTGGAGGTGCGCGTCAGAGCCTCCTGAATTTTCTTGTAAAAGTTCCCATCCGATTTGACGGAGAGCTTCTCGCGTGGCAAATAGCGTGGATCTTCAGCATCCCAAATCTCATTCATAATATCAGCAGCTGATTTCGATTTGACATCGATGGCTGAGCGATATTTGGGCTGCTCAGAGACGGACTCATCATCACTGGGTATATAGTTACCAGAGTCCAGCGAACAGGAGCGCATATGATCTTCGGATCTGCGACGTCCGCTAAAGAAATCAATGTCATATTTCTCGAGCAGCTCATAGCTATCCTGAGATATATCATCCTGGGAGCCAGTGTAGTCCAGCTGCTGTCCATGATGGCGTTTGTGCTCCTGGGTGGTGTATGTGCTGCCTGGATAACTGGATGAGTAGACCTTGCTGTGCGGAAGTGGTGAAAAGTCCTGATGCGCATCAATTGAATGATTCTTGACGAAGTACAAGGAATGCCTTGAATCATCGTAGCGTGTAACTGGTGAATCAATGCGATTCGAAGAGAGAAACTCTTTATCGAATGCGGTCATTGGTTTGGGTTGTTCGCGATCATAGTTGGCGCTGCTGTAGCGCTCGAAGAGATCCTTGCAGGAACTGCTCTTTAGCCAGGACTCACGCTCTACCTGATCATAGATGTTCTCGCCATCCGGATCGTCTTCCTGATCCTCCTCATCGTCCATGTAATGCACTGCCGCCTGTTCGGGCTTAACAAACTGAGCCGTAGAGTAAAGATTACCCGATGCCATTTGATATTCGAGCTTCTCCGATGAGCTGCGTCTCGGATGATGTGTTATATAGTGACTATCATATGAATCGACAGAATCCACGCCAGACAACTCCGAGTTGCGGGGCAGCGAGTGTGTGTGTCTGGAACTCTGCGAATCTACTGAGGGTGTTAAATAGTTCTCGGATTGGGCGAGTTTCACCCGTTCATTATTTGGTACTGAACGCTTTGTGCCAAAGCCCGTGCCAAAGTAGGATGAGGAAGACGATTCCGATGGATGATTGAGATCATTGTGATACTGATAGTTCAAGCTGTTATAGTTACGCTCCTGGGCGGCAGCATAGGCCGATGTGCTAGGCTGCTGTAACATAGGCATTGGTACGGGTATGGCCACGGGCACGGGTTGAATGCCCAGCTGCTTGGCCCTGGTGTACTGTAGGATCGATTGATCGATGAATTCATCGCTGAAATGCTTTTCGCGGGTCTTTGATTTGGCCTTGCGATTGACCGTTGCATAGATATCGTTGCGATCATTGAGATTTAGATGCTCGCTATTGGAGATCTTGTGCTCCATTTGAGAGCTGTGAAAATCGGGATATTTGTAGTGGCCCATATCGTTGATGTCAGTGTAGATGATGTTATCGGTTTCCGTTTCGGTTGAGTTGGCATTGGCGTTGGCATTGTTGAGCATACACTGTTTAGACATCGAATAACTGGTACTGCTATAATGGACTGGGGTGACAGTTTGCGATTGGGACTCCTGTGAGCGAAGCGGCTGACGACGGGCATTGGCCATGGCCATGGCTGAGGCCGGTGAGACTGCCGCCATAGTCTCCCGATTGATGGTAGATGCTGTCAAGTCCGAATCCGCTTCCTCCTCCACCAATTCCTCCTCCTCCCCCATAGGCTCCTCCTCCTCCTCCTCCAAATCCACAGGCTCCAGCAACTCCTCCTCCTGCTCCTCCAATTCCATGGAGCTGCTGAGATCCACCGAATGGCGACCCACAGTGCTGTTGCTGTTGATAGTGTTGTTGTTGTTGTTGTGAGTGCTGTTGATGTTGGTGCTGATGCTGATGAGCTGCGGCGAGGCAGGGACATACGCTTGGGATCCCACTGAGACTCGACGAGGCGTGCTGCTGCTGTACAAGTGGGACAAGTGGCTCAGACCTGAACACGCGCGTAATTAAAAGAATTGAGCATTAGCACGATGGGAACAAGTGTGAGTCGGCATTTAACCGAAACAAACCGAAAAGTATCGAACTCAACTGGATGATCACAAAAATAAAGGCTGAAAACACTGAAAACATAATAAATCGAGGTTTCTGTACAGTATTTTTGGGGCATTAAAGCCACTGTAAATACTTTAAACATAAATAATAGAATTAGAGCTAAAATAAACTTAAGTTAACATCATAAACATAATATAACTACAATATAAACATTAATGATGTGGCTCTAAGTTAAATTACTATTATTAAGCTTGATTTTTAATCAAAATGCAGATTGTTGTAACAAAAATCACAGAATTATTGATGAAGCTTCATTTTATATACTATCAAGTTATTGTCCCAAAATATAAACTTAACAAAAATATATTATAGATGAAACTGGAGTCGTAATATTCATGGAAAACAAAAAACGACTCACCTATATTGTGATCGCCTTGATGCGCACGAGCCAGATCGGGAGCGCGCTGTGCCTGGCTGCTGCTGTGGCTGGGTGAAGTCCACGATTGCGGAGCCTGTGGTGAAAGGGAGCGGTTCGAATTCATTTGGTCCATAGCCGCTGCCGAGTGGTGTTGACGTTCCGCCGAGCATGCCGCTTCCTCCGCTGAGGTTGGCGATTCCGCTGCATAGTTCTTCGTCTGATAGATCTCCACCTGGGCTGCTGTGACCTAAACAATAATTCCATAACGATTACAAATCAAATGCCTTATAATATGATTTGGATGGCACTCACTTGAGAACGCATGTGGTCTGTAGGATTGTCGCGTCGGCGATCCAAGGTATCCGCTGCCTTCTTCGTCAGAGAAGGGGTCATCGAGTCGCTGCATTGATTGCGATAGTCCCATGCCGCTGCAGTTTGCAATACAAAAAATAAAACACACACAAAATAATATGCAAGTAGTATGGCAAATCATATATACATATAGATATACAGATATAATTATATTGATATAAATTTATCGCCATGGCTACACATTCCGCTAGCAAACCAAAAGAGAGAGAGAGAAACTCTTTGAACTATGTACGAAATGAAACGATAAGCGATAAACGATAAATCAAGAAATATAATAATAATCGAACAATTGAACAAATAAAATAAATACAAACCAGTGTCAATTGGGAGTAGGGGATTGGCTGAAATGCTGGAATTCACATACGTATGCGACTGACTTCGGCTACTAGCATTCAGTGGCCCTTGCCGGAACGACTGAGACCTGCAGCAAAAGAAAAGACAAGAGGATACCACGATTTTATTTTCACATGCTCAGTTTTTTTTTTTTTGTTTTTATCTTAGTTAAGCAACTTAATTTGTCCATCTTTAGTGTAGTTTTATTTTCGTATTATTTAGTTTTTTTTTTAAATTTTTAGTTTGGTTAAGCACTTTTTAGTTTGATTTTTTGGTTGAGCTTTTGAGGAGCTCAGAAAATTGCTTATTTTTTTTTTAGCATAAAGGCAATTGCATCAGTTTAAGGAATTATTAACAGGTTATTTAAAATGAAAGCAAAAGTTTTTCAAATTGGTTAGTTAATACAAAATAAAACTTAAAATTAGACACACACGCACACAACATAAACTATTTTAGCTAAAGGATAGGCCTAGCATATATTAAAGAAGAGCGCATCATGAAGAAATGTTGCTCGGAAACATGAACCTCATAGGCATATGGTAATTCTTTCAATACCGAAACAAATCCGCTATATATTTGTTTATAGTTGTAATATTATTGTACAAACTAAGCTACTTATTTAAGTAGATATGTTAAGGGTTTAGGTTAGAACACAGATATATATTTATAGCTATTTACTACACATTTAGGGGTAGTGGGGCAAACAAAGGTTTTTAGTTAACTATGTGAATTGTGTACAGTCTAAACAAAACACACATGTTTACAGGTATATAAAAGAAAAGCAGCAAAACGATGCATAACTCGTTTTGGGATCAAACTAGACTAGACTAAATACAACACACGATATGAGAGAGAAGGAGAAAGAGCTGTGATGTGATGCGAATGAGGTTCAGTATACTAATGAAGGGCTTGCGTTTTGATGATTACTTGAGCTTGGATACGATAGTAAGAGGCTGGGTTCGATTGAAACATATAAATATGATATATGAAATTAGTACGCAGAAATTATTTGCCAATTGCCAAATTTTGTATACAAATAAAAAATGCTGATTGTCTACATTATTAAGACGTTGATTAATACACATGTTCCAAATCATAAGAACACAAAATAAATCGATTTTTAGTTTGAAATGCTTTTGTTTTCGTTTGCTTCTGTACAATTTACTACTAGATTTGTTTTTAAATTATTTCGTTTTGTATATATAAATATATATATATTTTTGTTTCTTTAGATTTTGTTTAGTTTTGTGCTTTGTTTTTGTTTTTTGATTTGTACTTAAGACCAATTGGTTATTTTAATCCTCTTCTCTTTTCTCATTGACTTGGCGCCACAATGCGGCCCAGATCTTATGTGGTGTTTTTTCTGGAGGGGAAGTTGTGGGATTTGAAAAATTGTTTTTGAAACAAAAATATAATAGAAGTTAATACGAAAAATTCAGTTGAAACGAAAAACAAGCGAAATAAAATGAGCACGTTGATGATTCATAATGTGTTCGGATGAGTTTCTTTATAAAATGGTTTTGCTGTCTTGTATAAAACGCACAATCAAATTGTACACATAATCAATTGGCATAGATTCTTTTTTGAGGGTTGGTTATTGGTTATTCATATGGGGAGTAGTATAAGCTTGAAATTTTTTTTTTTTTTATATTCAAAAAAGGGTAAAAGTAAGCAAGGCTTTAAAATCAAGTTCAATCGAGTGTACTTATTGAATAATGTATAAAAGTGAAATAGAAATATTGTATAATATTAATTTTGTCATAGAGTAAATCGATTTTAAAATGCTGAAATGCTCTTTTTACCATGAATAATATAATAATATATAACATTTTTCGCATGGTATAAACAGCCCTTAAAAATGTAATCAAAAATAAATGCAATATATTAAAAACCAATAAGAATCACAAAACAAATGAATATTGCATTATTATTACAGGCATTTAAAGCTGCTGCTTGCGATTCTGCTTGTTGTTGCTTCAGTTGTTGTTGATGTCTTATTTTATATATAACCTACCTTTGGAAAGTTCTGACGTTTTACATAATTTTCGCGCACAAATTCAATGATTTGCTTCTGTGTCTTGCCACTGTAGCTGTAAATTTCGTCCAATGAATAAAAGAAAAGTTTAAGTATGGATTTCAAGAGAAAAACAAACATCACATGCTCACCGAAAAGAACTGCCGCGTGAGAGTACACGAGTTTTGCGCCTTTGTGTGCTCTGCACGGCCGTGAGGCGAAAGAATCCATGATTCTCGACGCACTTCTTCCAAAAGTTCTTGCACTCGTTGCGGCCCTCAAAGAAGAACTCAACGGTGTCCTTGTAGTAGCCCTGTAAAATAGGCATAATCAATAATCAAATCTGGTAATGCACACACGCTTCACACTTACGTAGCCCTCGGGGTGCAGCTTGACCAGAAAACGTTTGCGTTTGAATGAAATTTTGCGTATCTTGGCCCAGGAGAAGGTATTGATGCGCGTTATATTCTGAAAGACTGTAATGCCCATGTGCGCAACGGCCAGATTGAGGGGCACACCCTCCACATCCTTAGCGGGATGCATTTTCATCCCATAAAGCTCACAGCGACGCGCTGTCTCCAGCAGATTGAGGTCAGCCTCTGCGGGCGATTGGCCACTACAAATAAAAAAATAAATAAATCGCCTGAATTAAGAATCCTGAGAAATTGAACTATGTGTAGCTTACAAGTGCTTCTTGTGATTCTCCATGATCTTGCGCTGCATGGTGGCATCCTGATGTGGCACAAAGCGATACGATGACAGATACGTGTGATCTGGATAATCCTCGGGCACATAGTCGCCACACGATGCCTGCACTATGTAGCTGGCCATAAGAGCTGCGGTATTGTCATTGCACTGCAGACTGCCCGTGGCCAGATCTCGTTTGATTTGCAAACAGAACAGATATCTATGCAATGGCAATTGAGTTAAAGTTAAATACTCTTTAGCGTAAATATGTTGACTAATTGTACCTGGTATATTCCTCTTCCAGCTGTGCTGGATCTGGTGTGTAGAACTTAATGCAGAATCGCAGCACCGGATCGATGAGAGATAGACCCACCTGACGATTCATGGGCTTCTCCAGATCCAGCCAGTATTTGGTATGTGTGGATATTTCCTGATACTCCAGACCAAAATAGTCCGCTTCCAGCAAGTTAAGCTGGCGACAAACCTGCTCAAAGAGCACACGACCCAAAGCCTTGGCCTGGAAGCAAAACAAATGAAAAATGTTTAAAAATAATAAATTTAAATTTAAATTAAAAACAGAACAATGCATCAAATAGAATTCCTCACGAAAATCGTTTGAGATTTTATTATGTCAGTTAAAAGTTAAGAGTCAAGGATTAATTTTAATAAAAGTCGCTACAATTTCGTGTATGTTATGCAAGTTGAAAGCTTTGTTTTTCAAATGTCAACGGCTAATGCACTCGCTTGACTCTAGGCACTCCACAGCCTATTTATAAAAAACAGTTTAAAACTTGGCAACTTGGCGACAAGTATTAGTGCCACATAAATCACCAGGCCTGCCAGTGTGTATGCATGTTGTGTGTGTGTATGCGATACACACCATTTGAGTTGATTAAAAATGCCATTAGATGGCGCTAAATAATATATACGTATATGTGTGTATGCAATTGCGCTAACACAGCCACGCCTCGCTCAATTTGGCAGCGGGCAAAGTGCAGAACGAACTACATTTTATACAACAAACTAATTGCTGGCAGAGACGATGCCCAGCCAGTTTGCCGAGTGGCCCAGTTAGCAGTCGCCAGTTTGGGTTAGCCAGTCAACTCAATTGAAATTTATTTAAATACAATCAGACGGACATCGCCCACCAAGCAATTGCTGGTGTCTGGCAGCGTTTCGGACTATGCTCGTCTAATCTCGAAACGCAGATTAAATTTCAACAAGCTTAACGAGCAAAGCCAGCGATTGCTGTTCACGCCCACAAGCCCAGTTGCCCAATTGCCCAATTGCTGAAGGTCGTGCGTAAATTGTGCGTAAAATTGATTTCAAATCATTTGTTGACTGCTCGAAACTGATATTGCCAGCCAACTAATTTCTCAACATTAATGAATGGAATAATTTAATTTAAGTGATAAACTCGAGCATTTAACTTTAATGGCTTCTCTCTAATATCTGTAAAGTCGCAATTTATTAACACAACAACCGCAAACTGCTCGAAATTGGGATTTCATTAACTAGACCATATAAATGAGGAATCAACTCAACTCAATGTCTCCTTGAGATGTCCTTCAATTTGCTAATAGGTGAAGGCATCAACACATGTCTAGGTTTGAGACTATGTGGCACACATAATATGCTAATTTGGGGGTGGAACAACCCGAGTCGAGTCCTGAACAGCTGCTACACCTTTGTGCCATTAGGCAAATCGAAATGTTAACATCCGCTCCTATAAAGGGACACTTCAGCAGGAACTGCATATCATTCGAGTGGCAATCAAGCAAAGTGCTTGCTTTCCAGTTCGATTTCATTGTGTGACCTTGTCATAAGTGATATGCTGTCAGCCCACAGGACGTGCCAAAATGTAATTAAACTCTGCACCCCAAACCTCTCCATTCCCCTTCTCGCTCTTTGTTGATATTTGAATATTTCATGTGTCAGTTTTTGGCAATATATACCATACTGCAAAATGGGTTTTTGGGTGTGGTCGAATCTTGGCCCTGACAACACAAAACTGTCATTAATCATACACACATATGTATAAGAAAAATTATCGCCTATAAATTATTCATATTACATACAAATCTAGCACCATGAATAATGTGTATGCGGATTCTTGTTGAAAGGATCGCCCCTTTTTAATTGAAATGTGTGCTGAAAGCAGGCAACGAGTTCAACTAAAACAATGAAATAACAAATAGTTTGCCGACACACAAAAGGAATAGGATAGCTGATGCATTTTTTATGAGAACAGCACACAAAAAAAAAAAAAAAAAAAAAACGGAAATGGCGAAAATAAAAGTGGAAAGTTGCGCAACATTTTCGTGTCGAGTTGAGGTCATTGGGGAAATACGCTGATGAAGTGTGTGGGGCAGCAAATTGTGGGCAGAGATTCAGATTTATTATGTAATCGCTTTTGAGCACTATAAATGTGGCATTGCATTGCATATTTATTGGACGATGTTGTGCATGAAAGCTATGAAATAGTCCAGATAGTCGTGTTGCCAGCTGCATTGTATTTAAACTTATGAAGAACAGCTGCAAGAACATATCGTTCTGAGCATCAAGACTATACATAAAGAAGTCGGTGCATGTAGAAGGCAAGAAAAAAATCATTAAACTTGTTTAAATTTATTTTTAAATCCATATAAGAGAAATAGCGGTACAAGAACTAAATGCATTCAGAATTTGGAACGCAATTCACTTTTTTAAAGAACAGCAAATTATTTCAGGAGACTTTAAACTCGAAAAATGGTACTCGTAGCCAGAGTCGTAAAATGGGAGCCTTTAATTTAATTGGTAGAACAGAAAAAACTTTACTAGAAATTCGCTTCATAATTGGCAACATATTCTGGCAAGACTGTTGGCCATAAACTGGAAGCTTTTGTAACAAAAGCACAATTGAATTGTCGCTGAACTCCCTTTAGACGGCAGTCTCCTAAACTATTTATGACATTTACACAACTTTTCCCTTGTGGTGCCACGCCCAAAACCCTGGACTGCAGCATTTGCAACTAATTGCTAAACTATAATGAAATTTACACAAGCTTTTGCCAGTTTACACAATAACTGAGGCATATTTAATTTAATTTTGGCAAACAACAGGAGTTGGAAAGCGACAAGAAGAAGAAAACACAAGGCAGAAGATAAATGTGCGGGTTTTCCCATGAGAAGAACCGAGCCGTGGAGGAGCTTGTCAGCTCCAGGAACTGCACTTGCATTTGATGAACTAAAGGGGATGACGACGGGGAATGGCAGCACAAACCCTTACATCCAACAATGGCCAAAAAAGCCACACCCAAACTTTGACATTTTCCCTGGACGAACTTTTATCAAGGGTCGTCTACTTTGTAGGCCAATCCACTAAACCAATTTGGGATTTTCGACAACGACAAACAGCCAATTAACTTTGGGCGCGGCTCGGCAACTAAGCACTGACAACGGATTTATCACAGGAAGCTGCTACTGAATGCAAACAACCAACCAACCAACCAACACAGACACAGACACACACAACACACACATATATTTGTGTTTGCTGACAATTGGCTCTCGTTCAATTTGTCGCTGGAGCTGCAAGAGATGCAAGTGTTATCTGGTCTCATTCCGGCTGCAGGTGTTGTTGTCTGTTGCTTTGGAGGGCGTGGTTAGCTGTTCAATCCACTAACTGCAATGTTGGATGGGTTTTGTTCATTTCTCAGTTAGCACACACACACACACACATTGTTGTCTATTGAAACAGCTGCCTGGCGCAATAAACTTGCAGATATGCGGGCTCATTTTACCACACAACTAATGAACAAGTTTGTTAATGTTGCCTGCTTTTAAATTTAAGGCAACTGAAGATGGTATAAATAAGGTAAAATAAATAAACAAACCTATCAATTTAGCTATTAACCAAGTAAACCTGATGCTAGTCAAAGATAAACCTAAACCTGTTGGATAACAATTATATTATACTTAAGATTGGCATCAATAAATAGATCCATTATGGTCACAAAGACACAATTAAACTTACAACAACAATATACACAAACTATATAGAGACTTGTTAAAAGAATCGAAGTAATTTTAAGTCAGACAACAGTTTAGATTGGTTTTTATTATTAAAACTCATATTTCGACTATATGATATAGTTGTCCGATCTGGTCATCTCCTATCTTCAGCAAAAATACACTAAATTTCAAGAAGATTGCTTTTATTGAATTAAGGGAGATAGTTTGTATATATGGCAATGATAATCATATTTGAACTTTGACATTCAACATATCAGAAACTTTATTTGCTCTATTCGCATTGCTCAATCGGGTGGAGTTGTAAGTAAAACACATGCGAAAACTTTTCTTCTTAGCCCGAAGCAGAAGTCGCAAAGGCATTAAATGCACTCAGTCAGCAGCTTTGTAGCAAGTCCGAGCACATCCAATGTCTGAAAATAAATCCTATTTATAGTTGAACACTTGCCCCCAAAAATCCAGCACCTGCCAACGAAGGCGACCTGGAATCACATCCATCTCTGGCAACTGCAACTGCTTCCCAAAAGGAACCCAGCCAAGCATTAAATGAAATTGCATTAATATATAACACAGTACACAGTACACAGTACACAGAATACATACATACTACATACATACACATATGTACATACATAGAGTTAGATCGAGTATGGCAACATATACAAAATATGAATTTAAATTTATAATTATTTATAAAGGTCCTCTCCGAAGTGGAAATGGAGACGCATGCATAAGAGATTAATGCGACAAGTGCTATATGGGCTGGCACTGAAGGGGCGGCTGGTGCCTGTAGCCGGGCGTGGCAGCCATTTACAGTGTTTGGCTGACGGCCAAAATGTGTTCCGGGCCAACAAAAGCACAGAGTAAGCAGGCAACAGCAGGCAGGCAGCCAACAGCTGAAACAACACAGAAGCTGCCGACAAATCAACAACACAAAAAAAAAAAATAAGAAAAATGTTTTTTTCCCCTTGTGGGTAGCTGGTCGGGCAGAGGAAGTGTTGCGGCCGCGACTGCGCCCCTCCATTTGCCGACTCCAAAAATAAAGTTTGTTTGTTGGCTTTTATTTTATTTTATTTAATTTTTATTTTTTTGTTTCTGGCTCAGTCTGAGGTTCATTTGAGGTCTACGAACTGAGGCCACACATAAGCGAGACCAATTCTTGTCGATGTTGTTGTTATGTTCAGTTCTTGTTGCTATTTAGCTGCATTTGACCGCAAATTGCATTAATGCAAACACAGGACGACTGCCATCCCTGCTAAATGTTCTTGTGTTCTTCTTGTTTTGTCGACTACACTGCATTTGTCGGGTTCCCCCTGTGTGGCTGTGTGCTGCTTTTAGTCATTTTTGGTTTTGTTAATGGGTTCTTCTAGTTGTTTCCGTGTTGTTCCACTTCCTGGCTCCATTAGCCCAGGCAAGCAAAAGGCTTACTCGGTTTTTAGTTGAAGTGGCCACGCCCTGGTTGCCCTCAACCCCAAACCCAAGCCCAGACCCAACCCCCCTCACAGTAGACAAACACATTTTAGAGGCTTCGCTCACTTTACAACATGTTGAGAGCAGCGAAAAGTGGGGCGAAAAATTTGTTGTTGCAACAAACGAAAAGGTTGCTGTTGCTGTTAGTTACACCATTATTATACCCTGTAAGCCAAGGCGCAAGGGAGGGTGTGCCGTGTGTGTACTTATTTGTAAAATGTGCCCATATTAAAAGTTATATTTTTATGCTAATAAAAATCTTTCAGATTAAATTTGCATTTACATTAAAAAAATATATATATTTAATCCATTAATCTAAATGGATATCTCATAGTCATAGCCCACTCACCTATAGTTTAACTACATGTTTTGAGCTATTGTTGTGGCTGCTGCCGGCATTGTTGTGTCTGTGTGTGGGTGTGTGTGATTTGTTGTGTTGTGGTGCTTTTGTGTGTGGGTTGCTTGGTTGGGGTTTAAGAGTAAACCCTTGTGAACCAGTTGCACTTGAGGCGCTGCTGCTGCTGCTGCAACTGTAAATGTTGAGCGCTTTTTAAAGTGTCACATGCAAAACTATTTTATAGCATCTGCTGGCTGGCAGTTTACCCAACGGCCAATCAGACCAACCACCCACAAGTTGCACAACCCACTTTTTTACTCACATTGCCGTCGTCGTCCACTGCGGACTTATTAAAAATTGAAGCACGTAACAAATGTGTTTGCCAGAAACACAAACATACACAAACATAGTCATTCCATTCCTTATGTGAGCACCCGCTGCGTATACGTAACGCTTGTGCAATCTATTGACACGAAAGCCCGGACTGCAGCTTTATAAATAGATGGCCAGCACAAAGCAACCCCTAAACTAAAGCCACTAAAGTCCAATTACTATAACCATAACCATAACCAGTTTGTGGTCGAGACAATTTGTGCGCTGTTAACGCGTTAAGCGCAATTTTGGTCAAGTGCATTATTAATGCAAGTAAAAGCGTTTTGAGAATTTGTCTGGTACGATACGATACGATGTATATATAAATCTATGATTGTTTGATACAGTAATATTAAAATATATATTAGTAATTTGCCGACTATATACATACATATGAATTGGTATTGCATATGAGAGGCTAAAGTATCTTAGATGTGCAAATGTTTCATACATAAAATGGATTGTTTGCTATTAAATAAAAATGTACGATTTACATATCGATTTTTCAGTTATATAACGCCTTTTATCCAAGCATTCCAATAGTTACAGGGTATTCTTCGGTCTCCTTAATGGCCTCCATCGTTATGTGTGTAATCTAATATGGGAATGGGTCAGCAAAACGATAACCACACTCATTTGGCCTGTGGTTGTTTGTGGCGAGTTGAACAGGAATGTTTTTGACGCATGGCCCATAAAGTTTTACAGCTAAAACTATTTGATAAGTCTCTTTAAATTTTTGCATAACCAAACTAGAAACTATTCAATGAGACAATTTAAATTCTTGCCCATATTTCATGATGGAAGTTAAAGCTTTGTTATGATAAAAAAAAAAGTTAAGTTCTTTACTTGTACCGTTTTTACCATAATTTATTCTATTCCGAATTTTGTTTTTATAAATTTATTAAAGTTATACAACTTTGGCGCAATTTATTCTGTCCGCTGTCTAAAGTGAAATTCACTTTTTTATTGTAGTTTGCTGGTTTTTCTTTTAGCTGTCAGCTTCTCAGTATTTCCATCAACGTTTCATTTGCCATGACACAGTAAATTTTCATGGCTTTTATTTTGACGCCAATTTATTTATCTAACAAAAGGCTTTGTACTTGAATTTTGTTTGTGTATAACTGAAAACATTCTTAAGAGCTTATCTCGCCAAATGGGTAATGGGTATAAAAAAAAAATAACGATACAATGATTGCGCCCCGCTGCGGGGGCGGCAATTGCCAGGGAAAAGTCAACAAAATTGCTGATAATGCAGCCAGAATGAAACTTTTTTAATAGAATTATTGAAAAGTTGTTGCGCACATCGCAACCAGAGGCATGACGCAAATAACTGAAGCCTTAGCATTATTTGTCGTAGCGGCGAAAAGTAATTGAAAACTTGTATGGAAATCAGTTCGAGCAAGCGGAAGCCCAGCAATAAATCAATGAAAATTAAAGAAATAATAAAACCAAATTTAAAGATACCAAACTTGATTTGGAATGATTTCTATTATGGCATAACCTTGAAGATTAACTGTAAAAAACCATTAGCTTGGGTACTGAAGAAAATTTAATGTCTCCGGCGAGACTTGGACTTTTTAATAAGTGAATAGATTTTTTCAACATTCCTTGACCATAATAATTCTCAAAATTTGTAAGTTTGTTTTTTGTTACTTAGAAAAAGTAAGCGCTATTTAAAAATATTTTCTCTTGTCAGCCGATGGACTCCAAGGTCTGCAAGGGTATTTAATGTTCAACATGTCTAAGATAGCCGCTCTTTGTTGGTCTTCTTCTCTTATTTATTATAATACATGCTGCTTTGGCACTCACCTGAACTTGAAACATTGTAACCGAATCATCCAGCATTTGTATGCGCACCGTCAGCTTCTTGCCGCCGCGATGTCTGGGCGTTGAGGGGGTGCCATCGACCCCGCTGGGTGTGCTCAGCGAGTGTGTCATGCGACCGCCGGCAGCTCCACCAGCAGCGCCGCCACCACCACTGCTTAGATCATAGTGACGAGATCCACTCGCACCACCGCCTCCTCCTCCTCCACCTGTGGAGCGTGTTACAGTGCCCATGTCGGCGAGTGACATTTTGTACACGAGAATTTTGGTTACCGCAACACGGAGACGTCTCCAACTGCTTCTGCTGCACTTAGTCCAATCTTTGTGGATCTGTTTATATCATGCATAGACATGCACGAATCTTTGTCTTTTTTTCTTTCTTTTGTTGTATTAAATGCTACGACTTGGAATGCTACTGGGTTCGTTTCTTTTATTTTTCGATTCGCTTCGTTTTGGTTAATTTATAAAGCTGTTTTTGGTTGTTTGCACAACTCAATTTGATTCGTTCGCTTCCAGAAAGAGCAGAGAAAAACAACAACAATCGAAGAATTAAAGTGGAAGCTACAACTTCATGCCACACATCTGCTTCACATTTGACTCAGTTCATCCAATTTTTCAAGTGTCAGTTGCTGTTGTTGTTGTAATACTTCTTGTTGTTGTTGTTGCTTTCGATTCTTGTGTTTGGCATTATTTTTGTTGCTGCTCTCAATTGAGTTCTTGTCTCGTTTCGTTTTTGGTTTCTTCATTAATATTTATAACGCGCATGTGGACTCGATTTCCTCATCGTTCAGCAGCTGACTGTTGCCTCATCTTGCTGCAAAGATAAAAGATAAAAGTTAGTCATAAATGGACATAAGAACCACCAAAACCGTTGAGAGTTCATAACGATAATCTCACAGCTATTGTCTGTGGCTTAATAATTTGGGCACGGCTCTACGAGAATGATGTCAAATTTGTACGGCAAATGACGACATACGTGAGAACTTTACTGTCGGGCGTAAACGATTGTGGCATACTCTGCTGCCAAATGTAATACCAGCTGAAATCCGGGGGCCGTAATTGTGTTATCATTAAAGCAATTCCTAAATTTGGTTTAGGTTTTTCTTATAGTAATTTATCTTAAGCTGCAGTAAATATACGATTTTTGCAATTTTGGTATCTTTTGCATCAGATCAGAGTATAAAAAATGATTTCAACTTCCAGTGAATAATGCTTATGACACAATTTTATAGAACCTTAGAGCTGAGTGTTGTTTCTTTTACAATGCAGTTTCAAATAGAAAGTAAACAGCTAATATCTCATGATAATTTTGAGGAAATGTAAGTGAAACTTGATATTTCCAGAAAAATAAACTCAGTTTATTTAAATAACAGAACTTGTGTTAAAACCAAATGGTATCAAATACTCATTGAGAGATTCATTTTGTTTTTGCTTTAGTTTTTCCTCTCAATAAATCTTCAAGTAAGACACATTGTTTTAAGCAGTAGCAATATTAACGGTTTCAGCTTTTAATTACCTAAACGAGCTCTAAGGACTTACATAATACACAGGGTATCCGTAGCTAATATATCACATAACTCTCTTTCCCTATCTCTCTCTGGCTTGTGTTGATATCAAGCAATTGCAAGACTTGACCAGCAGTAACAAATTACAGCTTGACTGCCCACATTTTACCATTTTCTCTGTGTTGGCATCAATCATCATGCAATTAGCACAGAGAGCGAAAGAACAGAGAAAACCACTGGGAACCAAACTGAGTACACAGAGAGAGCGCTAATGCGAGCTTTGTCTATAGCTATGCTAATCATTCGCGAGTTATGTGTGTGTGCCAAAACGTGACTTATGCGGCTCGGCAATTGAACCAGTCAAGCCAATTTTTATTTTTCTGTTTCTGTTTCGGTTTCGGTTTCTTTATGGCCGGCACATGACATGTACGAAGAGTCTACGACGACTTTGACTTCAAGTTGGAAGAGTTGTTATCTGAGCAGCAACTAAGTAGCCACTGATGGGCAACTCACTGACTGAATGACTGGTTGAGTGAGTGAGTGCATGAATGAGAGACTGAGTGCTGGGTCATTGAACGTCGTCGACGTTGGTTGGTTCAAGTGTTATCGATGCTCACACATACATGTATATACTCTATATATACTATACTTAAAAGGAGATGGTGTACTCTCAACCTGACTACTGTTCGGTTCATTAGATCACATCGTAAATTCACACATTTCACGCCCCATTCGTGATGGCCGAGCATCCTGTATCTGCCGCCTGCCAATTGACAGCGGGCCACGTCCGCATTCAAATTTACGAGCTGCCCATAAATATGTAAAACTTTGCCGGCTCGTCTCTAACTTAATAATCATAATTTTGTTTTTTTTTTTCTTCTTCGATTCGCTTCGTTTTTATTATATTTTCTGTGTGGGGCCAGCCGAACATAAAATAATTGGCGCCAAACTTCGTCTAGCTTCATGTTACACGCTACATGCTTTTTCATGTAGGTTTGCGTCTCACAATGACGCTGACATAACCTCAACCTCAACTACGACTTCGACTTCAACTTTAGCTTTGGCTTTAAGCTTTTCAGCTTTCCGGTTTCGCGTAGGCGCCTCACGTGGGCTGCCCATTTACCTTTACCGTTCTCTTTATCTCTCGCTCTCTTTATCTATTTTTCCACTTTATTCAATATTTTACTTTTGAGTGGCCAACATTTCTCATGTTTACTTTGTGTGCCGTCATTTTTCCAATTTTTGTGGGTCGCCTGCGATAAGCGTATTTATTTTCACAGGTGTTTTTACTAGTTGTTACTCTATTTTCTCATACTTTCCCTCTCTCTCTCTCTCTCTCTCATTGCCTCTCTCTCTGTCACCCAATCAATTTTCATTTGAGTTGCTGTGCAACGCTTAAATTTTTAATGTGCTTTTAATGTTGCATATTGTTTTGTGGCTGACAATTTTTATTGGGTCATTGTTTGGTTCGGCTTGGCTTTTTATACATTTTTAATTATTTACTGTCAATTTTGTGGCCGAGGAAAAGGAAGAGGAAGAACCCAAAATGCTTATAAGGTCGCCCACTCGCTTTTGTTCAGTGTGTCAGCTTTTATTTGTTTATGGGACCATTGCTTTTGATTTAATTATTTAAGTCGTGGGCGTGGCAAAGCCCATTTTTGATTTTTTTTTTAATATTGCAGAGATCCTAAGATAAGTGCATTAGAAACCCGATTTTTTTTGGGTACTTTTGGATATTCGTTTGAGAAGAAACATAATTCATGAAATATGCTTATTAGCCTTTATATTTTTCTCAGATTTCATTTATTAAATTATATTTCTGAAGTCGTGGGCATAATTGTGTTTCGACATTTCGTGAAACCAGCCTTTGAAGCGGTTCAAAATAGAACACATAAAAATAGCAAGTGCCTTGCAAGCTTGGCAAAGGACTCATTTTTAAGCTATTCCTTGAGCTCGTTTCCTTGTACCGAACTCATAAAATCGAATTAAGTAACTGGAAATTGATGTCACTTGACAGCATGTAAAAGCAATAAATTTTTTTGATGGGCCGCCAGTGTAAAATCAACTTTTAAGCCTTGCAATAAAAGAAGAAATAACTAAGAATATATAGAAATATTTAAATTTTAAGTATCTAGCTTTCATAGCTTTTTCTTATTGAAGAGCACACGGATATGGCTAAAACAGCTTTTAATACTGATCAAGAATATATATACCTAATCATGCCTCTCTTTTGCCAGTAACATACTTTTATACAACTTCAGTATTGCCTTTTTGAAATTATTAATGCGCGTTCAGGGTACAAAAACGGTTAGAGGAATGTAAACTTTTTAACTTAGCCCGACAACTCTGAAGGAAAGTTGCTGTATATATATAATGTATGTGTGTGAATATATAAAGTTGCACGCACATCATCGCCTATTTAGTTGGATGGCACGCAAAATATGTGATGCTGGCGGATGCCTCTGCCACATATGGCAACTAGCGCTGACATAGTTGAGCAGCCAGTTGACAGACCAAAGTTGGCTAGTTGACAGTTGCCTCGATAACGGTACCTTAAGTCATTTTATATGCCTAAGTAGCGAGAGTTAGTGGCAGAGATCAGATTTGCTCTTTTAACTGCAAAATCATTCAAACGTCAATAAAACTGGCAATTAAAACGAATTTATTGACAAGGATTAGCTGCCAGATGCTCAATTCGGGCAAGCAAAGCGGTATTTGCCAAGGAAGAGGAGAGAAGATACTCCTTTCATGTATTTTTCATATTCGAAAAATGTTGCCAACTGCTGTTTTTAGATTTAAAAAAAAAAAAGTGCAACCTTATCTTTAATAATAATAATAATTTTCGCATATATGTACCAACTTTTAACTGAATTTATGTCTATATTCAAAAAATTAAAATAAAAAAAGTTTCCCAATTGAAAATTAGTTGGATCTTAGTTTTCTGGGATTGCAATTTGCTGTGTGCAAAACTATGTTTACTTTCAGATTTTCATATTTTGGAACAAAGATGTAAACTGTAAGCAATCTACAAGATAATATTATTATCTACGCCAATATAGGAAACTTTAGGCTACCTATACCGGGTGATTTAGTACACGTTTGCTCTCTGGCAACCAGGAGTCTGTAAGAAAACGCGAAATCAATTGAGAAAACTGTGCGTTAGAATTTTCCTTGATTTGGTAAGACTATGCTTTTGGCCATGCGGCGGCATGTGGCTTTTCCCATGCACAAAAGTGGTTTGGCTAGCGGTGCTTTAACCCATTTCTCGTGTGCAGATTCATTTCGCCGACCAGTTTGGTGATGAGCTGCTAACGACGACGTCAACTTCTTCTTCTTCGTTGTCGTCGTCGTCGTCGTCGGCAATTGTGTCATTAATGATGGTTATGGTTCTATGGGTGTTTTATAGCCAAAGATTAACTGGTAAGACCGCATTCTATGTGGGTGACCGTTATTCGCTTAGCAAATGCAATTAAAATCGGCCGGAGATGAAAATGTGTCTGCTGACAGGCTGAAAAACAGACAACGCGTCGCTGACGGAGAATTTTTTTGCGCCACATGTGTGTGTGTGTGTCTGAGGGCAGAGTTTTTATGAACTGAATACACAGGCACACACACACACACACATAGTGATCATAAAGAAAGAGGTCTGTATATGGAATTGAAACGATAAACAAAGGCGAGCGATATACAAGAAGAGCAACTGTTTGGGAACCCTGTTTTTAAATACATATTTTAATGAACTGCACAAAGAGCGAACCGAATGGTTGACTTTGAAATGCACTGACTGACAGATAGGCAGACAGAGAGGGACAGAGCGAGAGAGAGAGGGCGACAGAGCTGCAGTGCATCCTTTTATACATGCACACCGATATCGTAATTTGTTTTACTTTGCATTTTATTTTTAAACCAAAGTACGAGTACAAGAAAGCACTGTAAATGGAGTCGGGGTTGCCATGTGGCATGAGTTGATGCCACTGCTGCATGTGTGTGTATTTTAGCTGCCTACGCAAACACAACCAGCCGCAGTTGCCTTAGCGATTTGTCTTTTCGTTGCCTGGCTACCTCATCTTCCCATTTTTTGTGTGCGTACTTTTCGACGTAGTTCATATTGTATCTAAATACATATATATATATATGTGTGTGTGTGTGTGAGTGTATATACAAATACCCGAAAGTATTCAAGTGATTCATCATTCATTTTGGCGTCTGGAATTGTTTGTGTCGCTTTTAATTGAGATGCACCGAGAGACAAGCTGCATAAATGCATGATGCGACATTTTAAAATTGTTTAAATTAACATTAACAAGTTAAGGATACGAAAAAAAACAAACTATATGAGGGTAAATTTATTTTAAAAAAAGAGTTAAAGCAGCGCTAGAATTGATAGAAGGGAGCTTAGAGATTAACTGAGAGTTGCCAGACTGCGCAGAAATAGTCATGCAGCAGAAAGAGGTATGAATCAGTCAGCAGTTCAGCAGTAAATAAAGATATATTAAATAATATAATCATATAAATACTAAACCATATATATAGGTAAAATATAGCCATGTTAAATGTAGATTTTAGTTTCGAGTTTTTGATGATTCTTTATTAAAGGGCATTAAATCATTTAACAGCGGGATTCATAATCCAGATGTAAATTTAAGAACATTCGTTTAAGATGATATTATTTTACATCAACAGCATATGGTTCCAAACTTTATGATGTTTATATTGGATAAACAAAGTGACTTATAAATATTTGTACAAAGAACCCGTGTTATTAACACTTGGAACTTTAGCCCACTATCGATTTCAGTCATAGTTAGTTAGTTGAAAATGATAATAATAACAATGGCACGAAGAGTTTTGTTAACATGCAACGCAAACCAAAGAAATACAAAAGAAATTAGCAAAAATAACTTCAACTCATGAATCGAATGCGAAAGTCGCCGCACTTGAAACGTTCCGTCAACAAACCGCAATTGAAAACACACACATGGTTTGTGTGTGTGCGAGAGTGTGTGAGTGTGCTTATGTTGCTGCTTGCCTGTGGAAATCAATTAGTATTGTCAAAGCATTTCTCTGTTGGCAGAGGCGACCGGCAGAGGCCAGCGACAAGCAACACAGGCACACAAAAAAGATGCAGATATAAAACTAAATACAGTCAGTACAATATTTATTCGTACACTGTTTTGTCTTAGAAGTATTTCTTTTTTTTTACCGCACCTTAGACCTATTGAGCATATTTAGATAAGAACAACATGATTTGCCTTAGTTGAATTCGGTAAAATAAGTGGTAATGACACTAATACCAGAAAAGCATATCCCGAAGATATCATAAAGGCAAAAGAAGTCATCATCAAATATTGGGAACCATATTTGCCGATTTTTTCTTTGTATTATATTTTATATTGTATAAATAATTTTTGTTTATATTGTGTCAAGTGGCCTTTTCTAGCTATTATTTTTAGGATATGTTTTACTATTAATTAAGCTACAGAAACATTTTTTAGTTGATAAATGAGAAAATCAAATGAAAAATATAAGTGTGGAATAATCATTGGTCTGTGCGCATAAACATATACAAAGCAGTCGCAAGTCCAATGGCAACCAAGACTTTTACAAGCGATCAGCGGTCAATGGGGAATACAAAACAAATTCAAGTGGGCACATTGATTAGATATTAACAGTCAGTTGAGTGTATCCACTCTCTCTCTCTCTCTCTCTCTCTCTCTCTCTTTGGCACATAATTTATAGCAAAATTATAACAATTTGCTGCAGATACAAAAGCAAACTAATGTCATAAGGGAAAAGAAGACAAAATCAAGTGCTGTGACAACCTTGCCGCATGCAACTTGACTGACATTTTTATAAGCACGTTCAAAGGGTTGCAGATACACACACACACACGCACAAAGGCACAGATACACGATACAAGTGCCCAAGTATCTGATGGTCAGAGGCACACACTCAAGTTGAGCTCAATTCGTATGCAGGCCGAGTGCTCAGCGCAGTTACTGAATTTATGTTTATTAAAACGGATATGGAAATCGTTTACTGACTTCGAGCCGCCGAAATGTGTAAAGAAAAACAACAGATATATAAGAAAACCTGTTTGCAAGTCGCGTGCCAATTTCAAATTGTACAACACTTTTCAGTCAAGCTACCTCAAATACTTGACGACATATATTTGTATATATATATAATATATGTATATATTAGACTTTCTATTGGGAACCTTGGCTAGCAAATTCCATTTTACAGAGTTAAGATTCTGTGTGTTTATGTTTTGACCCGCTTCATCCGTTCGATTAACTCGTTTTGCGCTGCCCAAGTATTCTAGTCAATAATATATTAAAAATAAATAATTTATTACAATAAATACAATAGGATCAATAACAACCAAATCAATTCGAATTTCATAAAAAATGGAGCGCGAGCAAAATACAATAAAGCAGAGCAAACATAATACCCGATATACATACATGTTTGTGTGTGTGTGTGTGTGTTTGTATTGACTTGTATTGCTATTAGATCATTTTCTATGTGTCAACAATCGAAATGTTCTAAGTGAATTTCAGTCTTGATTGAATCTTGGCTGTTTTAAGAGTTATATTGTGAAAACAGCGTATGCCGCATTCGGGAGCTTCCACCTGCATACATATATAATTAAATAATTATGTATTTTAATGTTTTAGCCACCCGTATTAATTGATATTCATCACAAATCAAACTTCATTAAAATCGGCAAAACACACACATATTTACACATACAGAAATCGAATGATGATGTCAGCATTTGTGGTAAAAAAAGGGCGGCATTGCCAAAAAAAAAAATGTTTAATTCCTCGCAATAATTAAGAGCTCTGCAAACAAATGTTATTTTTAACATGCTGCTTCTTATTATTTTAGCCGATGACTGCGAAGTGAGTTGTCGGCTCTTATCGCTCCCCCCTACATAAACACATAGCACAGACACACAGCACTTATAAGCTGATAACGAACTGCGCTTTGCGCTTTGGGAGTGTAAATAAAGACAGCAGCAGAAACAAAAACAAAAACAACAGCATAAAACAACAGTGTTGAGTGCTCATCGTTTATCTATGCATGTATGTGTGTGCGTGTTTCTGTGTGTCTCTATTTCAACGTGTTTTGTTATTGCTATCAGTCGCCGCCGAACACGAAAGCCCGCTAAACAAACAACACAATTGTAAAAATATTTGTCATCGAACTTATCGCTAATATTAAGTTTTTTTTTTCTATGTAAATTATGCAAAAAACAAAAGGCGCAATTGAAACATCAAAAAAGAAGAGGAAGAAGAAGCTTTGCTTACCGTTGGAGTTGAAGAGGGGGGTGGTGTGTGGTAGCGTTGTTCTCCTGGCTAGTGCTTTCAAGTTGTGCGTTTTATTTTTGATTGGCGCGACAAAAGCTCATCTCTACGAAATGAAAGCGAAAATGTATTGAAAAATCAACAGTCATCAGCAACACGCTGGCAGTGCGACAGAGAGAAAGACAGAGCGTGGCTCAGAGAGAGAGAGAGAGGGAGCCTGAGAGAGTGTGAGAGAAAGAGCAAAGAGCGTGGGAGCAACAAATGCAATGACCTGAATTCGAAGCATTTGTGCAAAGAAACGCGTAAAGGGCGATAAGAAAAGTGTGTGTGTGTGCGTAAAAGGTAAACATTTCGAAGGAAACACCCAAATAAAAAAATAACAACAAGGAGTGTTTACAAAGTATTCTATCAAAATGTTAACTGTAATTGTAGCCTGTGTCTCTGCGCATGTATTGTATTGTTGTGTTGGTAACTGTGTTACTGTGTATTGTGTATACATATACGCAACGTCCTTGTGCCTAACACAATAGTTCGTTGGCCAAAGGGGGAGTAGTGGGGGACAGTGCGAAGAGGACAGCGCCACCCTATTTACTGTTGTCAAAGTCTACACTTGCCTTTGCCTCTGTGTTCGTGTCCGTGTGATGCTGTGTATCTGTGTGTGTGTGTGTGTTCTGGAATTTTGCGTGCTTATTGAATTTTCATGTAAATTTTATTTGCGACGCGAACGAGTTGCGCAAATTGATGAACATGCTTTGAAAATTTTTAATTGAATTTGAAAAACTGGGCTGGGTTTTTTGTTTCGTTTAATTTTTTATTCTTCTTTCTAATTGCTGCGCCCTTTACACATACATACACATGGAAGCGACACTCACACACACACAGGCTCTGAATTTTTTCACTGGTGCAAAAAAGGTGAATGAGAAAAAAACAGCAAACGGCAAAAAACACATGTAACAAATAAACACTTGAACACTACACGCACCCAAAATACTTTTCTTTGTCAATTGTTCTGTCAGAGCTACGCGCACATTTTGTTGACAATTACTTTTTTTTCCTTGTCAATTTTAGACCGTTGCAAATTGCATTTTTTAGCAATAGGTTCGCGGTGCATGAATTTTGTACGGACTACTCACGACAACGCCATTTTTACTTCTGACAGCTGTTGTTGGGCTTAGTGGTGTGCGATGCTAACATAAGTGAGTACTTGTCTCGCATATCGACAGCTGCTGTTAACTAGATATCGATAAGTGCTGTTAAGGCCGTTACTTTAGCAGTCCATTTATAACAGAAAAATTCAATAATACACCTGTTGTCTCTATGGCAGTTATTTTGTGTTTTCCTATCAAAATGAGTGGAAATAGTCATTATAATAAGGCTTTAGTGCATATGGATCACTATTTTATTGTATGTATTTGTGGTAAAAGTATAATTTATGCTTTTACTGCTGCTGCTTGCTAACTTTCTTTTCGCGCGAATCGATAGATTTTGGGTTCATCAGTTTCCAGACCGCGTTTTAAAATATATAATTTCATGGTTTAATAAACTATTGGTGCAAAAAAAGTTAAGCAATAAATCGCGCATAATATGCATGCATAAGTATTCTTAGATGACCTGCTTACAAAACTAATAATTTGAGGAACAAAATGAATGCATTTCAATGCCAAATTCACTTCTTGGCCTTGGCTTTGGCCTTGGAGGCAGTTGCTCCGCTTGCTTTTTTGGCAGCGCCAGCAGCCGTCTTCTTTTTGGCCTTGATCAAGCCATCTAGCTCTAGATCGTCCTTCCCCTCATCCTCATCGCTGGAGTGAATTGCTCCCACAACGGCGCCATCCTCATCCTGCTGACCCAGAAGATTATCCTCGTCATCGGCTGCGGCTTCTGCGCGCTTCTTTTTAACATTGGCCTGTGCCGAATAGGAATAGGCCAGCACCTCCTTGTTGTAGGCACGAGTAAGAGCCGCTTTCACACGTCCATCGACGGCATCCATGGGCGATTTCTTGCCCGGCCAGCTGGTCAGCTCGACAAGTGACTCCAGATCCTCGCGCAACAAATGATAATCCTTGATGACAGCCAACGCAGCGGGTACACCCTCCTGCCCCTGCAGCGCCAATGGACGCACAATGTTCGCCAGCAGATGTGGAGCATATTCCAGACGCACCGATAACCTTGATGCCGAGGTACAAACACGTGTGTGATCATGCAGCTCCTGGGCGAGGCGGGAGCGCTTGTTAGTCCGCGAATTCTTGCCCAGCCAGCCGGGAAAATTGATTTGCCCCGTAAAATGTCCACACATATATTCGCCAGGCAGCAGGGAGCTGAACACAGCCTGGGTGGGCAATAGACTCCAGGCGGAATTGGCACGTATCCGCTTGTCCACCAAATCGCCCAGACTGAGCGCGTCCGCTGTGGCAGCCACCTTGGCGAGGATCTCATTACGATTGCCCTGCGGCAACACTTGCAAATAATTCTGCTGCACGAAGAGTGGAGCCATGCTGTAGTCATGGAAGAACAGATCACACTTGTCGTAGATGCTCATCTGCTTGTGATCATCGGCGGTGAACACTTTGCGTACCACATCCCACGGTCCCAGTTTGAGATCCTTGGCAGCCACCGTCTGCTGTTGTCCACTCTCCGGCAGCTGATCGCCGGCGCTGAGCAGCGCCAGATGATTGATGGTTTGGCGAATATCATTGTTGGTCGCTGCTATAATCCCCTCCAGCTTGGCGGCTGGCATTTTCAATTTCTCTTTGTAGCAGATGCTCATTATGCGACCCTTGATCTGCTCGAGACGCGGTCGCTGGAAGCGCAGATCATAGCAATAGTTGACCAGCGAACGAATCTTGGGATGATTGCGATCGTTGCACATGCAAATTATGGGTATCGAACTGTCCTTGATGAGGGCGATCAGCTCCTGCATGCCGCCGCGATCCTCGTTGCCGGCCATGCCATCCACCTCATCCATGATGAGCACATGCTTCTTGGACACCGCCTGCGACTGGCCATTCGCATAGCCATACAGCGACTTGTTGCCCAGCAGACTGGCCACCTCCTCCTTCAGCAGACGCTTGCTGCGCGTATCGGATGCATTGAATTCGACAGCATCGAAACCGAGCTCCTGGGTGACCAGCGATGCCGTCGTTGTCTTCCCAATGCCGGGCGGGCCGGAGAGTAGCGCTGCCTTGTAGAAGCTGCCATCATCGTTCTTGGCCCAGGGATTTGGACGTTGCGGCTTCTTTTTGCCATCGTGATTCACATACCACTTGGCCAGCCAGTTCATCAGTCTGTTGTGGAGCAGCAGAGAAGCCTTTGAGTTATCTTAAAAAGGAATCATTTTTGGTTACTCACTTGTTGACATTGCTGGCGGGTCCGGCCTGGCCGACAATCTCCTTGATGGAACACGGCTTGTATTTGTCCACCCAGGCCATGTTCTCGCTGATAGCACTCACATGCTTGTTGTTGGACTCCATTTTGGGCACATGCATGGCGGAGTCTAACTTCTCCTGTTTGATCTTGGGACTAACACTGGACTCCTTCTCTTTGCGTTCCTGTTTCACTTTGAGACTGTTGTCTGCCTGTTTGAAGCTGCTGCTGCTCTTCACCTCCTTATTTCGCTCCTTCCTCTCCTTTGAGCTGCTGCTCTGTTCGTGCTCCCTCTTCATCTTTGAGCTGCTTTTCTCCTCCTCCATCTTTACCTTTGAGTTGCTGCTCTGTTCCTGCTCCTTTTTCACCTTTGAGTTGTTGCCTCTTTCCTCCTCCTTCCTCACCTTTGAGCTGCTGCTTCTTTCCTCCTCCTTTTTCACTTTGGGACTCTTACTCTGATCCACCTGGACACTCTTTGTCTCGCCCGATCTCTCGCGTATCAGCTCAAACAGCGCATCCTCGCTGAGGATACTGACATTGTGCTCCTCGGCCTGCGCCAATTTCTTGGGTCCCGCCTCCTCGCCGACCACCAGATAGTTGAGCTTCTTACCCACCACAGTCATGATCCGACCACCAAACTCCTTAATGACCGAAGCGGCTTCATCCCGCTCCATAGACTCGAGTATACCGGTGACCAAAAATGTTAAACCCTTCAGGCAATCGGGTGCACCTTTGGGTATCTCCTTGCTGCCCGGATTCAGGCAGCTGCTGCGATTTTTGTACTTCTGATAGAGCACAGCTGCCATCCGCTTCCGTTCGTGCCGTTCCTCATCGCTCAACACGCTGCTCTCCAAATCCGCAGACGGCTTCACCTTTTTGACATGTGGCGTGGACGTCTTCGGTGTCGTTTTGGGCTTCGGACTGCTGGCGTTGGCACGCTTGCGACTCGGCTCCGGACTGGGCTTAGAGATGGTCACAGCGGGCAGTGGATTATCGAGATCCACCTCCATCAGACTGCGATCGATGGCCTCATCCTCCATCTCAACGATACTACGCTCCTTCGGCTTGGGCGCCTCCACGCGTCGAGTTTCGCCACCAAACAGCTCAGTGGGATTCACTTTCTGGCGCGGCTTTGGCGTATCTTTGAGCTTCGCAAGCGATGGCTTTTTAGCGGCATAGCCATTGTCGTTGCGCGGCGATTTTGTTTCCAACGCTCGCCGGGACTTCTTCAGCTCCTTGCCGTGCTTGCTCACCTGGGGACTGGCGGGCACTTCGTCCTCGTCGCTTGAAATGGCGAGCGCCTTGCGTTTCTTGGGTGCCGGTGATGGTGTCGCAGCCTCTTCGCTGGTCTTCTTGCCGGGCATGCGGTGGAAGAACGTGTCTATACCCTGCAAAAGCAGAAGTAACATCGTATTATACTTTGAAAATTGTTTAAAATTCGCTATTTACTTACACGCTGCATGGCAAAATTAATTTTGCATTAAGTTTGCGAAAAAAAGGCGCACTATGTGTAACAGAATCGATTGCTATCGATATATTTGAGCATTCTTATCTTTGCTTTCGTTGCTAGGCAACAGCTGTGTTAGTTGAACGCTGCTGGCAATGCCGTACAGAGCAATCAGCTTGTGTCAGTATGCAATTTAACGTTATTTTTAATTTAATTTAATTTAATTAAGGGAATAATTAAGAAACAAATTTCACAATTAAGATTCGTTTTAATTTCGAACAAAAAGAAAAAATTGATATCTATAGCACACAAGCGAATATATATTTCAAGTAGTTGCTGTAGCAGTAAACCAGCAGCAAACGCACTCACAGCACTCAGCTTCTTTCAGGGCGCTTTCTAAATTTTATTTCCATTTTAAACGTTCAATTTACAATAGCCAAAAATCAAATTGCGTCTACAAATTGTTTTTCATTGATTTAACATGTTATTTGACACATGTCGTCATCAATCTTGTGCTAATACCGTCTAATCAAGTCAAATCACATCATCAACGCACTTGCACAAGCTGTTTTCTTGCATTTACAGGGCATTAAAAATTCGCCACCCTCAGAAACCCCTCAACTTCTGTTAGCTGATTACACGCGCAATTAAGGGTTGTGGGAAGCAGGCGCCATTGCCAACATCCCCCCTCCCTCCCGCATCCTAACCCTGTAGCAGCGACCGCTTTTGTGCGGCTTGCGGCTTGTTGCACGTGCGAACAACAAATGTTACCCTTGGGGGCATTTGAGAGCGATGAGCGTTACTTAACCTTGATGTTGATTAAATTAAATATAAATAAGGTCTAAATTTTCAAGTTAACAATTTTAGCAAATTAAAAAGTAACGAATCTTATTTCATTTTAACTATTCAATTATTTTTAAAAGTGTTGCCAGTTTGTAAGCAGTGTATAACATTTAGCTTTGTATTGCAGAAATTAACGAGTCAACTCTGCCACTACCGTTACTTTAGTCTTGTCTTTTTTTAAGAATAATTAATTCTTATTTATTACAATTCGACTAGAAATGTTTATGATTGGTTTTAATACATTGATATTTATGCTATTAAATTTATTTTATAACACAAATGTATGTACATATCAAAATGTGTGTGTGCTTTTTTCTTGTTTTTGATGGTGCAAAAGGCACGCAACAAGTTAAAAAGTTGACACAATATCAATTTGTGCATTCATCGATAAACCGCAAAGGGGAGCGCGTTGAAGCATGCAAAAAAAAGGAGAAAAAATAATAAAGAAAAAGGGTTGCCCAATTGTCGCGCCCACATCCAGCCAGCCAGTCGGCCACATGACAAAGTTCTCACAACTACAAACCGAACAACAACAACAAGACACATGAATATAAATTGACGTGGCCGCGTCAAATCGGCCAAATCACATTTAATAGCCTTTAAATTATGCACAAAAGTCAAAAAGCAAATAGCAGAAGGCGACTTTTCTCCCTTTGGGGCGGATTTTGTTGCCCAGCAAATCGCATTTATTACATTTTGCATTAGATTACGTGACGTTGATTGTTGGCAAAGTGTTGCCAGATTTTGTGATTTTCTGTTTTTGTCTTGCGGTGCATGACTGTTGATAAATTCCCTCTGGGGCACAACTGCCGCGCACGTTTGTGTGTGTATGTGTGTGTGTGTGTGAGTTTGTCACTAATTGGAAAATGGCGTGTGATTGCAAACACTTGTTTTCTAACACTACCCCCCGACAGCTCACCCCCTGCGGGTGTTTGCTTTTAGCGTTTATCGATCATCAGCAATGCGTAGGCCATGTTACACCCTCCCACACACGCCTTTAGTGCTAATCGCCAACACCTCCCCTCTCTCTCTCTCTTTCTCTGCATCATTATTTTTGGCATTTTATTGTAATGAGTACTCTAATCCCCCCCACTCATTCTCTCTCTCTCTCTCTCTCTGTCACACACATTCTCTCTCTCTGTCTCGTTGTCGCCCTTTCTCCTTAATCGTGATTAATTGTTTTGACGCATTATTTTGATTTGATATTTATCAAAATGTCGCAAAACTCGCGCTTAGCCTTTTATTATGTTTATTTAACTGATTAATCTTGGGCGACTTTTCGACTACACTAAGCCTGCCTATGCCAAGTGTGTGTGAGTGTGTGTGTATGTGTTTTTTTTGGCTTTTCCCTGATGAAATTCACCAAAATTAGATTTGCATTCGGTTTTTATGTTAATTTCTGTGTCAGCTAAGCGAAGTGAATAATTTGCCTTTCCTGTTGGGAGAGTTACAACTGATTATTGGAGAAACTTGCGAGCATTACTCATGGCAAAGTTTTAATATATGATATATAATAGATTATGCAGCTAAAGTCTTGGGAAGCAGGCTGCTAAAATAAGTATTGTGTGAAATTACCATTAATATGGCATGAAAACTAAAAATTAAGTATATATATATATTTAGTTGTATTTGTGTTCAAATTGGGTCAGATTAATTTAATAATCTGCTTGGCAGAAATATAAAGTAAAAAGAGCTGTTAATAAAGCATAGAACCAAAAAACTGAGCCAGGCAAACTTGGAAAATATAAATCAAAAACTTGTTTCGTAAATTTAAGAAGTGATATTTAGATACCCAAAGAATTAAACCAATTTACAACTATAGAACCATAAATACTCATACCAAAATGAGCATATTATATTTATGATAATAATAATATCAAATCAAAGCGAAATGATTATATATATGATAATACCATTTGTACCATAGGCTATAGACTCAATCAAAACACAATTTAAAAATAGACTCATTCAAAACACTTTCAGATTAACAAAGCTTTGCAATTCTTTCTTTAAAACACCCAAAGCCAAATTCAAACAAAATTCAGGCACAGTTAAATATGATAATATGGATGATAATACCATATATTCCATATTATAGATATATACTCAATTCTATTTCTTTAAGCATTTGAAAAAAAAACTCAGCCTAATTCAAGCTAAATTCCTAAATAAACATAGATAAATTGACTCAATCAAATCACTTTTGACAATTGTTTCTTGGGCGTTCTTTAAGGCACCCAAAATCAGCCTAATTCAAGATAAATTCATAACCGACATAGTCAAATGATAATATGGATGATAATACCATAAACACCATATATATATAGATATACCCTTAATCCAATCTCTTTAATCAATTCGTTTTTGGGCATCCTTTAAAGCAACCGAAATCAAATCAAACAAAATTCAAGCTGAATTCGGGCTAAGTTGAACGATAATATATATGATAATACCACATATAACATTTGATACATGTAGAGTCAATCCAATCTCTTGAAGCAATTGTTTTTTGGTCATCCTTTAAAGCAACCGACTCCGCCTTCAAGTTGAATTCCGAGTGAATTGGGAGAATGCGTGTTCGCTTTAAGGACAGCGGTTTGCCAAACTACACAAAACTTGGTCGTCGTTTTCATTGATTTCAATTTGCTTTCGTTGCGACGCCATATTTCAATTTCTGACCGTCGTACAATTTACAAGCCATAGCATGTGTCTCCAATGATGCCCCCATCCCCCCACCTCCCTCTGTTTGTGTGTGTGTGTGTGTGTGTGTTTGTCAGCAGACAGCAGAGGCATTGAGCGAGGGGCTTAGGGAGTTGGGGGCGGGCCGGGGCTGGGGACGGGTTGGTTGGGGGCAGTTCAACAGACGGACAGGACAGCTTAATTGATGAACAAAGGCGTTTGGGCCAAAGTTTTGCTTAGGCGAGAGAGATACGAGCCATGTCTGAGCAGAGACACTGTTACAGCGAACTTAGCAGTGAGCAGTGTGTGCGTGTGTGTGTGTGTGTGTGCGTGTGTGTGTGTGTGCGTGTGTGTGCAGTCATCGTCTCCGGAGGACTTGCAGAAGTCGTACAGAATATTTAACACCCGCTGCGCGTATTTATGGGAGAATGAACCTGTGTCTTCAACATCGTCGTCGTCATCGCCGCTGTAGTCTCCCTGTAGTCTCCACCATTTTGTCTAAGACGCGGGGGCAGGCGGACCAAGCGGGCAGGCGGGCAGTTGTCCTCAAACTCGGTCTCTCCTTGGCAGATTTGCAATTCCAATTGGCGCGACGAAGTCGTCGTCGTCGTCGTCGTCGTCTGCTCTTCGCTCTCCTCATCACTGATGATTACTCCTCAACGCTGTTGTTGTTGTTGTTGTTGTGTTGTTCCATCTCTGTCTAGTCCCGGGGAGTGGGTGCACTTTCTCAATGGCCGCCAATGTGTTTGGCATTTACCTGTCCACTGTTTGTCCTGCCCACCGTTTAACCTTATTTTTATTGCATACACATCGCAATTATTTGTTTTATTAACTGTTGAACATGGCCTCGGTTGGATTTCTCATGTTTCGTGTTCGTTTTTGTTTTTCCTTAGCAACAATTGTAAATTGCATTTATTATGATTGGTGCTTGGGAAAACTTTTGACTTCTGTGTGGCATATGTAGCGGAATCGATGTACAGTCACCAACTGGTACATCAATATTGGTGTTTAACTACAATTCACCTTTTAAGGTGTTTGTTCGCCACTTGATATTTGAATTGCAATGAGTTTTGCCATGGGAAACATTGCTAGAAGCAGTATTTGAACACCATTACTCCATATTTATCAAAATATGAAAAAAAAACAAAATTATGAAGAAAATATTATGAATTATGAATTACCCTCGTAAATATTCCAAATTGGGTTTTGTATATTTTTATTTCTTCTCAGTGTAAAACAAGAAAATAGTTGTTGTCTTCGTTAGTTAATTAAAGTATAATTTTACAATTGGGTTTCTTTGAAGGCATTCAATGCCAAAAGGAAATTCATTATAAATAAATCATATAAATTATATATCAATAATATAAGTAAGCTTGAAGTTTTAGACCTTAAGTTCGCTTAATGTACAAATAAAATAAATAAAATATATCAAAGTAGTTTTAATTGTTAATTTTCTATATCTTGATTTTCTATATCGAAAGCTCTTCTTTTGAATATCTTACACAAATTATATATATCTATATATATATATATATATATTATCATTTAAATGTTTTTATTATGATCT